AAAAACCCGAAACCCGACGGAAGACCGTGCTCGGGTTTTTCGACGAAAAGACCGTACTTAAACCCGAAGAAAACCCGACCCGGAAAACCCTAATAAAAATGATTCGATATTGCGAGAAAAAAATTCTTTTTACTTATTTTTCATTTTAATCATGATAATCATCTGTTGGGAAACGATAAAGTTGACTTAGGAAAAATAATATTCTCTTACTTATCAAATTACTTGAGTTTCCACCCCGAAGCGAGAAAATTCAGTCGCTTTTTATTCAAACGACAAATCTCATGTAGAAAGAAAAAAATTATTTCGCTTTTGGGAAAATTCCTTCTCTCGATTATCATTCAAACTTGACTTTCTCCCTTCATCGAAAAGCGTTTAAAGTTCAAAAAGATTTTATCACTCACACGAGAATGGAAATTTTATGGTCCCAAAGCGGAAGAAGCGTGCAGAAAATATTCATGTCACGATTTACGATACTGTCACGATGTATTCAGAATGAAAATTGCGGAACACATAAAAAAATCTCAAAAAATATTTTAGATGCGTTGACAAAACTGGTCGTTGTATATTAAAATAATAAAAAAAGAGAATCTTGAATCATGATTTTGCAACGTTGGCGTTAACTATGAAGATAAGTAAGATGTGAAAAGGATGAGATTTGATGTCTGGCTTCTGTTTGAAAAGCGATTCCCTGACGAACATTTTCTGTGATGAATTGTTAGTTGTGTTGTCAAAACTTGAGTGAAACATTAAGACGAAAGTTTTCATTTTTATTCAATCTAAAACTTTTCCTTAGGTAGATAACTTGAGCAGTTCAACTATTTATCTTCTATTTCATATGAGAAAACTTTCCTTATAAACTTGAAAAACAATAAAATTAAAATGAAAACATTTTTTCAAATAGAAACTTTTAAATAAGAAAATTAAAAAGTTTTTTTTATTTGCTAGGAAGTTGCAGATGAAACTTAATTAATTACATTTTGTTTCTACTGCATTTCTCTTCCAAACAAATCCTTGAATGAAATTTAAATGTAATTAAATTTTCGATCGCAACAAGTTGACAATTGAAAGCTTCACCAAGATCATTGAAGTCAACGTGTCTTAAAATGCTGCTCAACTCGATGATATTTCAAATTGAATAAGAAATAAAATTGAATCATGATTAGCATCAATAAAAGTAGCAACAAATTCTGTATTTGTATGATTCGAAGATGTTCTTGTCGATTGGAATTATGCAGATAATCAGAAGGAAGATTAAAAGTGAATCAAACATGAATCAAGCTAAAGCTTGAACATCGGAAATTTAATACTTTTATATCAAATCAATTGAAATGCTTTCTCGATTCAATTCGATGTCAACTACAGCTCATATTTCTTCCTTCTGTCGTATCATTAACATTTATATTGCTGTTGTAATGTCGATGTAGTTTCTTTTATTCAGTGTCTGTAATCAGCTGTGAAAGTCAATTGAATGATTTTATTTCATTCAAAGATTGGAAATTTCTAAATTCAATTCAGATTTTCTTTTATTTTCAATCAAACTAATGAAACTCAATTCAATTACTTTTGATTCTTTGCCGATTCTTTAACATTGAAAGCAGGTACGCGATCTTTCTTGCCGAGAATCTTCGTCGTCGGCTCAATAAATTGCACATTGTTAATCATTTGTGCAATTTTTCGGTCGATTATTCCCAAAAACAACTTCACATTGTTCAACGACACTTTCTTCTCCTTTCCCAGCAAGTACAAGATTGGAGCTTCGTCACACTTGAGGAGCCTGAAAGTAAGAGATTAGAAGGGGAATGACAAATTCAATTCCGTTTCATTAAACATTTGACAAGTGAGCCTGGAGTCGGCGTTGTGTTGGCAAACGAGAACAACACACAAAAATAAAATAAAAAGAAAGCAAGAAATGAAATGTGGTTGAAGAATCAAATTACTTGTAAAGTCTTTCGACTGCTTTCAATATCTCAAGCAAGCAATGTCGCTTCACATTCGTTCTTGTAATCACTCGCATCGTCAGCAGATTGCTTTTGTTTCAATGCTTCTTCTTTCAACAGTTCAATGTTGTCATCCTGTGAGTTTTTCTTCATTTCCCTGATTTCTTTCTGTTCATCTGTGGATGGAAAATTAAAGTGAAATTAAATCCGCACATGGATGAAGTTCGTTAGAAAAACGAAAAAACTTTAAAGATTGCTGAGAACATTCGTGGATTCCAAAATAATTAAATTTAATTACCGATGCTATCTTGCAACTGTTGCACGGTCTCGTTCAATTGTTCGATTTCGTGACTCAACTCGTTGACGTAATTGAAGAGCGCGTAATTCTCTTCTTCCTCTTTAATGAACTTTGAAATGATTTTGTCGGTTTCTTTTTCACCCGAAAGAAGCTTTTATGATGTCGAATGTTGTTGTTGATTGAGAAGCGTGAATTGTGGTCATGTTCATGAAAGAGAGAAAAAAGATTTCGTTAAGCCTCCCAGTAGGTAATTCGAGATGCTTACAATAATCCGCTGGAAAATCTTATCGTATTCCATAAACTGACGTTCCATTTCTTCTAATTTCTTCCTTCGCTTATCAGCTTCACGCTCTTGCTGTTCTGTATTCAACCTTTGCTGGCCTTTGATGGCCAAGAATTCCTGAAGTTTCGCATCGTGATCCAATTTCCGTTGAAGTTCTTTCATCTCATGAATGTGATTAGTTTTGTCACTCTGACCTCGTTCCTTGAGTGTTTGTAGCTTCGTACAAAGCTCTTCTCTTTGATCGAATGCGCTGGTTGCTTGTTCTACTAAATCCATGATGTGACGCTTCTCACAATTCAATTTATTGATCATTCTTTGCCACATCACATTAAAGCTCGACCTTTAAGATATTTTCATCATGTAGTTTAAAAGAATTCAAAGGGAAAGAAAGTTTTATTCACCTTTCCTTCAACATGTGATCAATGACTTCTCTTAATTTAGCATTCTCAGCCATCACACTGCCACATCGTTTGGTGATGACATCGAGTCGATTCTCCAGTTTCATGACATTTTTCCGCCCATCACAAATGGTTTCTCTGTACAAGTTCTCAGTGATTTCATTATCTCTTATCAATGCGATCTCTTTGTGAAGCTTTTGCGGATGGTAACGACGAAAATGAATGAAAAAGAAAACAAAAATGATGAAAAATAAAGTGAAAGCATATAAATTCAAAGGAGGGAATTGTTTGGGTTGCTCGAGGCAAACTATTCTGCGGAAATAAACATCATTCACATAATAAACACGAGTCGAATCAACGTCACAAAGCCATCTATAGGAAAAGGAGAAGAAAGAAAATCCCCAACCTTTTGAGCTTGAGCTTCCAATTCCGTTAAAGTGCTTTTCTTCTTTTTGAGTATTTGGGCTGTCTTTTCCTTTTTGTCCATTAAATTTAATATTTTTATTTGTGCCTGCATGCCAGAAAGTTAAAAAGAGAAGAGAAAAAAACAGAAGAATGAAGTCAAAGAGCCATGTTTTAAAAAGAAGAAAGAAAATAAAATCCAGCAATAAAAGAAGTCCATTTAAGGGATTTCCTTGTAAATGTATATAAATGGAAAAGAAAGGAATGAAAAAGATTTAAGCGCGACAACAAACGATATACGTACATCGGAATCTCGACGGGCATGTATGCCCTTTTGTTCGCTGTCAAGTTGGTATTGTAAATCGGATTTTTCCTTTTCTAATATTTTCAGAAGTTTCTTATATTTCCTCGATGTTTTCTCCTTCAACTCTATAAAATTTAATCGCTCTGCTTCGATTGTTCGATACTAGAAGAGAAGCGAATAATGTAACAGGGGAGAATCGAGATGAAAACTCCATGAATATCCAAAATAGCTTTTTAAATAGAAATTCAAACAGTAGAATGTAACATTTATTACATACTTGCTTCAATAGCTTTTCGATTTCAGCTTCTGCCAATGTTTCCACGTCGAATTGGTCGCCTCCTAATGGATCTACCATTGTAACGCAATGAATTTATTTTGATTAACTTCAGCTTGGAATGTTTTACGGAATTTTCGTAATCTGAATTTGTCGCAAACGAAAATATCTTTTACTTTTAATAGATTGTTTGTTAGGATAAACAAGTGGGTAGTTGTTGATAACATCGTTTCTATAGTTTCACGAATCACATTCGAATCATGGTAACAGCTTGCATTCGAGTCAATATACCGAACCACAATTTCGTTTTAATAGAATGCAAACAACTTGCTGTCATTCGAATCGAAAATATTGTGCAATGTTTTCAACTTTTGGTTTAACATCATGATAAGAAGTTTCATCTGATAAATATTATTGTTATTGCAAAAGTTAAATGTCCTTTTAATCTCAATTAAACTTCAGATCGGAATAATATTTGGGAAAAACATCAAAATAAAAACATTTTAAAAATTCATCTGATTCAAATTTGAAATGGATCTGAAATTAAAGGAGAATTAAGTTTGACATTTACAAATTTCACTCCATTTGTGTAATCATAAATGCTTTTTCCTTCAATAAATTCTTTGATCTTATAAATGTTTTAAATTTAGAAATATTCGGGAAACCTTTTATTGTTGATTTTTGATACGTGATATAAACGAAAACATCAATTTGAGAAATTTCACGGCAAAAAGAAAATATTTCTGGTAAATAAAGGAATTTTTTTCTGAGATTCTTCATGTCTAAGATTACAACAGAAAGTAAACTGGAAAATATTGGAAAATTTTATACCATTTCGAGTCGTTGAGAGGGGAATGTTGTGACAGAGAATAATTTTCCATTGATACACGTTGGAGTCTCGGAGTCTGCTTTCCATTATCGTGGAAAATCTTTGAAAATAAAGTGATACGAACTCATCTGCTGATTTTGAAATCGCCTTCCAGTAGTGAACTAGATTTTATTATGAACGGTAGGACAATTGAGTCGAAGTGTAACAAGAGTCAAAGCATATTGTTATTTGAGTCTGATGATAATAAAATTCAATTTGCCTGAGACAGGAAAAAGGAAAATATAAGAAAGTGATCGAAAAGTATAAAAGCGGAGAATAAAAATGCCGGCGACGTAATTTGGATTACCTAATTGGATTAGCAAACAGTTTTTCGTCCAATTACTGAGAGATTTTCTCACCAAACAATTGAAGTGGTTAAACAATCTTTATTGATTCAAGCATACAAATAAAGCAAAGATTATGTAAGATATCGGATCTTAGAGACAGTGACAACGATTTTGATAAAACGCAAATTGTACAATTGTGAAAATAACTGAATTTAGCACAATTAGATCACGGAAGAAGACAAAGGAAAAGTTTGTTGCGGAATGAAAGACATTTTTGGTGTTGTTTCGTAAATGTAATTACAACGCAATTTGAAACATTTTCATGACTTAAATTGGTAAAGTTGCATCCAAAAATTGTGTTTTTCATGTACATAGTAAAATATTTGACTTCATTCATGTGCGAGAAGCGTGAATTAAACTTATTTGCACTAGAAGAAAGTTGCTCAAAATTTTTTTATATTTAATCAGTGCACCACATCAGCAAATAATCGATTGATTAAAAAGCTAATTAAATGGTTTGTGCAATCTGTTCTAATGTTGTTTGCTTTTCCTTCTCGCTCGACGACAGAGTATAAAATGATTTGATAATTATTATTGATTAGATGGATTTAATGAACTGTGAAAGATCTCAATCAATAATAATTGATATCCTGTACATACCATAACGTCATAAATATGAGGGTGGGATTAACGAACGTATGAAGAATATTAGATGCTCGTTCATGTCGAGATGGCAGGCTACAATATTGATTATAATTTGTTGTAACGCGCTTATGATAACAATGCTCAACACAAGATAAATGTTCACTCGCTTAAACTCGTTTCCAACAACATCTTCCAAGAAGGCTTTAAATCAGCTTTTCTTCTTTCTTAACTCTTCTCTTGATAAGACGGAAAAAAAAAGATTTAGTGATAAAGCTTTTCAAATTAAAATTAATTAAATGATGTCTCAAGAAAAAGGAGAAAAATTGATGAACATCGAGAGCAAAAAAAAAAAAGAATAAATAAAATATTTCGAGGAAAAGTTTCTGCTGAAAAAGTTCTTAAATTTAATTAAAATGCTTGTCAGTTCGGAATGCTGCTGTTTTTCTTTCATTTATTTGCCCATCCCCCACTTTGAATGTATCTTACGTCGCCTGGTGTCGATTCAGCTTTTCAACTTTTATTTTTTCTTTCTTTTCTTATCTAATCCTTTTGATTTGATTATCGTCACGAACTGAAATACGAGATAAGACTTCAAACACACAAATACGACTTTAATTACAAATTTTGTGAAAAAAAGAGAGAAGAATCGTTGATTAAAAGAAGAAGAAATTTAAATATTTGTTGAGCGTAATTTGAAAATGATGAAATGAAATTATTCGTGTCAAAGCTTTCTCCTTAGTGTCAATTTACCTTCAAATGCACTTAAAACTTTTCCACGAATGTTCATATCTGTCAAAAGTTGTTAAACATGATCAAGTGTTGGAGATAGAAAAGTTCATTCTTCATTCTCATATCTGTCATTTTTATACACGAATATCTGTCTTCGTCTTCATCTTCCTTTTTCTTCTAAAAAATAAAAAAATATTATAAGAAAGTTCACAGCAAATTTCTCTACCGTCATATGTGTCGCTTTCATTTTTCTTAAACCCTTTTAAAGATAAATGAAAATTCATTTTATTCCGCTCCTAAGAACACGTTAAACATGCTACACAGCTTCACCCTCCATGAGATTCCGTAAGTGGAAAATTTTACCATAAGTTCCCAATCATAAAAACAGGATTTAAAAAATCAAAAGCCTTCACTTGTACAAAGGCATGAAAATGGAATAAATTCAACAGATGAATTTACCTTTCATTTAAAAGAAGAAAAAAGGAACAATTTCATTAATCCTTTTTTTATTTAATAAATCTCATTTTCTCGAGAAATGAGATGGAGAGAAATTGCCGTAAAATATAATAACGAACGGTATACAGGGAATAAATATGATATCTGAAGTAGAATGGGTGAGAAAATTATTAAAACGAGCGAAAAAGGTATATAACCTTATGATTTCATGATGCGACCTATTAAGTATGTTTTATTAAGATCCATTACTCAAAAGTTCCTAAGAGATCTTTTCGGCTGTTTTTCTTTTTCTCTCCTCATCGTCATCGTCATCATTGTTGCAGTAACCACTTTCGGTGCGGCCTCTTCTTATAATCTAAGTTGATATGAAGGAACATTAAATTGAGGTCGTTTTTTATAATATAAAAGCTCATTCCTTTTTATTACCAAGAGTCGAATGAAAACGACTTGGACATTGGTGTGAGGGGGAAAGAGAAGGAAAATGTGAATAAACGATGGTGTAATAAGTCATGTGGACTTTACATTTTCAACAACCATCAGAAAAAATAGAAGGACATATAAGCACAGAGAGTGATAAAATGTTCGCATAATAAAACGCTATTCCCACATGATATTGTGTAATGAACTCATGAAAGCGACAGGCAAATGTAAACTTGATTTCTTGCTCTTACATTTCTCTTTTTTTCTGGTTTCCTCCCCACGATTGTAGGAGCTTTGAAAGTGACGTGCATAATGAAAATAAAATGGAAGTGATTTATAAAAGCGTGTACAAAGTAACATCATGAATAAGCGTAAAATCTGTGTATGTAATGAATTTTAAGCCACATCATACAAGAAAGATAGACTAAACATATATTTTTCATTTGAAGAGTGAAGAAAAATCGCTTTTATCGTGAAATAAATTGAAAAGTGAGTGCATATAAAAAGATTTGAAGTGGAACCATAAACTATTCATCAAGCTGAGCTACGATATCAAAAAAAAGAGAAGAATTTAATAAAGGGAAAGATAAGCAGATAATTTATAATGCAACAGTAAATATTAAGGATGATAACATTTACGTGTGTCAACCATTTCTTCGGGATTAAGTCTTTGAAGATATAAACAAACGTTTTTCGTTCTCATCATAAAACATTCATAAGCCTTCAACTTATTCAACAAATCCCAGTCCGTTAGTATGATAATCAAAAGTAGTGAATATAATTCACACTACCTGCTGATAAAATGCTTTTTGGTTGTCATACTCATAGAGTATTCAAATGGAGGAAACGGTAAATGTGAAATTTCAATTCATTTTTAACCTTCCCGCTAAAAATAATTTTAAGCTTCTTTAAAAAGAAAGGGAAATAAAAAAGCTTTCGTTGAGAAGCTTGAAGTTAAGCTCTTTTTCCTGTTTTAATCATATTTTCTGTTAAGTATTTACAATATGAAAGCTTTTCCGATTCTTTCTGAATGTTTTCTGATTCTCTTTCCTTTTCTTGTTCATAAACGATCCCTTAACAATCATTCGTTAAATATCATCATCAATCATTTTGATCTCTTTGGACTGTACGTTTCCTTTTTTTTATTTACATCACCACAGGCTTCTTAATTATCCCGAAAAAGGTCGAGCAGAATCAAACGAAAGTATTTGATCGAGATAAAGTGACGTCCTTTGGAAATTCAGTGCCAGTGCCCAATTCCATAAGTGATTCTAATAAAAGTTTAAACAATTTTAAGAGTATTAAAAATACGATAAATAGCAGTAGTAGTGGTTTAGTTGATGGACTTAATTTAAATAATGCAACAAGTAATAGTTCAAATCAATTATCGGCGGGAGGTAACGAAACGGAATTGATTACGTTCTTCAGCACTACGAACTTTACTAACATCACATCGCAGGTTGGATCGATTGTTGAGATTCCTTGCACCGTACATAATCTTGGTGAAGGAACGGTAAGTAAACGAAGCTTAGTTCTGCGTTCCGGTTATTTATTTCTTTTGTAAATGGAGTTGGGACTTTGGGATCATTCAACAAGTTGCGCTTGAATTTTTTTTTTGAATTTATGATCATTTCCCAGTAGTAGTCAGAATCACAATTCATAAATTATTTACTTCTGGAAATTCAAATTGAAAGCATTTGGGAGCATTTAAATGAATTCTTCTCTCTTCTGACTTTAGTTGGTGCTAACAAAGACGTGGAAGAATTTTAAAGGCAAATACTTTGATTTCGGGTCACATACTTTTGTGTGACAACTTATCGTGGTTGTGGCACGTTCATGAACTTAAAAACCTTAAAAACCTTCAAACTATTTGAAGAGTTTTCTTTAAAAATTTCTCTTTATAATGTTAAAGTCAACTTTTCAACCTCAACGATCAAAGTTCGCTTGAAACGTCAAAAGTTTGAAGAATGTGGGAAAGTTTTTCTTTCCTTTGTCTCTTGTGGCATTTTCTACATCTTGTAAAATTAACGTTTGAAAGATAAAACTTGAACACTTTCTTGAGTTTTCCCAATAGTAAACCATTCATTCATTCACTTCCAGATATTTCATAACTATCAAGATTTTCAATAATTTTTTCAAGAGAAAAGCAACAGATTTTCTGATGAAATATCTTAAGCAACATTTCCAATTAAATTAATGAAATTAATTGCTTCATCCCAAAGCAATCTCTCGCTTCGAATAATTTAGTTAAAAGCTTCATAAGCTGTTGCTTAGCATTTAGTTTAATTGGCTTCTGGGATGACAGCATCCATTAGTTTGCAAAGATTGAAGGTGACACTTAAATGCCTTTAATACTCGATTGCTTTCTATATAAAAGCTCCCACACTAATTCAGTGAAAAGTTCATTTTACAAAAAGCTTTAATTACTTAAACCCAAAACTTAGGAACTTATTATCATCTTTAATCACTTCAGCATCATTCCCTAGACTCGAAATATTCTTCGATGGGATTATAAGACCTTTTACATCCCTTTAATCAATCCAAACAATACTTCTTGGTGGCACACTTGTCCCTTTTATGCTCTTTTGGATTTAGGACAACTCGACTGTTAATAAAACTTTCTCACTCCACTTCAATGAATTTTTTTGTCTCAATAAAATTTTTTCATCTCTCCATCGAAGTAATTTTACGCAATATGATTAAAAGCAATATAAAATATTTATCTCTGTCTGTGTAATGACCTTTTTTGAAATTTAATCTAGAATATTATCAAAATATATTCGCTTCAATCTGTGAGATGAGAAAAAAAGGAATTAAAAAGGAAATTCCATTGAAAATCAATGAATTAATGAATTTTTGTCTGCCCAATTTAAGAACCCTTTCTTCTTACTCGTTTTGAGTTGAGTGAATTGAGAAACAGCAAAAATAATTGAAGCCAATAAAATAAAACCGATTTGAAATGATTTCTAAGCGTCCCTTTTCTCTTTCTTTCTTTCTCTTTTTCTTTTTTGTTTCCCGACACTTAAGGTATCATGGATTCGAAAAAAGGACTATCACCTATTGACAGTTGGGTTAACAACATACAGCAGTGATGAAAGGTTTAGTGCTTTGCATTTAGACGAATCTGAGGTAATTTTAATTCCATCAGTCCTCGCCGATGGCTGAAATGACAGGAAAAGTTTTTCGATTTTATAAAATTACTTTCCTTGATTATCTTGCCTTTCGGTTAAACTTTTTTTTTTTTTTGATACACCTTTTGTTGGCCAATGTCGATGGTAAAGGTTCCAATATTAAATCTGCTTTAAGGCTTTAGTGACGTGGAAGATTTTAACTTGTTCATTTTCATTTACCTTCGACATGCTTCATCCATAACTCGTCATCAATTTTCTCATTTCTTCTTCTATCTTCTCTTTCTTTTTAAGGACTGGCCATTAAAAATAAAATACGTTCAGCTTCGAGACGCAGGAATCTACGAATGCCAGGTGCGATAACGAAGCTTTAATTCGAATAAATGGGGAAAAATTGTTTCACAATAATTGAATTTTTATATATTTTTCGTTTCTTTCATTTTATTGTTGTTGTTTCGTTCCAATTATAGGTGACGAAACATCCTCCGATATCAATTTTTGTTCGACTGAATGTTGTTGGTGAGAATAAAATTTCTGTCTTGTACTTGTAATGATTGTCGGATTCCAATGATCTAATTTAGCATTCTATACAGCGCATGGAACCTTTCTCTTGTTATTTTTTTCATCCCTCATGTTAACGAAGTTTTATTTGTTTCTTTCTTTTATTCTTTTTTTCTTTTCGGACAACAGAAGCGAGAGCGGAAATTAGTGGACCGTCGGAAAAATATTTGAAGCCAGGCTCGGTGCTACGATTGACGTGTCGGGTAGTAGAAAACATCGAGAATCCATTGTACATTTTCTGGTATCACAATAATCGAATGATAAATTACGACTCACATCGTGGGGTTAATGTGTCCACTGAACCAGGTCTGACGATTTTCCAATTCCTAGATAAAAGAAAAACAAGCGTGATTGGGTTGGGTGAACTTTTAGGGTCATAAAGATAACTTTTCCTTGGGGATTGATAGGTTGAAGAGATTTTATAAAATTTTCCGGGTTTATTTCCAAATATGTCCTAAAGAAACTAAAAAGAAACAACAAAAGAATAACTTGCCAATCTTGACTAACCCATTTAAACTTCAAAACTTCTTCTTATCTTTAATGGTAAGAGAAAATGATAAGTTTTCCATCTAAAATATCTTGTTTGTCTAGACTTTTACTTTATCTATGATAATTTCACATATCACATCAAACAGGGATTTAACCTTTCTCAAATAAATATCTGCCATACTAACATTCACCATAAAAGAACAAAAATGCGGAACAAAAATGTTTTCAATTCGCAGCATGTCTAAAATGTTATTCTTTATTTTTTTTCTCCTGTGTCGTCGTATTTTTGTCAATGTCATTCCGGAAATAGATAACAGATATTCGGAGCTTCAAATATCACAGACAACAACCAGTCATTCAGGGAATTATTCCTGTGTGACTAACAATGCCGTCTCATCGTCCACTTTCGTACACATCTTTAATGGTAAGATTCGTCTCATCTTTACGACCAAAGTTTGGTATGATTGCATATTAATTGTTTATTTATTTTATTGTTCTTCCCTTCCATGCAACTCAAGGCGAGAATCCTGCCGAGTTATTGAGAGATTACGGATCCACCATAAGCCCATCACCGAACATAATGTTATCTTTATTGTTAACTATAGTGACATATCAAATCTTTTGTTTATGTGCTCTATAAGGGAAACGAACGACATCCAGCCACTACACAAATCATATGAGAAGGAGAAGAAGGGAGGGGATGGAGAGAGGGAAATTGTTTGTTAAAGCATAGATCCGATCATTAAATAATTTATTACTTTGTTTTTTGAGTGGTGTAATAAAAATGAGACAGAAAATAACAACACACAGAGAACATACACGAAACGGAACCTTTAAGTATCCCATCATGTTGTCAAGATCGAGCATCCATTTATGGTGTTTAATAGTGCGTTGCGACGCAGTTCGAATCTTTTTATAGCTCATGGAAATCATGGAAATTTTCTCTTCTCTTCTGAAGGCTATGAATGGCATTTTTCATTGACAAGATTTTCAGACACTTGACACTTGACACCTGACATCGTTTCATGTTGTTTAATCTGAAATGAAATGAAAGAATTTTTTGCCTGCTTTATTTTATATTACAATTTGCCAATCACATAAATTTCGTGATGGAGCTATAAGAGTATTACATTAATCACAAATTTATTCTTGTTATCAATGTCAGCATGTAATGTTTAATACTAAACTTTATAAATGAAATATTAATAAAACTATTTTAAAAGATTTGTTTTGATGTGATACTCGAATAGTCTCTGAATAAGAAAAACATTCTTTGTTGAGAATAAAAGAATCAACTTTGTAAATAACTCACTGGTATAAATAGGCTATTGTAATAAAGAAGAAACCAATAATAAAAACATGTATTAAATGATCATTAATTAAACATCGCTGTGATTCCCAACTCATTGAAAGAACTTTCTCCAAAACCATATTCAATGCTCAATCAATCTTGATTAGTTTCTTTCCTTCTCTTACTTACTCTGCAACATGTATAAATATCTATCTAGATATCTCTTACATATTGCTGATAATGGATGAGATAAAAAGAAAACATTCTTTGATGTCTTTTAAGAGAACACTCGCCAGGAAAGCTGGACGGGATTTCAACTAAGAGAAAAATTTATTGAGACGATGAGAGGAAAAGGAAACGAATGAATTCTTCCACCTTCAGTTTTTCCCACAAACCTTATAGAAATTAAATACATATTTGCTGTGAAAAATCACCACCAATTCTCGTTCAAGTAAAAGAAATAAAATAAGAGGCGTGGTGCGAGGACGAAAGACGGAAAACTCAATTTTTTTTTCAAGGCTTCCGTTTCCAAAATGGACCGAAATTTTTCATCATACCGAAGTATTAATGGTTTTGGTTATCATGATTACATTGCATAACTTCGAAGAGAAAACGGAAGCGAATTGTGTGAAAAAAATAACAAGAAGGAAGAAAAACTGAATTTAAATTTTAGCACATTTGCCATTTTACAGTTCGCCGGGGGCATTGAAGGAAAAATATTTTTGAAACAAATTTAAAACTTCCACTCCCACTCAGAATACTGATGAAAAACAGAAAAGTAGAAAATAACTTTCCACCGATGATTTATCATTCTTTCTCTTCTTCCATCTCCATATCCGCTATCTTTGTTAAGTTCTTACAACAAGATAATGCAAACAGCATCTTTATGCTTACATTTTAAATACAAACTAAGGAGTAGCTTCGCCTGAGGTGGATTCACCACTTATAAACTAAAGCAACAATAGAAACACTTCAAAAGTAGCAACAATATCGTCTTTGAATCTTTGAATTGGGGCTTCCTATTCCCATTCCTTGCTTAACAACGGAGGCTTTCCTGCTGTTTTCGTATTTTTTTCCTTTTCCTTATTTATGGCGAACTTCCCATGGTTGGCATATTTATTTTTTATTCTTTCCAATTCATGCAAATAAATTTGAATTGATAGCAAAGTACAAACACTGTTCTCTCATGAGGAAGAATGGAAGTTTATATTTCAGATTTATTGAATAAAATTTTCTTTTTATTATCATTTCTGGTTATTTCTGGTAAACTTCAATCAGCATAAAAATGATATGAAGAGTGAAAAAGGGACAACGACATGCATGTGTGTAGATAAGAATGCTTTGACTTCAATTTGAACAGACCACAATAACATCTGGCAGCATTTTGTTTGGAAGCTTCCAATCATGATCTCGTTAGCACAACAAAATGCCTTCGAGTCTCTTTCTGAACATGCCCAAGAGTTCATTATTTCCGAAGATCTCGGCTCGTTAGGCGTTTGAGAGACATGAATGATAATTGAACTCTACAACACGTTCGAGAGCTGTGGAAAGGCGCAGAGCAACTTTCAATTCAAGCGAGAGGGTCAACTTTTGTATTCTTGAGATCGTCATGTGCTTATGTTGTGAATTCAACAAAGCTTCAAATAGATTCTGCAGGAAAAGCTAGAGCAATAAAATACTTAACGATTCTGAATAATCAGGAAGAATATTTTAAAGCAGAGCGTGGTGTTTGTTATTGATTCTCGATTCGAAATATTCCTTGGAAAATTCATTCTTAAATGACAATTCCAATCTCTGCTTTCAAGAGATGAATTTTCTACTTGTGAGGTTTCATCTTTCTTTTATGCTTTTTATAATCTTTGCTTGACTGCTAAACAGCATTGCATTATGCAATAAATTGCATTGAAAGCAGTTTTATTCGTTCTCATTTATTTCGAGGCAAAAAAAGGGAAATAATTATTCACTTTCAGTGATAAAATGTACAAATATTTAAATACGTTTCGGGAAGCAAAGAATTTTTTTCTTTGCAAGTCAAACATTAAACTTTTAATTAATTCCCGTGAAAAGCTTTTATTTTTTAATTTTTACTTTCTTTAATCTACTGAAAGAAGAACTTTTTCTTTAAAAAAAGTAAAATTCTTGGCTAATCATCTTTTTGTTGTTTTGTTGTGTAATCTACGTCAGTAGGAAAAGTTTTGTTTGCTCATTTCTTAGCTTATAGTGAACTTCATTAAGTACTTGACTTCAGATTTGGAATAACATCAAAACAAAAAGAAGATTGCAAAATGTTCCCTTTTCTTCTGTTTCTTTTTAACTTTTTAATTAGCAAGAATTGGTTGCGCCAACTTTAAACCCAGAATGCAGTAAAAAAGTACAACAGACGTGAAATGAGCTGGAAAAATTGTGAAAATTTTTCACCACAAATGAAATTTGTAAGCGAGGTCGGTAAACCGAGAATAGAAAGTTAAAAGAGAACTTAATATAATTCAAGATATCGTGCGAGTTCTAACATACAACATAATGTAGTAGAAATGGAAGAAGAAAGGTGACATAAAGCTCAGCATTTCATTTCCTTTCGCTATTTTTAAGCATCTGTTGTGTTTAACCATGCATGAAATTAAATTTTTATGATGAAATTTTACGTTGACATCGCGCCCTATTGCGCAAACTTGAATAAGAGTTTTGCATGAGACTCAGTCGGAAAAAGTCGAAAATTTCCTCATTTTACAAACAAATTGAGTTCATCAAAGAAAATTGTTTCGGGGAGGAGAAATAGGCTTTTCCGGGGTTTTACAGATTATTTCGAAGTGCGAGAATTGAAGCCTTTTTCCCTCTCCCTCCCCCTTTCAAAAAGCGATGACAGGATAATTTGACTTATGTAAAATTGAAATGAAATTGAAATCCATCATCGAAAATTTGAATTGAATCCCAAATAACTATGAATAGGAAGGAACTTGAAGCTAAATCATAATAAAGAATAAAAAACATTTCTTTGGAGAGAAGGAACTTAAGATCGGTCGTAGAAATGAATGAGGAAAGCTTTAATAAAACCCAGAACTGAATTCAACTCAATAGACCGAAAAGATTTTCTTCTTTGTCTTTTCCTAAGATTCGACTCGTGTTTATTATGTGAATGATGTTTATTTCCGCAGAAATAGTTTGCCTCGAGCAACCCAAACAATTCCCTCCTTTGAATTTATATGCTTTCACTTTATTTTTCATCATTTTTGTTTTCTCTTTCATTCATTTTCGTCGTTACCATCCGCAAAAGCTTCACAAAGAGATCGCATTGATAAGAGATAATGAAATCACTGAGAACTTGTACAGAGAAACCATTTGTGATGGGCGGAAAAATGTCATGAAACTGGAGAATCGACTCGATGTCATCACCAAACGATGTGGCAGTGTGATGGCTGAGAATGCTAAATTAAGGGAAGTCATTGATCACATGTTGAAGGAAAGGTGAATAAAACTTTCTTTCCCTTTGAATTCCCTTAAACTGCACGATGAAAATATCTTAAAGGTCGAGCTTTAATGTGATGTGGCAAAGAATGATCAATAAATTGAATTGTGAGAAGCGTCACATCATGGATTTAGTAGAACAAGCAACCAGCGCATTCGATCAAAGAGAAGAGCTTTGTACGAAGCTACAAACACTCAAGGAACGAGGTCAGAGTGACAAAACTAATCACATTCATGAGATGAAAGAACTTCAACGGAAATTGGATCACGATGCGAAACTTCAGGAATTCTTGGCCATCAAAGGCCAGCAAAGGTTGAATACAGAACAGCAAGAGCGTGAAGCCGATAAGCGAAGGAAGAAATTAGAAGAAATGGAACGTCAGTTTATGGAATACGATAAGATTTTCCAGCGGATTATTGTAAGCATCTCGAATTACCTACTGGGAGGCTTAACGAAATCTTTTTTTCTCTCTTTCATGAACATGACCACAATTCACGCTTCTCAATCAACAACAACATTCGACATCATAAAAGCTTCTTTCGGGTGAAAAAGAAACCGACAAAATCATTTCAAAGTTCATTAAAGAGGAAGAAGAGAATTACGCGCTCTTCAATTACGTCAACGAGTTGAGTCACGAAATCGAACAATTGAACGAGACCGTGCAACAGTTGCAAGATAGCATCGGTAATTAAATTTAATTATTTTGGAATCCACGAATGTTCTCAGCTATCTTTAAAGTTCTTTCGTTTTTCTAACGAACTTCATCCATGTGCGGATTTCATTTCACTTTAATTTTCCATCCACAGATGAACAGAAAGAAATCAGGGAAATGAAGAAAAACTCACAGGATGACAACATTGAACTGTTGAAAGAAGAAGCATTGAAACAAAAGCAATCTGCTGACGAAGCGAGTGATTACAAGAACGAATGTGAAGCGACATTGCTTGAGATATTGAAAGCAGTCGAAAGACTTTACAAGTAATTTGATTCTTCAACCACATTTCATTTCTTGCTTTCTTTTTATTTTATTTTTGTGTGTTGTTCTCGTTTGCCAACACAACACCGACTCCAGGCTCACTTGTCAAATGTTTAATGAAACGGAATTGAATTTGTCATTCTCCTTCTACTCTAATCTTTCACACAGCAGACGTTACTCCAGTTTTTTTCTATGCGAGCTATGAAAATTCAAGAAGGAAGTGAAAGCTGATATGTGTGAAGAGCTCAAAGACGGTCTAAGTGAATATTCATTCGCTTGATTTCGTTTTTCATTCAAAAGTTAAAGAGGGAAAAGTTTCAACATTTGTCACACTTTTCAAAGCCTTTTATTCGAGTTTCATTATCTGAAATGATTTCTTAAAACGTGGAAAATCGACGTCATTTGTGGAACGTTTTTTGACGTCAATTTATCAAACAGAACAATTTCATTATTTCTCTTAAAAAGTCGAGAGTTTTCACGTCACAACAGTCGCATCGAGAATAGATTAAGTAAAATTGAATCAAATTTCCACAATTTCCCTTTCACAAAGCACGTCGCGAAGCATAAAAGGCAATTTTTCTTCATGATTTATGCTTTTTTATTTGCCACTTTTCCGTAATTTGATTGCATCAAGATTTCATAAATTCCTGAAAATAGCTCCGTGCTTTAAATAAGATGCAGGTGAAGTCAAATTGAAGTGAGAGATGATTTAACCTGTGGCGAGGTTGAATATTAAAAACGTTCTGAAATTGAAACCCAAATCGATTTTTTTTGTGCTGCTTTCTCAACCTTATTTTATATTTATAGCACATTGGTTCGTTCTGACATCTTTATTTTCATTTCCTTAATTTACTTTTCTTCTTGCATAAGTAATAAACTAAATAAAAGTTGATATAGAAGTCAAATTTCTCATTCGTGAGAATCTCCCTTCACAACGAAGCAGCATTTGCTGCTGCTTTAAGATGAAAAATATTTTTAGTTGTGGTGCTTCGCTTTTTCGTTTCCCTTTTTATCCTCTCGTCTTACTCGCCCTTGCATGAAAGCAAGAAGAATCGTTTTTCAAATAAGTCGAGCATGAAATCGCTTTGCTGTGAATTCTTCTTCTTCGCCTACGAATTATATATCTAAAGTCTCGAAAGGAAAGCAAAAAATATTGATTAAAATCGCTTTGGGTTTGAAACTATCTCCAAGAAAATGAAAATTCTGTTTTTAAGATACATTTATGAGATGAAGGAATTTGATTTTCATTTCATTCAGCAATGTATTATCTAAATCACTGCAATACGGAAACCAGTTGGAAATGAAATGATCAAAGCTTTGTAACTTTTGTTATGTAAATTAAACTTTAAATAAATCGAATGAAATTCTTTCCAAGACAACTTGATCTCTAACTTTGATATTCTAGATTAAGAAAGAAAAAGTTTTCACCATTCCAAATCAAACAAATCGTTTATTCGAAACTCCCAAATGTTACAACTAACAAACAAGAATCAAATAAGCAAGCAAGCGAAAGAATGAAAATATGCTGAAGGCAGTTCATTTCTGATGTGGTTGTTATAGTTTTCTATATCATGTATCTAAGAATATTTTCCATCTAAATGAAACTTCTTTAAACTTTTAAGAAGAAGAAAAAATCTTTTCATTTTACTCAAGCATAGAAACATTTCATAGCTAATGTTGTTGTACATTAGTGAACTTAATAATATAAAATATGCAGAGGAATCATTTTTATTAAAAATTATATGAATATAGAAAGATAGTTGCTGCTGTGATAAGTATTTTCCTTCTTTTTTAATATACCTCTAAATGCTTCTCCCCATTCTGTTTTTCATTTTTGATACAGTATAAAAATATTTATAGCACTCCGTTATCGTCGACAGTTAATGAGAAATAGCTTCATGAATTCTTCTGATGTTAAATAAGACGAAAGATGAAGGGAGAAAACACCCAAGCGACTTTCTTATCCTTGTGCAATGAAGAATTGCCATCGAACGTGATCTCATTTAGGTCAGCTTCCGATTTGAATATTCTTTTACATACTTAAAGACAAACATGACAAACATAATAAAAGGTTTCTATTTTTTTATTTTATTTTCTCTCCCCTCTGTTTTAAATGTGATGAATGTGAATGAACGTTGATGATGGGAAATAAAATAGAAGGGCGGATATAAGAAAAGTTGATGCTTTAAATTACCCACAAAATGTTTGTCGTTAGTCCTTTGGACACCTTTCAGGGTCAAAAGAAATCTGCAAGTATGATAAATCGTATCAGTTCTCTAAGGAATATCTAGGACAATGCTTTTCCCTAACATTATTAATCAAAAGCTTCCCTCCGCCTAAACATTGCTCACCTTTAAATAGGAATTTTCTTTAGAATTTCAACTTTTGTCTTTGTTGCAAGGTCTCGTGAGAGTGTGTGTGTATGCGTAGGAGTCGGAGATGAGTAAAACAAAAAAGAAGATAGAACAGTAAAGCAAGAAAATTACCATATTCACCCTCCACATGAGTGCTTAAGCATTAAGACCACACTGTATAGGTTTTATCTATCTGAAGACAAATTACGCTCTCATGTCTATGACGACGTGAATTTTCTCCCCGAGAACAATCACGAAATAAATTTCCTTTCCACATCTTTTGTTTCTCTTTGTCGTCTCTCCCACACCTATCGTAACAGGAAGAACAAAAAGAAATCTTCTTCGGGAGTATGTGAAGTCTTATCTGTGTATCTTTGTGATTATTTTGCATATAGACAAACTCAAGAGACGAGATGAGAACGATGCGAACAACAATATCATAAAAAAAAGTTGGTAAGCCATGATGTGATAGAGGGAAATTTCATTCTTTTCTCTCTCTCCTGTGATATGAATGATGAGAAGGAAGAATTTGTTTCTTTGGCTGCTCTGTGTGTGAATAAAAGTTTAATCTGCATTATCATCATCATCATCATCGCTGGAAGTTGAAAAGACCGTAGCAAAGGTTTTTTTCAGTTTCCTTTCTATTGTTGATGCACATGAAGTGGAACTGTTGTTATATGTGGAGCATGTCGATTATAAATAATATGCACATGATGATGCAGAAATTAAGTCAACAATGGACTAATAATTTTGGATTCCCTTCATTCATTCATTCATCTCTCTTTTTTCCCTTCTTTTTGTGTCATTGTTGATAGGGAAATTTCAAAGAGAACAAAGGATTGAAATTTCCACTTGTTTATCATCGAGATGGTCTCGTGTGTTTATTTTAAAATGTATCATAACAACTCTTCTATGAATATCAAACCTTTTCATTGTTATGTACATGAGAAGGGAAAATATTTAACGACTTTCATTTGAGTGACGTTATGAGATTACATTACAAAGTGAATATCAAGCTTTTAGAAGAATTAAAGGTGCATCCATAGAGAGCAATTAGCATACATCAATTATACTTAATGACATTCTACTATGTGCCTTTTGTCTCTCTTTCTATCTATCTTTCTCCCTCCTTCTCTTCCTACATTTATTCTGCTTTCGTTTCGAGTTCGACAAACGTCACATGCTTCATCATGATGAATATTCCAGAAGGTAATCCTTTTCACATCAATTCCTAAAATGAATATCTCTGGGATTCATTTGTGATATGGAGTTAAGCTGAAACGAGAAATGTGTCGCACTTTTTTTTTCTCTTCTAACAAGCGACATGGTTAAATTTAGTTTTTCTACTATTTTATCCACCCAAACCTGAAACTTTTGGAATGAAATGAGTCGGAGTAAATTATTGAACGTCTGTGTCTTTAAATTAAATGAAGAACATGAAAAAATAATTTAAACTCATCAGTTTATTAAAATGAGATATGTTCGAGAAACTTTTGTTGAATGTAAAATGTTTCTACGAACCACGAATGATTTCTCGTAGCATCACAAAGAAAATTTCTGTCACGCTAAAATGATTCGTTCAAAGGAAAAACTCATCAAATATGCTTGCAACAACGTAATAAAAACTTTTCATTGTTTTTAATGGGAAATTTTTATCATCAAATTTTCATGTCATAGCATCAATTAAAATCTTAACTTTTTCTCTTTTTTTTGTCGACGTTAATATAAAATATTAATTATAAAACATTTGAAAAATGAAAAAGTTAGAGCATTGGGTTTTTCAATTTCCACATTAACTTTGTCTTTTTTAAAAAAGAACTTTGGTGAAAACCTTTCATGTTGCAGAGAGGACATGAAATCATTGGATGAAAGATTAAAAACAGCTATGAGGAACTATGGAAATTTAAGCCATTCACATTGTCGCCCTTATCGTTTGAACGAATTCATATCGCGTCACTGAAAAAGTGACTTACATTCAAATTTCGTAAATGTGTGCATGCTAAGCCACCTCACAATGACAACAACGAAATGAAATTCACCCATCGCATCTCTAAATACGAAAAGTTTGACTCAACTCTAATTACATATCTAACAGAATGACATTTTGTTGTTCTCTTTTTGATGAATTTAATGAAAAATTGAACTCTGATCATAAATTATAAGAAAAGTCATGCACAATTTTCTCTGTCAATCTCAAAATGTAATTTTATTATTTTGAAATAAATTTGCATCGAATGTCGAATTTGATAGAACAAATAAATATGATTTCTGTACCACGAAACTAATAAATCTTTATATACTAGTTTGACAGAAAGCCTGATATTGGTTTGAACAATTGCTTGAACATTTATCTGAAGCTGATAAAATAAAAATGTGGTGTGGGAGTTTGGAAAAATATTCAAAATTTGGTTGATGATTTAAATATTAACAGAGGCGGAAATATCTACAAAAATCAATGTGTTTAATGAGACATTGCGTGGGAGTAATTATCGATTCATTTGATATTTATTATGGTGCATAATTAACCGAGAGCTTCTGGTATTTTAATGTAAATCAGTTCAATAGAACAAAAACCGAATAGCAACCAAAATTGACATAATAAAATTAAATATTCATCAAATTCAGCTATATCTTCATCAACAATACTTTTCCCATTTTCCATACTTAACTTTTTGTTCAACGAGTGGAAATGAAAAAGTAGTTAAATTATTAAAGTCACGCTTACCATCTAAAACAACAAGTTTTTTTGTGTTATTGCCAACTTTTCTGAAATGAGATTGCGCCAAATAGAAAGATAAGACTAAAGACTTCTCAACATTTAATATTCATTCACTTCACTCAAAAACCAAGACCAAAACAATCTCAGCTTGAAGATATTAGCAGCTGATTATTGGCAGCAATTTAATTTTTCCTTTTTTTCTGTATCTCTTCAACCGCCCCTTAATTTTCTTGAGTAAAGAAAGTGAATGTCACGAAAAAGAGTTTCCGATTTTCATGTTTAATGTTATCATAACAATAAAATTTAATATATTCGCCTGGTGGGAAGTTTCCGTTCCGTCTTCCTTTCCCTGAGAATTTCCTAGCGCTTCTCACCATGTTTTATATGTCACTCGCAAAATTATTCTCATTTCTGACCCAAAAGAATTCTTTTTCCTTCCATCTCATCGTCTCGTTGTCGGTTGGTCTCATTCTTCTTGTTTTCGTTTTAAGAAAAAGTGACTTTGCCTCTTCTGAAGTTTTTCTTCATCTTCTTCTCAGTTGTTTCTGTTTTGAAGAAAAGAGGAAACCACGAGAGAAGCACAAAAGGGAAGCAAAACATTTAATGTTGTTTTATGGTAATTTTATGGGCAAAGATGCATAATAAATATTTTTATGTGCTCCCTTAAGTTCTTCTTCTCCATGTCTTCGAATTCGATGTGAAAACCTCTCCTGATAAGAAATCTCATCCACTTTATTTCTGCAACATGAAAGAAAGTGAAATATGTTTCGTAATTTACTTCTCAGGATCAAGACGACGTCTATAAATTTAATTAACATCAGAATTAATCATGATTGAAGTGTCAGACGGAAAGAATGTCTCGAGTGAGAATCTCATCAATTTACGACTGGGACACTTTCAATTGAAAATGATTTAGAACACAAGGGCGAAGTTTTATCGGTAAGCCGTGATGCAATGTGTTGAATTGGCATTCACCATCGTCACGTAATCAAGCTGAACATTGAAAGCCTTTCAGCAAACGAGATGCTTACTCGAATGTATTCAGATTGTTAACAGACATCCCAGAATCCATTAAATAAAATTTCCGGAAATTCATTTGGAAAATGTTCGAAATGATTTTATGAAAGTTTTGTTATCGGTTAAATGTTCGAATAAATGTCATCGCAACTAAACTATCCCTCATCTGAAACGAACAAGTTTTAATATTTGTTTTCTCAGAAATTTGTTAAAACTTCTTGAATATCAATAGAATATATTTTGCTTAATTTAATTTGTGACTAGAGAATGGAATTTAACTTGTAAGATTTTTTAGATGTAAAGCAAAGAATTTGATGTTACAAAATTACCAGCTTAGTTATATGTTGCAGTTTGAAAAGACTTTTGCTACCTGCATAAATGGAAACAAGTATGAAGAATGCAGAAATCTGATTAAGTTTCTGATTTTTTCTTATTTTTGATTTAAGAATTCTTGTTACATGAATGATGAATTAATTACGTCTTAATCTTAATGAATTTAAACGTGAGTGAGCATGCTTCAACTCTTATCAAACACCAGACGTTTTGAAGACAATTAATCTATTCACTTAGAGATAATTTCAATTTTACATCTTTTTAGGGAAAATTGTAAAGTTAGTAAGCATCGCATATTCATGAATACATAATTTTCTTAAGTCTAATTCTTAGATATGACAAACACAAACATCCATCCCACAGATAACAATCGAGCAAAAGTCGAAAAGTTTTTCTTCTCCACCCCATAAATTAAATTTGCATTTCGCATTAATTTGAAATTATGCCTTCTGAAACCCAGACGTCAGTACTGAAATGAAAGAATATTATAGAAGAGAAGTATAAAATTGTTGTCTCAACTCTAAAGCAATCTTCTAGATAAACAAATTTTAGTTAAATTGAAAGCATTTGCTTTCTGAGTTTTCTTGTTTCTTTGTTAAAGCTTTTAAAAAAAGAATCTTTGAGACGTATGGTAAGTCTTTTTACTCAGAACTCTGTATTTATGATCATTTTTATGTAAATTTTATTCGTCGTCGAACGAAGAAAAAGAAGCCTTTTTAAAATCATCAATTTCGCTTTCGCCTTAGATATGAAATTTTTTATAAAAGATGGCGAGAAAAAGTCTTCCATGGCCATGGGTTTGATATAAAATTGATTAAATTGAAATTTTCTCTTTTTTTGTTTATCAAAAACTCAGAATGATTTTTTTTTATGTAAGCTTCTTATTCATGTATAGTTTGATATCAGGCTACTTTGATAAACAAATTAATTAATTATGAACATTATAGTCCCTTTCATTGGATACCATAAGCAAAAATAAACCCTTCTTTTGCTTATTTGTTTTGCTGATCTCATCACTTGACCTCACTTATTAAATGTTACATATTTTCATTGAATTTAGTAGAGAAAGCGAAACGAATAGAGATGCTTAACATTCTAGCAATTTGTATATAGCAAAAAGCTGTTTCGAAGATACCAAATATTGTTCACGACTACGAAAAATTATCCAGAAATAGATATGGAGACGGTTTTTCGGTCAAAGCACGTTCCTAATGCTCACTTAAGGATCATAAAGAATCACTATCTACTCGAACACCACCCACATATGACAAACAATTACAGCAAGAAAACAATTCCAAAAAATATAAAGATATAGCGTTTCACTGCTCATAAGTAGAAACCCTGAATATTTTTCCATTAAATTTTTTGCGAGAGTCAAACGTTAAAATATTTCAAGAATTTCTGTGAATAAAACTGAAGTGGTTGTAGAAAAAAATTCAAGCGTTATTAAATTTGCTTGTCACATGGTTACGATTAATTATAAGAAAATTGTTTCATTGCGTTCTGAAGAAAGTTGTTATGTTCTCGTGATTTAATGTCATCAGAAGTGGTTTGAAGATTGCATGAAATTTTAGAAACGAGTTTTCGTATAAGAACGATTTTAATTAAGGACTGTGAGATGAAATAAAATTAATTTAAATTGAAATGTTTCTTTGATCACGCTTGCAGTATGATTTCATAAAGTCATGAAAGTAATTTAATCAGTATGAATTGAAATTAAACTCATGATTTATCTTCAGCATTTAATTAAGCATAAATAAATTCAAATTATTCACCTTATGGTGAAAACTTTTCCCGCTTAAAATTCAAATTTTCAGCTTTCGCACAGCTTCACGTGTAAATAAAAATTGAATGTTTACAAAATCTTTCTCAATAAAATTAAAGATTGTGAATGAAATCATAAGAAATATTCAGTAAAATGGATTTTTTATTAATCAGTGACTTCTTAGACGAAATTGGATGTTGCAGAATTTGCACGTTACGTTTTCTAAAGCCAAATATTGACGACTTTTTAGACGTGGAAAATTCTTTGAAAAGTGTATGAAAATAATTCAAATTGTTTACATAAAGCATTGCTAATAAATGATAAATAAACATTTTCAGAAAGTAATTCCCATCAATCAACATAGTGAACATGAATCTAAACGACTTAAAACAAATACATGTGTTGCATGTTTTAATGTTTTCAATTTTATTGATGAAATCATAATGAAAGTTAAATCAAGTGAATGGTTGAAACACTACGAAGTTAAACGTTTTGTAACTTCATATTCACTCCCAGTATCTCTTGATCTAGCTCAGCTTCAAATATGGCTTGTTCTGATAGAAAAGTTTCCGAATATGTTCGATTCAGGTGAGAATTTCAACATTNTCAACAGTGGACACCGCTGAGAGTTCTCCATCGAAGAACATTAATGCAACGCCCTCGTATGATTTATGGAGTTAAGGCGTTTGCAGTCAAAGGTAAATTTGATGATGTCACAGCGTTCATGAATAAATTTTCACATCCTTTTCGTCTTCTTCCTTGCAACAGACAAACCAAATCTCATTGTACTTGACATTGTGTCTCAAGCCGGAACGTACATCAAGGAACTGGTTCATGGAGAATTCGGACGAACAACTCCAAGCATTTCCTCATTGATCGACATGGAAATTGACATTGTGGCTTTAGATGTCATGGATATCGACCTCAATTTCCCAAAGTCATTAAACCGAACTTGAATTGTTTAAATGTAAACAGGTAAAATGTAAGTAAATCTTTTGTTATAAAAGAAGAAAAGAAAAATAAATCAAATTGCTTTGATAAAAGAAGGAAAGAAAAGAAAAACAAATGAAAATGTATTATCTTTGTACACATCTAGTTGTCCAAGACGAGCAGCTTAGCTGTTTTGTGTTATTACCAATTCTGTGTGTAATTAAAAAAATTTAAAATTCCACAACGAAACTTGCCATTGTTCTCCAATTAAGAAAGCTCGTTTGGGAAGAAAATAAAGTCCTTTGTGTCTCATCAAAAATAGACATTCACTGTCTGTGCTTTAGATAATAACAAGAGCTAACAAACTGGATTATGTACAGAAGTTGGCCTTGTTAACAATCCAACCACTGGACATGAAAATATTTGAAGCAAAAGATTACAATTAAAAAAAAAGAAGCATTTAAAAGTTGACCATGACTCAGATTTAACTTTTAACGAGAAAAACACGATAAGCATTGACTTCATGTCAATTGGCGATGTCAAAATCTTTGTGAGACAAAAGATTAAATTTTATAAAATAATTACAGTTGTTGGTAACTTCACCAACATAAATTTCTGGGTTGTGATGACAAAACATTAATTTTTCTATGCTATCAGTGAATTAATTGAAACTCCACACAGAACCAAATTTTTGTCGTGAATTATTGACATAATTTAGTCATCTCACGTTGATGTATGTTTTATCATAAAAATTTATCGAATTATCATAAGGAAACATGATAACTAATTAAATATATTTAGGACGAGAGAAAAAAGAGACGAAGCACTTAATGAATTTGAGTAGATTTTCCTTGAATATCAACGATATTTTAATCTTAGGTTTTGATGGTGATAGAAATGAAATTAATTACTCATTCGTATTTCAGATTGATATAATTAAATTATATGAACACAAAACAAACATGTCAGATAGATAAACATATAAATTAATTATTCCATTAATGTCTTAACATCATTAAGAATTTAACAACACATAATTAGTCAGAATCAAATATCAAAACCATATTCAAGTGGCTCTAAAGTTTGTTTCAACAAGATATTTAGATAATTAAATTTCAATTTGAATTGAGCGTAACTTCTAGAACTAATTTGAAACAATGAAAATCTCTCACGAAATGTTAGAATTTTATGGACAAAGAAGATTTCAGAATATTCATATTTAAATGTTACATCATGACACCACAATGGATATTTGCCCAATTGAATAGATGATTGAAAGTAATTGAAGTCAACTACAAGCGACATGGAAAATTAACTTCTTAAAAATATTTTTGTGACTTTTATTACGACAATGGTGACATAAAAATAAGTTAAGTTGAGTCAAAAGAATTGTTAAAGAAGAAAAGAAAGCATTCTGTCGAACAGATTCTTTGTTCATTGTCGTGTTCATTCAATTGCACTCAGTACGGAACTGACCTGTTATAATACAAAAATTTTACAAAAGCAGAAGGACAACAAAGGATGGAAGAGAAAATTTTCTTTTTTCCTTTAATTGAAGAAATCATCTTCGAAGATAAAGTTGAAAAATTTATTGTAAATTTTATTTTTCCTCTATATTGTTTCCTAAGGCACAGACTTGACTTTCTATCGCTTTGCTAAAGAAACTTTCGACTTAAACTTTTCGCATTAAATGTCGCAGCAAAGTTTCCATTTCGATTATGTTCTTTTTTTTCTAAGTTAAGTGACTTTTTATGACTGCTGTGAACAAAGTGGGAAGGTGGAGAGGGTGGCAACATAATAAAAAATAATCACGAAAGAAAACAATGCGGCCAAAGAGCATTGTGTGTATGAAAAAGTTTCTTCATGGTTTTTGTATCTAAATCATAAGACTAAGACAGAAATTAATTTATTTTTTAACTTCTTTTGTTTGGAAAAGTCTCAGAAAGTCCAAAGAAGTTTATAATTTCTTCCTGTTTCGAGATCTTTTAGAATTTCTGTGAAGGGGAACAATTTTTTGTGATTCCTTTCACTAAGGCCGGAAAAGCTTTTCATGAAGTTTTCTTTTCGCTTTAAATTTAGTTTGTGTTTGTCACTAACATTTCTGACCTTTGATAATTTTATTTGTGTTTGATAAAACCTTAAAAGAATTACTTTTGAAATAACATTTAAAGCTTTCATCCTAAAAAAGTTTTTGTGACATTTCGAAAAATAATTTTTCTAAATATTTTCAAAATCAAAATTGGCTTCATTCTCGTCATCTTCAAGGAAAAACAAAAATATTCAAATTCTAATGAATTCTAAACATAATTTGATATCTATCAAAGCTATTTAAATCACTTCTGAATAAATTCACGATAACAACATGCAATAAAATTTTTGAATCAATAAACAGATTTATGAATACGATTTGTGAGGCGAGAATTTTTTTTATCATACTTGAATAATGATGAGGATGAATAAGCTCCAGATTAATGTTGATTGCTATCTTAAGTGAAGTCTAAAGAAAAATCAGCCATTTGTGTTCAACAGCGAACAAAAAAACACCACAAAGTTAAGTCGAGATAATGCAGCAATTTATTCCGTCCCGATTCACTAAAGAAAAAAGGAATAAATTGGTGCAAAAATTATTTTTGGGTTTATATCTAAGTAATTAAGTTGATATTAAGAAGATTTACATTATTCTGGGCTCGATATCCGACTGTTTTTTGTAGCTGCTATCGATTTGACTTTTAATTTATTCGTTCATGACTCGTTGTTCGGATTCCTTCCAAACGGAAAATGTTGCGAGGCCAGAAAACAAGAGAAAATAAAAATATATTATAATTTTTGCTATCTTATCGCGTTAATGAGTGGAATGAACTCGAATAAATTAAGTTACACAGTAAAACACTTAAAAGTTATAAATTATAGGAAAGCATTCGAGACGATAATTTACTGGCCTTGAAGCATTTGCTTTACTGGCACTTTACAACCTCATTACAACATTTATAACAGCCGCGATCTTCATTTTAATTAAGTGTTACTTGAAAATACTTATTTCACCCTCCTAACTCTCCTTAAGCTTTCACAAAATCACGTTGTTTCTGTGTTGTATTTGCGTAAAGTGTCTCGTAATAAATTTTAATTTTCACCATTCACAGCATCGTAAAAGCTTTTTCAGTTAATTAAAATTCAAATCACAATCGATGCGAAAATTTAACACGCAACACTTTCATTTCATCGTTTCTATCAAGCGAAAAAGTGAGAAGAAATATTTTCAGAATTTTAAATCACATCAATTATTCAAATTGAATGTTTGTTCAAGACTTTTCGCATTCTGATAATTGATTTTCTTATGGCGCGACGACAGCAAGCTCTGTTTGATCAGTATTCAGCATATTTAAGCGATTTGAGAGAATGAAAGCAAGCAAGCAGAGTTGTACATGCAGAGTGGAAAGCTCAATTGAGTTATTTCCAATAAAATTTCCGTCTATTGAGGTTTTTGTAACTTTTCGAACACAATGACATGAGAAATCTGCTTTAGGATGTTGAAGAAATATGGAAGAATCTTAATTCGAAGTCAAATGTATGAAGTACGAGCAACATGGAAGAAGTTTATTGAATTAAAGTCAGCTGAATATGAAACGAGAGAAAATTTTATTCTAGCAACATGCTTGCAACATAAAATATCTTCCGATGCTTTTTATATGCTCGAATGAACTTTATATCGATTACAACACATGTTTCATACGATCCTTCTATGTTGCGCAAACAAGAGTAAGAATAAAAGGAAAGAAGAATACAATGTGCAGCGTTTAAAGTATTTAAAGTCAATAAGAAAGATATTTGATCTTCTGCTTTCCGATTAAACGGTTTTCGATAAAAATTTGCTCGAATAAGAACGGATGAAACGATGAATTTGTCGGCATCATAAAATATACTTTTTACGTTCAAATATATTTGTGGAAGCATTGTGGCGGAGATTTTAGATAATCAAATTACTTCTGAAAGCTCAAAAATGATTTGAGTGGAAGTTGAACATGAGAATGTATCATAAGAAACCTATGTAAGCAACATAAATTATTAAAAAAGATTTTCAAGAAATGCCAGATATGAATAGTGTAGCAATGTACATTGAGTGATTATGTTTGAATAAATATTTGATTTTTAAATTTGCTGACATTTTTATTTCTACAAGAAAGATTTTTCGAAAAGGGTTGAAATAACATTAAGTTTTTTTATGCTACATAATGTATGGCCTTCAGAAATAAAAATGTACGAGCATAACAGAAATATCACAACATATTAAAGATAAGAAGCTTTGCTATATATTCAATCAAATTTATTTTTAAACATTCTGATAAAAAGAAGAACGACGATGCGCATCAAGAGAAATGTTGAGAAACCCTTCACAAATAATTACAAGTTAAAGCTCAACAAGAAATTCAATTTAATAAGTAGATAACAAACAAGGTTATCAAAACATTATAAATTTAAAAGTGAAAAGTTCTTAAAATACATTGACATTGAATAATGGCTTTAAATCGATTGACATTGGAACGGAATAACAAAATGATGATGGAAAATAAGAGGAAAATCTTCCACCCCTTACATTCAAGAATAATTGAATTCTTTGCTGTGAGATAAAAATGCGGCCTTAAGGCTAGGATAAATACGAAAAATTTTCAGCTAAATGACATTTGTAGACATGAAGCGCGCATATCGTAAAGACGTATTTATGAGAGAATTTTCTTCTTATTGATTTTCCCAGGGGATTTCGGCTTTCAACAGCATCTTAGCTTTTTCCCTTTTATTTTGCCTCCATGAATCTCATTGATCAGATATTTCCATTTTCATCGTAAGCGAGCATGCTTGGGTGATATCAAACGTAAATATTTGGATAATCATAAATCTGGTGAATACGAAGAAAGAGTACGAAGGATTCATTCATCAGAAAATTGAATTTATTTTATGGTTTTATGCTTCACACGTCTCAGAGGGAGTGTAAGTATGAACTGTGGAAGTTTTCTACATTATTGGATGTGATCCAAATTCGTGTCGCTCCCTGCGACGACTTCCGGACCCCAAAGCGATTAATAGCTTAAGTTATAATTCAATGTCTCTATCACCAAACAATTATCGGATGCTAAGAAAGAAAGAAAGAAAGAAAGAACGAAGGAAAAAGAAAAGAAAAGTTTTCTGCACCATCAGGCACAACTTCACCACATCCAAATTTCACAAGTTGAGCATTTAAAGCAGTTAGACATGCCATGCCACCTCTTAACTCCCTCGTGTTCGCATTCTCAATCACCTAGAACTCTTCGAATAAAGTTTAATTCAACGACTATTGAGTCAATAATCTTACTCAATTCTCGACACGTGTGTAAGTCTTTTTCTATCTTGGGGCGATATTTATACATATAATGAAATGAAGAATGCTGTACTTATTCTAATAAAGTAGAGACGTGAAACATGCTGTCGATGTGAATCAAAGAAAGAAAATAAAACGACGGAGCCTACCTAGAGAAACTTTTTTTTGTACTTTTTCGTTCTTCCTTTTATCGCTGTGACTTCCGAAAAGGAAAATTATATAATGAACAGGAAAAACTTCCGGCAGAAATAATTCGCTTTCTTTTTTCTTCGCAAAGATGGAAACGAGGAATGAGAAATGTTGAAATGTGATCAAAGACAATCGTGGGAAGAAAGTTGGAAAGGAATAAGAACGAAGTAAAGCATCTTGTAAATATTCATTTTCCTCGGTTCTTCGTCCCATTTCACGAATAAACTGATTTTTGAAACGGAAATTTGATTTCAAATCAACTCGACTCTTACTTTTCTTCCTGCACTTCAGCTTACACATGGCTACAAGCATTATAAGTTAAATATTTTTTTTCTTTTGTCTTTCATACAAATTGGATGAGTTGGCCAGTGAAGAGTTTTGAGTCTTTAATGTTTGAGAGAAACCAGAAGGCAACAAAGCCATGAATCGCTTTTTTTGTATATTTTAAAAATATATTTACACACTTACGTAAGAGAAGGAGGGAAGCAAGCAAGCAAGCAAGCCTACGTAAAAAACGTCTCGATTTAATAAAAAGCTACAAAATGTGAAAAGCGCTGGGGAAAAAGAAAATCATATCACATACGCAGATAATATGCTTGCCGAATAAAAGGGTTGGAAATGTTTTGTTTCATCTTGTATTCATGTGAAGGTTGGTTGATGATGATTCTAAATATTTCCATGTTTACATAAAAATCATGAAACCTCATTTCTTGGTTCTTGCTTAAACATGAGATTCAATAACAAAGGATTTGAAAGTTTCCTTGAATTTTGTATTACATTTCGATAGCTTCAGTTTAATTCTAAGAAATCTATTCGAGTAAAGTTTTCAAACAAAGCTCCTCGTCAAGGTTCAACCACAATTGTAATTTCTAATTACTTAAACTAAATATATTTGTGATTCACAAATGTAAATGAAATTGCATCTTACTCGACAATACTTTGTCAACAATCATTGTAATCACAAAATAATTAAACAGAGCTAATTGAAATTGAATTCTAAAAGGTCAAAACATGATTGAAATGTTGCATGATTCATGTTTGATTTTAATCATGTTTGTCATTTTAATATGTTTTTATCTGCTCTCAGTTCTTTCAATGATTCTGATATAAATTTCATGAAGTTTTCCCTCTTGAAAATTGATAAAATAAACAGAATTTCAAAGCCCTAAATTTACCTCAATGATTCAAAAAAATGATTTTTTACTTCAGCAAGAAATTGTTACACGAAAAAGCTTTCATTTTTCATAAATAAAATGTGTGAAAAGCTTCTCATTTTATGACGGAAGATTTCTCATTTTTCATTCTTTTTTCGCACCATTGCTTTTAAAACTGAATTTATTTATGACACATTCATTTATTGCGACTCTCGGGCGTCTTATTTTGCTCATTTGAATTTGCAGAATTTTACTTCTCCCTCAATGAGAATATTTTGTTTGTCATTTCATTAGATTTGTGTGTCAACAGCGGACGAAAATGAATATTTTTTGTTATGTATTCATGACTTCAAGTCATAATTCTGTAAGGTATCGAATTGTATCCAATGAATTGAAATCTCATTTTTATTTCTTTCCTGGAAGAGATGAAAATAAGCGACATAATGTTGAATAGCAGTTATGACCAAAACTTTTCCCTTTTATACAAATATATGCGGGAAAATCTTTTTTATTATCTATCAAGGATAAAAGTTTACGAAAAGGCAAAAGTATTTCTCCATTGTCATCATCCCTTTCAACAAAAGTTCATCAACAAGGAAAACGAAAATATTAAAAGCATTCAAATAATCTGATAACTGTTCAATCAAATTAAAGTGGAAAGTAATGTGACCTTTAGAGAGTTCACCAGACCGATTGAATATTATTTAATTTCACCAACATCACGTTTTATCATGAGAACTTGAAGTTCATTATCTTTCTCGTCTATACTGTGGACGTTTAACGGAATTGTTTTTGAACAATGGAAATTGATGCCACATGACTCTCTCGGTTCTTATAATAAAAGTTTATGTAAGAGTGAACTGTTATTCTTATTGCCACAAATGAACTTGAATTACAATTGTAGAGGATGGTGTTGAGTATGAATTGAGTCCTTATAAGATTAAATTAAACATCTTGATTGTCAATGAGTAGAAGAAAGCAAGATTTTTACAATGCAAAGAACTGTCGATGTCGTAGGACGAAAATTGATTACAAAAAAGAAGAAAATCACAACAATCTATCAATTTTGTCGATAAGAGACGCTTTTTGATGGGAGCTTTTGGAAGTTTTCATTTATTTTCATTGACATTTATTTATAGAAACACTGGTGGACGTTCAGAGAAATGTTTTACTTTGTCGCCTCGCCTTCAGTATAAGATGTTGAGCGTAAATATATTTAATGAACATCACGCGCTGCGTTTAGTAGGAGAAGCGTCAAAAGCTTTGTTTTACAATCAGAAAGCAGGTTTACGAGAAGCTTCTGTCCATTAATCATGCTATGAACACGTAAAATTCCCTCAAACCAAAGAAAATAAACGAGATGAAGAGTGTGGAAGGAATAAAATGTTTGGCATGAGTAATGAAGAAATTTTGGAACCATTCAAAATATTTGATTGTGGAAAAGCATTGTGGGATTGTTGGAAAATTCTGTGATTGGGATGAATTCATGCGTTAAGTCACGAAGACTGAAGATTGCCTTAAAATAATCAAAAAAGATTTCTCTTTATTTGATTAAGTGTCAATTTATTTAATTGTATTTTAAAATTCAAAGAAACAAAGCAATAAATAACATTTCGACATTAATGTTTCCTTCCTCAAGCAACGAAGTGACATCAACAACATCTTTGTGTGTTGACAATGATAAAACAGAAAGTAGTTTACGTCACTCCATAACTCTAATAACAATACATCACCAACGGCATCATCATCATCATCGTCATGCTCTGAAATGGTAATGTCATAAATTTCATTGCAAACGAGCGAATTGTTTCCGTTGTAACGCTTTTTTAAACAGTGTTTGAACTAAAAGTGCCACGAAAGCTTTTTAAAGCTTAAGTTATTTTGGCCAATCTTCCTCGACAACAACAACTTTATTGTGCAATCAAAAACAGTCAAAAATATAAAAATCAATTCTTCAAAACCAGTTCTAATTGCTGGCTGTGCTGCATTAAATGTTTCTGTTTCATGTGAATCGTAACGAAATATCAAATAAAGTTGGACACGTTCCAAGAATTAGCGCAGATCGGATGGAATATAGAAAACACACAAAAAATAAAAATGACAGTCAGGGTATGGAAAAAAGAAGAAGAATGAATGCCTGCTTTATGCTGAACACGACCAACATACATGAACATCTAAATTATTTTATGTTCGCGTCATGAGAAATATCATTCCGAAGCGATTCTACTCGCCAGCCAAAAAGCTCGTTTGTGCTAAACGGACAAGTTATAAACTCACTGTCTGCTCTCCTACTGATAACAATTGTGCAATAAATAATTTCGTCGATGATTTATTTTTCTTTCCATTCCTTCAACGAGAAGCTTTCCAGTGCCAGCAAATTTTTCTCTCTCATTTCATCTCAAAATCGTATAAAAACTTCGCCAAAGAAGGCAAAAAAATTGAGAAACTGGAAATTAAATATTTATGAAGATATTTTTTATTTATTCAATAAATATCCTTCGAATTGTCATCATTGAAAGTCAACCTTCAAATTCTTGCGATGTTTATTTATCTTTATGACTATGAACACCTAAAACATCTGATTATACTTAATGTCACAATGTATTTTATTTACACAAACTTTTAAAATTTTATCTCGTTACATATCGTCGAGATGTTGCAACACCTCAGAAAATATTTTTTCCTTTATTTTTTCAAATGGCAACTTACTTTGTTAAATAAAGAAAGAAAAGTTAATTTTTTTAAGGAGATGTGCATATGCACGTTTACAAAAGATGTTTAATACATGATAAAATTTAATATCAAGAATAAGAAACAATTCCAAAGCATGATGGCTTGCAATGCACTACAAAGTCAAACAATCAGGAGATTAAAACCAATGATTATTTCAATGTATCCATTCGAAGTATAAAAGGGAAGGAAACATATTTAAGTTGTGATTACAATCTGCATGCAGATGAATGGAATTCCAAAAGAAAACTTTTGATCTCTGCTTCCTTTCAAAGTTTCTTGCATGAAAATATTCAAAGATTCAAGAAGGAAACTTTTTTCTTATGGTTGATATTAATGCTTGTGCAGTTTACAAAAGATCAAAACCATCTCTAGAAAGTTAGTTTTGTAATTGAATTAAAATAATAATTTTTCAATCTGTTTCGAATAAAACATAAATTACGGTGAAGAAATTAAAAGTTTAAAATAAATCTGAAAATAGAAATTGCAACTGATTAACAAACTGAATATGTTTGTTCGGAAATTATTGTGCAATAAATATAATGCAGCTGATATCATAAATATAATTTAAGTTATCCGAAATTTCATTAATATTTCGAATTCTGCAACACCTGATTGCTTCTACAATGCAATGGAAAATAAATTTATTCCAATTTGCTTGTTTTTCCGCCGACATTAAAGACGAAATCTTTGACTGCTGAACATTTTCATTCATTCAACAAAAATTTAAATATCGCTTTAAGAGAAATTATTTCATAAATTTTTGATTTCATGATCCGAATGATATCTCAAATAAAAAAAATGATATTCGTATGATCCACTTCGATGCTTTTATCTAATGAAATGAGAAATATCCATAAAACCGAATGAAATGGTTTGGATAATTTCGGCGGTCACTGTTCCTAATTCAGCTTATCTCCAAGATTTTACGTATCTACAAAAAAATCACATAAACCGAAATAATTTGATTGGGTTCGAGTGCTTTAAATCATGATAAAAATTGTTTTTCTCTCTGGAAAATGAAGAGAAAAGGAAAATTCCATAATTTTTTATTCCTTTTATTAAGCAGATATGGCGATCGGGATTCATATTGAAATGAATAAAAAAATTATTTAATCTGCTCATGTTCAGCAACGACTGATTAAAATAGTACAAAGAATTTATTTTCATCCGAAACTGTTTCTGAATGAATGAAATGATTAAAATAACAAAAGACTTTGATATGAAATTCCATTGAAAGTTTTGTATTTATTAATTTTATTGTAATTATTAAATTTCATTTCTGTTTTAAGGGAACGTTCATCAAATCTTAAATGAAATTTCAAATTATGCAATTCATCAAATATTTCTGTGACAATTCTGAGAAATTGATTTCAATAGTTATAATAGTTTAATAGAGAAGTGAATGGTTGAAATTGTAAGCTATGATAACGAAAGTGAACGTTCCCAATAAAAGTCTTACATTTTTTTCACCAAACGAGCTGGAGCGTAATCGTCCCTTGAATGAGAGAAAAAGAAGAGAAGCAGATAATTGAAAATGAAAGAAATGAATAATTGCATTAAAGAAAGTTTTTTTACAATCTCGAATAAGCTGGTTTAGCACTTGAGCGGACAAGCATGCACTTCATCGGCTGACCATCCAGTTGACGATTGTGATAAGTTTCGACAGCTTCCTCAGCATCACCAAGATTTTTGTACACAACTTCAGCAATTCCAGGTCGTACCATGTGTGCTGAAACAAGCGGTCCAACATCTTCGAAAAGCTCACAAACATCACTCTCAGTGACTGACGTGTGCAAGTTTGAAATAATAATTCGATGGCCAATCTGAGCTTGAGGCGGCGAAGTCCCGCGAACAGGAAGCTTTGCAAAGATTCCAGCTGATTCATTACGATCTCGATCATTATATAAACGAGATCGAACGCCGTCACTTGATGAGGAGAAGTAGCGATCGCTTTCGAATCGATCGTCATGCTCATCTAATTGCGATGGTCTTAAAATTGATTTGCGAGGTTCGTAAGCATCCATATGTGCACTCATTATACGACCTGGTTGAAAGCGCTCAATTCTCTCAGTACGAAGTGGTGCAACTGGAACAGGTCGACGTGTTGGAACAACATAACAATCGAAAGGATCTGGTGAAAGGCGTGGGAGTTCCTGAGTGATGCTGAAGCTAGGCAATTTTGGCATGGTAGGTGGGATGCTTGCAAATTCGTTGTGAACGGTACGTTTCAAGTTGCCAGTTGGTTTTAATTGCAATTCATTGAGATCCAAGTCATCAACCATCATGAGGTTGGAAAGTTGTCTTACTGGATGGTTTGGTCGGCTACGAGGAATTGAAACTTTTTTTGCAGGGCGAGCACCCGTTCGTGTCACTGGAGATTTTTTAGATGTTGACAATAATTCTCGAGCATCTCTGATTGACTTTTTTGCATTCTGAGCGATGATATCTCGAGCATCTCGAATCTTATGGCGCTTCTTTTGGATTATTTTTGAACGAGCATCCAGTAAAGTTTTTGGACCCTTTGGTGATTGTGTCTTTGCTTTCAAGCCTGGCTTTCCTTTGATGTTTACTTCCTTTTTAGCTCCTGGCTTAGTGGTTAATCTAGAAAATAACGTGAAAACGTGGAACTTTTGTTAGAAAATGGAAAATTTAAACCAAATGTGGGTTTTTACTTTTTTCTGGAGCCCAAATTTTTGCTTTTCTTATTTTTCTTGATTAACTCATCCAAACTCAGATCCATTTTGTTTTCGATGGATGAAGAACGATTTTTAATGTTAATTTATGATATATATCAACGTAGTTTTCAATTTATTTTTCGTATTTTAATATTTTCAGACTTATAAACAAAGCTTGCATTTAACGAGACTCAAGTGATGGAGAGTCAAGTGAAATAGTAAAGAGGCATTACGGACAAACGAGGTTATAAAGAAATTGAAAGAAAGAAAACTTTGAAAATATATTTCCAATAATATTTCACTTTTTTAGAATTTTAAAGCCATTTATAATTAGTTTTAAGTGTGTAAATGTGTAGTTTATAGTGAATGGATGTAAATGAATCTACTGTAGATGAAGTAAGGACGTCGAAACCATCAAAATCAAATGAAAAAGCCGTAAGTATTTAGAATATGACGTCTCTTATTTTAAAAGTGATATCACGACAATGCTTAACATTAGAAAGATAAACATCAGAGATTAGAATAATGAGTTTTGAGACTAATTCATACTTAGAAATAATAGCAGCTTTATGCCATTTGAAAATCTTTTTTTTTATGTTAACAAAAAGTATAAAAAATTGAAATCTCTTGGGCTGAATGTGGAATAAAATAAATAAGAAAATATGTTTTGTGTTATCATAGCACTGACAATTGATGACTTTTATTCTTTTTATTATATTCATTCAATTAACTTTTGGGGATTAGACTTTAACGATCATTTTTTATTCTCTTTTTCTATTTACAAAGCTTATTTGCGGAGCGCAAAAATTAAGAAATTTCTTTGCAAATTTACGACGAAACAATTTTGAGGACGAGGACGATTCTGTAACGTTAAGTTACGACGTTGAGCGTAAATTGTCTTCAGGATTTTCATACAAGTAAGTGAAAAATCATTAAATCTCAAGGTTAATCTTTGAAAAATATTTTTAGACTGAAAGATGAAAAATCTGATGTGAAGAAGACGCTTTGGCCTGTTACATGTCGCGAATATTTGTTTCTTCCCGAATATAAAGTCCGTTGTGAGGAACTCGAAGAAAAATTCGAAATAATTAATTACATTGCTAAAGGATCTTTTGGAAAGGTTTATAAAGTCAAACGATTAGAAGATTCAAAAATTTTCGCTTTAAAAGTTTTCGAAAAATCGAAGGTAATGTTAACAGAGAAGAAACAACACAACTGACCTTGGCTAATAAATTTTCCTCCTCCAGATTATTCTTGACGACTATCAACAACAATTGAAATACGAAGTTGTGATTCAAAAGGCAATTAGTCATCATCCTTTCATTACATCGAGTTACGAACGTTGGCAGAACAAAGGATTTGTTTATCAACGTAAATATCACTTTATTAATTAATGACGTCACATTTTAATAATTTAAAAAATATTTCATCAGTTTCAGAATTCATTAGCAAAGGTGAAATATTTGAAACCATCAAAATATTTACCAATAAACTGATTCAATTTTACATTGCTGAGTTGGCGATTGTAATTGGTAAGAAATGAAAGAATTTCTCTTCAATTAACAAATTCTAAATTTAATTTTTTCCCAGATTTCTTACATAACGCCGGCATCATTTATCGCGATCTTAAAAGTGAAAATATTCTTTTGGATGAAAATTATCACATTAAATTGACAGATTTCGGGCTCAGCAAGTGGTTAAAGTTGGGCCAACGAACCTACACAATTTGTGGAACGCGCAGCTCCATGGGTAATTAATCTCCCATCTACCCACTCACTCCACTCTCCAATTTTATTATTTTCCCATCTTTTGGATTCTGTTTTTATTGCGAAACTTTTCTGTTTTTCATTTTGCATCGTGTTTGCAAAAAAACGATACTTTTATTCTTAATTCATCACCACCCACTACAATCATGAATGCACGTTCGCAAATATTTGAGCTGACAATGGAAGATCGTCAGATAAATGAAGCATTGGCCAGTATTTTCCATACAGTGCTCTTCCATCGAAGCTTAGGAAAGTTTATGTATTCGAATGACGCTTCGTATTCAGTTGGAACGATTGGAACGCAAGACATTGACTGTGATTTCATTGACTTCACTTATGTTTGTTGTTCATCACCGACACTTGACCGTGCAATCAAGAAAGAGATCAACAGTTTTAGTGAACAACTTCGAAGTCATGAATCAGCTGGTGCTGGCCAAATTAGTCTTGAATTCTTTCAAAAGAAGAAGAATCGTTGGCCATTTCAGTCGGAGGCAATCCCTTGGGAGGTTTGGACAGTTCGATTGGATTTAATAGATTTAAATAATGAAGATGAACGACAAATGTGTCGTGAACGTGTTGGAGATATGTTGACAGAAAAGATTCTTTACATTACTGAAGTTATGAATCGACACGATTATGTTCCAAAAATGCCAGCACAAACTGAACTTGACCTTATATTTGATACGACACATCCCGATGTCCAACCTTATCTGTTTAAGTTTAAATTCAGTACATCAGCTGGACCAGCAGCAACATCAGTTAAGAGTACCATGCAGAAGATCATCAAGGAAACGTTATCATTGTGATGGATACGAAAACTGATGATGTTGTTGATGTCCACTAGCGATTATGTGATGAATAAATTATGAGATGAATTTGCTTTCTTCTCTTCATGTTGATACATAAATATTTAGATGATAAACTCAGGATGAAAATTCTGATAATATTTTTTTAAGTTACGGCATTATCGATCACAAAACAAAAAGAAAAAAATGTAAATATTTGATACTTTCATAAACATTCATGTGTTATTATTAACGATGCTTAAAGAACTTTCTTTCAATTAAAGAGAAATGATGGAAGAAGAAAAATTTAATATTATGCAGAGATCTGCGTTTTATTGCCACGAGATTCTTTTGTTTATAGTCGGGAAGTTGCTAGAAGAGTTTCATTAAATTTCATCGAAGATACGAATCTTTTCTTTTTATAAACATTAGTTGCAGCAATTTTCTAGATTACATCCAAATGAACAATCTCAAATGTAAATTAATGGAAGTGTTTGAATGTTAAGTCATCATAAAGCTTGGGAACAAGGAAGCTTTTATTACAAAGAGAAGAAATGTGACAAAACTTTCAAACATCTTTCAATAACTTACCACATACACCCACACACAGATTATATGTAGAATTTTCCGTAATTTGCAATGCGAAGGAATAAAAGTTTATATTTATGTTTGAAACATACAAAAGTAAGCGTTTAACATGAACGCTTTGCGTGACTCACTCACTCACTTACACTTGATAAAATAACGGTGGAATTGTAGAATATAAAGAAGCAAACCTTTTATGATTATTATTTTTATTATAAATATCGCTTTGTAAAGGTTGAAGAAAAGATTTTTCTCATTTCTGCAATTCTTTGAAATAAAAATAATGATAGAAACATAAAGAAAGAAAGAAAAGAATTTTTATATTTATGTAGGAGTTTCATGATCGATCGAGTTAGATTCGTCGTAACTTTATGCAGGAAATTAATGCTTAAAAGAAATATTATTAACATTTAGTCTAAATGAATTCAATTTTCATTTATCGCAACATTATTTTTATAAGAAGTGATCATGATTAATAACAAATTAAATAGAAAATCAAAAGAATCAATTGAATATGTTTTTATTTATTATCAAACACAACACTTGAAAGTTAAGATGAAAATTATTGTTAAGAAAAGAAGAGAAAATTTTTCGATTAAAATGTTGATTTTTATCTTGAAAACCAAAACAAAAGCATTCTCGACAATTCTCTCAATTATTCTCTCCACAGCATACTGCGAAACACATCTTTCAACATAATTCTACTAACTTCTCTTACATGTTCTTCTTTTGTATGTCTTTCTTATGCTTTTATAATTTCTTTTTATGTTTCAGGTAAGTAGATTTTATCTTGCTTAAATGCTATTCTCTTGTTTCATTACAGCACCGGAGATTTTTGCCGGTGAAGGCTATTCACACGCGGTCGATTGGTATGCTTTGGGAGTTCTGGCAAGTAAAATGATGTGCAATCATCAGGTGAGTGAAGTTCAACAGAAAATAATATGTAACGAAAAGAAACAGAAAAAGAGAGATAAATAGATAGAGAGAGAGAAAATTAGCATGCAACAAAGAAGATATTTAAATCGGCCCTTGATCTTGATTTGCTTTCTTGCATCACTGACCGGATGATGTAAATTGTTGCGTAATTAAAGTCCACAACAGAAAACCTCATCGTTGTAACCGTGGATTATATTTAAATATATTTATACGAGATAGACGAGAATCAACATTTGTTGTATGTAGGAAGATGATGATTAATTCAATACGATGCACAATCGCAACCATCACATCTTAAGTTATTCAATTAATGGATTTTTTGTCTCGGAATAACTGATTGTGATAAATGATACGTCTGAGAATATCTAAGTTTTTAATTTTGTATGTACATATCAGCTGTGAGTGGAAACTTTATTTCTGTATTATTAATTAAATTATTGATGATGAATCAACATTGAAGATTTTTTGTTATGGTTGCACGTACATGGAAGTTAAAGTCAAAGCTTCGACCTCAACAACATCTTCATTATTTAAACTTCTTATTAGAAGCTCACGATAAGCACACGAGCAGATTTAATTAATTTCCTTCTTCTTCTGATATCATTCAACGAAATCTATTAATTATTTAATTTCATTTGAATAAATTCGTTTTTTAAGATTCTCCTTTATTTCTGTTATGTTCGACGCCAGATGAATGATAACAAGAATTAGCAATTCAGTGAACATCAATCAGTCTAATTTGTGAGAATTTTTATTTCTCTTTATTTCCATTTTATTTCTTTTCATGAATTTCAAAAATAATTCAAACTTGGATCAAAATCTTTCAAAGAAAAATACTTTAATTTAAAGGGGAAATCAATTCTGTGTGTGTGTGAGTGGGTGGATGGTCATTTACTCTTTCTTTTCTTCTTTTGACTCTTCACTTTCATTTGATTTCGATTCGTCGCTTTCCTTGCTCTCATCGGCAGCTTTTAATTGTTTTTCTTCGTTGGCTGGAGTTGATGGAGAATCTTCCTCAGAGCTTGATGATGCATTTCTAGCTTCTTGTGCAGGGGTGGTTGCTTCATCAACAACTTTCTCTTCAGCATCACGAATGTTACGTTGTTGTTCTTCAACGACTGCAACTGGAGCTGCAACTGGGGCTGCAACTGGGGCATCTTTCAATTCTTGTTCTTTTGGAGCTTCTTCTTTCACCAATTTCTTCTCAAGTGGCTTCTCTTCTACCACAGGTTCAGCTGGTGCTGGTTTCTCTTCTTCAGCTACAACTAATTTTGCTTGTTCTTCGGGAAGTGTCGTGACAGTTTCTTCGGATTTCTTCTCTCTCTTCATTTCATCATCTTCTTCTTCTACAGCGGCAGCTTTAGCTTGTGGCTCAGCAGCAACTTCAGGCTCAACTACAGCTGCTGGTTCAACCTTTTCTGGTACTTTTGGTGTCTCTTCTTCATCGGGAAGTGGTACGGCATAAGCAATTGTAACGAAGATTGCGAAAAGAGCGAACACAATTTGAAATTTCATCCTATAAAGATTAAATTTGTTATTATTTATTATTTATGCATCATGATGATGATGGTGATGAGTTCTTAATTCAGAATTCGCATGATTCACGATTACTTCAAAGTTCACCTTGAGGCAAGCCGCTTATCATGTAATCGACTGCATTACTACATTAAAAAAACTACAACATGACTAGTTTTCCATTCACAATAAAATATAATAAAACGTAATGCTTTGTGGCTGGCATTCAATGAAACCCCAGACCAGCTGATTTGCCTGATTAAATAATTTAATTCTGTGCAGGTTCCTGATGATGATCAATTCAAAATGACATTAAATAAGTCGTGATTTATGTTTGTGACGCAAAAAAAAGAGGAGCAGCAACGAATCGGTGAAGATAAGAATTAAATTAAAGTTCATTTGCGAAGCTTCGTCAACGGGAAATTTCAAATCAAAAATATTTTTTAAATTCAGTTTGGAAATGTAATTTTGGGAACAAGTTACGAAAAGGGAAAGAAATGTGCAAGACGGGAAGTTTATTGATGTAAATTGGATAACAAGAGTCTTAGGATTATTGCACACTTTCTTCTTATCAAATGGAATTCAAGTCAGAACGACTTGACCCAGAAATCATCGAAAATTTAAAGAGATGAAAATGAATTTGTAGTGCTAGTTACTAGCAATTCAATTATGATGAACACGGAACTCAAAATTGAATAATTGAATGGAAAATTTTCAACCGAAAGTTCAAGAAACTGTGGCATGAATGGGGAAGTTAATGGAATAATATATGATGATGATAAGTCATCATGAGCTTGATCTAGTTTCAGGTTGATATTATTATATATCGCTTTTATTTTTTGGTTGAACCGTTAAGGTTTGTTGGGCTTGTTATGTTTGGATATTCATTTTCCTAATGGAACCATACCCATTCTCAATAGCTTTGTTTATGTGTCTCTAACGATCATAATTTATTATAAATTCTTTTTTATATTTTATTTGATTATTAGTGGACAAACGTCGAAATGAGTCCAAGGGAATTTTGCGAAAGAATTTCGTCACTTTTCTCGTATCAGAAAAAATAAAAATATTTATCAACAAAATACCTGAATTTATTTTAAGTTGAATTAATCACGAAATGAAATGAAATGCACTTAAATTTATTTCTTTATTTTCTTTAACTTTTGAGAGACTTCAACAGGCACGTCTAATCACGTTGATAATGAAACAGAATTTAAGGCTTTTCTCATTCTCTCGTCTGCTTTTATACTCCCGGCTTTGGCTATCGTGTCTGTTTGTCGAGCCGAAAAACGAAACAGAAACAGCAAGATTCGCGATGTTGTGAGAGAAGAAAAAATGAATAAAAAGGCGAAGATGAAAAATTCAGGCAATCATGGATGGATAAAAATAATAATAATAAAAACTAGAGGAAAAGGAGAGATTTCGGGAAGAAGAAATTGCATTCGTTTTAAAACGGAATATCAAGAGTTGAAGGGAATTTTAATCTCAACTTGTCTTGGTAAGATTCCACAACATTTGTCTGGAATTTACTGACTCTATCGCTATGTTGTTATCTCGAAGAATAAATAAATAAATTGTAAGGCTCTTCTGTTCTTTCTTCTGAATAAAGAAATGCAAATTAAATATTAAAAAGCACCAAGTACGTTGCTGATGAGTTTACAGCGTTCATGCTTTGATGCAAGACGATGTGTTATATTTATTTACGGCAATATATATATCTGTAAAAGCATATATGCAAGTATTGCAATGGATGCAGATGAAAAATAAATAAAAAAACGTACTAAAAGGCCAGCTTGCAATGTTTATGATTATAACAATGACAATTCAAGTTCATGGATTATTTTCATGCACAAATGTAGTTACGTGCAAACATGAACTGACAATAAAGTCATCAGAATGTCTCGTCGTGTTACAAAATGAGACATCGAGACGACCGTTTGTCTTCAACTATAATCCTATCATTAAAACTTCTTCACACTCTTTAATGAGTTGAAGGAATGGAAAAATACCAACAATTTAATTTCTGATTAATAAAATGACAACATTGTAGGTCAACTTCATAAAGTTCTTGAAAGATCGGCTTTGTATGCAACACTTCTTTCTTTCTGACTTTTTCTCGATTCTCGCTTATCAGCGACAAACAATGAACTTCAAAAATTCCATGATTCAATGAAACAAATATTTACAAGGCTATTTTTAGTAAGCGATAAGTTTGAGAAATTAATGGTTTATGATTTCGTTTGGAGGCTGGTATGAATTTCAGTTATCTACTTAAGTTACTGACCAACTCAACGGTTAAAACATGAAGTCGCTGGTCGTAAGAACTAAGGGAACAGTTCGTTTTTATGCACAAACCAGTTATTATCGAAGAGAAGTTTCTTGACCTTTCTTCTAAAGCCGTTGCTTGAGTCATCAGCGAACCAATAAACTCAACATCACCACATCGTTGTTCTCCTATAAACAACATTTGATTTCAGTCTTTCTTTCTTTATTTATTTTTGTTATCAAATGCGAGCACTTAAAATGATTTGTTTGGATGTCAAATGGAACTCGTTATGTCTGATTTTTATTTTCCTTCTTTCATTTAATGACTCATTGCGAACTAACCACGTCGAGATTGTTTCTTAGAAATACATGATTCGCTTTAATCGTAAACAACATATTTATTTTGATGTCTATTTGAATATTTTCCCAGTTCTTCGTTTCTTTTTTCCTTAATTACCTCATATGTACGTATGCTCACATTTATTGATAGAGAAGAAGCAGTAACAACGTGCTGATGAAAGAACAAAATGAGGGAAGATAAGAAAACAAAAAATTGCGAAATCTGAAAAATGATCGTTGCAATCGTGCAATGAGAAAGAAAGAAATCATGTTGCGATGTATCAAAAGCATAACTTTCCGTATCGAACATTAAATTGTTGCTGTAATGCCCTTGATTCCTATTTTTTGTTACGCCTGCAATGCGGTCATTGACGCTTTCATTTATTCTCGATAGTTCTTCTCGGTTGACAGAGGAGAGAAATAAATTCCAGTTTTATTCTTCTTTTTTTTTGAGGTTTCATACTTTCTTAGTGGACGGAAATGTCAATTGAATCAATTCCAACCATCAATGCAGTGATTTATTGTCCATTAATGTTAGAAATATTTCTTCTTTTCAAAATATAAAAAAATACCAGCAGAATGGTCGAGAATCTGAAGATGTATTCAAAGACTTCGATCAGGTCGATGACGCGCGTTGTGCAATAGATGAGAATGAGACGAAGCTTATAAGCGAAACGGGAAGCAAATTAAGCGATGCCTCAAATGATTTGCTGCGTCGAATGCTTGAGAAAAATCCGCAACATCGATTGAAATCACTCTTGGCGCTACAACGTATTGCATTCTATCTCAATTATAACTTTGACGATGTCCGATACATGAAGGTGAGTTCTAATCATTAGCATAAAACGAGTTACATAACTTGTCATTTGTATTAAAAAAAAATGCGTGTAAATGAGTTTAATTGATCATCGGACGTTGTTATTTGTAATAAGTAATCAATGAACATCTTTTATCTTTCTCGCTATTTATTCAGATATCGCCTAGAAAATTGATAGAAGATGAAAATCTCTTGAAACTTTAATTACATTCTTCAATCACGAATCTCGAATCATCATCATCTGGTGAGATGGAAGAATGACATCAATTTTAATGATCAACGATAATCACACAACATTATTATCTACAACAAAGTTTCAATTTCTTCTCATACCTATTCAAATTATAACATCAACCTTGTTGTTAAATCGTTTGAAAACGCTTCGTTTTGTGCCTTTAAACAACTCGCAAATTGGAAATTAATTGCCATTGCTTCTAACAAAGTGAATTGGAAGGGAGGAAAATGCGACGAAAATAGAAAATAAATTAAATATTGAAATAAATAAAACAATTACTAACTGCACTCCCTTCATTTTTCAATTTACAGTTTCGTTCATTCATTTGCGAGGTAATTTTAGAATCTAAAAAATGTAGATAAATTAAAATTTCAATTCGAATAATAAAAAAAATATGCAAATAAACTTCCGGTTTTTGTAAAAATCTAATTCTAATTGCTTGCACTGTTAAACTTTGATTTTCCCGCGTTTTGGAAAAGCTTCGACGACAGCGCACGTCATGGAAAACTCCAAAAGCTTTTCATTGGAAAATTCATATTGCTTGACTTTTTTGATGAAAAGTTTTTCTTGAAGAAGAAAGAAAACTTGCTGTGAAAACGAAAAAAATTTCATCTGTGAATTTAAATGGAAAATTCTTTTGTGGTCGTAACTTTAGAATGCACATAATTGCTTAGCGTGATAGTGCTAAGATTGGTGCTATTAATTGATGTAGAAAAGCATTGATATCTTCCGAATATTTCACGACAAAAACTTTTCTTTTTTCATCGAAAAAAATGGCGTAAAATCTTCGGAGAATAAATAAGAAAAAAAGAGTAAATTTTTTATTACAATATGGAATGAAAGTGGCAGCAATTTGATCTTAGATATTGAATTTTGTTGTTCAAATTTACCAACAACGTTGAATTCAAGTGAATGTTATGAGTTGCAATAGCACATCTGATCATTCTTTCTTCGGATACTGGGAGGTGAGATGAAATTTAAATTAAATTAATTAATAAAAAATATAACAAAATTGTTTTCATGATTTTTCAGATCATCGAATCACTTGATTCGAGTCTCTCAGAAAATCTTGGCTTAAATGGCATAAAATTTCTGCTCGATGAGTCTGGCGACATCATATGGTTCAATGATTTATTTTCGATTCAAGTTGTGTCTGTAAATGATGATCAACAATCTTCACCCACAATTTGGTTGTCAAAATCAATGGCGGATGATGAGAAGTCAAAATACAGCACGGGAAATGAATCAGCTGACATTTTCTTCAGTTGTGAGACATTTGAAGTCATTAACATTGATGGAGATCAAATTTCAAATGGACCTGGATTACTCTTTCGTTCTTTCACTGGTCATCACATTGAGTTTAGAACTGGAAGCTTAAATCCTATGGAACATATGACATTGAATTGCGATGGTTTGTAGTGAAAAAAACTAAAAACTCTTAAACAAATACAAAATGAAAGAAAATTTTCTTTCTTAGGATGGTGCACATTAACATGTAAACGTATTAAAAAAGATCAATCGATTGGACAGTCAATTCAATACACGCTTTTGTCAGCATTTGATGAAAAATTCTTCAGCGACATTACAATCAAAAGCTGTGATGGATTTTCAGTAAATTTAACAAATTGTAATAAAAACTTTCATGTTAAATTTTTTTTCATTTCAGTTTGAAGTTCATTCACCGATTCTTCGCCTCAATGGCTTTGATTGCAGTAGTTTGAATCAAAGTCCCATGTCATCAACAACAATTGCTACAGCTCAACCCACACAACCACTTTCGAATTTCCTCTCACCACCAACAATTCATCTCAGTACATTCAACTTCTCGCCAAATTTTGTCAATCATATTTCCAACTCGTTTAATTGCTTGACAACGTCACGTGAATCGATTTACCATCTAACAGCACCTTTGAGTAACTCAAAGAATGGTCAAATATCTTCATCCGATTCTCATCTAAATAATCTTCAAGACAACTCAAAGGAAAATGTTTTTAATTTTCCTACAATTCAAACGACGCCAACACAAACACAGCAGCAGCAACAACAACAGCAACATCAACAATCGATAAGCAAAAAGAATGAAACAAAACATAAACTTCGTTTATCGTCATCGCAAATAATATTCAGAAATCCTTTATCGCCCTTTCGAGTTCGTAGTAGTCCATTGCCATTCTTGAATTTATCATTGGACACGCCATCGTCGCCTCTTACATCCGTTTCTGTGCTTTTCAATTTGACAAAGGATGCGCTACTTCCAGTTCTCCATTGGCTTTATAGTGAGTCATTGCCACAGCATTTAAACGAAAGTCAACTTGAAGATTTGTTGAAAATTTGCGCTACAATTCCTCCGCTTAATAAAATAATTGGACCGTGTAAGAAATATTTGCGGCTCATTAAGCTAAAGAAAGTTATCATTGACATCTTTATGGAGATTCATGACTGTTTGAATCGAATGATTAATATGTCAAATCCGTATAATGTCGCTCGATGCCCAACTTCACTCTGTGAAATTTTCAAATATTGCTTGTGTGAGATTTCACTTGGATTCACACTTTTCCTTCAACTTTCACAAATCTTCTCTAAGGACACATTTTTGAATCGTTTTCAACGAAATGAAATAATTAAGTTTATTAAGTCAAGAGTTCCAATCTTCATTTCTCAACTTCATCAACTATCGACGAATGTTTTAATGATAATGAAGTCACTTCAACAAGAAGAAAAAGATGATTTGGTTATTTATTTGGTACCTGAGGTGAGACGAAAATTGCTTTGTTAAAGCTTTTTATTAACGTTTTAAGGTTTTTTCAGATAATTTTAGCGTTAGATGTCACGACTGAACTGCTTGGGAATTTAAGAAAATCTCTCGAAGCGATTTGCAAGAACATTAAAGGAGAACATGAAATTGGCGAAGGAAAAATTGTAGACAAGAGTGCAGTTGATAAAGATTTAAAATTCTTTCTCCATGTTTGTGAAGTCAAGAAGTTGCACGATATTTATGGAAAAGTCGATTCCATTCTAGAAATTATTCAACATAAACAGTGAGTTAAATAAACAAATCTTATAATCTTGTTGATAATTTTTGTCATTATCTTACAGATTAACTTTCAAAAGTATGAATTTAGCAGAGAAACAAAGCTGCATAAGCATTAACATGGATCACGTACTGATAGAGATTCCAATTATTATTGAACGACTTGAAGATTTATCGAAAAATATGGACGACAAATTTGGATGGAAAGAATTTAAATTTTGTTTCAAGTTTGCAACAAGTCAAATTGTGAGTAAAAATTTGGAAATTTGTTTATCAATTTTCTCCCTTAACATGCCAGAGACCTTAAAAGAAACAAACCGGAAATTGAAACACAAAAAAATCCCTTTAAATTTACGCACATAATGCGCAGCATAATCTCATAAATTTATTTTCCATTTTTACATAAAAATGACAGAATGGAATCCTCAGCAAGCTTCTAGAGCACAAAGCCACCATGGTTTATTCAATTCTGGAGCTATGTCAGCTGGTTAACAAAAGCGCCTTCACCAACAAACTCGTACAACTCGGATTGTTGGAACGCCATGTTGCCGCCAAACATTTTGATGGAAGTGATAATGATAACTTAGATAGCGAACAAAAGTTGATTAAGGACTACAATAGCTATAAGATAAATCTGTTTAGTGGATTATGCGAATCACCAAATGCCATCAACTCAAACTTGTCAAAAAATGCTGCAAGTTTCCATAAATGCTGTCAATTTTCATGCTCAAAATTAACGTGATAAAATTTAATTTTTCAGCTTAAACTTCTGCACTCAGGCCATCTTTCCGATATGGAATTTGAAGTCATAACAACATCGACAGTTTCAGATAATTCAGTGTCATTGACATCAACGCCTGTCGCTATTATCGCACCTTCAGGGCATGATAATTATGATTACAATGATGGAACAGCAAAGAAGGAATATCATATTTTCAAAGCCCATAGGGTGATTGTGGCAGCTCGATGTGAATATTTGCGGAAGGCATTGTTGTCGGGAATGCAGGAAGATATCAATAGGTTCGTGTCTTTTTCTTATTCTTAATAAAATTTTGTTATGATAATTCTTCTCAAAACAGAAAAATAACAATTTATGATACATCACCTGTGATATTTCGACGATTTTTACTGTATTTATATGGAGCACCGGTGGATAAGAATGTCGGGTTGGAGTCAATTTGTGAGCTGATGTTGCTAGCCGATCGATATTCTGTTGACAGCTTAAAGGTAAAGAAACATCGCAAAATATGATAGCAATAACGAGAGATAAAATTTATTTGAAATTTCAGGAAGTTTGTGAGCAAACGTTGATGTCGATGATTGACAGTGAAAGCGTAATTTGCATGCTTGGCATCTCAGATCGTTTTAATGCAAATACATTGAAAGCAAGCTGCTTATCTTTCCTTTCACAGCACATTGAACTTACAGCTTCCGAAATATTTCGTGAGTTGTCACAAGACCTTCAAGCAGAAGTCTTTGAACTCATTCAATGGCGTAAGCGATGCACAACTGACACATGGAGCCATTTGTCATCAAGATATGACGACCCGTTAAGATCAAGACATTCACTTAAGTCACCATCACGACCATCAAAGTCTCGTAGTCGTAAATCGTCGCCTAGCTATCACCATAAATAACTCGAAATTCTAAATTCTATAAAAGAAATTTCAGTCTGGTCATAAAGATAGAAAATGAAGTCGCTCACTACTTTTCATTGAAGACTTTTGGATCGCGATACAATGACATGTTCCATTAAAAATTTCTTAATTTTAAAATCGATATTTTTCATTCAGTTGTCGTTTGAAAATTTGACATGAAACTTTTTCCCATTTATCTAATATTTATTGATATAAAAACTTTTCCACGAACAAATGAAAATTCGTCGTGAAAATCAGACAATCATAAATTGAATATAAATTGCTTCTGAGATGAACCAAACCAACGAAGAAACGACAAAATTAATTCAAGAAATTTCTCTCGTCATCCATCCGATAATTTTTCGACCCTTTTCAAAAAATATTTCGATTTATTGGTTATTCGATGTCTTGAATGTTGATTATAGTGAAAGAAGAAAAAAATCTTTGAATGATCTTTGTAAGTAAAAATATGTTTGTTCTTGTGACTTCGATTTGACCGACGTTTAATGTTATATTTATTCAAAAGATTTTCCCCCGAATGGAAAGGAACATAAAAGAGATAAATCAATGTTTAAGTGAAAGGAAAGTTTTTAAATTAAGCTCAAGTCTTTGTAAGAATCTTTAATGTGAATCTTCTCTTTCAAACCAACCAATATTTAAAGCTACAAAATGAAATGTAAAGACAACATCTCGTTGGACGCATTCAAACATTGTTAGTTAAGATGAAAAAGAAAAATTGAAACACGAAAGACATGAAAATAAATATTTATTTCAATTGCAAATAAAGCAAATACTTTTGAAAATTGAACATTTTCCTTTTTCATTTCTTCTTTCAGTTCTTTTCAATTTACATGAAAATCAAAAAACAAGAAATTTGAATTTCAAAAATTTTACAGTTTGTTGAAAGAAATTTCGAGAGAAATTCTGGAAATTCTAGAACATTAAGAAAACAAATTGCTGCTTATAACTCAATCGCATTTCCACACTGAAAGCTGTAAATCATTAATAATTTACAACTCTGGCTAGGACTGACACATAAAAATTTTCGTAGAAGCTTTCAAAAGTTTACGATGTAAAATCAAATAAAAGCAGCAGCTGAAATAGAAATCAAAAAGAACACTGGCAAACATTTTATTGTACTTTTATTCGATCTTCTACATTTTCTGGTTTGACATGAATTATTTATTTTTTTCTTCCTTTTCATACATTCTTTTTCATCATATAAATACTTCATTATAATGAGCTTTTATTATTTAAGATAATGTCTACAATCATCGCTCGCTAATGTCATCAATAATAAAATTGATTTCATTAAAGTGTTTTCCAAGTGGTGATGAAACTTGAAAATGTTTACAACATAAGAATATTAATTTCTTCTCCTTTTTTCTTTCTGATGATTGGAAAATTCTTTAAAAACTTAATTGATTGAAAAATATTTATGTTAGATATCAATGACATGCTGGAAAGAGGAAAATGTTGTAGCAAGCAATTTTCTGAGAAGATTGTACGCAATGTTTAAATTTTGATTAAAATTTTCCAATGTTCGTTTATAATTTGAGATTTAAAACATCTGAAGTTAAATTTCTGTAAATTTCAATTTTTTTTCTTTCTTTTTTTCATCTTAAACAACATCAGATTTTTCTTTAATAAATATTTAGCTCAAGTCATTTAACTGTAAAATTTTTAATTTTTTCTAAATTTTTCTTTTTTTCTCATATGCAAATAACATTTTGAAATAGTTAAATATTCAATTTTTTGTTTAGGTTTTCTTTTAAACATTATTGTTTGATCTTTTACTTCTCATATTTACATGAATTTCTAACAGAACTTTTAGTTTTTACGATCTACGCTAGCTTTCATTCAAAGTTTAAGTAACTTCATCAGCAATGCTTCTTTTTTCCATCATTTGTCTGATATATTTAATTTTCATAATCGGGTGGTACTAAGAGTTTTATCTTTAAGAAGTTCTAACGAGTGTGCAAGATTTTAATTTTTTATGTGTGTCTATAATCATTTTTAATTCATTTTCTTCCCCTTTTCTACTGATAGAATTTCAATCAGAAAAAATATATAAAAATGACCTCAAATGATAAAGAAATTTTGGACAACCGAATTAAGTTTTGAAATTTTATTTCAAGCTCATTGCGTGATATTCTTTTAAGTTTAAGCTTCAAGCACTAAAAGCATAATCGATTGATGTGTTTACCCTTTGTTGTATCTAATTGTTGTCACAGAAGAGACAGGAAAATAATTGAATATTTGTGTAATTGAGTTTGACTTTGTTTAAATGTTTTACATATGAGTTCAGCTTCGTTTTGCTGGCTTTAGGCCAATAAATCTATTTCGAGGTCTTTAAAGTTACATTATTTACTTCTATGGGGAGTTTCTTCACTGAATAAAACATCATCTTGCTTATGAAAGAAATTTAAGCAAGATCTTTGAGCAATTTCCATTTGCCACTTTCTTCTACCTTTGAAAGATTGAAAATTTCTTCTCTCTTCGTTTTATGAGACGCAAATTTACTTTGAAAATATAATCGAATCGAAACTCACTCAGAAATGTTTCATAACGTTGAACAGGATGCTGCACTTCCTTAATCTAGCATCATTAACATTTCTCTTTACCTCTCTTTAACGTGCTTTTCAAATTTCTACAAAGGAAGTTTCATTATTGAAATAAAGTAAGCAGAGATTAATTTAAAGAAACGTTGAACTTTTCAAGAATTTTTTCTGCATCAAATCCTGTTTAATAAACATAATTTTTGCGTTTTACCTTTCACACCAATTTTCGGATTATCTTTTATTATTTTCCCACATTATTTTCTTATTTTTTCTTGTTATTAATTCTTAAATGAAATATTTATAATCTTTGTTAATCTCATGAAGCATAAGATTCGAATTTTTTTTATTGTTGTAATTATCTTGTTTTACACTTTTTGGGTATTTTCATCGTGAAACGTAGAAAAGAAAATCAGGAAAGTAAATTTCTTTTATTTATTTCCACATGTTTTTCGAAGCTTCTCATTTCATCCAATTTCACCACAGCTCAGCCTACAAAAAATGTTCATCCATAAAAAAGCGAACCACAAATCTAAAGAAGAAAGATTTATGCTAGAAAACATTTTTCCTAGACTTGTTACAAATCGTAAAGCTCTCAAGTGCTTCCGTTCTTTATTTTTACTTTTTTGCTTATGCCTACGATATCATCTAAGGGCAGTGCTTGAGTTTGTTATGCTTGCAAAAATTATCCAAAGTTTTAATATTTTGAGGCTTCTTTTACCACGTTTTATCATTCAGATGCTTTGGGAGAAGTTAAACAAAAAGTTTGTCATTTTAATTCACTTAATGCTAGAAATATTTCACCAAAAGCACATTATCTCTTATGTCGATAGAATAAATTGGGTTAATCATTTATTTTCTTATTCATACTTAGATAAGTTATAATAATATTAAAACGTTCTAAACACGAATATACAAGCAAGTTTTGACTTCTTCATTACAACATTATTTCAAAAGAATTTCTCTTTAATCATCTCTTTCAATTTGCTGCATCAATAACACATTTAATGGACAAAGAAAATATTTATGCTGACGACGACCATTTTCGTATCTGATGTGTTGATTAAATTTTTGAAATTGGGAGAGCGGGAGGAAGTGAAACACAATGTATGTTCAATCATAATCATATGTATGCGCATATAGCAAAGCTTATTTAACAACTTTATATGTAAGATTACTTCTGGTCCAGTTCAACATGAAATTAAAGAAAACTTTACAAATGTATGTAAGAAAGGGAAAATGTCATCAATTTGAGAGAAACTTTAATTAACTTTGAAATGATTAGAGGGAAGAAAAGTTTGATGAACTTATTCATGTCACTAGCAACTTAAAATTATACAGAAATTTGTCAGAGTTAAAATAACTTTTTCAACATCGCTATGAAGCTGAAAATTTGCATTTCACATCACTAATGAGAATTATTTTTGTTGTTATGTTTTGATATTGTTTCGTGATGTCTTTATGTGATGTTCTTTATTCATTGTTGTTAAAAAGTGATGGAAGCTACAATATTGTTCCGCTTTGAAGTGAATGGAGGTTGCGTAATTGAAACTTTTCCATTTTAATCTCGAGAATTTCCATTACATGAATGAAAATAATTAAAACAACATTTTACTTCGAATATGAAAAGAAAACAAAGAAAAACCGAAAAAATTCATTTCAATTATAAATCGAAGAAAAAAGTTTTTCTTTTTCGAATTTCCTTGTTTCTTGATTTTTAGAAAAAACTGTTCCTCGTTTCAACCAGATGCTATGTAAATTTCAAATATAACTAGGAATTAAAATTACACAATCTTTTCGCAATTTTTAAAGTGCCTTTTTTTGATTTATCAATTAGGAAAAACACATTGAAAAGTAGTATCATTATCCTTAATAGTGTTGACAGCTTTTGGGTTAATCTTTGCAGTAAAAAATCTCACATACACTCGCGTCATTGTCATACATATATTTAATTAATTAATTTTACGAACTTTACAAGTCAGAAAGTTCATCCATTCAACTGCCTTCAATTAAGCCAGCAGTTTTATGTCATCTAACATTAATGTCAACATTAAAGGATGTCTCCTTAGAAACGCTTTTCTTACGTAATCTTGACTTGAAAGTTGAGATTGTTCAGATTTTGAATCATTTTTATGATACATCAACATGTCAAATACTACGTTGGATTTTGGAATATTTTGCAGAACGATAAAATGCAACGGTTATGCGCAAATATTTGTCAATGATGTTAATTAAAGTCAGAGTTGTTTATTTTAGTCTCTGATTAAAATGTTATTCTTACTATCTTCCTTAAGTTTTCCATTAACAACACATACATTGTAGTTAATTATAGCTTATCTACCATCATTTATATCCATCTTTTCTCAATCATCGCTACGTAAATATTTTAAGAGATTTTATTACTTTCTTCTACGTTATTATAATGCGATTATTATAAACTTTTTACGATTATTATATTTATGTACGTTATATACTATCAAGTACCCTTAATTAATAATTAATTAAATGAATACTTTCTGTTTAACTTCCTTCACAAATGAATGTTCAACTTTAATATTTTGCAGCATAGATACTTCCAAGGGCAGTTTAACATGAACGGAAATCCTCCCACACAAGCATTGAAACTTGTTTGCTTTTCTCTTTCTTCTTCACTTTTTTTCGTCGTACATATAAAAGCATAACTTATGCGATTCAACAAAAATATCTTTAATACGTCATAGCAAGTAGGAAAAAACTTTTCATTCTGATTTTCATGTTAAATATTTGCCAGAAAATTACCATGAAATAGTTGTGAGTGAAAAACTTTTTCCACTTTTTCTTTCCTCACTGATTTCACAATCAATCAAGTTCTCAGTGAACAGTGCAATGATTTAATCGCTCGACATAGCACAAGGAAGGAAATATCCAGTGACGAAATCATTTTTTATCTCAAAGATTTAAAAATGATGATGTCATCATGTTGAAATATTTTTTGATTATTTATCATAAAAATACTACTTAATAGCTTTAAGATTTCAATATATTCATGATGGTGAATGAATTTTATCTTCAATGGGGCTCTCGTTTCAATTAACGTTTAGTTTTCATAATTTTTATATTTTGTAATTCATTTAAATTTATTCAAATTCAATCTCAAAATATTTCCACGGATTTTTTTCATCTTCTTTCTTTTTTGTTATCCATGTCGAGGTAAATTAAATTCAGTTCACGCCCTGGAGAATGTTCACGTCATGATATTGTCCTTCGCACGAAAATGCCCATAAAATCTGCATGCTATTCTTCATTACGACAGAACAAAAATGTAATCAGAGCTTAAATTTTTTTGCTTTAGATTGAAACAAACTTTGTGGATTTACAACTTATAGTTCATGCTCATTCGCTTTCTGCATTCATTCATTTGTTCAAACACACTCGAATTTCTGCAGTTTTCGACTTTACCTTCAAAGCAATTGCTTATTCTCGAATAAATATTTATGTCCTTTGCTTACGGTTTTATTTATAAAACATTCTTTTAGTTCAATTTTTATCTTCGGTTCTATGTACGGTAAAGTCGCAATTCTATTTTTTATATTTATTTCAATGGCAAACCCTCATGCGCATCTCGTTTAGATAATCTTCTTGATCGCATAAAGATAAAACTTTAATTTACTTTTATATAAAATCAAGGGAAAAATATCATTGTTAGATATACATTTTTGTTTTAAACTTTAGTTATGAACGCTTACAATTTATAACATGTTCATCTAGTTTTAATTCATGTTGTTCTTTCATATTATTTTAGGGAAATGTTAATCATTAGATATCATGGATTAAGAACGAGATAGAGATATAGAAAGGGAGATAGAGAGAGACAGTGAATGGTAATGGAAGGAAGAAAATTTCAATTAAACAGATATTCATTCCTTTTTTATAATTATTCTTAAAGATATCCAAGTGTAGCGTATGTTTTAACAAATGGCGCTTCAACAGCGGTTGTGACGTCTCTGTAATAAATTTATGCATAATTAAACTTCTGCATGTTCATTTTATAAGCTAAGGAGACTTAAATAAGATTTCTTGTAAGTTTAAAACTTTCTCATCTGAATTTTTAAGTGTTCGAACATGAAAAGTGTTCTTAAAGAACTCTTAAGTTGTTTCAGTTCTTACATCATTTATGAAGCTTTGAAACTCACAAGAATTGAAAAAGCTTTGTGTTGTGTTGTTCAAGAAAAGAAAGTTTTGCAAGAAAGAAATCAGTTTTAAAAAGTTTTTTAACTTACTCATCTTCCCATGGACAAACAGCGTTATGCTTTGATTTTTCAGGATCATTTGAGCTTGTGCCTTCTGATACTGTTGTCTGATTCTGACTTTGACCATCACTTCCATCCTTATCTCGTCTCTCTTTTCGTTTCTTTTTACGTTCGATATCAGGCTTTGGATCGGCTACTTGATCTATTGCTGCATTTTCTACATCGTCCTCGGTTGGATCAACTTCAATTTCCGCTAAAGGAGCTATCGAAGGCGCTGGGGTAGGCGCTGGTGCGACACAACCTGGGAGAAGTTCCGATACCATCGCAACTTCATAGTCTTCTTCTTGTGATATCGAATGTTGATGAGCTAAAAGCATTTGTTTCTGTTGTTGATCGTCGCACGTTTTTGACATGCTTGACCTTTTCGAAATTTCAGCTAATTTATCACCCGTCGAACTCCCATCATCATTTTCATGACTCGAACGTGAACAAAATTTCCTCGTTTCATTTCTTTTTATGTCAATTTCTTGTTGTGTTTCGACGACATTCAATTGAGTGCCTTCTCTGGCATCTTCTCCTTTAATGTTCGCATTGGTCACAACCAAATTCTCAGGAAATTCTTCTGTGGGCACTGTTTGTGTACTTATCGATGTGGGTAACGCTAATGAAGCTTCAATTGGCCTTGATGGTAATTCCTCAATTTCAAGTGACTTTTTACTTCCCATGGCAACAACCGATAATTTACGTTCACTTGACGCTTCATCTGATCTCTGGCATTCTTCTTCAATCACAATATCATCACAAGAAAATGTTTTTTTCCTTCTCAAATTCTCAAGTCCCTTTTCTTTCAAATCTTTCTCAGATTCGTCTTCTTTCTCTTCAATGCTGTCGGCTTTGTCTATCACAAGTGAAAGCTCTGACGTATCATCATCTTCAGGGCCTGACGTTGTAACTGTCGGTGGGTTGACATTAAATTGGAGATCAGAAACTCTTAAAAAAAGGGGAGAAATAAAGAAAAAGGAAAATATTTTTATTTCGTTAAATGTAAGCAAGTAATGCAGATAAAATGACGACATAAAATTCGTTTTATGCTACGATCGAACGAACTTCGATAACTCACCTGGGAGTAATGGTCATCGAAGCTCGTCGCTGTTCGTTTATCGCCGGTACCAGACGTTTCGTGCTATGAAAGTCACAATCTAATGTATTTTGTCGTAATCCACACGAACGTTTCATGCGTTCAGAAACGTCAGTATTAACGATATCTGATGGTGGCGTGAATGGTATTGTTGGTAAATCAATTGTTAATTTAGGTCTGCAAATTGAGAATGGTAGAAAACATATCTAAGCAATTTTGAAAAAAACATCTGCCAATTTTTATTATCTACTTTGATGTGGAGGCAGACGGTGAAGGTGGTGGCTGTGGCGTAGGTGGGTCATTTTCAATTGTATCCCACGGACATACGCTACAAGCCGTTCCTGATGATTCTTGTGTCGTTTCGAGTTGCCTGGATGGCTCCCTGAATTGAAAAACGCATAAAGTTAAATGACTTCTTTGATTACTTTCATAAATTAATGAAATTATGTCTTAAATAAGGATACAAATAAATGAGAATTTAAACCAACGATTAAAGATATTTATTTATTTAAGTGGTTGAATCACATACAAAATGCATTCATGAAAAAAGTTACTAAAAAGCTATCAGAATTTACGGTTCGTAATCCATTAAATATTTAAATGTGTATGTTGTTGGGAGAATACATTAATTGAAATAATGAAAGACCTTCAACCATTTCATTCTACGTAGAATAATTAAAAACATTAATTAATTTACTGAATAGAAAAATTTACATCATAAATATTAATCAACTGATTTGAAAGCTTGAATTGTGCAAATTGAATTGATTTGAGTCATTTTTGTGTTATCTTAAAACAGTGAAAGAAAAACAAAACAAATTTTAATTATATTCAGTTTCTCATTTCCTTTTAAAGTCTTCTTATTTTTTATTAGAAAAAGAGTAGAAAATGCCTAAAACATGATGATTTATGTACATCAATTAATTATTTTTGATGTTGCAGATGATAGCAAATTGAATTTATTGCATGTGACATGCTAAAACGTGCAAGTTGTTCATGTTTAAGCCAGATTAATTAATGATTAATAATTATGTACACAACGGAGCCTTCCGTTGTTGTAATGATGAAAGCGACCGATGCAAAAGCCAATTAAAGTTTTTTAATGTTTCAAAAATTTATGTAGACAGCAGAAAATTATTGAAATAAATTGCTTGTCACGACTCGTGAAGTAAATGCAATGGTCTAGAAATATTAACGAAATTATAAGATTATGTGTTGTTAAAATTTAATTTTGTTGAATAATTTTCACGACACAATGTTATGAGATGATGTGCAATGAAATCAGTTTGTCTGATGTTGTCTTAAAGCAATTCTCGACTTCTCCTTGCATCCTTAATGGCTTCTCCGGTAATTTTAATTACTCAACATTAACTTTCAATTAGAATATCATCAGAAGTTTATGTCAAGACTTGATTCCTTGAATTATCATAAAATGAAAATTATCGTTTGAAATTTAACAACTGACACCGCATAACTTTTACTTTGACTCATAAAATTTTCGTATATCTACACAATCGCTTTTTATTCTCTCGAGATAGATAAATAAAGTTCGAAATGTTGTTGTAAAACTTTTTTCATTCTCACTTCACCTCGTTTATATTGAGAACTTTTATTTTCTTTTCTGTTTTCCATTTAAGAAACTGAAACAATTTTCTTTGAAATTTTCCAAAAAAGTGGAATTTCAAATAACTTTTTATAGCATGAATTTAGTATTCAGTGGGAAGAGACAAGGAAGCGAGTCTCTGTTTGATAGGAAAAGTTGCTTTTTAAGAGATAAAGTTTTACTTTGCTGTCAATGTGAACACTTAAGAATGTTCCAGAAAGAAATGGACTTTGTCGCAACATTTTTCATTATTATGTAATTCCATTAAAATATTTTGCGCAATTTAAAAGCTTATAGAGAGCTTTATGAACTTCATTTGCACAATATGAAAGTAATGTAAATTTATTATTATTTCCATCTTCCTACAAAAGACTCGTTAAAAGTGTTAACACAATAAAAAAGATGCTTGAAAGTTGTGGACACAGAATAGAATTGCAGGCTATGATGAAGACGTTGAGAAGAATGTGTAGAAGTAGAAAGACAAAGTAGAGTAAGTACGAGTAATAGCAGCATACAACATACAAAGGCTCATAGAGATTCTTCTATGCTCTAAACATATTTAGAAGTTAAAGCACTTTTACGACATCTAAGCACATATTTTTTGGTTCGAGATAAAAGAACTTTTGAAAAATTGTCATGAAATTGTCGAACATTCGTGACACGATTTGTGAATGTTTTCACTCCTTGGAAACAAGCACACGCACACACACAACATAACATGAGAACTGCATGTCGTTTGACTCTTAGTAGCATTTCATGTTCTCAAACAATACTAAACATGTTTAAATTTTCAATTTTTTTGTGATAAAAAAGTATGGCGAGTAATCTAAGTAGAGGAAGAAAATAATTGTTTTCTACTTTATTTCTTGTAACATTTAAGAGCACAACACTTGAAAGAAGTTTTATTGCTGTACATGATCCAATACACGAAAAAGCTATACGAATACATAAAGAATCACAAGAAGAACAGCAGGAGAAAGGGACGAGGGACGAAACTATAATGAACAGTAAACAAAGGAAGTAGATTTACGATTCATTACGTCAGTCAGGGCATTTGCACCGAATAAGAACTAAAGTTAAATACTTTTATTCAGGAAAGAATGAAAGCGACATAAAAATAATAAATCAAATGACTTTTCATGGACTTTGAAAATGATTTGTTGGGGAATTTTTTTTTTTGCTTTTCTTTTTTAGTTTTGGATTTTTGACATATCTAATTAAATTCTTACGGAATTCCTTCGGCCAATCTTATATTTCCCGATGGCATATCACCTCTGTAAATCACCGTTCTGAAGAATGAAATATTTGCATGTTTGAGTTTATTTTTGTTTATGATACAATTAAAACATATAAAAGTTAAATAAATAACAGAAATAAATGTTTTATCAAGAATTAAATCATAAAATTTTCATTTGCAGATTCAAGAAGGTTTCAATGTGGAGAATCTTGTCGCAATATTTCGTTTTTAATCCTCTTTAAAATTTATTAATACCGACAGGTGTTTTGATTATCCACAATAAAACGTTCCCGTCACCTGAGTCTCATTTTACTTTAGGGAAAAAGAAATAAAAAGTAAAAGGGAAAAATATCAGCTAAAAGCACAAGAGAAAAGTTTTAAAAATTCGTTTCTTGTCTTCTTCTCTAAAAGCTTAAAAATGATGGAAAATAAATTATGCATAACTCGATGCTCGTTGCTTCTACAATAATTCTCATGTCTATGTTCTAAAATTATCTGAAAAAAAATTGTTTTGGCTTCCAATGATGGTGTTGGAGTTGGTTAAATGGAAAATTCTTTTTCATCAAAAGAATTATTTTTTTCTTTCTTCATAAACCTAGCAGCGTCTATTTATACATTTTTATTTTATATTTATCATAAGAAAAAAAAGGAGAAAAATAAAGTGACAATGGAACTGAAAATGAAAAGAGGCATCGAAGCGATAAAAGAAGAATCATAAAAATAAAATCGAGCTTCCTAAAAGCTAAATTAGGGATAAGAAATGTACTTAGATATGAGCACGAAATATCAACGGAAACAAAATCAAAATGTAGATTTTTCGAATCTTCTCGCTTCAGTTGAATGAATTGATACGATGAATGAAAAAGCGTCTTATGAACGAACGCTAAGAAGAAAATACGAACAATTTTGTCTATCACTGTGACAATTTGCTTTAATGTTACTGATATCACATAAAATGCTTTTCTAAAGTGACTTGAAATATTAACAGAAATAAAGCATCGAAAAAGACGATGACAAAACAATAAATAATGTTATAACGTTGCGAGAGTGTAAATCTCTTTAATTAACTATATTGAATAAATAGAGAAAGAAAAAAATAAAAAAATAAGCTCGATGATAGATAGAAATATTACAAGAATTACGGCGATGTTCATTTATATAATGAATGATTAAAGACACGAGAATAAATAAATAAATAATTAAAGTAAAAGGAATGATGGAAATATTAAAATGAAATTCATTAACTCACCTGTACGGTAACTCGCTTAAGTTACTCTGACTATGAGAGTGAACGACTTTTGTTGGATCTTTATTAACTCCACAGACTGCCAACTCATGAGCTGAGCCAGTCAAGCTTCGGTCACTTCCACGACGTCGTGGAAGTCCAGTAAGTGATGAACCTCCGGCGGATGTTCCAGGCATCTAAATATGAAAATTTATTAAAGAAAATATTTGAATAAAGTTCATAAAAATGTTACTTGTGTCAATAGAACGGGATTTGCTGCTACAGTTGTTGAAGGTTTCTTCTTTGCTGGTCCACCAAATCCAAAGAATCGCTTCTTATGAGATGGTTGAACAGCATGAGCGATGAGCGCTTTGTAATGTTCAGAACGAATGAAACGTGGATAGCAATCTTTCTTTAATAACAACGTGTAAACGTGTTCAGCAGCAACATCAAAAGTGAATCGTGTTGGTGATTTCAGACCTTGCTGCACTTTCTCCATAGTCTTTCCATCAATGTTAATCTCACATGGCGCACCCGGTTCTAAGAATTCTCTGCAGTTTTATGAGAAAAGAAAAGGAATTGAATAAATCAAGAAAATGAGGAAAAGATTCGGAAATCATACTCATAAATCTCCTTGGCCTTTCGAGGGATTTGTGACTGTGCTGAGCGTCTTAAATCATTGACAGCCATCCAAAAACGAATGTTTTCATGTGAATATTCTTTGCGAAGATAAGATGTGAACTCTTGTAATCCCGTGGGATCTCTGACAAGTTCTTCTATTGAGAAAGCCCATCGCCTAACACGTTTCTCAGTTGGATTCTCAACAACTGGTTGATTCAACTGCCAGAAAGTGATGTCTTCTGTTACCCATGGATTAGATGGTTGTGCTGACATCATTAATGGGTCGTATTCGAGAAAAGTCTCGTAATAATTTACGAGACTCTCACATGCTGTCGACATTTTCATCCGATTTCTTCCTATTGATGCTTTTGTTATTTCGATTTCTCGTTTCCAGTCTTCTTCTGTTCGTCTTCTTGGCCTTCCTTGTCGATCGCGTGATGGAACTGGACATGGTTCAAGTGGCGTAAATTGTCCAGGAGGTGGTCGATGAACACGCCAAAATGCTCGCTCTTGGGAATCGCTTACAATCTTATCGCCCTTCTTTCGATCTTTAGATAATTTTATTTGTTCTTCAGCTTGCATTGTGATGACATCCCATTTGGCTTTAAGGTTCTGTTTCAATGATGTCAATGCTTCGACCTCATAATCTTCTAATCCATGACGTTGTCTGTTTCTTAATGAACGCTTTGCCAAATAAATAGCATACTCAATTTGATCTGGCGCTTTTTGCTGACGCCATGGCCAATAGTAAGGCGACTGAAAGCGATAAAGTGAAGAATCGTCTTTGACAATCAATGTTTTCGAGTCGCTAACGGGAAAGAAGTAACCATGTTGACAAAGTTGATTTGCAACACTCAGCGCTTCTGATTCTTCAATGTTCAAACGTTCCATCATCCATTCAATAAGATCATAGCCCATGAAAGCCGATGGAATGGAAGTTAAAAAGATTTTTTGGCTACGAACAGGAACACCACCATTGGCTTCTTGTGCTTCTCTCACCATTGCTTCCATCTATTCACGATAATGATGATGATGTTAGTCATAAAAAAAAAGAAAAAAGGAAAATGATATGTTTTGCAAATTTATATTATTATAAAAGAAATGTTTCAGTTCCGTTTTTGAGCATGCCATTAATTTTATACGATCATCGTTGTCACTATAATTAATCGTTCAACAAGAACCGTAAGCGTTGCAATTAAAACTCTATTGACCCTCGCCCATGGGACAAACTAAGCAAATATCGTGTATTAAGTAAAAAGACAGTAATTTATGATTTGAACCTGCCTTTGAGCATTTGATTCGACCCTCAAGCATAATTTCAATACATAATTTAATACGAAAAGCTAAAACCTTATTCTCGATTGCCTAATTTGTTTGATCACATTATTAATTACGATAGTTTCAGGAAACACAAAAATAGATATCGCTGTGTAAGTGTGTTGCTTGTTGTGAATGTGCTTTAATTATTAACTCGGAGAAGCACTACATGAAGCTATGAAAAGAAAATTTTCCTGACAGTTTTCACGGTACGCTTCATGATGATTATGTGGGTGGAACGTATTATGTGGCTTAAGTCATAAGAAGAATGATAAATGAAGAAATCGAAAGGAAATGGGAGTGAGACGATATGACAAGTTAAATGTGTCGGCCTACACTTAGAAATCTCTAATTTTACTTCCTGCATTCCTAATGAATTATATTTTAAGATATCTCTGAAGATACCAAAGGAATTATGTACACAAGCACAAGAGATTACGTTTGACAAATCGAGGAATGCGAAAAAGATTTCTTCACTCACGCAATCCACATAATTTTCTTAGACTTATTACAACTTGTAATTCATAACCTGAGATATCTTCCTCCATCCACCCACGCTTATTTGGATATTTCGGAAAATTATATTCGTAATGAAAATATTTATGAGTGGTGATGAAAGCTTTTAAGAGACGTGTTGGCGAATAACATTCCAGACACAAGAGACGCGACTCTATTTAATTTTAACAGCATTTGTCATAAGCAAGCAAGTAACAGGAGAGAAAAGTTTCATTTATGTTCTTCCTTTTCTCAGTCATGGCGCCGGTTGTATTTCTTAAGAGGCCGTTGACGCCTATCGTGTATGTAAGAGAAGTTTTTATTTTGGAAGCAGTTACGTAAATGAAATGGCAGGCAAACGTGGCACTTCTTATTACACAAACGCCATCAAAGAAGAAAGAAAAATAAGTCGGCGAGTAATTTTGTGGCAGTTGTGGTGAAAGAATTAGGACAGTCACGCGATTAAAGTAAACAATTAGCCTGCAATTAAGTAAGTCTATGAATTTTCTAGATTTCCACGAAGTTCATTGTGTTTACGAGTTTACTTTATTTTATTACCTGGAGTTCCGCTTTATACAAAAGCACCGGGAGGGAAATTATAAACATTATAAAGACGAAAACTGTCGATTACGTTCAACTTTTCTTTCTTTCAAATTGCTTCTCGATTAAAATCCATTTTTTATTGATTGCTGGTTATTCTTTCATTATAATTGAACACCTACGTTGAACCGCTTCCCTGCCATTTTAACAGCCCTTTGATCCCCGACTATAGAACCAACTGAATGATTTACCAAAAAGGTCGGAAAAATAAACTTTCAAGGAGTAATTTTTTTGGATAATTTTTTATGATATTTCAGCCAATAAAATAAATCAATAAATATATTCGATGTGGATTTAATGTCGTTTTCAATGTTTACCATCTCTCTTTCCATCATTTTTATTCACGTGCGTGAAAGTATTACCATAAAATCGATGGGAAAATATTTTTCCACCATTAAACATAAAAAAAAGCTAAACACGTGCCTCAAACATATTTTTCTTTACTTAATTTTCTGGGAATTTAACAGGAAATGTTTGTGAAACAACAATATTCGTCATTGCTTTAACTCTCATACGATAATCTAGTTAGGTATGGTTGATTACATTCTCAAGTTTGAGAATAGTTTATTGAAAGGAAACATTCTTGCATAGACGCCTTAAAATGAGAGAAGAAAGAAAATTCTTTGAAGCTTTTCATTCAACAAAAGCATGCAATTTTCCTCGATTCGTAAAGCTCGTTCGATCCAGACACGAATGTTTCCAAACGGATGAGTTCAATTTCTTTTTTTATGGAGGTCAGAAGCAGGAATGTTAGTTAAATATCAAGTGGAAACTTCAACAGAGAAGTATTGACGAGTTTATTGCGCATTGTATAAATTAACTTTTAAGTATTTTACGCATTCATGCAAATCACGCACAGCTTTAATACGTTAATTCGTTAAAATCCCTTTTAATAAACACCCACAATGATTTTTGAATGAAAATCCTGACAGAATCCTCTTTGAAATTTATTTTTTTTAACTACGAACATGAGAAATTGAAGTTTTGAACATGCTTGGCTTTTCATCAACCGCTTTTTCACTCACGATGGAAATAATTTAAGTATATCTAGTTAGACAATAGTGGTGAAAGAGTCTCTCGAGTAAATACCCGTTTCTCTTTTGTAATGTGCATGCCTCAGAATAAATATTCATATTTAATAATTTCAATGTACCTTATCAAAAGCCATTGGACGTGACAGCCTTTCAATGGGGGCTGAAACAGAAGCAGATGATGATGAAGGTGTGGGTTGAGATGACATTGAAGAGGAGGTAGAAGCACCTGAACTGATGGATCGGGACGAGAATGATGCCGAGGGTCGATCGGAATATAATACGAGTTGATTACTAGTGGATGGTAAAGAAACGGCTGCGGTTGCCATTGCTGATGTTGAAGGTTGAGGTTCTGTTGCTAATGAATTGCCTCGACGATGTGCTCGGTCTGGTGGAATTTTTTTGTTGTTGTTGGGTGGTGGCTCCATGGCCTAGTAGGCTCCAGTGATGTGTTTATTTTGGCACCAATTTTTGACCGAACTTTTGTGCTAAATTTTACCTTTCAAACAAGGGCAGTCGCTCGAAAATGTGCGCTTTTAAATATTTCTGCTATGCTATGTAGTTCTTTGTGTGTATAAGTTTGTATTTGTGTGTGACTGTGAGATTATCAAAGTTTATTACTCTTTGTTTTGTGTTATTTATCTTACGGTTAATGGAGCTTTGAGTAAGTTCGCACTTTCGTAAAGGGTTATAATCTGTTTGTGTGTGTAAGTGAAAACAGCTTTGCTCTAAGTAGATAATTTTCGTTTCGTTTAACTTTTATGCTCGTTGATTTTCCTTTCTTGAAAATTTTTCTTTTTTTCTCTTTATATGCTTTTATGCTTTTATTTTCTCGTAGATTAATTAAATGTTGAATTTTTCAAACTTTCTTGCTTTCCTTTAACTTTGTTATTTTTTCTTTTTGTTGTAAGTTGACGAATGAATCTCATCCGAACTCCATGTTTGTTTTGAAATTAGAATACACAACTGTTGTGCAAAATAAAAAGAGAGAAAAGTATGAAAAGTTAAGTTGTGTAGTTGGAAATAAATTTATGGTTTGAGAATTGATAGTGTAAACTTTGTAATTATTTCATAAGAAGTTTCAAACTAAATGAAACTTTTTAATCAATAATTGAGTCACGTTTGATGTTATCGAAGAAGTAAAACATTGTTGAAGTGATTTATTTGTCTCAGTTTTCTTGTGAAAATTTGTAAAAGATCAACAATGTTTCATTTTGTCATGTTGGATGATTTTGTGACTCCGAATAATTTACAACGATAAGAATAAATTTCTTAAATCAACTCAATTCACTTACTTTGATGCATTTCTTCTGTTTTCCACCGGATCGATCTCGTTTTTCTCCTCCACCAATTTGCTGATGATGGATGGAAAATTTTCCTCGATTGCTCGAAGAAAATTTGACGAGACGGCAAATGGGGCTGCGACCGGTACAGAAAAATGGTTTCTGAAAGCGGTTCGAGCCCCTGAACCATCTTGATATTACTTCCACATTGATCTGAAATGAAAAAAAGGTGGAGAAAGATTTTAATGAAAGTTTTACGATGTCATCAATTCCTTTTAATGACCCAAATGAGGCCTTTACGACCAATTAAGATATTAACCAGACATTAAACACATGTATACTTGTAAATAACGATAATCTCAGCAGATGTTTCAGATTCTATCCTATCAAAAGCAGATAATCGTTAGAGTTTCCCTTTTTTTCTTATTCCACGTTTAAAATTTGACACATTCACATTTTTGTTTATTTAGTTTCATGCCAAATGTGTCTTGGGTCGTTGTTTGTTTGTTCAATCAGAAAGATTAATCTGTCGATAATGTTGACATTGGGTAATGCATGTGACTATCTGGGAAAGTTTTTTTGTCGCAAACTCTTCGAGTTTTATTTAACAAACATTTCAATCGATTTTCACTGAACATTCAATTTGTAAACATCGATTTAAGGGATTAAGAAGCTTTCACAAATATTTTCCTCATAATCTTTACTTTGGATTTAAAACTTTTAATATTTGATATCTTTATTAGCAGATTGAGAAAATTTATGAAGAGTTTTATATCCAATAGTGGTCGACTTCAAAACGTTTTATTTCAGAAAGTTTTAATTTCGAAAACCGCAACCATCGGATTAAAATTTTTATCATTTAAGTTCAGGTTTGTGGTATGAAATAAAAACGAAAAGCTCGGATTTGGGAACATTTACGTATGGTCGGGATTTGTGAGTGAAAGTTTGATGAATAAAAGGATTTTGCATTTTCATCCTCGCTTAGTATGTAGAAGAAGAATAGAAAAGGATCAAATAAGGACAAAACCGGTGACTGCTTCCGTCATGCCAATTATGCTTCCTTTCTAGATTTTCCTCTGCTTCTTATCTTCGTTTGCTTCGAAAACTTTTGACAAACTGTAAACTCATATGAAAGCAAAAAGCATTAACACCTCCCCAAATCCTTATTGGTCTTTTAGAAAAGCCTTCACAAATATTCGACAATATTTTATGCAAATAACGAACCGTTTTGAAAATTAAAACGACCTGACAAGAACTAAAAACCTTCATTTCGTTAAAGGTGAATAATATGAGAAAAGCACAAAAGGACATCCGCAATCAAACAAAGTTTCCCTAAGCCATCTCTTCTATCATTGACGTTTCCCATCATTAAGACTATTTAGAAGTTGAACAAGAATTTTATGTTACGTGGCTTTCAAAAGACTCCCATAAGAGCCGCTTTATATTCTATTGCCTTCTTTAAAACTTTTTCACGGTTTCTTGATCTTTCATAAGCTTTTGTGTGTTTGGAAATGTATTCAACCTTTTGCTACTTTCGAGATTTCTACTTATTATCTAAAGATTGGTTGGTGGAAACATTTAAGTGGAATATCTTTGAAGGTCTCTTAATCCTTATGGTATTTTAAATGACAACATATTTGTGTGTTTGTTTGGATAAATTAGCGTAACATCATCATTCAAATCATCATTACGACAAGCACAAATTTCCGAGCAATATCTCGTTAAAATAATTTGAATTTGAATTTGTTTCAGCCTTTTTATTCACTGAAATGATGTTGAAAATACGAAGCCATTGATAAATGAAATAGAAGAACAAATTCTGCTACAGGGTAGTGGATAACAACAACATTGGATTTAATTGAAGGATCTTTAAATTCCATTTCTCATCATAATTTGTATTTAATTCGACTGTAAGAGGCAGATATGTTCTGATGATGAATAAAATTTATGTTATTTTAAGATATATAATGCTATGCTTATAAGTTGTTATAACAACACATTCAAAACGAAGCAAAACATAAAAAATAAGAATGACAAACTTTGCGGTATCTTCAACATAAATTTAGTATCGATTTTAGCTTCTTTCATCATTTTTTTCCCCGGGAAAAGCTTTTAAAAAGTTCTTTTAAAAACAAATATTTTTTCCTTCTTTTTGAGATGTTTTCAGTGTAACGGCAAGATAAGTGATTTCACCCGCATCCATATTTGAAACAATTTGTTGTGTAATGAAATTCAAAAAAAATGTTAAAAGGCGGTGGAACATTGTTAAGTTTCCTTTTAACTCCGTTAAAGGCAATGAAACAAATAAGCATGAAAATTACTTTTCTAAAGCTTCTCTTTTATTTTTTGTTAAGTTTTATGAAACCGCAAAGAGATTCCTTTTAAGGGATTGCTTTAACTGGTCTCATTAATTTTCTTCAAATGTAAAGCTTTCAGTTGAACAGAAGAAAAATCACTTTTCATTTCAAATAAAGCTATTACTAAGCCGTAATTTGTGCTGTTGAGTTCATAAGAAAGTCTCACTTAGCAACTTTTCATACACGTGCACATAAAGTCATGAAATTTCATAAAGAGATAAAAAATTCCTTTTTTTATTACATGAAAATTCAAATTTTTTTCCACATGTGCGCGCATGCCACAAATATGAGGGAATGAAATTTTTCGAGAGAAAGAATTCAAGATCAAGTTATGATTATGTATCGCTTAACATGAGAATACAAACAATATCGTTAGATATTCTAACATTGGTTAAAGGTTCTGCTTATCATCTTTTACCTCCCCTTGTTGTGAGTATTCCCATAATGTCAATCGTCTTTCTATTGAGATGCAAACCGCGAAACAAGCATGAGAACACAATTTACCATGAATTTCTTTTTTTGTCGATGAAAACGAGGTAAATACTTATTGTGGAAACTTCAATGAACTTTTCTTCATCGACAAGAAACAAGACAATCGTGAATACCAATGTTTCGTGAAGAAAGTTATGAGTAAGCAATTTGCATTGTCAACTCATCGCTTATTAAATAATTCTTCTTCGTACACGAATAAATTGCATGACAATACAGAAAGAAAACTTCAATTTAACTCATCAAAAGAGTTTTTATTTCACAGAAAGTTTCCTCGGTTACCTTATCATCTTTAAAAGTTACGTATGAAAACATTTTTTGACGTGATTAAATTGAATAGAAATGATGACATGAAATAATGATGATGATGGTGATCGTTCGGAGGCGATAAAGAGAAACGTAAGTTATAGAACTGAAATAAGACGTAAATGTTATGTTTTGGTATTTAAGGATAATCATCAGATGTTTGAAAGTAAATCTCATGTCGTAATCTTGTTTAATGAAGTTTGTATATAGCTAAGCTAAGGAAGCTTCTTTTGCTGTAAAATTCTCTGCTATAAATCATCAAACATTGTCGTCTCTAAGAATTCTCTCCATGCAAGTGTAATGAAAACAACTCACGTCTTCTAAGCACAGCAACATGCGCATATTAAGCACAAAAGAAATCATAATAAGGTTTCAACTCTCATCATATCATAGCAATTCCCAGAATGCCATACGAAAGCTGTTTCAAATATCAATGTCAGGTTCTGCCATCGTTTAAATATTTTCATATCCTTACCAACATTTTTCAGAAGGTATCAAGAAAATCAAGGAAATAATAAAAGTGTTTAGAAAAAATGTCATTTAAATGTCAACTCGATTGTTTCTGAAGATTTCCTAAATAAATCAGTTGGTAATGAAATGAATGTCAAAACATTGTGTAAATGTTTTAAATGACAATCGATGTACCTACTAATTAGTGCAGAAAATTGTCTTATGAAAAAACAAACAAGCAAAGCAATTTATGACATTGCAAGATGTAAATAAATTATTTATTTGATTTCCTTCATTTCAAAGAATCAAACTTTCATGTCAATTATATTTGTGACATTTTGAACGCTTCTGGAACATTTCTTGCCTTCATTCATAATAAGAATTTGCACAGTGCCAGAGGCATTTAAGAAATTCTCAGCAAGTTCCAGGTGAGCTCCAATTTCAAATATTTTTAAATAAACTCAAATTTAATTCGTGTTTTAAACAGAAAAAGAAGAACAAAATCATGTCAATGTGGGACTTTACAATTTATCATTTAAAAATCATCGCTTGTCAACGACGATACATATTTAAAGACAAAATTTGGGTGATTTTCAATGTGTTTTCTTACGCATTTTTTGGCATTCCAATTTTCCTTTTCATTATTCAAAGTTTCAAAGTGATTACAGATGTGGCTGAAATGCTTTTACCTTTTGTAATCGAGTTCAATGTGTTTATAAAGATTTGCACGTTTTATTCAAACAGAGAAACATTTTATTTATTGATGGAAGAAATGGAGGAAGTCAGAGCAAATCGAGTCAACAATTTCGTTGTGAAATATGAAATGTCTCGTATGGAATATTATTTAAATATATTTAAGGTGCTATACTCCAGGATTTTGATATTTGCTGGAACGTCATTCTGGCTTGCTCCGATCATTCACACGTGCATTATGAAAAAATTCCTTGGACATGATGATTTTCAACGCTACATGCCAATAAAAGCAATTTATCCATTCGACATGTACGCTACGCCTTACTATGAGTTTTTATATTTTTACATTTCCTATCCAATCTTTCTATCAATCTATGGATCGGTAAAGACAATTCAATTTTAAATTAATAAACCTAATCAGTTACTGAAAGAATGTTGTATACTTCCAGGGTGGCGTCGATATAATGTTCTTCGAGTTTTGTCGTGCATTATGTGATGAATTTGATATTATACAACGAGCTGCAGACACAGAAACAGAAGATAAGAAAATTCTAATTGGTCACCACTCAAAAGTATTGAAAGTCGCAGATCAACTCGTAGCATTGATGGAGCCCATCATATTTGTTCAATTTCTTATTGGTTCATTGACTTTGTGTGTTGTTGGATTTCAACTTGTCATGTCCGACGATTTTGTGCAGAAATTTGTTGTCACATTTTTGGGCCTCTCAGTGACCGGACAACTTTTCTTCTACTCACTTTTCGCACAACTTTTAGCAGATTATAGTACAACAGCTGCAGACTTTTCCTTTGCACTTGATACAGATTATGTTTTGTTTATAATGAGAGCTCAGAAAAGTGTTGTTGTAAAGGGAGGCTTTTATTTAGCTACATTAGAAACTTTCAATGATATTGTCAGCTCAGCAGGATCTTTGATTGCACTTATGCAATCTTTCGTAGCTTAAATAGTTCTTAGAATTGTGTTAGATTCATATCTTGTGAAGATATCATAATTATGGCTTTTGAAATCTTTAGATTAGATTGATTCTCTTAATAATTGCTATTTGACATTTAAGATGATAAATATTTGTTAAAATTGAATAATTACAATGCATTATCCGACAAGAACTTTGTCAAATTAAAATAAGAAGTTAATATTTAAATGGAGGTGTGTCTAACATCTAATTAGCTTCTAATATCGTCTTATGAAAGCTATCGTATTGCAATTTATAGCAATGCAAGGTTTAAATAAATAACTAGCCTGATTTCCTCCATTCAATCAATGTATCATCATCTAGCTTTCTGTTTATAACAAAACTTTGTTTGCTACGAAGAAGACGTTGAAGTACTTTTAAGAATGAAATTATTATTTTTAATCTGATAACAATTTGATAATTAATGGGATTTTGTTAATGAGGCAGCACTTGAAAGTACAAGAAGCGTCAAGATTCGCTTTCTGCCTCTGCGAATCTTCGGGAAGAAATCTCTGAACTTGGAAAGTTATTCAAATGTCATCTGTCAAGTTTACAATTTGCTAAACATCCTGTAGGGACTTGTGTGAATTATTGAAGATCTAATGTAAAATTGAAAGCAGAGAATTGTAAAGTTCTCATTTTGATAATGATAAACTCAACATTTGTGTCTTCAATGTGAAAATTGAGTCGGTAAACTGAAAAGTTTTAGGAAAGTTTGAAGTGACTGAAAGTTTTTGATGATAAAAATCGTCACATGTTGCTGATGTTAATGAAAGTTTAGACTCTCTCAACATGTAGTTAATTAAAAATTTATTTTCTTGATTCATTATTAGAAGCAATTTTTTTATTCCAGATATTTCATTTTAATTTATTTTTATGACATATGAAAAATGTCATGCAGCACGATAAAGATTATGCTAGAGATTATGTTTACATAATTAATTACTTGAATGATATACACAAAATATTCAACAAAAAATGTTTTTCCTTAGCTTGTAGCTATCACTTTAACTTTCATTTAATATTTATTCAAATGTATACGAACAGCCATCGCAACTTTTATGGAACAAAAGCTTTCATGAAATTTATCTCACACCCGGTCATACTCCGGTTTAATCAAATTTATGGTCAGAAGAGAAAATGTTCAGAATATAATAAATTATGCTATCGGAAATTTGATATCTACACATCTACATTAAAATACAAAATAAGTATAAAAAAAAGAAAACAAATAACCCTCATGCAAAGTGTTCCTAAAACAGCTTTGTCATGTTATTTGTTTCCATGATTCAATTTCCGTTAAATGTAAATTCAATCATGAACCTTTACCCGTAATAAGAAAAGCTACAACAATGACGTGCTGAGAGTTTTAATATTCAGTATTGGTATGAACAGTGAACGGGTTGAAATTATAAAAAAAATTATTTGCAAACCTAGAAAACAAAAAGTTGGAAAGCATCAAAAAACAATTTCCATAAGATTTTCTTTTAATATTTTTATGTAGAAATTGATACAGTCAAACATTTATGCAATTAATTTTGTTTAATTCATCATAATAAGATTAACTTTCTTCTTATCTTCATTTAGATCCGCTGCCAAGAAAAAGTTATTCTTCCCAGCTTAAAGCTTAATGAATTTATAAAATAAGAATTTTGGATCCGAGAATTTTTATTTGGCACGTTTCCAGCATATAATCAGAAGTTTCTCATAAAAAGCCCTTCACTATCCTGCTGGTTTCCTCATTCTTTTCTGACATCACCAAAAATATTTTCGGAAAAAAGATAAATAAAATATTCTGAACTCGTGTCGATGTCATAAAATTATTTCGTTTATTTGCAGATCCGAGATCCATGATAGAAAATATGGGAATAGCATAAATGCTTCTGACTTGAAAATACTTCACCAATAACACTTCCGATGAAAGAAGCAAATTATTTTTAATCGCTTGAGAAAATCTGTCGAAATATATTTTTGGAAATTGCGTTTATATCCTTGGCAATTTTCTGTTTAAATATCTATATCAAGAGATTTGATAAAAGAAAATCTTCGATTACGTAAACTATTCACGCTCAAGTTCTTATTTTTATCCTTATAAAATCTGCTGATTCAACATTATTGATTTTTTTTTTGCCTCTTTTCTCTTCCTTATGCAGTGTGCAAACCTTTAAAGGTAGTTTCGTAAGAAAAAGGATGGAAATGAAAATTTAATTCACAAGATTACTTACGAATCGAAAGGAAAAAAAAACAATCAATGAATCAAATTTTCGACTCGTTTCAGTTCATTCAGTTTGTCATGTTTAATGGATTTTATTTGTAAGTTCACTTCATCCCATGTCTTAGAATGAAAACGATTTAATTTCATGCTAACAGAGCAAGAGAAAATCAATAAAACATTTCACTTTGAATATTTAATGCCAGCATGATATTCCTGCACCAGTTTATGTATATAACTCAGCCCTATGATTTCCTTCCGGCTAATTCACATTTCTATTTCTCACTCAAACATTGAATAAATAAGAAAAATGAATTTCCGGTTTAATTTAGAAAAAATAAAGCAATCGCTTGTTACTTGAAATGTCATGTAATGAGCGACGTTTCATCGATTAGTTGCAGACATGAAATCGAGAACAGAAAATAAATTGATTTGACATCGAATGTTGTTCGTCCCTGCCAGGAACTTAAAATCATTACATGATCATTTGAAGTACGTTGAACCTTCATTAGGTATTGATAACGATCCAAAGCTTCTAAATATTCCCTATGAAAATAAAAATCTATAAATCGTGCACAGCTTTTAAACCTAACATTAAATTTCAATGGAAGGTTCAAGCAATATCTGTTGAGAATTATCCCCAGAGCCTTCGATAATAGTCTGAACTGTGTTATTTCGTAAAAGTTAGAAGCTCAAACTCAGAAGGTATCAATTAGCCCTTCTTACTCGTAAAAGCTTTTTTTCATGGGGTTTTCAGTTGGCTGAGCTTTTGCAAAATTAGATTTTGGTTCTTAAATCAAAAACAATTTGGAAAAACCTTTTCCTGATAAATCTAACTACTTAACTATATATAAGAGAGAAATAAATTCACGATTTGTGCTTTCTGTTCTTGTTTCTTTACTTTATGACTTTTCAATAAATTCAAACGCAGAAAACACTTTGAAAGGAAAAAGTCATAATTAAGCTCACTTTAGTTTACGATTCCTTCGAAAATAAGTAAACATAAAAACGTGAAATTTTCATTTATTCTCCATAATGTTGTAATTGTAAACCGGAAGGATTTCTGATTGAATTTTTTTTTGACATTCCATAATGTAGCTAAATTTCCTATTAGCTGATGTTGTTCTTGGTAGACGTAAATTTATTTAACAGTCAAAGTGAAAAATAAATGCTGGAAATGCAAACCCAGAAAAAATTCATTATAGCAGAACGAAGCATCGTCAACTAAATTAATTTATGTACATCAAGCTCTCGAAAGTTTTTCATTCAGGAAAATGGAAAATGTGAAAATGTAAACTACTTTTCACATCATGTTCAAAATTTAAATTTTCGTACGAGTATTTCCTTTAATCATTTGTAATTTATTTTAATTACAGGAAGCATAAACTTTACTTAATAGATGAATTTAAGCAAAAACATTATTCTGATGGTAATGAAGCCTTCAGATGTGTGTACTTTGGAAAAGTGGCTTGTTTTATTAATTTAACTTCCAATTTTACGTTGAACATTTTAATGAGACATTTTTCAGAAATGACGGTTTATTATCAAACAAATAGCAAACACGCCCAGAGTAATGACGCCCTAAAGTGAGATGAAAAATCTTGAATTGTGTTCATCAGCATTCAGCTTTTATAGTTTCGTCTCCCAGCGCTTTCTAATGTCAATAAAAACTCAGAAGAAACTGGAAACATTCACATAAAATCGAATCTTTGCTCCGCTTTAATGACACAGTTTAGATTTTATTTGATTATTATTCATACGGAAAATGACTTTCACAAGATCAATCATCGATGACATTAAAATGTGGGTGGGAAAAATATTTTCATTCTAGTGAATAACAAAAGTACCGTAAGGATGAAAAGTCAAGCGTCACTTGATTTAAGATTCATTCATTTAATTCCTTGAAATTAGGTCATAGAATTAAATTGCAACTGCTGATTCATGTGAATTTATTTTCATTTCAAGAAACTCGAAAATTTAAATCTCAAAAGTCCTTCAGCCAACCAACATTCGTCAACTTCTCAAGTTGATTTCATCTCCAAATGAAAACTTGAACTTTAATTACAAATTTTTGTAAATGAAGATCAAGTTGATCTTCAACCCTTAAAAATTTCAAAATAATTATTATGCAAGTTGTTTCCTTGCATTCTATTTTCCCAAACTTAATTTATTTAATTTAAATGCGAAAGTTAAATATTTCTCAACTTCCTGAGTGCCTTTTTCCGTTGCAGTCAAATGAACATAAAAAATTTTAATTTAATTTATTATGAAATGAGTGTTGGTGAAAGAATAATTTCTGGTGTTGAAAGCTAAGTATAAATATTTTTTAATGAGCTTTCTTGTTATTATTTGCTTATCGCCGCCCTCAAAAAATTAAAGTGCTGTTGAGGTATTTTCGCAAAAACTTTTCCCATAAACTTTAATAAAAGGAGAAGAATTTTTATGAGATTGCGGCCATGAAAAATATTATAGTCTTCGAAATTACAAGTCTTGAAGCTATGCGAATCATTTATGTAACAACACCACATGCTCGAAGCATTCATAAACAATTTTATGGAAAAATATCTTGTCACAATTCAAACATGAAAGCATCTTCATACATTTTGTTGACGTCGAACAACAATCTTGATAGCCAATCATGGTTTCTGATTGATACTTTCTAATACATTGAAAATAAAAACAAAAATATTGCTGTAAAGATAGAGAAGAGATTCTGAAAGCTTCTGACAAATCGTTAAATTTTGATTAAAATCAGTTTTTGTTCCTTTGAAAACGATAAATAATTTTTTTTTATATTTCGCTTGTAGTGTTCAATCAATATCTAAGTAATGTTTACAAGCAGCATCATCAAGATACTTAGATCTAATGTCTTCTTATATGCTGTGCAAACAAGTGTATGCGGTAGAATTGAGAAGGAACAACAAACTGTTTGATGATGAATCGCTGTTGTAATTTATTACGAATGATTTACAATGTTCTCGACATCGATAAATAAATGCTTGGAATGGCTCCAATGGACAACACTTGTAATCAGTCTAACGCATTTGCATTTGGATTAATCGTGTAATTGTTTGGTATTCAATGTTATCTATTTTGAGATTTTATGAAAATGGAAAAGTATTTGATGGCATGACAACGAAACTTCTCAACAACATAAATATTTTCCAACATATAAGATGGATTGTCTCATATTCTTATGAATCTCATCGAAATGAAACTTGTTTGTGTTCTCGGTTGAATGTGAATTTGAGATGATAAATTATTCTGACAACACAAAATTGCGGGTTGACACATCATAAAGCTCGTGTTCAGTCAAATTTAAGAAGGAAAAGGAAAAGAACAAGACCATTACGATGGTTCTGTCGCAACGTGAGATTAGAAATGCTGCTGACATCAACGACAATTTCATAAACTCAAATATTTGAAGTATTTGCTTGAATAGTCCGACATTGTCTATTGAAATCATGTAAATCAAGATAAAATATTGTGATGCTAGCATTTCTTGATGATATTATGCGAACGTTCTTGTGGCTGGGACAATTATTTTAATGTTCCATCCAACATTTTATCTGATTTACAAATTTTTATTTATTAGCTTTCTCAGGATCTGTAAACATTCTTTAGGGCAACACAAAACCCACAATAAAGCGTTAATTCAGTAGATTCTTCATGAAAGCTTCACGATCTAATTAAATCATTTATTAACAGACAAAAGGTCGAAGAAGTTCATTTTTATCTTCTCTAAATTTCCGTCTCCTGAGAAAGGTTTTTCAATTGATTAAGCACTTGAACATGATTTTATGAAAAACCATTCTAAGATTCCATGACTCGACAATTTTTGTTCATCTTCCTTTTACTTCCACAAATAATCAAACTTCATGACAATGAACGATTTCTTTTTAATCGTTTTTTGTCGCTTAGCCAAAAGAAAAACATCGTCCACTTGAAAGATTTATAGCTTAATGCAAAAAAGTGAAAGATTTATGATCGTCTCAAGGAAATAGAAGAGAAAGAGAATTGAAAATCACAAAGGCAAGACACTGTAAGAAGTTATGACTTTGACCCTTTTTTACCAGAATTTTCCTTTCCTTCTTGCGTGTGCGTGGGTGTGTGTGTGTGTGTGTGTGTGTGTTTAAACATCATGCGTTGATAACTCGAAAGATCAAAAACCTTGAAAAAATGTTATCAAAATGTTTTGTTTTTTTCCTTTCGGACATCTTGACTAGGCGTGTGAAGTCGAATATCTTCTCAAAGCAGAATATCTCTTGAGTTTAAACCCGCACACAGACATTGGGAAGATTTACCAAGTGGCAAGTGATGTGTTTGCAGTCCACTGAACTTTTTATCTGGCGTAGACATGCCTTAAAGTACCAGGGGCGTCGACTGAACTGCTTTCAATGTCATTTTCTTGATTGTTTCGAATGGAAATGTAAAATAATTATCATGAAACTTGTTTCAAGCTCAATTAAATATCAGCCTTATAATTCGTAAACATTATTAATTAAAAATGTTCGAGAAGAAAACTAATTTATCTCCGTAGCACGGGTGAACGAATCTTCGAATTTCAAGGGCGTAAATGAGAGAAAAATAAATTAACATTAAGACAGTTCGATAGAATTGATATGGAAAAAAGTGAAGAAAAAGTGTGGGTGGATAAAATAAAGGAAACTTCATACTTCTTCTTATTCCTTATTCAGTTTCTTTCTTGAAAGCTTAATCCAATGAAATCTTGCTTTCAATAACTCGATTGTTAGTGACAATTAAGTTAAAGCTTCTTTTTTTCTCTTTTGTTAAACATTCAAAGAAGTCATGAATTGAATTCGAAAATAAGAAAACTGTAAAGAAATTTAATTAATTGCTGAGAGATAAAATAAAGGTGCATTAACGAGAATGTTACGATGAAAGCTTTCAATTCACTGATTTATGCACAAAGCTTTATTTTAAATTACTTCTTTTATTACATATCAAGTGTAGAGATATAGTCAGCATGTCAATGATAATGTCATCACGTTCGTTTGTCTTAAAGAACAAAACAAATGTTCCTCAATTTTACCTCAATGTTATAGACATTTCCATTCATGAAGATCTCTTCGAGATTTCTTTCGTCTTTTCTACATTTATGTACGCCATAAAGACAACATAACCTCGAGGGTGAAGGATGAAATATTATCGCCATTATTCACTTCTCCCATGTTTCAAATTCTGTTCACGAAGTTCAAAGATTTCTGATTGTAAGTGTAAAATTTCAATTAAATTTTTTTATTGATCTCTCTTGAGAAACATTCGATTAATGTTCAACGTTTATGACAAACACAATTGAAAAATCGTTCTTTAATCATCGAAGTATCTTCTAATGATTATTTATAGAAGAAGCTTCTTAGATTTATCTTTTAGATGATGAAGAAGCTTGAGAGTGTCAGATGCTATCAATATAATCAATGATAAAGCATTGAAGCAAGTAGAACAAAGACAGATAATTTCTTTGATGGTTCTACATAGAGTGGAAATTAGCACTTCGGAAATATGATATTGACAGCTTAACGATAAGAGTCTGATTGGAATGAAGTACATAAAAGAGAATCATGGACATTACAGCATGGACCTGTTGGGCTCTTATTATAAAAAGCACGCACAGCTGGAATAACTTTAATGAGGTCGAAATTATGGAGGTCTTCATTGATTATTCCTCATCTATTTTTTCCACTGCAACACCATAAGTACTTTTTTTTCCTTTTTAGCCTTTTTTCTCTCCCTCGACAGAGGATCATTGTAAAAAATTTTTTAAAAAAGGTTCATCCTAATTAATCTGTCGAAACAGGGAAATCCAAGTAAATCAAATCCTTTCGGAAACGTGTTGAAATATTATTCGAACCTCATCTACTCGATTTCAATGTTCGTTTCTGTATCTGAGCTCTGACACACCTTTCGGCGATTAAACAGAAAGGTTCTTTTTCATTAAACTAAAGTATTGCGAAACAAGTCCATGGAAAAGAAGGCAGAATTGGGAGGCGTTTGCGTCGAAGATCTTTTATAAAAGGAAATTAAATTTTATTACGAGAATTGTTGTCGGGTTTCACTAAAGAATTTCTCAGCCTTCAATATAAAACTTTCCAAAATTTCTGAGAAGAATTTTTTTTATTCTTTTTATAATTTCTACAACAATCTTTCCACTTTTTTATTTAACAAACTCTAGAACTAACTTTTGACTTCTTCAGAGCACAAATATTGATTTATTTTAACAAACATTCCATCACGCGCTTCATTATTTTATGTTTTCTTCATCTTCATTGAGACAGCTTCAGGAAATGAACCTTATCGACAAATTCTACCTAATTACATAAATTTGTCAATACAAAACAATTAAATTTAATGATATTAAGTACACAAATGTTTGTTTAAAATGCTGAAAGTTGTTTAAATGTCGTTAAATTTTTATTAGTAAATAAAGAAGGTTAAAGAAGTTAAGCCTGTAATATATTTTAGTTGAGCTGTGAATAATTCTTACCCAGTAAATATCAACGTGCATGTAAGTGGATTTATGTGTAATCTTTTACTTAACCTTCAAGTATCCCCAAATTTCTTAAAGCTTTTTTATTATTTGTTACCCTTCAACCTTTAACAATCATTGACTCCTTCTCTCCTTGCTTCCTTCATAATCTCGCTCGAAGGTAATGGAAAAGCGATGTTGTTGAGCACAGATGTGCTATATTTATCTTTTGTATGAAGTCTGATAGCTTATTGGAATCGCAGATATTTACACAATTTATTTCGAAGCACAGAAGTGAAATTATTGAAATTAAAATCGATGAAGTTACAAAAATTGGTTGCAATTAGAGACTCTCAAAATCCCTGGTTTTCGAAAAAGCAGGGATCAGGGAAAAGAGAAGGAGTAAATCCTAGGGAAAGGGATCAGGGAAAACAGGGATTTTTTACTGTGTAAAAATAAAAGTTTAATTTCATTTTTCCGTTAAGAAAAAACTTTTAAATAATAATATTAATTTTCAAAAAATATTTCCAAGTTCACGACTTCTTTTTTTCAAATTTTATGTTTTAACTTTGGGTTTTGACACTTTTAGCGCACTTTTCTTTTTTTGAAAAATCCAAATGTTCTCTTGGAAATTGGAATAGGGATCCCTTATGCAAAAAGCAGGGAAATAGGGAAAAGGGATTTTTATTGAAAATCCCTTGTTTTTTTCCCTTAGGGAGGGATCCCTGAGAACCTCAACTTGAAATATTTTCTTTTTTTAAAAATCGAAAGGAAAACATAAACAACTTGAAATCATTATACTCTCTTAAAAGGGCAACAAAATTTTTTTCTTAAAATTTGCTTTACATTTTTTTCTGATGATCTTGTCATGAAAATTCAGCAACTGCTTAGGAAGCTTCAAAAAGAGGTTGGAAAAGCCAGCCTTTAGGGATCAAACTTCTTGATGGAAAAACAAGATTGAAAGAAAAATATTTGATAGGAAAAAAAAAGTTTTAGTTTTTTTTCTGTTGAACATGAGAAGGAAAGAAAAATGTCAAGAATTTGATTTTCTGCTACGAAGCAAATTTTTAAGGAAAGTTTTTTCAAACATACTCAAACACATCTTAGAAGGGAAGCGAATGATGAGATCGGATAACAAACATTTAATTTCTTTCTTGATTAAATGCTTACAAAAACTGCGAGTTTTCATCTGTCGAAATGTCTGTAAAGCAAATACGAAATTCTCAAGTCTCAGACTTGACAATCAAGTAGCTTTCTACTATTTTATTTCAACAACTTCGTAAATTACAAAATGTGGCATTTAACAGCAGAACGTTTCTGTGTTTACTTTCACAGTGTTATTTCATCTCACAGCATTTAATTGGTCATGGAGACCTTTCATTTCTTGAAAGCCCTTAATTAAAGCAGCTGGAGAGAGAGTAAATAAAGAGCTGACGAATGAGAAGAAGAACTTCAAGAAGCATCTTTGTGTTGATAACATTTGACGAATCTTTTCAGTGAAACTCTAAACGAGAAGAAAGAAAGTATCAAGCAACAACACACAGCAAGAGATGTTCGTTTTATGGATGATTTTACTTCACTTATATGGCACATTTTACGCGCCATCACTTTTATCAATTGTGAGAGAAATATTTATAATCATAAAAAGAAATCATCGTTTCGTGCAACAAAGCGTAGAAGTTCAAGGTTGACACAAATTTGTAAACAACACAATAAACCAAATTCAAATATTTTTGTTAGCTGTTTTCCACTTCCATTCAACCAAATCTCTTCTATTTTTTCATTTCTTTTTTCGTTGATTTCTTTTGTTCCACTCTACAATATTGAAAAAGCCAAAGAAATTGAGATTTAGATGACATGAAACAAAAATAAATTTCCATTTACTTGTCTTCTTTTCCCTTTTATTTTCTTGAAGAACAAGAAAGGAGAACAGAAGCAAAATAAATCCTTGAAATTTGTAAATGTCGAAAGATTGAAGAATTGTGTGGGTTTAAAATAATCTCAAACAATGGATAGACAGAATTCAGTTGAAAGCTTTTCTTTTTAATACTTAATTTGCAGTTACGTTTCAACAACATAATGAAAATTCCAATTCATTGAGTGCTTAAATTCATCGTCATTAAATTTTCTCGTTTTTCGCTAAACTTTGTATCTAATAAACTAAAAGTTTTTGAATAAATTGCCACATTACTAACGTTTCTAATGATTTGATCTGAGAAATGAGAAATAAGTTGATTAAACTTCGAGAAATTTTCAGCATTTGAACCTTTAACAGAATGCTGAGGAAGAAAGTTTTTCTCATTAAACTCCCACTACTCACCCACTGAACGAAAAGCAGGAATTTGTTACAAAAAATTACTCTCATTTTTGGGGGGAATTAAGAATATATTCTGAAGCATCTTAATAATCATCATCATAAAAGAAAACGAAAGAATGAACGCTTCTCGTATTTGCCTCGCTATCATCGAAGTTTGATCTTGAAAAAGGAAAATAAATTCATGCTGACGAAAGTGGTCAGGGTCAGACAATGATTTGAGTTTTCACACAAATTGAGCAAAAGAAAGAAGGAATGAAAGAAAAGCCAATCAATGTTTGAGACTATAAAGTTAAATAGCATAAGAAAGCCTACAATTCGTTCAACGAAACGACATTATTACAATCTGAAAGTGCGCAATCTGAAAGTTCTTGGAAAGTGAATCGTGAAATAAGAGAAAAATGGCTTTCATGATGAACTCTCTGCTGTTTTATTTATGCGCAGAACCAAAGCGAAGTTGTGTTGAGTCACAACACACATTTATATGTACACCCGCAGAAATTCTTATTTTTCTTCTATTTTTGAATGTCTTTTCATCTCAAATCTCGATGGCATAGATTTGTGTAGATCAAATTTACGACAAAAAATAATTTTTCAAAGCAGGAAAATTAAGTTCCGACATCGATACGCTAAGAAGAAAATTTCCAGCTCAGAAAACTTTTATTTTGTTTGTTTCATTGTCCAGCCGGGCGTCGTTAATCGATAACAACAGAAAGGAAAAGAAAATCACAGAAACAATTTTTTTTAATGTTCTATGAAAAATTGTTTTGCAACGCGACAGAAGCAAAAGAAATTTTTCTCATCATAAAAACGAGCAATTATTCAACAGTCTGCGTTGTTTTCATAAGCTACGCTGTTGTGATAACGAAGAGTTATGAGTTGGATGGAGAATAAGTTTTAGAGATTTAAAACCTAACAACGGTCATCTTGATAAGCCTTTTTAAGGCCTAAAAGTTCTTCAGTTGGTCAGAGATGCTTTTGGCATACAATGAAAGAGTAATTGCATCAAAAACCATTGAGTTGAGTCGGTCATAAGCGTTCTTATCGCACGGCACTTTCACTCATTCCTTCGTTCATCTCACATCACCACTTTACGATAAAGTTTGCTGATGACATTCAAGCTTTCTTTTCCCTCTTCCAGTAATCATCATCTTGCTCAATGTTTCCAAGGGCAAGATTTTCTTTCCTCCATCCACTCAGGCTTTTATCATCTCACTGAGAAATGTTTTTCATTCGTTTTGTGGAAAAATGGGAAAACGTTATGTAATGTAGTGAATTTTTCAGGTTGATAAGTTCGCAATGATTTCCAACCGGTCAGTGATTTATGAGTCGTAATTAAAGCAATAAAAAAATACGAGAAAAAAGAAAATATAAAAAAGCACTCACCAGTAATTTATCCTTTTAGCATCATCGCAATGAAGATTGTTGATTAAATCATCCACTTTTAATCAATTTTAGGGATTTTAAAGGGAAATTCGCTTTCCCAAAAAGCTTTTCTCTTCTTCAATGACTTTTCGTTTCTTTTTCTTTTGATTTATTTTGAATAAACGTTTTTTGATTTCTATCAATTTACAATAACTTTTTGGTTTTTCGTTTAAATTCTCTTTTCTTCCACCCACACAATCAATTTTCTTACTTGTTTTGTTCGAGATGATTTTTTCACCTGAATTTATGGGATGATTAAAAAAGAAGAGGAAAAATAAATATTGAACAATAAGGAAATGAAAGAACATCACTTAAACAATAATTTTCTTTCAAGCTTTTCATATCCAACTTAAGATTTATCGAATCAATTTCAAGAAAAGTTTATCTCGTTTCACGCGTTCAGAATTCAAGAATTAATTTCACATCAAGGTGATAAAAAGAAATCTTTACTCCTTTTCTCTTTCATTTAACATAAAATTGTGTCTGCTTCCCAGCGATAAAAGTAAATTTATGACAAGACTTAACATCATCTCACGTAAGGAAAAGAAATGCTTAAGAATCAAGAGTGAGGGAAATTCAGAGGAAGTAAAAGAAAAATAAATAATGAGAAAAAGCGTGCAGAAGTTTTAATTAGTTTTCACGTATTTATGTTTTAATTTTTCCTCTGCTTTCTAAGTCTCCATCCAACAATTGCTACAGAAAACACTTTCAAAAGCACAGATGAGACCACAATTTCGCACTCCAACTCCCACTTTCTAACGCAATTGTTGCAAATCTCAACATACAAACAAACGCATAAAACATTTTAAATAATAAGATAATTATTCTTTTCTTATCTAACTTCGTTGTTACTTCAAATATCCACAAGAGAAACTCGCGAAACTTTTAAGAATAATATTTACTTTAAGAATTAAAACATATGTCCCATCGCTTCATCCTTTTCTATCTTATTGGAAAAGGTCGAGCAACTGCGTAAAGCGAGTGCGGAGACAAGGCAGAAATGATGGAGAAAGCGAGAAAGAGAGAAGAATTTTCTTTTCTTTTTTTTCTCCCATTCGTTATGGGAAAACCTATCTAAATGATTGTTTTATTTCATCTCTAAAGCTTCCTTTGTCACTGCAAATGAAGACTTGTGACAGTTGTTGTAACATTTATCGCGATTAAAAATTCATTAAATTATCAAGAAGGGACTTTAAAGCTTGGAAAAAATAATTTTTCTTTTCAACAATTTAATTTTTTTTTCTCTCTCACTAAACACACCTCCGATGTGAGATGGGGAAACTGATCACAGCAAAAGTTCGATTCAGACTGGACGGTGTTGGTGGAATTTTCCTGAGTGTCGCTTTTGAGAATAAACAGAATGGGAAAAAGAAATTTTTAGAATTGCGCAAGCTCGGAAAAGATTTCCAGATCATCTGGAAAAATGAATGCAACACGAAGTCAGTCGATGATGATTTTACTGAATAAATAATACTCTTCATCGATAAACATGAAGTTGATTGATCATCTGTAACAACATGAAGTTAATTAAATAAAACATTTGGAACATTTTTCATTTCATTTGAAATTTATTTTTTATTTTGTTGCACAGAATTTCATTTTAATTATTAGTAAGGAAATTAAAGGAAAAGCGCTAAATAAATTAAAAATAATATGCGATTGAGTTGAATGACTAATCATCATCATCATGATCATCATCATCAATTTAAACAACAGGAATGCTGGTTAATGATGATGGCTGTTGTGGAATGGGAGTTTTCTTCTCAACTTCTTCAATATCTTCGTTTGTGTTCATTTTCAATTCATTAAGTGTCGAACTAAATCTCTGCCATTCATCAATTCGTGGCGTCGCAAGATTCTCAGCAACGTCATAAACATGAATTCGTCCCGACTCATCGCCAACAGTGACATGAAGACCAGATGGTGTCCAAGACACGCGATTCAAAGCTGGATTGCCATCAATGACAACAGAAACTGTCGGCACTTCAGTATCTTGATTAAGATTCCATAAATCCAATCGACCACTTCCGTCCACAGCTGCGAATAACGAAGGATGAATCGGAGAGAACGCAACATCCATCACATAATCAGCGTTGTCTTCAAACGAGTATAAAGGCTTTGTGTCTTTCAAACTCCACAATTTAATCGTCCAATCGATTGAAGATGTCAGGAAGAGATGAGAAAAGTCAGAAGACGATTGATTGTGATGTGTTGAGATGCCAGTAACTGGACCCAAATGCTTCTCGTACGTCTCGCCAATCCCTGAACGATTGCCATGTCGTGACGCTGAATGAACGTAACCATCTTCACTACCAAGCACAAAATTATTGACTTCGTCGGTTGGAAATGCCATGCATGTAACCGCAATTGGTTTCGCTTGACGATGCTGCAATTCGAGAGTGTCTTGTGGTGCTGACAACATGTCCAACGACCACGAACATAAACGTCCATCCGATGAAATTGAAATGACATTGTGAGCGTTTTGTGTGCCAACCATTGAGAGACAATAAACCGGATGTGTGTGGGCTGTTGAGCTTAACGGCGTTCTTTGAACTGGTGTTCGCTTTTGAACACGATTATCCCACATCACAATCTGACCCGAATATGTTCCACCGAGAATCAAATTTGGATGAAATTTAGCAAAACATGTCGACATTACAGCACTTTGACAATGGAAAGTTTCTTCCGGCGATTGTTTCTTATATTTTGTATTCCATAAAGCGACAACGCCGTCGGGTTCGTTTGGTGACTCTTCGTTGTTATGATAAGAAGCGACCATAAGTTCAGGAAAGTGATCTGACCAATCGAATGATGTCACACAACGATTCTTCGACCATTGTTCTGAATAAAAAACGCGATTAAGTGAAAGACGTGCATTTGTCCTCTCGTCACTGAAAACAGAAAAATATTTTTCTCCTTTTTTTTTTCTTTCTACTTCTTCAAACTTTCAACTTACGATCCTTCATCTGATTCGCTTACACCGATGTAATCAGTATAAATGTCAACAGTTTCAGACAATGCTCGTTCCATAATCTTTCCTGACTTCATCACGAAACGTTGAAAATCTTCGGATAAGATTATCATTTGCTTTTGTTCATCAGAAAGTTCTTTGACTGTGAAATGAATGAAAAATGATGTTGAATGAGGGAAAAGTTTTTTCATTTTCTTATTTGAATCTTACCAAGTTTCACTCCATCTTTCTTTTGTTCTTGTGGTGTGATTGCTGGTGCAACTTCTTTAACTGTTGGTAGACCGTGAGGAAGAATGCCAGGCGGTAATTTCGAATGAAATCCGTGATCCATGTTGAGTGAATGATCCTCGTCGTCACCTTGTCCATCCCCAAAAGCAAGCACTATATAAGTAAAACTCAATATTGCTAAGAACCGATTCTTGTTTAAGGACGAAAATTATAATTAAAATAAATCTTAAACTACAACACAAAAAAAGGATTTTAAATAAAAAATTTGTGCATCAATAAAATTGGAGAAAAATGTGCTAGCAGTTTAAAGTTAAAGATACACAAAGAAGCAAAAAGTTGTGCAGTTGACTTGAATTTTAAACTCTAAAAGTGTCGGTGCAAAAAAAGGTTTTGTGGAAGCAAGAAAGAAGACACAAAAATAAATTAAATGTGGATCAAAATCATAAAAAGAAAAAAATGATTTTCTCATGCTAAATTATCATAAAAATATTTACAACTTTACGATAAAAACTCATTTGTCATTTTACTCAAACTTCTACTTAGATAGTCGATCATGAAATGATGTTGAATATAAAAATTAAATCACGTTTCTCTAATCAATCAAATTCCGTTTGTCATCTGAACCACATAAAATTTATTTAAATGTCGAATCGATATTTATTATTGAAGAAAATATTTACATTTAAAAAGATACCAAAAATGTAAATAAATATTGCAAGAGATCGAAATTTGTTCAACTTTTCGATTTCTCATCCCAATTCCTTCCTTTCTCTTCGTTAATATTTTTTATAAATAATTTTCTGTTTTTGTTTTGTTTTTCAGTCGTTTTAATATTACTTTTGATTTAAGAATCATTTCTCCACCCAGTTTTCATATCATTTAATATGTTTGTGTCGTTTTTTACGTAGTGTCGTTAAGAATTGTCAGGAAATGATTAAATTAATGAATTCATTGCAATCTCAGCTAGAATTTTAGTGATTAGAAAGCGAGAAAACATTCAAGTGAAAAGTTATTTACAAGATTTTTCCTTTTATTTGTTAATTAAGTAGTCACATTGAAGATAGAGAGAGAGCAACGTAATGTGATTGATTAGCCGTCAAAGTTAGATTCAGATAAGAGAGACAAAGACTAGAAAAATGTTTTTAAAACAATTTACCAAGGCTAAGAGAATTTTCAGCATTCTCAACATTCACACAGAAACCAGGATAAAGTAAAATAATTAAAAAAAGGTTTTTTGTTTTCGGCTCGGTGTTGATTTTCTTTATGCAATATTTAGTTTTACTCAAATCGATGAATGCAATTTTTGGTGGCGAAAAAAGCAACAAATTTACTGTTGAATTTCAAGCTCAAAAATTGCAGCAAATAAACAGAAGGCAGGCAAATTAAGTCACTAAAAGACTGTTAATGTCCTTCGTGAGATGGTCCACCTACCTGTAAACTCATCCTCCCATTCTAAACCAGGGTTAAGATTGTATTCATCTTTAAAAATAGAGAGAGAGAGAATATTTCTGTTTAACGTCTTTTCTTGTTGTCTTTTATTAAAGTTTTGATTTGGGTGTCAAATTTCTTTTGCAAGTCAAATGCGGCGCATTGATGGGCCAATTAATCAACATTCATACGAAGTAACTAACAGAAGTGAAGAAGAACTTAAGTGACTAATTATTTAATAATAAAACAAAAAATAGAACGAATTGAAAGTTATTAAGACTGACTTGGTGCTTGATGTTTGGAGCGGATTAGTAAAAAGGATAATAATAATTAAAAAGGATTTAAAACTTTTACAATTTAATTCATGATTAGTCTACTAAAGAGTAAAAACTCGGCATCAGACTTTGGAGATTCGTGTTCAGCTTTGAGAAAGAAAATTAATAATTAAAAGAATAAAACTTTTCTCAACATAAAGCACATCGATAAAACTTTGTGTTTCTTTTTTAGTCACGTTGATTATCCCAAAAAAATCATGCCAAGTGATTTTGTGATAAAACAGAACTTAAAAAATAATAAAAATTATATGATTACGAATAAAAAAAAGTGGGTGGAGAAATAAAAAAAGAAACGTAACGAACGTTTGATTGAAGTGAAGATTAAAACATAATTAATTAACATTGAGACTTAAACTGTAAGAAATTTTGATAGAAGACTTGATTTTAGTTATGTTGAAGATTTAAATATTCTTTAGACACTTTTCTTAAATTCTAAATCCATAATTGGATGAATCAAATCGACAAACTTACCATAATAGTCAGTGGCATGCGCTAAAACATTTAATTAATCGCCCCAGGGAAACACAAAAATTAAATGAGAAGAGAAAAAAAAATTAAAAATTAGAAAAATTCTCGATTCGTGTTTGAGAATTTTTTATCGTCACAAATAGAAATTTTATGCGAATAAAGCGAAATTATGGTTAAGTTAGTTAAGGAAAGGTAGATGAATTATTTTGTAGCATTAGTTTCATTTGTTGGCGAGCGAAATGAGCAACAACTGAATTCGTTTTCCGTTAATTATAAATCAAATCAAACCAAATTAAATATCGCGCATGACTTTATCACGTCTTTTGCTACAAAATGATTTTTTCTTCTTTTTTTTGTATAGAAATGCTGCAAGAAGCGGCACAGATTCCACTCATTTGTTAGTTTACCTTTCCTTGGCCTCCACCAATCTTCAATCAGTCCTGACATGGGCGAAGAATGGCAAGAAAGAACTGTATTTGTTATTTTATTTCAATTGATTAGTGAATTTTTGACTTGACTTATTTTTGCGATTAATTCATTGCATTTGATAACAAAGGCAAAGTTATAAAAAGAAAGAAATAATGTTGGGGAATTTGGAAACTTTTTTTGTTGTAGTTTTGTTTTGTTATCAAGATTGACAAGTTATAGTTTTGTGTTTATTCGAATTAATTATTTTGGAGAGAGAAGAACACCGAGCTATGATGAATTTAACTAAATACTGGACATGAGATGTGAGATTGGCAAAATAAAGAAAAACTTACAACAAAATAAATCTCGTAACTAAATTACATTAAAAGATATTCAAAAAGCAAGCTTAAAATACGTTTTAGATGATTTTTGTGAATGAATCTAACGGAATTCTAAGTAGTTGTTGCATGATTTAACGATTTGGTGTTAGAATTGTTTTCTTTCTCAAAAATATTTTATGGTAGAAAAGCAAACATGAAAATGATTTGAAAAGTATCTCACCATCTCGCTCATGATGTGTTCCTGAGCTTGTTGTTTGAGTTTGTTTGGTGTAAACGACGTTCTCCTTAGGTTGAATATTCGTGACTTGAACTTGGATGATTGAAAGTGCTTGCGATTTTTTAGCTTTGGCTCTGAAAAACAATTGAATGATTATTTCAATTTCACTTCATGAAATCTTTCAACTTACCCAGACCCGTTAAGAGCTGGTTGAAGACTTGCTTCAGGAGTTTCATTAGCTAACTGATCAGACGTAGCAGAGTTAACCGATGAAAGAGAGGAAAGAACTTCGGACACTGGTGCCACACCCAAAGACGAAAGCATCTCATCGAGATCCCTTAAAAATCTCATATTGTAAATATAAATCAAGAATTTGTAAATATTTCTTACTTTCTGTTATCTTTTTCCGGGGCAACTGCTCCAGTTTTTGCATCTTCCAAATCTTTTTGTTCTTTCTCTCTTCGCCGACGATCCTTTTCGTCTCTTAACGCTTGAAGTTTGGCTTTCTTACGCTCCAACTCAGCCTTTCGATCCATTCTCGATAATTGTTTTAAACGATCTAAGCTCTCCAGTTTTGCTGATCTAATTTATCCGACAATATGGTGGTTTGGGGAAGAAATAAAGAATTGACTGATGAGTCATCAAAGTTCACAAAATTTATTTTACAATGTGAAAAAAGCAACTTTAGTGTACTATTCTAAAAGTTCTGTCACCAATTATTAATTTTCTTTTTATATTTTACAGTTTTTAAGCGATTTAGTTTGCGAAAAATGAAATGTAAAATTTATTGATTTTCACAACAACAACAATTATTATAATTTGACATTTTTACAGCATATGGGTTAGTATGAGCAATTACTTTGTTAGTACCCAACTCCACAAATATTAAAATTATAAACTAAGCTTATACCAGAACGATCAGCACTAATTCTTCACTTATTTGTAAGGAAAAACAATTTTATAAGAAGAAACTTTTTCACTTTTCGATTTTTTCTTCCAAATGTGTCTTCGCTAAGTTGCTTTCATAAACCGCACTTGGGTGTATTCAGTAAAGATTGCGCAAATTTTTTGATTGCTTTCTTAAATTAACGGACGAAAACGGTGGTAAAATCAATTTAATTGTTAAAACGAGTGTTACTCTATAATTAGTCAATAAACACATCAAACTATAAAAACAATAAAGTTCTAATTAATAAATAATTAAATAATCGCGAATTTATTGCTTCAATCTTGTTTAATTTGACCCGATAGTGAATGTAAACAAAGAAAAGATTCAAAGCATCTTTTAAATAAATAAATTCTCGTTTGCTGCTTAAAGCAGGAAGCTCAACCAGTGATCATTAAAAGTGTAGGTTGTTTGAAATCATTAATTAATCGACTGGAAATTTTTTGAGCAAAAAACACCTGATGCGAATGAGTTTTGCACATTTCGTCAGTTGAATTTAATGAGAAACTCAGAAACTCTCAAAACTTCAGTTGCCGGTGATCTCATAGTAGCGTCAAATGACATCACAGGGCAGAAAATAATACAGTCGAACGTTGAATACGCTTAGAGAGAAACATATGATTTAAAGTTGTGGACATTTTCTCTAAACTCGACCCTCCACTTGTAGTAAAAAATAAAACGAGAAAAAAGTCGGAGAGTAAAACAACGAAATTTTCTTCTCACAACTTCAGTCATCGTTAAACGTTGAACGAGAACAGTTAGATACGTGCAGCGTGAATTACCGAAAACAATATTTAAGTGTGTAGACATAAAAGTGAATAAGTTTTGCAAAATAAAAAAATCTGCGACAGACCGCGTGTATTTGTGAAGTGTTATCACTACTGAAAGTCATAAAAAAATATCAAGAATTATATTTAATTCACATTTTTCTGCTTTTATCAATCTGAAAAAGGCTTTAGAAGCTTACAGAAAAAAAGTGCACAAAAGTTTTTAAAAACAAATCTGTTAGTGAATAATTTTTGTATTTAATTCACGTATTCGAAGGATTTTCATCAACAAAGTTTAATTGCGAGAATATTTCAACGGCATTGAACTATAACGAGTCGTAACACGTAACTGAAAACAGAAAAGGTAAGTCTCTAACATTGCATTTAGCGGTTACTGTAGCTGATGACATCATTTCGAAACTTCCTTCTTTCGCGTTAATGTTATCACGCGAGTCCTTATCTGATACTTAATTTCAAACAAAGCTTTGTTTTTGATGATTATTTACAACAACATGTCAAGCCCATGCGACATTTATGAGAGAAAATCGATTCCCCCTTCATACCAGTTGAAACTATTTTTGCATGTCGGGTAAGAATTTTGGCAACTGTGCAATGATTTGCCAGAAAAATGTCACTTAAATAATTCGATAATTGCTGATTTTATTATCAAACTATTTGCAAGCAACTGACGACGTCATTCTGAGACTAAAAATTATTTTCAATCTGGAATGCAGAAGACGGAAGCCCTCTTGAGCCATTTTTCTATTCTCAGACAATAAACTCACAATTTTCTCGAATGCCTTATGCTATTTTTAAAACGAAAAAATGAAGAAGAGTCATCAATAGGTCGAGAGACTCTCGAGCTTCTTTGTTTATAAATAAGAAAAAAGAAATTACAAGAGAAATTCGTGTCCACCGGTGACTTAATGCGACTCCTTTCATCATCAGCATCATCATCGTTTTTTCTGTTGTTGATGTTTTCTTTCTCTAAAGTAGCAAAAAGTAGAAGAAACGAGATCACCGGTTGTGATTCATTCGTTCGCTTCAACTTCAACAATAATTTCTCTCGAAGTGACGTTTAGTTGTGAAAAGAAAGCAATTTGAGTCTCGATTGAATTCCGACTTGAATAATTGGTTTCATTTGTTGGGTGGTGAGTGAGTGAGTGAGTGAAACGACAACAAAAATCGATTCTGTTTTTATTTTTCGACGAAACTAAATAAATTTTCGATTCGGATTTGTCGTGATATTCATTCTTGTTCCGTCTTGTTTCCACTTCCTACTCACTATTCGAGAATCATTTAAAGAGAATTAAAGCGATTATTGTTAAAATAATTTGAGAATCATGAAACAAAAGATGTGAAGACAAACAACTGCACTGTTGACTTGCGGCTGACGAAGTGAAAATCTTATCACTGATTCTATGAACTTCTTAAGTAATGTTTGTTTGACTTCATTCATGAACTTTTAATGCTATTAAAGTATTCACAATTTCCTCTCCAATCCACTTAATTAATTAAGTTCCTTCTTGAAAACGTCTAAAATATCACACATTGTCAGACGATGAGTTGGTAAAACAACAACAATAAGTGCTATTTGCGAGCATCTGGTTACGATGCGTATTTTTGTTGTTTTTTACCCGCCTAAGAGAAGAACTTAAACATCCTGAAGGATGATGCAATGCAATATAAGTTTATAATGTTTCAAGGGCTGAGGGTGAAGATTCTTTCTTTCACTTCCTTACTTCCTTTTATCTTCTTCTCGTATTCCTTTACCACATGTTGCACTCACACCATTACGAAATGGAATTTTATCTTCATATTGCACAACATTGACGGTCGTTTTCCATCAACAATAACATTTTTATTGCGTTTTATATTTTACCGAAAAGAACTGTTAAATTTATTCATTCCGAATGCTGATGCATCGGTGAATTTAATTAGGTGTAACAGAAATCGAGGGGAATTAATTTTACTAGAATTGCTTTTTTTTCCTTTTTTAATACCCGAAAATAAGAATCGTGAGGGTTGGAAAGTTGCTGCTGACAAATCTCATGTTATTGTGTTTGTGTCTAATAGAAATGCTTTGTAATCAAAAAACAGGATCATTCACCTTACATTAGAAGTTATAAAATTCATTCTCGTTATAAAATTTAAATGGATGAATGCGATGTTTGTTTAAGGGAGTGATAAGGAAGATTTTTATGGCATTTGTGTGATGTAATTTTTGATTGTTATGTCATTACTTAAATGTATGTACGTCAGTTAAATGACTGATAATGTTAACCTTTCCACGTTGCTAATGTTTCAAGTTGAAACAAGCCATTTATTAGTGCGCGACAAGTGATAAAAACCGATGACTCATCGATGATGCCGACTCACAAACATTTCCAAAGAATTGAATTCGAAGCGAGTTGGAGAAAAAAGACGATGACGATATCAAAACAAATACGAATACACAAATTGCCTTTCTTGACTCTTACGATAGAAATGAAACTTAATTCCTTTGGTTGGGATTTATGGCCGACAAATTTCATTGCAATTCACGATGATAATGAAAAAAATAAATAAAAATTCGCGAAGGTCGTTTTTCTAAACTTTATGAAAAATAAAAATGTTTGGGAATATCATTGAGGCATCCGCTGGAAATGCCGAAAATAGAAAAATAAAAGAAATAGCTTTGACGAGGTCGAATGATCTAAATTCTTATTTTCGATGGCATTTCTCGTTTGTTGCTTTGAAATTCAGCCAAATGTTTGATCTTTACTGATGAGGCACTTAACGACAACAACTGGAGAAACCGGTCCATCTTTGATAAAATGACTTGTTTCAATATAGATTCAAACAATCTTATTAAATTTTCCTTTGATATATTTAAACTTTAAAGGAAAACACGTGCAGCGTCGATTGTTTAATCAAATCAAATCATTAACAAAACATCAAAACAAATCAAATTTTCTTTACTTGTGAAGCATTTTCCTTCTGTCGAATTTGAAGTGTCAATCATAAACACTTCCCTGTGATCACTTTGAAAAGTTTAATTAAGTGGAAGTGGAAATTGACATGTGGTGAAGGTCAACACGAGACTTTCATGATTCATGAGTATCAAACAGAGGAAAGTAGCTCTGACTTAATTACCGCACTCCACTTCAATTCCCTTGTTTATGATTTTGTAAATTTCGCACTCCCAGCACATCCCATTCCAACTTCGTTCTAAATAAATTCTTAAATAAAGGCGTGCAATATGCCAACATAGTAATAAACTTTCTTTTCCCTGTTACCATGAACGACGTCGAGCACACACCTTAAATGCTTCCACATGAAACTCATCAACATTGTTCTCCATCAATTATATTTAAACTTTAAAGTTTCTTTCTTTCTTTCTCTCAATCAAAGTCATTAATTCTTCAGCATTTTCAAATGAAGCGGAGGAAATCTTTTGAAAGTTTTTTTTGATGAACTTTGTGAACTCAAACCAAGAACGAAACTTGACGCGATACTATTTTCTCTTAATTAGTTTAAATGAGTCGCATTTCTCTTATGCGTGTAGCTGGAATTTAATTTTACGATGTTAATTTTAGTGGAAACGTCATAAGAACTGTTGTAACTATTTACAGCCGTTTCTGAAGTTCTTCCGTTCATCAAGCGTGGGTGGCTAATTTCAGCTGATTATCAGACTTATACAACGTCATGTTCGCATCATAAATTTCCATTTCTGTTTATCTTAGAAAGACTTGAAATGAAATTTAATTCGTGTATTTATGTCTCCATCTTCCATGACTTTATTCGATTTTAATTGAATCTATCTCTGGGATTTGTGTTTGTTTATGGTAAAATAGATTGATGGGGCTTTCCAGTCTCATGCATTTCATGACAAGAAATTTCGACTTTATAGATTATTACGCATGAGTGTCGTCTTCAAAAGGGAGAATTTTTGTCTCTTACATCATCAGACAGATGCTTGTATCGTTCAAGAAAATTACTGTGATTAATTTCGCTTTTCATTATGCTCGACTGCTTTCAATGATAAACAATTGTCGACAAAACTGAAATTTATTTGTACTTAGCCTTGACCATTAAAACATTCGAATTAAAACGGAACGGATGTAAAGTATCTCTGTTTATGGACTCTTAGTGACATAAAAGGTTTGCATTTCCAATGTTGTTAGTCAGCAATTCATAGCAAATTGTGAGTAGACTTTAACGATCAACGTGCAAAACGAATTACGAAAACAAATGTTGTGTTCAATGAACGTGACCTTCTTTGTATGTCTTTCGAATCATTGTCATGGATTTCCATCCTTTCTTCAAATTAATTACACGTCATCATGTAAATGTTACTCACCTAAAACATAATTAAAGTTAAATGTAAATTCAATTCATCTGAAAACTGTTTTTTACCTTTTAATTTTTAAAAATGTCGATTTGTGGTCAATGAAACGAATTGATTTGTCATGAATGGCGTTGGCTAAAAATAAACCATGATGTGACTCGTGTTTGGTGTGCAAGTCTCGATTACGCTTTGCATCAACGCTTGCATGTAGTGGAAACGAGAAGTAGAAACAAAATCAACATTAAAGCCTCACGTGAGTCATCAAATGTTTTGATTTTGTTGGATGCTTTTGTGTAATTTGACGTCATTGATTCTGGTTAACTGGCGTGACATTCTTCGAACCGTTTAGTTGATTGATCAGCTGATTTTAGATTTCTAGCATGCTACAAACTTCTGAATGTCACATTTGAAAGGAAAATAAAATCGTCAACTTCCCATTTTGCAAAAAAAAGTTTCAATAGTTGGGAGAATTACAAGCCACAACAATTAAAATTTGCATCACAACACGACATTCCGTCTCTAATCAGATTCAATTAATTTAAAAAGCACTAGGGCGTAATTTAATTTTACAAATACTCAAAGCGAAACTTTTTGTTTGACAAATTTGTAATGAAATTGTAACAATGAATTGACTGACAATATTCGATTGATTTATGCTCGGTCAATCATGTTTAATGTAATGGAATGGCCGAGGAATAATCAATGAGACTACCGGGAGTTCCGTTCACAGTTTCAAATAATCAAATTCAAACTAAAGCAGAAAACTGAAATCAATTTGAGTTCACACCAAGTCGTTAAATTTATTTTTGTAAGATTTCGTTATTTTCATTTCAATAGTTGATGTGGAAGGAACCTCATGGTTATATGTACACGAATTTATCATCTGCAAAGGTTCACACATTTAACTTTACTTCGGTTGGTAGCTGTAAACCATCCTACAGCTTCTGATACTTCACTATTGAACTAAATTTCACTTCCACATAAACATTCGTAGATAGCAAGTCAAATGATGAAGTCAGAGAATAAAATGATGTTGTAATGTCTTGTCTTGACTTAACCTCGTCAACATTGTGATTAATTTAGCTACGGAATTTATTTTTTTAAATAGATTTTTCGAAGCAAATGTTAAAGTCATAAAGTTTGTCGAAGGAAGCATCCTAAGTAACAGTAATCTGTAAATGATCTTCAGAAAGTTCCAAAAGAAAATCGTAAAGTCATGAGACGCTTCTTTTGCACTTGTTCGTCTTACTGCTGACTGGGGAGAAGGAAAATTATTTTATATGTCAATAAATTTTCGTGTTTAATTCACAGATGTGTGAATTATAAACAATGAAATAGATTTCGTCGGTTGTAAAACAAGAAATCCGTTCTTGTTACTCGTGCACTCACAGACAGTGGTGAAAGTTGTGAATTCTGTTAAGTTTCGTGTTCATTTATTTTGTTCACAAAATGAATATCTTTCGATGGCTTCAGGTGAGATCATTCGAGATCACTTCAAACAAATTGTTTCTATCATTAACAACATAATCCTTATGTTACAAATTCCTTCTTTCTTTTATTTATTATTTAACATTGCAAAATAATCTCGTCGAAAATTCTCGTGAGAAAATAAAATATTTAAGAAAGTGAAGAAAACATTTTGAAACTATTAAACATTTTCAGCCCATAAATTATACCGGAAAAACAAATTTCGATCTCACAAGCAACAAAATGTTTATTTTAGATTCGAGACAGGCTCGATGAACAGAGAATTGTGAAAAGAAGAAGTGTGAATGATGCTGCAATGAAAGATTAAGTGACTTTGTATCTGATAACTTTTCTATGCTCGCTTTAGTGTGTTGGTAGGTCATGGTTTGATTTTATTTAAATCAATCTCACCGACATGCACAACATCTTTAACTGTCTCTTGTTAAATCAGCAATTTTAAGGTCATAAAACAAATTAAAATGTTTTAAAGTCAACACAATTGAGGCGAAAAGTTTTTTAATGAACTCTTGGGGCAGTAAATTGCATCATCACTGATTTGATTTGATGTTAAACAAAATAAATATTCGCTCAATTTCATATATAAATCAGGAGCCCACGAAAAAGTTAATGATAACCAAATAAAATGAAATTAAATTAACCTTCTGATGTCACTCGTCGTTGTTATTGTTGTCGTCGATTGTGTTTGAATTTGTCGAATTGGCAACGAAGCGAATGAATCAAGAGTAATTTAAATTGAGCATGGAATTGGATTATGAGAACATTTCACTGTTAATTTCATCCACTTGTTCTACTCCTTAGTGGAATTGAATCAACCACATTGCACTCAATCATCATTATTTACTCACATTTGTTATGTTGCGTAAACCGACTTTATGACTTCATTGGAACGTGGAAAACGTTTTTCCGCGAATTTACGTTCATTATTACTGGTGCAGGCAGCTAAAAATAATTTCACTTTGTGGTGAAATATTTTTTATTTTCGTATTATAACTTATAATGAAGTCAAGTGAACGAATATTGAGAACACTGACATTGCAATGTGAACTTCCATCAAGTGGAGAGAAATAAATCATTCAATCATTGTTATTTAATTGATTTCACATTGCGAATCAAGATATTTTCTTGTCTTCTTAACTTTAAATGCAATTTGTGTCTTCTTCTTGTTAAATAATTGTGAAGAATAAGAAGAAAACAACATGAAAACTTCGACTTGGAATCGATTTTCTGAAAATGTTTTTTTATTTATTTTATATTTATCATGGCACGAAGTATCACCGCGAATAACTTTACATTGATTATCATTATCATTGTATTATCGCGTTTTTAAAGTAGAAAACTTCACGATTTTCTGGAATAATGAAAAAATATTCAGGGTTGTTACTCATTGAGAATTAAATGTCTGTGACATTACACAACCCTGAACCGAAATTATCATCAGCAATAAATTATTGTCTTTGATTAAAGTTTTGTTTGTATATGAGGAAAACTAATAAATTTTCTTAAATGAATGTAGAGCATCGTCATGGAGACACCGACAACAAGACCGAGGAATTCGCCTCCACCTCCTCCACCAAAGCCCAAAAGCAAGTCGCTTTACAACAATAACGGCTCAGATCATCAACAGACGTTGTACGAAGAACAAGTTAACAATAATGTAGAGAACTTTTATCATCAAAATAACCACAATAAATCAAACGGCAGTAACGTCAATATCAACAATAACAACGAAGATAATCTTGATCAATTTTATCCGAGTCTTCCACCAAAAAATGAGCAAGTTGTAATGACACCGCGTGGGAAAACTTCAAACTCGACAGTGATTCTGATTGAGAGAAAGTTAGTGGAAGAAGTCTCTGATCGTGTTCATGTTGCTGGTGGAGATCATCAAGGAATTATCATCAATAAAGATATTGTTAAAGGTAGAATATAAAAATATTACAATCGCTCAATATTCTTTAACTAAATTTATGAAATTTCAGATCAAAAATCAGCCAAAGTTTCACCACAACTGACTCTTGAATTTCGAGTGTTCCTTGTGAGTGCAAAGACAGAAGAACATACACAAGAATCGAGAACACTTCGATTTTGGTTCCGAGAATGGCTAACAGATGGTGAAAGGAAAGCTCAAGTTGCGCAAGATTTCTTTCGTGAACTTGTAAGCCCGAAAGAATTTCCACGAGGTTTGTTAATTGTTTTGTCTATCAAAAGTTTAATTTTCATTTAAATATTTCATCAGATTACGTTGGTTTCATCAAGAAGATTATGAAGTTGATGCAAAAAGGCTACAATGAAATACAATCGATTGAAATTGAATTAGAGATCCTTGAACAGACATCAGCACCACCTTCACGTCCACGTAAGTATCTAATAAATGTTAATGAAGCTCCGGAAACGGAAATGACAACTGTTAGAATTAAGCGGGTTCGATTTGTGGATGAAATTTGAATTTTATCCTTTCACTATTTTTGGTAACAAAAAACAATGCAAAACAAAGAGAATTTTCATATATTTATTTTAATTTCTTTTTCTTTTCCTTCTTTCTCTGTAAAATCTGTAAAAAAATAATAAAAACAAAAATTTTCCGCTTTTCCACGATTCTTCTTCTTCTTCTTCTTCTGATGTTGGTGGTTGGTGATGGTAAATGCAACAGCTCGACCTGGTCACCTGGTGTATTGCTTCGGTGATGTTGATAGTCTTTACTATCGTAGTTTGTCGGGTAGCGAAGGTAGCGATTATATCATGAAACAAATTTGGCTTCAATTTAATGGATAGTAACAGCAAGAATTTCGTTTTAATGTGTGATGCTAACAAAAAGAACATTCGATGGCTTTTTTTCTCTCATTCTTAATGCTTAAGATTTCTGTTTGTTTTCTATTTTTCAATTCACAAAACTCACAATCGCATTCCTCGAATATTCGAGGTGACAAACTCAAAATCATTTCAAATACTTTTGGTGTTCAATAAAATAAAGAAAGATAAAAAAAATTAACTTTTTGTGTGTGCTGTTAAGTCTTTTCCTGTGATTTGTTTTGGTGACGACTTTCTCTGTTCATTCGCATAATGATGTAATGCAACAAGTTTTGTCCATTTCATTTGCTTTTTTACACGCGATAATGACAAAAAAAAGTTTGTAATTTAATTGTTTTAATTTACGACCGACAACTTTTCCTTTTCTTTTAAATTTAAAAGTGTTTCTAAATTGTTTTCTTTCACTCTTCAACAACGTCCAATTGCTTTTATGAGTGAACGTTCGTGGGTATATTAAAAATCACGCGCTTCACCCCAAACACTCGTCTAATAAACAATTAAAATTCCCATAAATTACGACTTCGAAATGTTGCTTCGTTCAACGACGACGATTCGTGTACTTTTCATTCAAACTTCTCATATTGTTGTAGATTTGAAAAATAAATATCAGAAAGTTTTCTAAATGTGCAATTATCTATCGATTCTCTTTAAAAATGACAAAAAAGAAAATTCATTTAAGCAGAGAAGGAAAATGGGAAAAGCTGTCAAGGTTGGCAGGCAACAAAGGTGGAAATCATTGATTTTGGTGATCGCGTGAATAGTGCGAATATAAAAAGCAAATATTTTGGGGGAGTAAAAGAAAATCCATTTATAGATTCATGTCTTGATATGTATTGTCCAAAATGTTCATTTAGTTAGGGGATTGTTCATAAATATTGTCATCATTTAGAATATAAACCAAGGATTTGTACTGTTGCCATAAAAATTTGTTTTATTTTATATTTAGCTTCCCGTTTGGCGTTTAACTTCATCAGGAAATAACTCAATTAACTTTCCTTTCATTGTGTCTCTTCTTTTTCTAAGATTAATATTAACAATAAAAATAATCATCAAAATTGCTTCTTCGTGTTGAAAGTTTCATTGATTTCTTTTCTTTTTCTTCAAAATTTCAGTGTCGATTGGAAACGAAGAATTTGAGGTTGTTCCATTGACGCCTGAAAAAGTTCTTGAACTTATCGAACAGGCTTATCCAAATCCAATCACACCTGACGATCTTGCAAGGTGAGTTTTTTATGAAAAAAACTTTCAATATTTGCACAATATTAATTTGGAATTTTTTAACTTTAACAGAGACAATGGCTGGTCAGAAGAAGAAGTTCTCAGAATTATCATTTCACTTCAAACGCGTGGTCTTATCAAGTCAATGGAGTTTAATTCATTCACGAGAATTCATCACGAGGACAAAGAGATTAAAGTTGTTAAGCAAATGCCAACAATTGCTTCTAACAAACAGCCAACAATTGCCGTCATCACAGCGCAATATTGTGAGAAAGTCGCTGTTGATTCCATGCTGGAAAACAAGGAGACGTTCGTGCGATACACGACAGTTGGTGGGTATTTTTATTTTACATTTAATTTCCTAAGACTTCCAGACGTTCCCTCCCATTGAGTGACGCTCCTTGGAACATTTTATGATTGATTAACTACTTGACATTTTAAAACAAAATTATTAACAAATCCTTTCCCCAAAATCTCCCACGACAACCTCAAACTGATAGGAACATCACCAGAAAAAGACATAAATGGACTCGAACGAAGAAAAATCAAACGAAAGCGTTTTGGTAAGCACCGGTTAAATGAAAAAACAAAGAGATGCTTCGTTTCATTGAACTGTAAAGTTTAATAAAGAAAATGTTTTGTTTTGTTTCTTTTGTGTGTGCTTCACTCTTCACTCACGTGTTGCTTTTCCTTCACTTTGCCATTCAATCTTTTTATTTTATTTCTTTGACTTAAGCAATGTTTAATTTGATTCTTCAGAGAAAAAAATAATTTCGACAATCACAGATAGATTTAAGTAAAATTTACATAAATATTCGATGTTGGTGCTTGGGAATCATAATCAGCAAGTGAAAAGTTTTTACGACTACACATTTTTAATGCCTTAAATGTTGCACAATTCATTTGTGTCTTGAGTGGATTTCTAAAGATTTTATTTGATTTTAATTTTAGGCGAATCAAATGTTTACACTTTGGGTAATATTGGAGCTCATCGTATCGTAAGCACAAAACTTCCATCGATTGGTAGTACACGTGAAGCTTCAATAGCAGCTGGAAATACTTGCACCCGACTCTTGGGAACGTTCCAAAAAGTTGACTACGTTTTTATAGTGGGAGTTGCTGGTGGCATTCCTCATTATACTGATTATAAGAAACATGTTCGTCTTGGCGATGTTGTCATCTCATCGATTGATCAAAGTCGACAACAATTTGTTAATGGCGATGCACACAAAACCGAGAAACCTTATTGTTATGTCTACAGCAATGGAGAAGAATTCAAAACATATTTCCCAGTGAATTCATGTCTACAAGAAATCGCTAAATCATTACAAACTCATGCTGAAGCAAAGAGACCTTGGGAGGCATATTATGACGAAGGAATTTTGCATTTAAAGGATCGAATTGAAAATGATTTCACTCGTCCATCACCCAACACTGATAAACTTTACATGAACATCGGTAATCGTGATGTTATTGAAGTTCAACATCCACAACCTCAAGACACAACCGACGCTAATGAATATCCAACAATGCGACTTCATCTTGGTCCAGTGGGAAGCGGTTATAATTTAATAAAATCTGATACATTAAGAACAGAATTCGCAAAGCGACATGGACTCATTGCTACAGATGTTGAACTCAATTCAGTGTTAGATTCAATTGTTGGTAATTGTCGTGACAGCTTTTTAGTCGTAAAGGGAATTTCAGATTACAAAGATGGTACAACGACAAAGAAGTGGCAGAATTATGCATCGCTTGCAGCTGCAAGTGTCATGAAAGCGATTGTTTGTGCTATGGATGCACCTACCAATGTATAAATTCAACAAGCACTCAAGAAAATATTTATTTAATAAACAAATATATGTTGAGCACTAAGAAACCATTCATAACAATAAAATATTACGATAACGTCATCTAGTTATGTTGTACCAAATTATTTGAACGTCATGTCGTTGAAAGACGTTTCTGAGTACATTAATTATAGTTATCTTCTTCTTTTTGTCTCCTCTTCTGCTTTTTCTTATTATTAATTGATTTTTTTTTTCGTTCATCTAATGTGCGATGGATAAACAAATGTTAGAAATAAAAAAGCTCTGAAAACAGATTAAAATTTCTTTTCTTTTGTCGTTTTTGATCTTTTGTAATTTTCTTCTTTTTCAGTTGATAATTCAATTGAGGTGACATAGAAATTATCTTTAATCTAATTTTATTTCAAATAAACCAACAATTGAATGACGAAGCAATTGTTCTTATATAAAGAAGAAAGTACCTACTTTAAGTCAATTGAAAACTTAATTAAAATTATTGTATGAATTTTACCCGCATAAGACGCACCACAAGCAGCATTCACCACACAATTTGAATATTCAGTTTGTTTCACAACGCGACAATATTCAGTAAATAATATTTGTTTAACACAGAAATTCAATGTTCTAATTCAAAATTTTTATGTCTAGAAGAGTTTAAATATTTATAGAATCATCTAAGAACAATTTAGATAAATAATATTTCACATTTCGCAACATCATTGACGATCTTCAGTTTTTTGGACACAAGGACACGATCATCTGCGATCTTTTCAATTTTCTATGTTAAACACTTTTAGAGTTTCTTTATTCAATTTATGTTTACGCGAAGATATTTTTTAAAAAAAACTTTCAATTGGTGCATTTTAACAATGCAAAAACCGCCATCCGGTAATGGCACATTAAAGTTATCCGGAAATATCATCAACATAGCCACAAATAAACCAGTAAGTTGCATAATTTAATTTAAACAAAAATCTGTTGACTGATTCATAAATTATGATTTTTTGTGTGTTTTTACAAGCAGCAGCAGCAACAACAACAATCAACCCAACAGTTTTCATCAAATATCCCTACACATAAAGCCAACTTTCAGCAAACCTTACCCCGTTACAACCCACCGCCACAAATCAATCCAAATCCTACAGCACGTCGAATAATTCAACGCGGACGATACTCAACAGGTGCGACATCTTTAATTCCCGCACCAGGAAGTGCAAACGTTCAACAACAACCGCAACACCATCCACCTTTAGTGTCACCAGCACTTTCAGTAGCTTCAAGTGCACAGACTTCCGTTCAAAGTCAGGATCCTGCACCAAAATCTCACCTCGCATATCCTTCAAGGATCCCCACAGAAATGTTAAAATTCCAAGTGAGAAAATCTGATGGTGAGTCAGCACCAACGTCAACACATGGACCAGCCAACGCTCAAATTCAGGTAAGTCAAATCTCATTTTCTGGATATTTAAATGTCACACAAACCACTTTGACCTACTTCGAGTGAAAGTTTCTTCATCCATCATCCACTTGCATCTTCAATGAGATCGATTGGCGTAACACTTTAAACTTTTATCTCTTCCATTCTTTTCTTGCTTCGCTTTTTCGGGAACCTGTCTGAAATTTGCACAAGTGAAAGCAGCAGGTTTTTTTCTTTCTATTTAAATTCATGCTTCTGTCTTATGATTCGACGAATGAAAGGAAAAGTTAACAGTGGGATGTAATTTCCTCAATCAAATTCATTTATTTAATTTCATCTAGTCATTGATTGCGGAGTTACGTGCTTTAAAAGAGGCAAATACTCGTCTTATTGATGATAATCAAGAGCTTCGTGACTTGTGTTGTTTTCTCGATGATGATCGACAAAAAGGAAGAAAACTTGCACGTGAATGGAATCGATTTGGAAAATACACAGCTTCAGTTATGCGATCGGAAGTTCAGGCGTATCAGAACAAACTCCGTCAGTTGGACGAAAAGCAACAGGAATTAATTCGTGACAACTTAGAGCTGAAGGAGCTCTGTTTGTATCTCGACGAAGAAAGAACGAGAACAAATATGTTGTGTTCGAATTGTGGTGCAACAACGTCAGCTGTCATGTTACGTGATGATGGCGATGGGTCAAGTTCCAGTACAAACGCTGATGAACCAATTAATAGATTTGCCCTTCCTGTGAGTTAAAGTCAATTAATATGTTTATAAAATCTTGTCTTTAGTGAACAATTTTCAGGATTACAACATCAGATCGACGACAACATCGCTGGGACACGAAACACTTCATTACGTTCGTTCACTCGAAAACAAAATCCGTGAACTTGAGGAAGGTCGTGGAGCTCATTCAGATGCAATTTCACAAGGAAAACCTGAAGCTATCATCAGAGCACTGCAAGTACTCGAAGTCCGCGAACAACTTGAACGTGCAAACGGACATGAAAACTCATCCGACTCAAACCTCGTCCGCGAAATGTACAACAAAGTACTGAAGAAACTTGAAGATTCATCTCATGATAATTAATTAAAAATCTTATTTAATTTTATCTCTTATGTGCCCATTTTTTACTAACTTCTTGCCGCTTACTACTCACATTAAATTTAATTTTTTTACTACTTGTATCAACCGACAGATGAAAAGTATTATGTGAAATTTAAGAAGCCTCAGTATTGTTGATGTTGCGATGAGTAAATGATGTTAAATGTTCCTGGAATCAGCGCTATGAAACAAACAAATATAATTCCTGTCTGTCGTCATTGATGATCGCTCATCGACAAAAGTAATTTTAAATTTTTTCTGACAATAAAATGAATATTTTTGATAACTGAATAAAAAAACTTCTTTCTTTTTTTTCACTAATCTTTCACAAATTTTATTCTTTCCCTCAGCTGGCTGATCGGGAACAAGTTTTTTAACACTTTCCTCATTTGATTATTTTTTTTAAACACGAAAAGAAAACTATAATTAAGCTGTGAATATGGAAAGTGGTGAACAGACGCTGTGGGAACAGATAAACAAGAATCTGAATCACTTAAACTGGAGCTTTCTCAACTAATTTGAACCAATAACCGCATTCGCATCGCTTTGGTGTTCCTTGATAAAGCCACATCCATTGAACAAAGGTCTGTTCTTCTTCGCCTGAAATAGTGTCATGTAAAACTGTAATTTACTTTACAATCATTAATACTTACATATACATCCTACAAGACGAGCATCAAAAGCAGATGGGATCAAGTTTGGTTGTTCCTTTGTGCCAGGTCCACGTTGGAATACTTTCATGTCAAATGGATCTTCGTTTCCAGCTGCTTTTGCAAGTAACTCACGTTTTTCAAGACCAGTTGCATGATCAAGTGGATCGCTCATCACTTTTAATAAGAAAAATAAGAAAACAAAAATCAATAAACAAATGATCCAGGCATAACTTAAAGGAGGAGAAAAGGTTAATAAAAGTCGATAAATCTATAGAAATTTTTCACTTTCATTATTCTTTCTTTTTTAAACTTGATCATTAGACATTGTTAATGAAAATAAAGTTTGAAACTTTTCTTTCCGATAGTTAAGAATACAAATTAAATAGAATTTTTGATATAAAATGTTATGCAATGAACGAAGCTAAAGAATTACAAATTTTAATACTAAAGCATTCATACTTACTTTTGCAAAAGCGGACTGGAGTGTAAGCGACATTTCTACGTGCAGCTGCAAGAAAGATTCGTCCGGTTAATGATGCCATGATTAATTCTCGGATATTCTCGTTATCAAAAAATTTTTTTTTCGTCTGAACTTTTTCTTCAAAGAGGGATGTTAAACTATGTAAGTGGGTATGCAAGTAAATATATTCAAATTATTTTTGACCGTTAATATTTCAAACTTTTATTTCTATTTTAATTTCTTGAGAATATTCATGAACAAATTTAAAGCGAAATTTTAAATATTTATAAGAGATCTTGGAGTTCGCTCATAAATGCAGCATAAGCATCATCTTTAGTTGGTTGCTGCTGACGACGTTGAGTTGAAAAGTTCTGTCGTTGCGTCTCTGGTATGTAAGATTTTGGTTTTGTTCTCTTTGGTTCGTCCCTCTTAACACGCAATGTAGCAGGAACAAATCTAGTTACGTCAGCAGAAAGATTTCTAATTTGAGGTTTTGCTGTGATTGTTGCACTTTTTGGATCTTTTTGTGGTGCATTTCTATCGTGATGGTGATGATGTTGCTTGTGACGTGGTGGAGGCCCAGAAGGTGGGCCAGGAGCCATTCGTATTCCCATTCGAGGCATTCCAACACCAGGTGGTCGTGGTGGTGGTCCAGGTGGCATTCTAATTCCCATTGGCATTCCTCCTCTTGGCGGTGGTCGGAACATCAATGGATGTGGGATTCTTGGGAAGGCGATTGGTTGTGGAAGCGGAATCATTTCTTGAGGCTTTGGAATTATAAACTCAGGAGTTGGATGTAAAGGCTTTTCCGGTTCTACTGAAGGTCGTTCAACGCTTTCCTCCATTTCAACATCAGGTGTTGGATCGACTCGAATAATCTCATTTGCTTTGTCTTCTTCCTTCTTCTTTAATGCAGCTGATTCAACTTCTTTAATGAAATCTTCAATGTTCTTATCATGTTTATCTTTATGATAATCTTCCTTCGTATTTTCTTGTTCTTCTTCACTTTGTGACTCCTTCTCATCACTTTCATAGTCAGAATCCAATTCAGACATTTCAAAGAGGTCTGGAGGCAAATATGGAGGAACGCCAGGTGGCTCCTTTTCTTTACTTTCATTTGGATCGTTTCCCGAGTCCTCTGATCTCTTAAGTGAACTCGGTGGTGGGACATTTGTTAATAAGATTGGCGGCGGAATATTAATTTTTGGTGGTGGAATTGTTGCCGGTAAAGGTTTCTCATTAGTTGATGTGGGTAAAGGAATATCTTCGATAGAAACCATTTCTGCATGACGAACACTTTCATAATATTGAACTCGCTTATAACGACGCTTTTCATATTCAACTTCCTTCCTCTTGTATTCTGACCACTGCTCAGGCTCTTCTTCCTGCATTAATCGCATGACACGATCAAACGTTTCCTTCAATTTTTTTCTTTTCTCTTTGAGTACTTTTTCATTGAGTGGTGATGGCTGGAGAACGTTGTACTCTGAAGTGTTGAATTTTAACGTTAATAAATAATTCTCGAATCTTATGTTCATAAACTTACCCATTTCGTCAATTCCTTCCATTTCTTCAAGTAACTGCAAAGGATCTTTATTTTTGAGAACAGCCTGACGTACCATTTGTCTCTGCTTTTTATTCTTCTTCAACTCTTTTTTTCGTGCTTCTTTTCCTAAAATTTTAAAATAAAAAATTTTAGTTTTGTATCATTAAAAAATTTGAATTTTCTTCTTACTTGCTTGATCTGTTGGATTCATGAACTTTCCACTCTTCGTGGTATTTATTGAACGACGACCCATGATTAGTTTATTATTTTCTTCTTTTAAAATAACTTAAAAGTCAGGATTATTGAAGAATTCGATTTTTTTAATTTTTAAAGATTTATAAACATTGAGCTAACTTCGTGTGAAAACTTTTGTCAGTTTCATTCCTGTCGGACTGTCATGTAGCGAGAAAAAAAAAGTTTTGAAAAACAAACAAATCAGAATTAAAGTTTTCTTCTCTTTGTTTTTATCAAAGAAAAATATTTTTAATCGAACAAATTAAATTTAAAGTAATTTTAAAAAATGAAAAAGGTGATAGCAGTGTTAATTCTGTCGTTCTCTGTGGTGATTTTGATATTTGCGAAGCAATACCATACAACAATAGATCCGCACCTATTAGAAAAAAGTCAATTACGTCAGAGTGACAACAATGATGTGCTAGATGATGAAGATACTCAACTCTTCTGGTTTACACAAATTTCAGACCTTCACATTTCTAAGTTTAAGGATCAAAGTCGTATAAGAGATTTTAAGAGATTTTGCTCCGAAGTTACTGACGTTATAAAGCCGCGAGTGATGATTGCAAGCGGAGATCTTACAGATGGTAAAGATAAGATTTTCGGATCGCAACAATATGAAGAAGAGTGGAAAGCTTATTATTCAACAATTTTTAATTCCGGCGTTCCAAGAAAAACAAATTGGCTCGACTTAAGAGGCAACCATGACAATTTCAATGTTCAATTTCTCTTCTCACAAACAGATTTGTTTCATAATTTTTCGGTGCAAGGTCGAAAACATAAAAGATCTTACTTACATCAAGAAGAAGTTGATGGAATTAAGTATAATTTTGTAGGGCTTGATGGCTCTATTGAACCAGGAACAAAACGTCCATACAATTTCTTCGGAAAAGTCTCAAATGAAGAATTTGACAAAATTGAAATGATGATGAATGAATCACCGGCAAATTATACAATTTGGTTCGCTCATTATCCTACACCATCAATCACAGGGCCAATGGGATCAAATGACATTCGTAAGTTTATTGGAAAGTTTGACACTTCGACGATTTACATCGCTGGTCATTTTCATACCATGGGGGGCTTTGGCCATCGACTTTATACACTTCAACCTGAAGGCTTTTTAGAGCTTGAACTTGCAGACTTCATGAAACAACGGATGTATCGTGTTGGTGTCTTTGATCATGGACTTTTTTCATTTATTGATGTGAAGCTTGGAACTTGGCCAATTGCTATCATTACAAATCCCAAAGATGTGCTTTTTAACAATCCATTTAAAGAAGACATTAAGCTACAGCGTGAGTCAAGTCACGTGAGAATTGTTGCCTTCTCGAAGGTTGACATTGTGAAATGTAAGATAAAAATTAACGATGGTGAATGGATGGAATGCTATAAAAGAAATGACAATTTTTTCACTGTTCCTTGGAGACCTTCAAATTATCTTCACGGCAAACATAAGATAGAAGTTCTTGTGGGAGATTCGGATGGAAGAATCTTCCAACGTGAACAATTTTTTGCACTTGATGGATCACGAACTGAGTTTAATTATTTTGCAAACATGGTTTTAACGAGTGATATGACAACATTGTTTCAAACTGGATTTTTCATTGCTTTTCTCATCTGTTTACTTCCGCTTGTTATCTTCAAGACATGGCAATTGTTGATCAAATGTATGAATGATGATTTTCTCTTAATTTGTTTAACTAATAAATTTTCCTTTTCTATTTCAGATCAAAAAGTTAAACGTCCAAAAATTTCATCAATTTATTGGCGAAGTTTTATTCACAAATATCTTGTGTTTGCCAGTATTGATGAAATATTTTATCCGATCCTTTTCTGGCTCATTTACACAGCAATTGGGCCTTGGTCCTTTCATGAGGTCCTTGATGGTCACATTGGGATTTACTTTGTGTGGGGAACATTCATAAAAGGCGTCTTTGTACCTGGAACATTAAACTGGTGGTACGGATTTCATCAATTAATGTTCTTTCAACTGCCATTAATGATCATCATTGCCGGTGTTTTGATTCGAATGTTTGAGAGATTTCTTTTGAACTACCAGGGAAGCACAGCTGGAATGTCAGATGACTTCATTCATCCATTTTACAGAAATCTACCGTTCTTCGCGTTGTTGACTGTTGAGATTCTTCTCGCTGTATTTTATTTCATTCAAAATGGATTTTTAGCATTCCTTATTGCCCCGATTCGTGTATGGGGCTTGCTGCTTACAATCTACCTCTTTTATCGCGCCAATTGGAGAATTCCTGATGAAAGCTTTAAACAATCAGTGTTAATATGTACGCCGGAAGCAAAACTTTCGACTTCTTAGACTGCTTCATGTCGATAATAAGTGTAAAGTTACCTAATTATTATTCATTCTAATCCCAAAGACAAACAATACTGTGCAAAGTTATTAAATTTTAAATCACTTTTTATTGAGTTCCTCAAAACTTTTTCATCAGGGCTTAGAAAAAAACAAAAGTTGTTTGTTTGTGGAAAAGGTGCTTTGGAAAGATTAGGTAATTTTTATCAAAGTAAAACTTTTTATTTTAGTTCAAGATATGAATCATTCGTTTAATTATATAAATGTCGCCTTTTCTTTTTAGCAAATCAAATAGTTTTGAGAAATAAATTTAGATAATGAATTATTTACAGAACTTTTGTTTGTGTTTCTTTGTTTTGAATTATAAATAGCAAAAGTTTTCGTATTTGAATTTTGTGTTTAGGATGACGAAGGAAAACCAGCATTCGTCGTGATGGTGATGTATCCGCTGACATAAAACTGTGGAATTTTGATAGTTTCTTTATCTTTGAATGTTGCTGGCGGTGTTTGGTTGATTTTTCTGATTATGTTGACGATTTTACCTGAAAGTTAAATTAAAATTAGAATTGCAATTGAGATTCAAACTTGATCGACCTACCGAGAACATTTGTTTGATAAAAATATTTGTTTTGTATGTTAATTAATTGTGAAAGATCAGATTGCGGTGTCCATCGTTGTACGATTTCATTCACTTCCACTTCTATCATTTCTGGTGTCGTTGAAAAAAGATCCAACTAAATAAATGAAATTAAATTTTACATGAGAAAATTATAAGAAAATTTCCCAGCGGAAAAACTTACAGGATAAAAATTTATGTCCATTTTCTTATCACTATAACTGTCTTCACTTTCACATTTGCATGATTTCTGGATTAACTCAATAAGTTTCAGGTAATTGCAGTTTAATTTTGATCGATAAATGATGTAATCGATAAGATTAAGTTCACAGTTATTTGCAGTTCCAGGTGTTGTCAGTGTTGATGGCTTAGAACGATTGAAATATGACGAAATAATTTCTCGATTTGGTTCAAGATTTAATGACATCTATGAAGGAATTAAATAAATTTCATTGCATAATTTTAATTAAAGTAAACAAAATTACCAGCGCATCAATCAAAATTTTCTCATCACAGTTTGTTGTATAAATTGTGACTGAATTTCTTGGCTTTAAAGGTTCAATTTCATATAAAAATTGATCATTTTGATCATCAAACAGACGAAGGTGTTTGTGATTATGATGATTCGATGACTTTGATGGTGATTTATGAACTTTCATGAAAATATTTGCATCGTGTTTATGAGAATGATTAAAGGTATCGGTTTGAAGTGCACTACGTGAACTTGAAGCGCCAAGATTGTAGACTTCGTCATTGCTATTCGTGGTATTAATGTAACCATTTGAAAGGAGATATAAACTTGATGTTGGATCATTTATGTTATTATTGAGTGTGCTTGTGATTTTAAAAATATTATCACCATCTGAGACTTGTTTTGAAGTTTGTCTTTGCGGCGGTCTACTTAATGCTGATGATAATTGCTTCGGCTTTGCACCCGTATTCTTATTCACCGGTCGAATAAAATTTTCCGCCTCATCTTTTGATTTCAACGATGGCACCAACGGTGGCAGATTGTTTAATAGATATTCAGATTGAGGAAGTTGGGGAGCATGATTAAGGAAGTTAAAAGCATTTGTATTGCTTGCGTTGTGCTGGTGGCCATTTGGAAGAATATAATCGGAAAACTTAGCTTCATTTTCAATTTCAGAATTAGTGTCAGGTTCGAAATCCATTTCGAGAAAATCTGTCTCTTCTTCTTCTTGTTGCTGTTGTTGTTGTGGTGGTTGTTGATTTATAACTGGCAAAGGATTGTCCATTTGTCGATTGTTTATGTCATTATGATTATCGTCCATCATATTCACTCCCCATCGACCACGAAAGGCATACCATCTCTGATCAACGTCCGAATTCAATGAGTTTGAAGGGCTTGACAGCTGCACATCATCATCTTCCGAAACAGGCAAATCGTCGTAAGAATTCACAAACATTTCGTCCGAATCGCTATTTACTTGATTTTCATTTTCATCTGAATCTACTGCATCATTTGCTGCCGCCTCGTTGATGTTTTGAAATTCGTCATTTGCTTTTTGATCAGGACTTTTTGAAGGACAATTAGATGTGTGTTTATCCATATTAAAATTGTTATTATTTAAAAATAAGGAATTTTTATTTTGATTACTCAAATCTTCATGCAAAAAATTCATCTTCTTCCATCTATCTTCCACTTCTCATCAACTTTATTTCACTTTTTTTTACAAATATAATAACTTTTCCATCAAGCATGTAGAAAATGAAATCAAACAACGACTTAACTACAATATTTTCATCCCGAAATAAATCAAAACTTTTTACACTTGAAAGCAGGGCTTGGAAGTTTTTCACTTCTTAATATCCTACTTCCGCCGCGGTACAATTGAGTTGAAAGTTTTTGTTTTCACTTCCAGTTTGTTGATTTACAAACTTCTGTTTTCACTTTCACTGACTGAGATTTGAGACACTAGCTTTTTATTCGAATTTCTATATAAATAGAAGTTTTCACTTACGATTCTAATCCCTGAACCAATTTCACCACAGTTTTTAAGCGGTGCTAGATAACTGGCGGCGAAACGTTGGCAGCCCCTTCGATTTATATTTTCAACGGCTTAAATGTAAACAATAACAAACCACAATTTAAATTTTGCAACTTTTGTTTTGTGTAGAATAAACTGCATAATGTCTATTTTGAAAGACAACGATCAAATTTATATTGGAAAGTTTGATGAAATTGAAGAAAACCAGTTCATATTAGTTGTTACGAATTCGCAGGAGTTTTTCAGTGAGAAAATATCATTAGAGACATTGAGTCATCGAATAGAAGAATGTAATGATTCAATCAGATATAAAATCAATAAAGTATTAAAAACATTAAAAAATGAACATCCGGAATGTTGTCAAATAGAAAAGTCAAGAAATTCATTACGAATTGATTTGAAATTCAATGTCAATTCCCGTCCACTTCGAATTCATTTCCTAGTTTCAAAATGTAATGAAAATGAAATTGGATCGTTGTTCTTCACTGGATTATTTAAATGTACGATTGAAAATACCCTACTCATCAATAAAATGCGTAAAGTTATTGAAGCAAAGGATGAAGAAATTAATGATTACAAACAAAATGGAGCTACTTTAATAAGAGGTTTTTATTTTACAATAACTAACAAATATTTTAATTCTCATCCTTTTCAAAACATTTACAGAAGCGCTTGCCACAAAAAAATTTAATTTTACTGATGAAAGATATGAAGTGGAATCACCAGAAGGCCAATTCACATTTAATCCTGATCCAATTATTACTGACACTAACATACCAGATATTTGCAAGATGATAAATTGTAGAAACGTATTGGAGCAATCAAAAGATAAAACTTGCAACGAATTGGCACAACAAAACACACGAAATAGCATAAAAGTTAAACAGAGATCATCGCGAGCAATCATTGCTGCCAAAGTTGTAGATAAAAAGTTTGAATATATCAATAGTGGAGATGAAGAAGATCACAAAACAAATTCTCACTCTTCATCCAATTCATCACGAACAAAACGCTCTGGAAATTCATTAGATCCGATCAAAGAAACAAAAAACAAAAAGAAACCGAAATTCAGCTTTTAAGTTTTGCTTAATTCAATATTATTATAATTCTTAGAAATTTCAAATTGTTCTATTTAAAAAAAATTCATAAAAACTTTGCAATAAACACAATTTTTATAACTGACAAATTGTTAATCAAATTAAGGTTGATGGTTCGACTTTAAGGGTCGACAAAAAAATATTTTTGGAGAGTTTTGGAGACTTTTTTAAATCTTCTAAGAATACTTACAGAATATTCCATGTTTAAAAAAACTTTGATAACCTTTTCTTAAAACTACCTTTACATAACTAGTTTATGAAAAACCTTAAAACTTTTCAAAATATCTAACAAAAACGATGACAAAAAAGAAAACGAACAATAAAAACTTAACTATTGGTCAATATGTGTTTGCAAAACTTAAAGGTTATCCATTTTGGCCAGCTCAGGTTTGTTGAAATAATTTCAAATACACGCAAATCAACAATTTTTGTTATTCACAGATTATTGAAATACCAGCTTCAGGTTATTTCACAGTAAAGTTTTTCTATGCTGAAGATCATGCTAAAGTTGGAAAAAATTACGTAGTTGAGTACAATGAAAAAAGTAAAAACAAAATCCTTACTGAAAAACAAATGAAAAATCCAAGTTATTTTAAATCTGTTGAAGTGATTGAGCTTAAAATAAAGCAGGCTTTAAACAGAGTCAATCAACAGCGATTTGTAACTTGGAACGAAGATAATGCAGTATCAGGAAGAAAAAAATTTGAAAAACCCGAACCGGTGACATTACCCATAATACAATTTGAGTCAGTGGTTGAAAATTTCGCTAGTACAAATGATGAATTACCTTCAGAACAATATCATACAGACATTGATGTTGTGGAATATGATACGAACACTGATATTTTGGAAGTTCAAGAAGCATATTTTACAGAGACTCAATTCAAATCATATTGGTATGCATTACCTGAAGACATGCAGTTCAGTTATTATATCCAAAAGAAAATGATACGCGAAATTGAAGAAATTCGAAGAAATCTCAGAATTGAAAAGTTCAACATGAGAAAAGCTTTGAAATTATTGAAAGAGTTTCAACTCTACAATATGCCTGGTATTTCTCCTTTTATGTTGTTGAAGTATCCCATTGTTGTTGAGAGCATTTATCGTATTCAATTTTATCACTATCAAATACAAAATATGAAAGAAAAAGAAAAACTAACGAAAATAAATTCTGAAATCAGATCGGTGGCTTCGGAAATTTTCAAGGAATTTATGGTAAGAGCTTACCTTAACCAGATTTAAACTTATAAAAATATCTTAAAGTGTTATTTTAGAGTAAAAATTTGCCTTATGAGAACTTTTAACTTCTAATGTTTAATTAAGCATCATCTAATTATATTTTTTTTCAAGCAATGGTTCAATTTTTCTCGTAAAACATTTATGGATAATTTCCGGAAAGAAGCTGAAGAAGTCAAGGAAAAATGTCAACACCTCGATACTACTGAATTGTTTTCCGCGTTATCAATAACAAGTATATAAGTATCTGCAACATAAAAGTTCAGTTCTTAAAATAATTCTTTTAATATAGATGTACAGCCATAAAAAGACTTCAATCAGAAGAAAGCAAGAAATGAACATCATTGAATAATATTCATAACCGCAACAATCTTCAAAAGCTACTGAAAATTTCCAAATATACCTATTTCTAAAGATCTAAAATGTTTAAAAAACCTTTATCTTTAAAAATATTAATTAAATAAATGTAACGGTTAAATTCAAATTCCGACTGTTTCTTGCCTTTGTTTACAAAAGTTACTTCACCATTCAAATTTTCAAGGTTTTCAAAATTTCACAATTCTATTTCCAAGATAACTCAATGTACGTATTACTTATAAAATATGGAAGATAATATTTCGAAACTTCCAGAAGGTTGGATTAAAGTGAAATCAAAAAGTCGACCTGACAAGGAATATTTTCATAATAAATCACTGAATTTGTCACTTTGGAGAATTGAAGATTTGAGTAAATTCATTGATACAAAATCAAAACAAATGCCAACAAAAAGTATTTCACCGAAAAAATCATCTTCCATTTCAAATGCATCAAAGAGTATCAAAAAAGACAATATAAGGAAAGTAAATGGTGCGAAGGATCGAATGACAAAGTTGAAAGTTGCCATAAATGAAGAACGTGGCAACCTAAACATCACCAAGCCATATAAACCAAGCTCTCCTAAGAAGAATCCTGAAGGCAAAAAATTGAAAAACAAAAATATTGCTTTAAAAAGAATCACTGAATTGAGTGAGAAGTTGAAAAAAGAAGTCGAGGAAGCAGATACAACAAATCATACCTCAACAGTAGTAACAGAGATAAATAATGATAACAAAGATAAAAGCTCAGATGAAATGATGGATGTTTCTTATGAGATGCCATCTGATTATGAACCAATGGAATGGGAGACAATTCCGGAACATGAAGTCATCAATGAAGTGCAGAAAATTCGAACAATTGCCATCACACATGAAGAACGAAATCGTCACGTATCAACGTCAAGAAATGCAAAGAACTTAGATAATCTCTTCCACATTGTTGTTGATACAAATGTATTATTATCCAATCTTGATTATGTCAAGTTGATAAAAGGAAAAATGTTCAAAGGTAAAATACGTAAAGAACGAAAGTTGTTATTTAAATGTTTTCATCTTTTACTTGTAGATATTGGCAGAGCTATAATTTTTCTACCTTACATCGTATTATGTGAACTCGATAAATTAAAAACCCATGAAGATAATGTTGCTAAGCTCGCTCGACGAAGTATTTCATTTATTGATGATTCATTCTCGTCGAAAGATCATTTCATTCATGGACAAAGTGCCATTGAAAGTATGGAAAAACAACTGATTCCAATCGATTGTGGAGATGATGAAATTTTGAATTCTTGTCTTCATATTCAAGGGAGAACCAAAAAATTAATTCTTCTCACAAATGATAAGAATCTTAGAAACAAAGCCTTTGTCAATAATATTGAGTCATTTTCTAAAGAGATGTTGAATTTTACCGACTTTAATATTAAAAATGATATAAAGTTTGATTGATATTTTCTTAAAATTTCAATAAGGCTGTGAATTACAAGGAACTTTATAAAGATAAATGCCTAAATAAAAACATGAATATTTTCTTATACTGAAACAATTTCTTCTTTAAAATGATCAGTAAGGTTGATGAGTAAGTAAATAAAGATTGTGGAATGAAATAAACGTATACAAAGTATTTAAAGTTCAACGGTGCCGTTAGATTTTAACAACAAATTTTTGTTCTTCACTTTTGTTACATTCGATTCTCAATTTTTCTTCCGTGTCACTAAGTCTACATAGACTTTAATTTTCTGTTAATTTAATTTTTCAACATAAGTTACACAATTATTGTTGAATTTAAAAGTTTTTAACTTAAGTATACATGTTTATTGTGCCTTTTACATTGTGATGAGAAGTCAAAAAAAGAAGAAAAGAAAGAAAGCAAAGGGGTAAAAATAGAAATTCTTATCATTTAGCAAAACGTAAGATGACAAGAACAAAGTATAATGTAACAAAGTCCTTATACAGTTATATTAAATAAATCCCATATTTACGTTGTTGCAGATAAGACATATATTGCTAATCATCAGAGGAAAAGATAAAAAAAATTTAAGAACTGTGTTGGCTTTGCAATTCAAAAATTATTTTTAATCAGGTAATAAGTATTGCTGATAGTGAAAGTGCTATGTTATTTTATGAAAGTAGCACTCATTTTTCTGTTGCTTAATTAAAGAGTTAGATAATTTTTGCAAAAATTGAGTGAGAATCAATATAGAAAAAAGTAAAAAAGCTTAAAGAGCAAATTCAATTGGTTACTTCAATTCAAGTTGATGAACGAAAGATCGAAAAGTGCTGGCTAATTGAGATAAATCATCGTTCATAATTACTGTGCGTTATGTGTGAGGAAATGTTATAAAAACAATCAAAAAGCAAATCAATTGAAAAAAATCTCATTGAGGAGTAAAAAATAATAAAAAAAACTAAACAAAAACGAGTTTAAATCACCACATGAGCGTGAATATAATCAAAAAAGTGTTTTGTTTCTGCTTGGTTTGAAAGACAAATAGCAGAAATGAAGTTTTCCGATCATCTTGCAACACATATTACTCCAGAATGGAGAAAACAGTACATCAATTATGAGGTAAGTAAATAAGCTTTATTTATCATTAATTAAACTGCATGAAATTGATACAAAGGCTCACTTGCACAATGACACGCTACTAGGTAGTAGCCATCCAGTGCTCGTAAATCTTTCAAACAATAAAAGATCAAGCTAAACGTTTGTTCTTCGTTATCTTTTCATCGTTTTCTTTCATTTTTCATCTTCTTTGCGAAGAAAAAAGTTTATAAATAAAATATTTGAAAAATTTCTCTGCTCATATAATTTAATTCATCGGATTTACACGATTCATACTTTTTAAGACTTTCTTCTTCTTCTCTCTCTCTCTCTCTTCCATTAATTACCGGAAAACTTATTTGATCAGATTATTGACATTAATTGCAAATACTTTAAATGCTCTCAAACCACAACCAAGAAATGTTTTCATGACCTTGCATCACGTGCTTTTAAAAGCAACAAGCAGTTTAACGACAAATGATTAATCATAAAAAATTTGCAGTTCCCATCGTAACCGACGAAACTTAATTATCTGCTACAAAGTTAACACAAATATTCGCGTTCTCTGTAATTGAATTTTTATTTGGCTTGAAAGAAAAATTAAATGAATTTTAATGAGAAAAATGAGCTTTTGAAGATCTCTCATGAGGAAAAGTGTCTAATTGTTAAAAAAACAATTAAAAAAGGTTGTAAACTAATACGACTCGACTCGGCTTGCCTCATAAAATTTGAGTCTCTGTAAAACAATTTAAATCTTCACATGACTTATTCATTGAGTATGTATAAGCAGCTATCAGTAACATTTGACAGACTTACTGATAAAATAATTTTATCTTACCACTGCACATTTTTTAACGCTTGTCAAACAATAAATTCATAAATTAGCAATTAAATCTTGAACAAAAAAGTAAAGAAAAATGAAAACGCTGAGGTGTTGACGCTTACAATTTTACTTCCCGTTAAACCATTAAAGTGTAAAACAATTCTTTTAACGAAAATATTTTGTGATATTTATTTGAGAGCTGTGGAAAAACATTCAACAGGTGCTTTTTCTCTTCTTAAATCATTTTTTTTCTTTACGAGACGAAATGTCTTAATAAATATTCTGCCCACTTTAAATTCCCATTAACTTCTTCGCATAAACAAACGGGGAATTCCCTGTTTCAACGTCATTATACAAAACTAGTTCAATGTTTTCTTTTCTCTTAGTTACAACTTGTGTGAGTAACCAACCATACATCATAGCCTTCAATTTCATTCAAGTATTAGATGATAATTCTGACCTTACCTCTTGTTTATTCACATGCTTTTCTTTTAATTAATGTCACACGACAGCGAGTAGAATTCCTGATATGATTTATTAAGCTCTACTTGATATTTATAACTCAAACTGATAGATAACGAAGAAGATGACGAAGACGTAAAACGTGGCTATTTGAAATTAAAATTTTGACAAATAATCATGAATAAATTATTCGGTTGAGTTGATAAGATAATTTTACAATCAAAACAAAGAAATAAACTAAACATTTTTGTTTGTTTACATTTATTCTATTAGGAAATGAAATCAATGCTATATCAAGCCGTTGAAGAAGCCCCAGCTGTTGAAAGCGTTGAAGAAGACATTCTTAAGCGACATTTTGCGAATTTCGATGAAAATTTCTTCAACTATTGTGATAAAGAACTTAAAAAAATTAACACATTCTATAGTGAAAAGCTTGCTGAAGCAACAAGAAAATTTGCGACACTTAACAGTGAACTAAAAATCTCATTAGAAGCGACACAAAAAGTCAAAGGAAAACCTCATCATTCGTTTAAGAAGAAACCATTGCCATATCGTAAAATTCAGGTTGATTATGAATTAAACTCCTTGAAGAAATTTATTAAAATAATTTATTTCCTTCAGGAATTCAAATTGGCATTCTCAGAATTTTATCTTTCACTTATTCTCCTTCAAAACTATCAAAATCTTAATCACACTGGCTTCCGTAAGATTCTCAAAAAGCACGACAAACTTTTGCGTGTTGACATCGGCGGAAAATGGCAGAAGGAAAAGGTTGAAACATCGCATTTCTTTGTCAATCGTGACATTGATAAAATCATTAATGAAACAGAAACAACAGTGACGAGTGAGTTGGAAGGTGGTGATCGTCAAAAGGCTATGAAGAGACTGCGAGTTCCACCTTTAGGTAAGTTTATTAACAACTTAACATTCTTTAATTAAAATTCATTCCTTCAGGGGATCAACAAAGTCCTTGGACTACTTTCAAAGTTGGGTTGTTTTCGGGAAGTTTTCTCGTTCTTTTTGTGACTGTGATATTGTCGGCAATATTTTATCATGAAGTACCCGGTGACGTTGGTGAATCACGTTGGGAGATCCTTAAGATTGCCTTTCGTCTTTATCGTGCACCGCTCCTTATAATTATGTTCGTATTTCTCATTGGCATTAATATTTACGGATGGCGATCGTCTGGCTGTAATCATGTGCTGATATTTGAATTGGATCCAAGAAATCATTTGAGCGAACAACATTTGATGGAGATGGCGATGATTTTTGGCGTTATTTGGTCAGTTAGCATTTTAAGCTTCCTCTACGCTAACAGCCTTTCAATACCACCATTTGTGAATCCTTTGGCATTGACCATCGTCATGATTCTCTTCTTATGCAATCCAGTGAAAGTATTTCGATGGGAAGCACGATTCTGGCTGCTGAGAACAATAGTAAGCAACTTTGTCGTTAGAAATTTCATTTCAATTGATTTAAAAACTATTTTTCAGGGTCGCATGATCTCAGCGCCATTTTTTCCCGTTCTCTTCGCTGATTTCTGGCTTGCTGATCAACTGAATTCACTTGTAACTGCATTAATGGATTTCCAATTCCTTACATGCTTTTATTTCTCTAGCAGCAGCGAATGGACAAACATGACCAGCATATCGCATTGTATGGAGAAAGATTTTATCATTCGTCCACTTGTTAATTGTCTTCCAGCATGGTTTCGTTTTGCACAATGTTTAAGACGTTATCGTGATTCACGTGAAGCTTTTCCTCATCTCGCAAATGCTGGAAAATATTCGACAACGTTCTTTGTTGTGCTTTTTGCTACTTTGAGAAGTTTCTTCGAGCCTCGTTTTGAAAATACGTTTGACAATCCATTCACTTATGCTTGGATTGTGAGTCAAGTTATAAGCTCATGTTATGCATTGACATGGGATCTGAAGATGGATTGGGGATTGTTTGATAGGAATGCTGGCGAGAATACATTGTTGAGAGAGGAAATTGTTTATTCGTCGTCAGTAAGTTGAATTAAAATTTAATCACTAAGCAGGAATTCATTCCAACATTCTTTTCCAATTAGTCATTCTATTACTTTGCAATTATTGAAGACACCTTGCTACGTTTCGTTTGGGTGGGATCATTCATTCTCACAGAAAATAATTATATAAGTCCGGATTTGATGACATCAATAACAGCGCCACTTGAAGTCTTTCGACGATTCGTGTGGAATTTCTTTCGTCTTGAGAATGAGCATTTAAATAATTGCGGTAAATTCAGAGCTGTGAGGGATATTTCTATAGCGCCAATAGATTCGTCAGATCAAACGACGATTTTAAGGATGATGGATGAGTATGACGGGGTTGTCAACAGGTGAGATAATGATGATTAATTGCTCGGCTTAATTCTTATGAATTTTCATTCACAAACAACAGATACACGAAACAAAACCGACCGAAACCAAAGAAAGCAAAAGATCTTGACAAGCGACCGTTGATTTCATCATTCAGATCTTCAATTCAAGACTTAACTATTGAAGTGCAAGCACTCAAACACTCATGATGTTGTCTAGCAATTTTAATATTCAAAACATGTTTTTAAATCTTTGTAGAAATTTTTTTTCTTTTTATTTTAAAATCTAAGCACGAGCTTGACCGCTTTGTGTTGAGAAATTATATAAAAGCAAAACTTAAAGAACTTTCAATTAATTAGCATTTATTTTTTTAGAAACTTTAGATTATTAAATAATTAAAATATCTCTGCATAATGGCTAAACTTACGATTTTATCGGTGCTAGACATTATAAGTAAGAATAGAAGAAGAATAATTTAAAGCTAAAACGGCAATTTGGACATTGATTGATCAGGTTATAAAGGCAAAGTTACGAAAATTTAAAAAAGATGGAAAATTATTGAAAAAGACTTAAAAGACAAATTTAGAAAGAATTTCTTTGTAGATTATTAGATGATCAAATGTACTTTTAATTAAAGAATTGTGATGAGTAAACTTCATCATAATTACGATAATATCAAGGAATCAAAAGGCCTTTATAGCGACTAGTGGCAGTATTAGTTGTTGATTAATGAGTTACGAAGATTGATGAGTAAATGTGAATGGTTCTGGTAATAAGTAAAGGAAAAATGCTGAAACATTTAAATTTGTAAAAATTTTCAATGAATTTGTCGTACTTAAAGATCAAGAAAAAAAGGAATAAATTTATTTTTAAAACAATAATTTTTTTTGGGAATTTCCAGTAAAATCTAAAAATTCTTTTACAGATTTATTCGATAATTGAACATTTTCAAAATGTTATCATGTAATGAGAAGCGTGAAAACACTTTACGCTCTATGGAGAACTTATTTTTTCCTCTTCTGTATGCTTACAAATTCAATCTTAAGTCGACAGTCAAGCAGTGAAGATCATAAACAAAAACGATCGTCAGTCGGCAACGAAAAAATGGCGCAGTTGAAGATTTTTGGTTGTTATGAATTTTATCTCGGTGCGAAGATTATTGCATTAATATCAATAATCGAAAATCTTGTTAAAGTTGTTGTGAGTGTGATCTTCATAATTTGGGCTTCAACTGAACAGCAATCAAGAAAACTTAACAAAGGTGAATGAAGCAATTAGAATATTGTTTGATGAAATTCTAAGGCAATAATTTTATTTCATCGACAGAAATGAATCACGCCAAAGTTTATGTTTTAATTGGGATCATTGGATTTATTTTCTCATCACTTCTCATTATCGGAATATCAAGAAATCTTTATCGACGAATGATTCCATGGATTTGCTTTCAAATCGGTAACATTTGTTATCAAGTTTACTTCTCATTTGAAGTCATCAAGTCAAGTCGATATGAGAATTTGAACTTTTCAACAATGATAATTTTAATGATTTTTATTTTTCATATAATCTTTGAAAGTTATTACTTGTGTTTAATCATTGGATTATCGCAAATCGTTGCAAACATTAAACTTATGACTGTGAAAGAATCTTTAAATATTCAAAATGTCCCCATGACATCTTTAGAATGTGGAATACATGCAAAAGAAGGAGAAAGTTAATAAAAAGTTGTCTTTAGGAAATCCCGACATTCCTCGTTTGATTTTATTTGATTTGTTTGACTTGCTTGGCTTTCATACTAAGTTATTAAATATTCACGGGTTTTCCCAATGTAAATACATAAAAACGTTAATCACAGTACGAATGATCATCATTTAGTGTGAGTTGCCTCATTCACACATGGTCATAAACGATAAAGCTTTCACGAATAAAGTTCAACATTTTGTGAGCTTAATTGGGTAAACAAACACAAAAAAGATTCTGAACTCATTCTCTTTTGAAACCAACCGATAATTCTGCTCAAACACTTAAAAATGTGTAATTGTTAGCTTTTAATTTGTGAAATGAGTCAATAAGATTGAAGTTTTCAACTTCTTTAAATGTCGTTAACTTTGGATTTTCCCAAATGAGTTCACGAGCAAAAAAAGAGATTAGAGTTGATTTTAAACCGCTATTAAATGCTTGAAGTTCTCAATTAATTGCAGAAAAAATTTAGAGCGGATTTAAGTGAATTAAATTTAATGCTGACACATGCTTATGAAGTGAGATTGAATTAATGTTGATAACAGACATTAATTAATTAATTTGAGCAAGCCTCAATTTCATTCTTAATTTGTCTGACTTTAAAGAAGCCGCTTAGACAGTTTGAAATCTCAAACATTTTAATTTGTAGTGAACGTCTTCAAGTTTGTAATTTTGTATTTTTCACAACTTTCATTTTCAAAAGCTTATGAAGAATCAATCAACGATTTGTTAGTGCAATGTAACGAATCACAACAGCAAATATTTTCAAGTAATCGAACGGTTCATCATTGTGAAAAAAAATGTTGCTGACGATTTTACTTACGTCATTCATTCAATGGAAAGCAATTACGAAAGGAAAAAAATTCTGTGCTTTGTGTTTATAAAGAACAAATTTTCAAAGTTAAAATTCAAGATTTAGTTCTCTCATCAACACTTTAAAGTCGATGCGGTAAATTAAATTCAATTTAACGATCCTTCTTTATTTGTTTGTTAACTTTCAGTACGGTGTGAAGTTCAATGCTCCAACAGGCAAGAGATGTGCTTCACGTATAATCTTCCCGACTTAAATCTTTGTTGTTACACCTGAAGTAAACTTTACAGTTCCACATATTCTAGAACTTGAACTTAATGACATCGATCGGTGTTTGTCATGTGGAAGAATGTTTAATGACAATAATTCAGTGTCCAATGTTAGAAAATATTAGAATGCATGGGAAAGCAACCATTTTATTGCAATTTTCATTCCTTGAACTGACATAACTCAACTGACTTTTTAACAAACTGTTTGCCAAATTCAAATTTTAAGATTGAAAAGGGAATTTTAATTGTGAAACGAAAACTGAAGAATGAAAGCAAAGGAAACAAAATCAGAACTTTGTCAGCATATATTGTGGATTTGAACAACTGTTTTAAAATAAATGTTGAGAGTAATCAAATTAACCTTTATTTTGATCAACAAATGCTTTGTGTTGAAAATTTTCTTGGCTTTTTCATAATTAGATATATACCTTTGTTGATGAAAATTTAACAGGAAAGTTTCGTTAATTAAATTTCTTGACAGCATCTTAAGACCTAATCTTCTCATTTATTAAGTGGAAGTTTAAATTTTATCAAATCTGATGTGTGGGAGTTACGCGGCATTGTTTCACGTTTTGTAAATTTTGAGGCAGCGCATGCTTGTTACAAATATCCAACATCATATGCCACGGATTGAAAAATTAATTAATTTAATTAAATAATGAGATTTTTTTCCATATTCCACTCTCTTCTTCAGAGATTATTCTTTCATTTACTTCAAAAATATTTGTTTGTCTTATGTCAAAATAAATATTAAATAATCACAAAGAGAAAGAGAGAAAATATTATTTTAGTCAAAACAAGGAAAACGAAGAACTGTCATGAGAAATTTGCCACTCACAATAAATATTTTTATACTTTTCACTCGAGTCTTTGCTTATTCATAGGAAGAGACAAAGAGTGATATATTAGTTCAATGCACAACTATTAAAGTGAACTTGAACTTAAGAATCGTACAAGACATGAATGCGAGACGGAAGATTCTGATGGATTCTACAATTATTTCATAACGAAATTGATAACAAATTATTCAAACCGAGAATTTCTATGTGTGATGATTTATAAACACAACAAACTGAACTTGAACTTCAATCTGACGTTTACACATAAACATTTCTCGATCAATGCGGTAAATATAAAAATTTTGTTTCTTTTCAGTATTGATTAATGTTTTGAAAGGTTTTTCAATTATTTTCTTAGTACGGCATTGAATATTTGGATACTATTTGAGTGTTGAGCAACTTTACTTACCAGTAAGTGGGTGATAACTGCAGGTTATTGTCATTAATTAATTATTGAAAATTTAAATAAATAAATTTTTCTTCCAGCCCACTGCTTGCACATCAATTAGAAAGTTATAAGCAAAGAACTTTTGTTCATTCACTTATGTTTCTTTCTATGCTGGTACGTTCAATACTTCATAAAAGACAATTTTAAATATATTTTTATCTTTAGATTGGTTTTAAGAAATTATGACGCAAAACTTCTGAAAACAAATAAAAATATTTAAAACTTCTTGAAATATTTTCAATAAAATCTATTTTTATTTGAACAGTTTCTTAAAGCATTATAAGAAGATCGCCAAAAGCTCGAATTTTCAAAAGATATAAAAGTCAACTAAAGCTTATCTAGATGATGATTGTTCTCTTAACATTAATAAGAAAGCTTTCAATTTTTCAGAAAGAAAATTTCATCTGCATTAGTTGGCGTTTTATGTTAGTTGATTGCAATCATGCATTCATTTTATAAGTTGATTCAATACTTTTATGATGCTTGCAATGGACGCTTTAATATCTACGAAGGCTTTAAAGTTGGTAAACGAATGCAGACTAAATAAAAATTCTTCAATACTTTTCCATTGATTTCCCCGATTTTTCCGAAACTACATTAACATTCAAATCACAATTCCTTTAAAATTCATGAGCTGCTTGAAAGCAATTTTCAATTAATGAAAGCCTTCTTAATGGTCAAATACCAATTGTGCCATCAACATAAAAATTCTTCTAACTTTAGTAAGTTTTCGTATTGAATTCGTCATTTATATCTGAAATATTTTTGAGTTTTTCTCAAAACATTTTTAAAAGCCACTTAAGTGCTACATTCTCATTTAATTAAGTATTCATCCTTTTGATAAGTTTCCATCAACTTTCGAGTACATTTTATAATTTTTAAAGTTTTAAATATGATTTATGAATTCTTTTTTCTCAAGAGCACACTTTTGATTTTTATCAATGATTCTTTTCTCAAAAATATTTGTTCCTCGAATGATTCTTATGAAAAGTTATGAGAGGAAGCCAATAAATTCCCTACAAGCTCAGTCAAGCAATGTTTAGATAAATACATTTATGTAAATTTTTATTTTTTGGGAAAGAAACACGAAACAGTTTTGGACCATCCTCTAAATTTCCTTCTAAAAAGTCAATTATTGAGCTAAAATTTTGCAGGAAGTCCAAGATATGAATATTTAGTTGATTTTTAAGCAGAGTTTTTGATAAAGTGATTAAATAGTGAATTATCTATTATTGAGAACAGTTTTTTAAATAAATTTTCAAGAATGTTAGCGACCTTACTGAGTATTGTCTTAATGTTAAAAGATTCACAATTTCTCCTAAATTTGATAAATTTCCAATACGAATTCGTAAATATTTAGGAAAGAAAATTTAGAACAAAACAAAGGCTTCGAAAGAGAATTTTGAGCGATGATAATTAAAGTTCAAATGCACACACAAAGCTTTCAATTCCACTCGATAATTCGAAAACTTTAATTGAATAATCAAATAAGAATACATGAATGGCATTTGTAAAATCGAAATACATACTAAAAATTTACTCTCATTGTGCTGATTATTTATTTATCGCAGTGGAAAAGCTACAAATGTCTGAATGATATATTTAACTGATAAAGGGGAATATTTATGATTATTTTTCTCCTGGTTTCATATTTTATTTTTGTTCAATTTATTCATGTCAATATCACAGTCTTTCACGTCTTTATGCGTGTTTACAATTGTCATAAGCCATTTAAAGTTTAAATACCTATAAAAATATATTTCGCTACTTAAATCAGCATCGGCATTCAGATTGAGGAAATGGATTTGAAATATTTTCTCCACGAGATATTTTTTAATATTGATATCACACTCTTTATGCTGTCATATTTTATTGGAATGATAAATCGATTTCAAATGCCATCAGGGAGTATTTTTTTCAGCTTTTAAAAGTCATGTATCGTTTGAAACATAGAATTTTATTACACACTTGATTATGCAAGGAATGTTTAATAAAAGAAAAAATAAAACACTGTCGAACTGTATTTATAGACCCCAATAGGATTTTGATGTGTTAAATACTGTGAAATATGTTTTCGCTTGTATGACATTGAAAAAGCTTTTTGTGCTTTCTCATGCAAGATCACCTGATTATCAGTAACGAAAAATCGATCGATACACGTTTCCAATTTATTTTTACGGTGTTATCGAGTGCAATTGATCACTGTTCACATTATATCAATTTTCTTTTCTTGGTTCTTAAACATTTACATTCTCAGACTATCTTAACATGTTTCTGTTAAAAATGATTGAAAAATTTGCTAAAAAGCTTTTCATTAAAAAATGTCCCAATAATAAAATCTTCCTTAAGAAATCACAATATGAAGAAGTCTCCTTGCAAAAGCACTTTTACTATCTTTTATCACATTTGAGATTCTCACATCATGAAAGAATTTTAATTTTCATCGTGCATTAAGCAATTTTATTTTAATCTCATTTGAATTTAATAAAAACAAGGAACCATTGAGATACTCTTAAGGAAGATTCTAATAAAAGTCAAGTCTTGTAAAACTATACGTAAAAAGTTGAATCTCATATAAGCATTTTCGAAGAAAGATTCGTAAAAGAATTAAAGCATCAATTATTATTTAGATTAAATACAAATCGTATGAAGCTTTAATAACTTTTTCGTGAATCTTTAAATCTTTTTAGTAAGTGCAAAAGGATTTTCATTCAGCTAGATCAGAATAAGAAGATTGCTTTGAGGAATATCAATTTAATTATTATTGTTAACTTCATTAAAGCTCGAACCACCATTGAAATGTTTTCCATTTTTCTTACCATTGTCAATAGATTTTCCATTCATTTCCCCTTTGTCATACGCATAGTCGAAAGGAGTGAAAACAATTCGAGCAGTTTCGAATTCCTTTTCAAATCCAAGTTTTTTATACAGACTTTTAGAAGCTTCGTTTTCATGTCGTATAACGACGAAGGGTTTGTACCCACGTTTTATAACCAAGCGAGAGAGATTTTGTGCTAAAAATATTCCATAGCTGAAAAATAAGAGAAGATTAGAAGCTTTGTTGATTTCATTTAATTCGGAGAAAGCTTTAAAGGTTGAAAGTCTTCAAAAACATGTTGTTTGGTTTCGACAAATCTGAGTTTACTGAGAAGGGAAGTAAATTTTTTAAAAATATTTTTCTCAATTGAATCATGTAAAGAAAAAGATGAGAAGTTCTAAGAACTTTATTAATTATGTATTTATTAAAAGGCTTACCCTTTACGTCGATGTTCCGGTTTTGTTTGCATGCTAAACATTGCCCCGTAATAGCTTTGAACCATCCAAGCTGCCAACTCACCATGAAGAGTGAAAATCCCGTAACCTAGACAAATTTTTCATGAAATTAATTATCATGATTCTCAGAAATGTCTAAATATTCACCTGGGAGACGTGCAGCCAATCTCTCGAAGACCTCAATACTTTCGATCTCACTTGCTGGATATAAATCGTGAATGCTTTTGACATCTGATTCACATAAAAGACGCATTTCCTGTACAATCACATTAAAAATTTCAATAATTAGATTTGAAAATTGAATTAATTATCACAAATTAGGTACCACTTCGTTGGATGGCAATTCAGTTTGTTCAAAGTTATCAGGGTTAGCCTTGCAAACGAAAACCTCGCCTTGGATGCGCTCAATGTGGCCAATAGTTTTTAAAAAGTCTTCCATCCGATCCATAATTTTCACAGGTGTGTAGTTCAGGTACATAGGCATTGACCAGTCAAAGAGAACATCCTCGCTTTTAATTAAGTCGACTAAGTTCAGAGAATCGAGTGGACAGAAGAATCCAAAACTTTCATAAACATTGTTGTTGGGCGTCAAAGTGCAACCAGGGAAATGAAGACAAACTTCTTCTTCCGGCCAGTTTTTCGATACGTAAAAGTGAAATTGCCAAATTCGATGATTCAAATAAGTTTTGATAGTTTGATGAAACTAAAAGTGGAAATAATTTCAAATCAATTTTTGTGCAAATTTTCAATTTGTGCAAGTTGAACTTGAAAAGATAATTGGATGAATAAAAGAAATTTTAAAACGAGAATTTCAATCGATATTCATACATGGACATGCTAATAGTGAAGCATATTTATAAACTTTCCCATCCACATTTTCATTTGAGTTTGGAAATAAACTTTCAAATTCAAGCAGCGTTTCATTTCAATAATTTCTTCAATTTATTATAAAATAAAAGTTTGAGCCTCAAACTTTGAGGAGATTTAAATAAATTCTTCTGAGAAATGTTCCTCGAAGAGTCATAATCAGAAAGTTAAGTAAATAACTGTCGTCTCAGAGATACATCAACATCAACTTTGAATAATACTGCAGACAAAAATTTCCCAAAATAAATGTTTGTGACGTCACGAAGCCCCAGCCAAACAGCTGGTGCCGTAATGAAAGAAAACTGCAAAATCAACAAAAAAAGGACGTGCCGCATACAATTTTATTTTCAAAGCAAGCTATAAAATCTTTAGCCTTAGATGTCAAGGGCAATGTCAAAGAGTTTTAAAACCACTAAGCGAGCCTTGCCTTCATGCCAATTTGTAATTCAGCTGTTAATGTTTTTTTCTTTTTTGTGAAAACAATAAATTTCCTTTACACTCTACACACGCTTTCAGTAAATTGTTTTAATTCAATTGACGCCATTTCTCTCTTTTCAATTTGTCATGATTTAAAGCTTAATTTAATCAATGAAAATGTTCAAATTCTTGTGGTTTGCATTAGAAGAACTTTAGGATAACAAAGTCCATTATTCTAATGGAATGTTAGATATTGATTGCATTCAGTTTATCACAAAAAAAGCTTCGTTATTCTTTCTTCACTTGTTATGTACTTTACAATGCAAGTTCAATTTTCATGTATGCGAATAAATATTTAGAATTAACACGAAAGCTTTCATTTTCTATTTTCAAAAACAAAACATGTTGAGCGGACAGTTGAATTTCCTTTCACTTTGCATGTCACAAATATTCCTGTGTCGCAAAAACAATACTTTGATACTCAAATACATAAAGTTATATTTATTGTAATTATAAATTATGAAGTTTCATATGGTTGTAAACAAATAAATCGTAAAATAGCGTTTCACGTCAAGCGATTTAACGAGAAAAAATGTTTTTTATCGTGACGAGACGGACTTTCAAGGTGCCCCTTCCCTCTCATATTAGCGACTCACACAAGCTTTAAGAAAAATCGATGTGAAATTTATTTAAATTCCTACATAGCTCCCAGCTTTTAATACACGAACTCTCACTTAAAGCTTTACGGTTTAAAATAAAAGTTTGAGCATTAACGTTCAAGTTCTTCTTATGTATCGCCTGAATGGAAAGTTTGTTGAGAAAAGCACAAATTTCTTTTAAAAAAATTTAATCTTAAAAGCGGTTCAGAGTGAAATGCCTAAGGGAGGGAATTAAAAATCTCGAGTCTGTAATAATTAATATGATTGAAAGATCTCTTACCTTCAATGCATGTGGTAAATGATTTTCTAGCACTTCCAAGATACTCGGTAATTCATCATCATGTACCAATCGAAATATTCTGCCTTCAGGTATGATTTCCATGTCTGTTGAGAAATAATTTTAAAAAAATTAATTAGATGAGATTGCTATGGAAAGGGAAAATGATAAAACGTGCTGATTGCTTAATTAATTTTTCAAGTGTGAAATTGTATCAAGTATCATGGAAGATATTTTCTGGCTTCTCAAATGTAAGACGTCGTTATTACTTCCACCATCACAGATTTGATTATTGAGCTTCTGTTATTCCTTTAAAGCAGATTCAGTAAGGAAGAAGAAACATTTCTGACTGTGAATGAAGCCTAAAAAAAGCTTTTAAAAATCTTTGACGAGCTAACATAAAAATAAGAAAGTTCACATTTGACATGTTGACAAATGAGGTTGATAACTCTTGACAAATTAGATGATCAATTTCTTTTAGATATTTGAAATGAAAACATTTTTTCCGCATAAAAATTGATCTACTCATTTCATTGTAGGAAAATTGATTGATTAGGTTCAGTTTATAGAGTTTGTCAGAAAGGATTAAAATAAATCGAACGAATACAAAAAAAGTTTTGCGTCAGTTAAACTTTTAAAGGCAGTTTGATAAATATTTCTGATTAAAGTTTCAACTTAAATGAGTAGTGGAATTTAAGCTGCTTAAATTATTATTTCATCGTCATTGCTGACATTCAAAAAGCTTAAAATTTGGTTGGAAGCAGTGGATGCTCAACGAAGCATAACAATTAATCATGAGAGAATGTTGGATGTGAATAATGCCAGGTCAACTTAACTTACCCCCAAGGATTGTGGTCTGGAATATTTGAGATGTTCGCTAGCCTTGTAAAATCTCGTTTGATTTATCTTCACTAAATTTCAATTTTTAATGCACTATTTGGATGTTGTTTTGTTGGGAGTTTCGGCCTTTCTGATGGAGGTTACGAAGAAACCTCCCCAGGCCTAATCCCAAAATCTCAAATGACAAAATTCTTCTTGGTATATCCTTTCACTTTTACCGATAACTTTACCAGACTTCTTCAAAGAAAATTTACCGGAAATTGTTTTTACTTCCTAAAACGTATGTTTTGTTGCTTTTTTGCCACCCACACTCTGCTCTCAGTTCAAGGTTCACGAAAATTGCTTCTATGTGTCTGAAAAGCTTATTTTTACACTCACATTAAATTCTTTTTTTTTTACACGTTCTAAGTTTTCCTCTCTCACACACTTTTCACAAAAACAACAATAAATCGTTGATTTTATATGAAAATCTTTTTAAACTGTTATGGAAAGTTTTTAACATTTATTATGGCTTTGTCAAGAAACCTAAATCAGAGATTTTAAAAGTGACACTAAAGTTATTTCGCAATGATTTTCAATGCAGACAATTTCGCAGTTCTTCTTTTCGTTTTCGTCTCCGAGAAAATTCTTTTTCCGTCTCTCTTTTGCAATCAATTTCAGTTTGACCGACAGAGAACTTTTCTTAAAATTATCCCTTTATAAACTTTGATATTATTCTCCAAGGTGTGAAGAGTCAAGAAAAACCATTTGTGAGTTTATTAACTTTCTCTTCAATGATTTTTCTTTTTCTTTGACGGAGTGGATGAAGGATATTTCAGTTGTTAAGGATTTTTCCTTCTCGTCTCTTCGATGGTTGCCCGAAAACTAAAAGCAATTGCATGCGATTCGCTCGGATATTCATAGTTCGAGAGGAAAAAGGAGCAAAACCATAAAACAACGTGTTCTCTCTTGTTCAACCCCGAAGCAAAGGAAAACATTTGAGAAATTGAGCAGAGATATTTTTCATGAAAACTTCCTCGGGTGCTCTTGCTCACTCACGACATGTGCTGAGTTATTGTTGGTTTTTGTTATTGTAGTAAAATAATAAGAACAAGAAGATTCATCGCAGGCAGAGTAGACAATACCATGATCTGAGGATGTAAACAAAGATACTCTTTCTTTCTAGTTATGAATGGAAATTCATCCAATTGTGCTAAATTGAATTGAGATTGAATCTGTTTTGATATGATGTGAAAATCATCTTATGAAATAATTTTTCCATAAATTGAATATTGAAATTATTAAGCTGGTTGAATAATTTGAATATTTTATCAGTTAGATTTGATTTGATAGAAGAAAATCTGGAAAATTTCTCATAAAAATTTATTTTAGTGCTTCCATATGGCAATTTGCGTAAAGTTCAGTAACTCCCTTCAAGATGTTACTTAACTGCCTCTAATTTTATTTCAGTACTTACTCTGATAGGAAAAAAGGAAAGTTCACAATAATTCTAGGGCTTGCGCAATTTATTTTGATTTTATTTCATTTCTTATGGTGTATCAGTGAACACTTACATAGCAAAAAAACATTAACGGAGTTGCAACATGTGCTCAGAATATTTCCCGATTGAAAACGTCACGATAAAACTAAAGGTTGGGACGTTAAACAAAAGTTTATTGAAAGGGTCTGAAAACTCCATTCCTAGAAAATAAAACAAATGTCGAATAAGATTAATAAATGATTCACGTTTTTTCAGGATATTTTTTGCTTCGACATTTTCTCAAAGTAAAACCAAAGTTAACAAGTTTTCACGTAAGAAGGAATACATCATGCGAACCTGTTTGTTCACGTTCTATCATTTCTTCGCCACTTATAAAATATTCTTAATATTTTTAACGCATTTTGTGTGTATTTCTAATGAGTGTTTTATGCTAAAAGCATGAATACATTTTAATAATTTCTGCATTAACAATTAAAGTTAATCATAGTAATGTTAAGAAAAGATGAATTTGTTGAGGAATAAGTCTTAAGGTTTCAGACTAAACTCATTCAATTTAGGTAATTAAATATAGATTTTAATACATTTTAGTTGCTTTACACGCATTCATTGGTTCTTTTCATTCATATTTTTCTTATCAAACTTCAAATTTTCCTATGCACACGCTTGATTTCAAATTTCTCTCTCGTGAGAGTAAAAAATTATGAGAAATTTCCTGAGGGGTTGTTAACCCTATTTCTTTTGCCAAAAACTCTAAATGGTGTTTCTTTAATAAGCATTAGTGCTTCTCCAAATCCATATTCATTTTCATTAATTTGCTTAGCATTTTTAGAAATTTTCTTCTGGTGTCCAATTTCTTTTTGGCAAAATAATGCAAATTGCAACCAAGTCTTTTCGATGATTTACCCCCTTGAGAGAATCAATAGCAGAAATGAAAAAAGAGTGCAGTAAAACGAGTAAAACAAACGAAATAAAAATATGAATCACTATCAGTAGTCGTTTAATATTTCTAATTTAGAAATCACATATATTTCGGAATAATTGAATAATAATTATAGTGCAATGCGTAGATCAGGATATACTGTCTTAGGAAGTTCTGAAGAAGATGTAGAAGGAGATGCCGCTGATGGAAAATATGAAGACATAGAAGAAGCCAAACCATTCGCTAATATTCGATCGATCGATGGAAATCCATACAGAAAAACTTTGTGCCTTGTATTTACACTATTCTTCGGTGGATTGGTACATTAAATAATTAAACATTTTAACTACCGGCACTTATTTTCTTTTCTTTGTTCAATTCTAGCTGACATTATTGGTATCAACATTGATTTTGTTAGGTCACTTAGATAATGATGTGTAGGTTTAAAATTTAGAAAATTTCCAAATATAAACTTGTTATTTGATACTTCTTTTCTTCACAGATACGCTGATAGACTCATTCCGTTAATAATCCTTGGGTTTTTGATGTTTATTCCTGGAAGCTATTACATGAGAATTGTTTATTACACATTCAAAGAAAGGCCTGGTTACTCCTACGATTTGATTCCATCGTGTAACTGAGTAGCAAAAAATTTCTGTAAAAAGTTCCTGAGGCAAACCAAAGATCAAAATTCGTTTTATTATCACGACAATTTATAATAATTATAAGGAAAAGAAAAAGAAAGCAAGTTATTTTAATTCACTAAACTGCTAATTTTATTAATAAAAATGCCAAATTTATCATTCACATCACAAAATTTACTTTAGAATCATTCGAATTTCATCGTCATAAGCAACATCGAGACAAGAACTTTCCTCGTTGTCAACGATACTTTTGTCAGCTTCATGTTTAAGCAAAAGTTGGACACAATTTTTATGACCGCAACTAGAAGCATAAAACAACGCAGTTTGTCCCTCGCCATCTTTCAAGTTTACATCAATACCTTTTGTGTTCAAGATAATTGAAAGGATTTCCTCATTTCCAATGTCACTTGCCCAGTGAATTAAGCCGAGGCCATTCTCGTCAATGGCGTTAAGTTCACTTTGATTGACATCTTTGAGGAGTGTTTTCAATTTTTCGACATTGCCATCTCTAATGAAATCTTTTATTGATTTGATTTCTTCATCAATTTTATCTTCAAACTTTGGTCTTGAAATAGAAACTCCAAAAGTTCCAGCCGAATTTCTATTTTCTTTTTGTTCACTTTCAATCCATGTTGGGACAAGTTTTGTTAATAAATCAATATAAGATTCCATTGCTTTCTCTTTATCCATTGAGCCAAGATTACTCCAAGCATCATATTTTGCTCGTTCTTGCAACTTAAAGAACGATGGTCGAGGTTGTTGATTTATATCCAGTTCACCAACAGTTGATTGTTTATAAAATGCATAGAATTGAAGCAGATCATTCTTGTTGAAATTATTGTGATGTGATTGAATGTAATTAGCAGCTAAATTAAACTTATCTTCTACTTTATTAGACATTTGGTTCTGATTTCTTGAAGTAAATGTTGTTTCCTAAAATCAATAAAAAACAAAGATTAAAGGAATTCCAAACCAAATATTTCTTGCTTTACCTTCTAAGAAGTGACGTTCTTTCTTTTCAAGGTTTAGTAATGTTTCGTCTGGTACCATTAAGAACCCAAACTGAGGAAGAATAAAAATAATTAGTCATTTGTACATTCAGTAAAGAAATCATTAAATTATTTATACCCTTTGCGATATTCCAGTCTTTCTATCGAATGAAACATTAGCTGCAAATTATAATAAATTAATATGATTTCTTATTATCTCGAATAATGTTTATTTCTTTACCACCGACAACACGTCCAAATTGTTGGACGTAAGTTTTAAGATGCGGTGTTGAAACTATGAAGTTCAAGAAAATAAATGTGGAATAACAAATCTTGAAAAATATCATAAAACCTTACCTGTCCAAGGTAAATTTGAAACAAACAATTTATGCAACGAACGAACCATTACCTTAAGTTTGATACTAAATTAAAAATCGAATGGAATAATCCAGAATTCGTAAAAGAACGAGTTTAAAGGAAAAATTATGAAATTGTAAATTTTAATCTCTCCCCTCGTGCAGCAGCAAATTTTCTACGTAAAGCGACGCTTCAAGTTTTGTTCAAATTTCAAATTTGAAAAGTGACGGTTATTTGTTGTAATGAACGAAAAATTTTCATGATGAAAGCGGAAAACTATTAATTAGATGTTGTAAAAATTGTTTAGCAAGCTTATTTTTTGAATATTAAAATAGATCATCAGTTTATGCTATAATAACGTGCTATTAAAATTAACAAGCAATTTTGAATCTAATAAATTTTAATATCGAACGTAAACAAAACGCCACGTGAAATCGTTTATTGTTTATGCACCATTTTCTCTCAAGAAAAATTTCTCTCTTTTTCTCTAACTCACACACACTTTGACACTTAGGAAAATTCTTCCATAAGTCGAATAAAACTTTTGCTCATTTTCTTTCTTCAGTTGTGTTTACATTTCAATTTAGTCCAGTTGCAAATCTTTTTTGTCTTATATGGTGAAAAGCGGAAAACTTTGAGAAAAAGTATTGAAAGAGGATTGTTGTGTAATTTTTCGGAAATCTTTTAAGCTCAGTGCCGAGAGTAATGAAATAGGATTAAGAGTAACAAAAAGAACAGTGAAAAATATCGAAATAGATAAAAAGGGAATAAATAACAAGAAAGGCAAAAATGAAAAAAATGTATCAAATCCCTAAATCGAAAAACAAGGGAAATTGTAAATGATATGAACGAAAAATTTCAATACATTGAATACATAAAGTTAAGCGACTGGAATTTTTTGTTTGTGAGAGAGAATACAAATTATGCGACTAACGTGAGCGGTAGACAATAGGAAAAGTTTTCATCGTGCAATTTGGGTATGTATCCATGTGCATCATCCAGAGAAAAAAATGAAATATTTCTACTTTTATTTAATACTTCCGACTGCTCGTTTTCGCTTCTCTTGCATAAAAAACGAAAATTGTGGAGAAATCTTTTCCCATACCATTGTCTGTCTGCCGAATGGAAAAATTCATTACAAATCGTTGGCACATACATGTTGTACGTCGACGGAAGGGAGAGATAAGACAAGTCTTTCTAATGTGGAAGCATATAATAGGAATATAAACAGCCCCCCAGTCAGAAGTTTATGTAACGAAGTCAGACGACAAGAAGACAAAAGATTATTTACTCTTCACTCAATAAACTTGCCATCACTTGCTTCCTTCTATCACACATCATTCAAACCACTTCAAAGTTCAACCTTCATTCATTGACTTTTGAAAATTTCACCGCAATTGAGTTTGAGATAAAATTACTTCAATAACTTTTCTTTAACAAAAGTTCAATAGCAATTGAAGCTTTTCTTCCTTTTCTCGAATAAAATCGACACGAACATAGCTTCAAGTACATCGACAAACACATTCATTGACGAAAAAAGTATTGGAAATGATAAATTTAGGCTTAATCGATTTCAGAGACATTATTTATTTTTCTTGTTGTTTGTGCTTCACTCGTCATGTTCATATGATGCATTCTCAATTTGGTTCCTTCCCTTTTTTTTTCAAAACCGTGTAGAAAGCATTCGTCAATTTAAAGCAGAAAGAAGAAGACAAAAGTTTTTCATTTGACACTTGCCACACCATAAAACTTTTGTAACATTTTCCCCATCAAAAGTTTTCCATTATTAGAAATTTAATCAGATAAGCGAGTGACTTGCAGTTGCTGACATGATCTGACTTTAAAGATTTCAACCTTAAAAGCTTTACTAGGGAAATCCATTTAGCCGTGTTCATTGCAAATGATTGGTCATTCATCCGGTTCTTTTTCCTCTCATGTGGGCTTGCTTCTCATTCAAACAACAATCAATCGACGCTACACATAATTTTTTCCTTCTTCAGACAAACAAGGCGATAAACTATCTAGACATCGATTGAAAAGTCTATACATCCTTTTATACTTGTGTGAGTTTCTGATGGTTTTTACCCTCTCAACCTCACGCCACCCATTTCCTTTCATTCTGTTTCCCTTTTCTCGCGCGCGCTTGGCCTAAACGAAATATTGATAGCATACGAAAAAAAAAAGAAATCTTCAACCGAAATTAAATCAAATTCAAGAAGGGAAACTTTTCTTTTTTATGATCAAGAACATTCATCCGACATTGAAGTAGATACTCTGGAACGTAAGCAGTGGTGTTCACTTTCCATCAAAACGAAATGTCAATTGAGCTTTAAAATTAATGAAATTTCCTTTTTTATTACTGGAAGTTTATCGACTAAAAAAATCATTCATGGAGTGGAATTTTACATTTAATCGAAAGAAAAGCTTCGCAATGTCTCCAATGCTCAGAGGACGAAGTATTTTAATCTCTTTTAAGATTCTCTGCGATCGTAAATAACAATGGTTGGGAATTTCTTCCGCGCCACTGGTAAAAAACAAACTCTCAACATCAGAGATTCGAAAAAGGAAATAAAAAAAATGGAAAATGGAAAAGAAACTAAATTGTGTTTATCAATTTTTTCCATGTCTTTTCAATGAAAAAAAAAGAAACAGAAAAGTTTTTTATCCATTTAACAATGAAATGATATCCTTTTTTCTCTTTTTGGATTCATCCGGCGAATGGGAAGAAAGGGGAGAAAAGAAGCTTAATACTCTTTCGACGGCCTGGGTTGTCGAAAGAAAGAAATAACTCAGACGAAAAAAAACGAAGTTTGCGAAAGGAAAAAAAATCGTTTGAAAAGCAAAGGCAGAAATCAAATAATAAATTTTAATAGCTTTCCCTTTCCTTCATGCCATATTAGAATCGGGTTATTCATGCTGTTTTACGATTTCTAAAAAGATATCAAGACGACACAAATTGATCCGATCACGGGGTAGTGGGACAACAAGAAGGAAGAAGGTATTCGATGAAAAAAGGTAGAGCAGCAAATAAAATACTGAAGAATCCTAAAAAAAAAATTATTACGAATGCCGATTTGATAAAGTTTGTTTCTATTTTCGCAATCGATAAAAATAAGGAACAGAACTTTTTTATGATTTATGGAAGAGCGCATAAGGTCGCTATCAGAGCTTTCATCCCATGTCTCTGCTGTTTAGGAAAGAAAAATAACTAACAACGTCAGAAATCATTGGAAATGAAGTCAATCAAAATTCTTTTACATTCCCCCTCCCCCCTTCTCTCCTTCTACTTCAGCAAATCAAGAAAAAATAAACTTTTACGGGCTTTCAAATTTCGCAAAGAATTTTTAAGTGCGTGTGTCGGAGGAAGATGAAAAATCGAAAAAGAAAAGCTCTCAAAAATGATTTCTTCATTTTACGACCTTTTCCCCCATCAAACAAACAATCTAATCTCCATGAACCGTGAACCTTCGTAAGATTTCTCTCACTGAAATCATATTTAGTCTTATTATGTCATTTATGGAGCACTCCATTCGACCTCAGACAACTGGAAAAGTTGGCAGTATCAAGACATTTTCCTTGAGGTTTAAGCAGTTGCTTATAAAGTTTGATTTATTTATGATGCCCGAAATAACAATTTAGCCACAATTTCTAACCGCACCCTTAGAACAGAAAAGAAATTTTATAATCCACCTTCAAATAAAATGAAGGAAAATCTCTTTTTTCTCTCTTAAGATTACCGCTTCGCATACAAATCACAATTAAAAGTTTTCATCCTTTATCTCGGCATGAAAATGTCTTTAATTGAATGTTTCTTCAGTCGTTTATATTCTTTGGAAGTGTTTGTATGTGTGCGAGCAGGTGAAGATGGCACAGTTGGATCCATGGACATTTTCTCAGCTGGTTACGTTTATCTCCAACAAACAAGTTTACTTTCATGTTTCTAACCAAAACCTGCTTCGTACGTTTCCAACCTTACAACCGTCTAATTAAACAATTAAATTTTCTCTCCAAGCTTTTGCTTTTCAAACCTTCATTCATCATCAAAAAAGCTTAATGTAAAGGTTGGTAGTGGTGAATACATAGATAAATGAAAAGGATATTTTGCTTGTCTATTAAACATTTCAAATGTCTCAACAACTGCTGTTACTCATAATTACTTCTATCCATTATTTAGCAACCTGTCCTTGCCCTTTTCACTCATCCCTTCGCTTAGCAATCATCGTCATATGTTGAGAAGGGAAACTGAAAAAATTATGACTCTCGTATTGTATTCTGACCCGAAATCACAAATGCTTGAAATGGCCAAAACATGACACACAACATAATTGTCTTCAATTAAGGCCTTTTCCTTTTTTTTCTCGCTTTTCCCTCTTTCCCTGCCGACCAATTTCATCGGTCATATTTTAGTAGAACATGAAATGCAATTTTCATTTTAACAGTGAAAAGGTTTGCAAGCATCAAGCATGTGATTGATCATAATTGAAAGCTGTACCGTCATGACATTTTTTTCCCTGTTGTTGTGGTATGATTACAGAGGAAGAGAGAGAAAACAATGAAAAATCTGACGATGCAGACGGTTTTTCTAAGCCATTCACTATAATTGAAGCGTCATGTGTTATGTTTTTCAATCTAAATCTGAATTGCACCACAAAACTAATTAAAAGTGAAAAGAAATGAAAGAACATGAGTTGAGTTTTGGAAACAATTCAAGATGTTCGCCCACGCTGAATAATTTTTAGATGTGCTCTTATCCGATAAAAAGCAATTATAATTGTTGATTCCTTGAAGTTCTTTTACGCTTGGGTACTCAACGATTTTGTATTTTCTTAATTTTTATAATCAACAGTCAGATCAGACGCCCACGTTTAAAATCAACCTCGAAGTGAATTTTAGGGAAAAAAAAGAGTCTTGCACGCAAAGCCATCAACGTCGGTGTGAATTACGGAATCACGATATTTCCGGTTCTGATTTTTCATTTTTTATGTTTCTCTTGTACTTTTTCATCCGCGTGATCAACAGAGGGTAAATAAGGTTTATGATGTTGAGCTTTTAAATACTGGGTTCATCATGTTACATAAATTTAATTCCTTTGGGTTGAAGTCAAGTGCTTCAATAAAATCTGAAAGCTGGAAAAGAACAAAAGGGAAGCTGTCTGTCATAACACTATACAATCAAATGACATTATTAAAAGCAATATGGAAAACAAAGCATAAATGACAGAATCAACATGAAATGTAGATGTAATGCGATGCTTATCGAGCTTCATAAAAATAGCGTCAAAGTTCATTTCACTTCATGTTTGAATTTCTCTAATGAAATAAAATGTGTCTGCGTTGAGGGAATCATGAGCGTCTCTTTGAATGAAATGTTGACTCATATTTTCTATCCATAACCAAAATTGGGGTGGAAAAAAAGGCGGAATTAGTAATCAGATGCTTCCATCGCCAGCCGCTTTGATTCTTTTTTTATTCCTTTGCCTCATCCTCATACTTTTCAGCTTTATCTCAATGATAGTCCATTTGGTAGATGAAAGTAGCAAAAAAAAAACAATCTTTTCAGTCCATCCTCATAAATGTTCATTCAGCAGTTAAATAGAAACATTGTAATATCCAAGCTTAAACAAACATAAAGTATGGAAAGCTATGAAATAATAAAAGAAAAATTCTTTTCATAACAAATATCATGTGATGAAATGTTCACAAGGTATCAAGAGATACTAAGATAGTATTTGATGTAAAATGTTATGAAAGCTGTTTCCTAAACTTCTGATTATTTGTTCGAAGCTTTTATGTGGGTTCTATTGTGGTAAAATATCTGAAGTGCATTTATGAACATACATAACAACATATAAAATGTTGACATTTAGGTCAAATTGACACTAATAGTAGAACTAATGAAAATAAATGTTAAGATATTCTATCTTTTATTACAAACAGAAAAAGAAACTGTCAGAAGCTTGTAGAGTGCTCTCCTTTAATAGAAAGTTAAAGTTTATCATAAAAAGTGTAATTTTCGAAAGCTTTAAATATGTACAAAGCTCAATGGTATCAAATCAGCTTTGAAAGTTTCTGCGTCAAGATACTTTTAACTTCACTCAACATCAATCTTGCTAAAACTTCTGGGTAAAAGTTTCCATCATTTCTATAGTCTCTTGAAAATTTGATTCTTATTCTTTCTTCGTTTTTCTGTAAATGGTTAAGCAGCTACGTCGATCTTTCTTCTTTTCTCTCTTTTCATTCGCTATCATCATTATCGTTATCTTGAGTACACTTTTATTTCTATTCACTCCCACTGCTTTGAATTCATGAATACATCTCATTAAAGATTACTGCAAGCTTTCACTCGAATCATTTCCGTAACTCAAAACCACTCCAACATCAGTTTTCTCCTCGATATGTATGTTCGATCTTTATTCTTTCTGGCTTTTCAATTTTCTGAAGTGAATTTTTAAGTGAGGAAGCCAAAGGGTGAGGGAAATATCGTTATAAATAATTGAACATCAAGTCATAACTGTATCGATATTTCCATGCTGTCGTTATGCTCATATGGAAATTGTTTATTCTCCTGTAAAGTATGGCATTAAAGAAAATATATTGGAAAAGAATCAGCAACACATGAAAGTGCCGCGTGACTAACTGAATTGATGTGTATTGAAGGGGATTTTTTGTCATCTGTAAACAATAACTGTCAAAGAAGACACGAAGAAAAAACAAGAATGAACATAAAAGGCAACGTTTTCAAAAACTAGGTAGATTTTTAATGATGTGTTGATGTTGATTGTTAAGTACGTAATTTGATCTACAACATCACATGAAATATTACTTGTTACATACAATGACATTTACATTTATTTTTTCATTCTATGTTTCTCTATAAGTACCTTAATTAATAAAAGTCAATCAATCAATTAAGTTGTAAATTGAAATTGACATTGAAAAAATAAAATGCATTGGCCAATTATTTACTTCCATGATTATATTTTCCTTTTTCTCTCATAAAGTTCAACACATGCTCATCATTTACGAGGCACCTCGCACCTCAACCTTTTTATTCTCATGCAAAATATTTCGAGTTTTACGAGACTCGATTGTTTTCTTTAGCAGATCTTGTCTGTTTTGTCTGTTTGTTCTTGTTCTTTCCTGATTCATTTTTACTGTGAAATCTTCTGTTCTTTCCTATGTTTGACGATACTGCTTAGTCGTGTATACACAACACCATTTCATTTCACTCAACACAGTCGAGCAGTCGAGTTTCATTCTCTCTCAGCACTCTCTCAACTTTGCACAAAAGTCTGCCTTCGCACAGTCAGACAAACATTTCATATCTCTGTGTTCAGTTCAGTTTCAATGAATCGCTCAGATGGTTTTGAATTTTAATTAACAGTGCGACGAGAAATATTTCGGAGCTATTTTATGCGCAAATTAAATTATCGCAAGTAATTTTATTTAGCATCTCCATGATTGTGAATAAAAATAAACAAATAAAAAACGAAGAAATTTGTTACAAGTTGGAAAAATAATTGTGAAATATCAAATAAAGCCAGAGTCGGAACACTTTTTTACGGAATATTTTCATCTGTGACAAGTGAGTATTTAATGAGTCTGAAGCCTGGCTCTAGTATTTGCCAAAATGATTTCAAAAATAGATATTCTATTTATTTATGTTGCCACAATCCAACGACTAAAAAAACAGTCGTAAATGAAAATTTTATGATTTTCGAATCGAACAAAAGTTTAATTTTTTACAAATACAAAATTGACAGCTTTTCGAACAGTAGAGAAACTTCATGTTTCAATTTGTGTGCAAATTGTTGAATCTGTGAAACTTTTTCGCTCGCACTCTGACGTTTCATGACATCATAACTATGAAACGTTTAAAACAAGTTTTTTAATGGTTGTTGTTGAGAATTGCGAACGGAATAAATTTTTTTGTATCATCAACAAGACGTCGTAGAAAACAAAACAAAATAAAATCAGATCTAGTTTAACCTTTGTCTATGATGATTAACTTGCATTAAACGTTTCGATGATTATTAAAAATGTGGAAATATTTTTTTTTGAGAAAATTTTTGCTGTGTTAATGGAACTTTTCCTGAAAGAAAAATAATAAAATAATTCCTGAGTGTCATCGGTAAGAAACACAAAAGAACAAACACCGTCCCTACTTCCAATTGTTCATGCTGGTTCATGGCTTAATTTGCCGTGGAAATTTGGACACAATAGGTGTCGGATCATTCCCTCGATGCCTTGTTTGTCATAATTAATGAACTTCATCACCGTTTCGAAGAGGCATCAACTGGAACATGAGACCCCAAATTAAACTTAACTCATCATTTCAATAGAAGCATAAAATATGAAATGAAAGCACCCAGCCTGGGCGCCCAATCGACCCAAAAGCTTTCTCGTCATTCGTAAACTTGATTTGTCCATAGTCGAGTAGCTCATTCACGATGAAAAAAGCAAGAAAAGGGCAAATAATCCTAGTAATAAAATGGAAAATAAGCATAAAAATTTAATTTTCCAGTTGTTCATACGCGGACTGAGAGTGAAATTATTCCGAGACTATAAAGCCTTTTATAAATATTTATAACCCTCTGAGCTTCAATGTGAAATAAAAATATGGAAGAAGAAGTCTTTTCTTGACTAAATGATATAATTGTCAACAAAGAACTGTGCAAAGCTGAAATTGGGAGTTGACAATGAAAGAAAATTAGCACGCAGAAAATTTATACGCATTTAGTGTTATTTATGATTGTGTAATAAAATCGAAAACTTGATTAATTAAGCAGTTAGGGAATATAAATCGGAGTAACGTGAAACCACAGCATTATAAGCTTGGTTTTGCTTTTATGAACACTACAAATGCCAAAATTGTGATTGTGAATAATTTTGTGTAACTTGGAAGTATTTTATCCTCGTCTCTTCCATTACCGTGAGAAGTTTATCAAGGAAAAGCGATGATTTCAAAACAATGATGTGAACTTTCGCTCGATAAATATTTCATTTAATGGATTCCGGGTTAATTATTTGAAGCTTTTCTTCATTAATAAAATATCTTCATAAAATAAACTAATGATGATAATAAATGAGACTCCATAGATTTCCCTAATACTCAAACTTTTAATATTCTTTGTAAATTTAGCAAGAATTGAAACGTGAGTTAAGCAAGATGTTTGCAAACTTCTATTTCTGAAGCAATTTATTGACAATGACTCTTTTTATGTGCTTATCAATTGTCACTAGGTATTTATTTCAATACAATGCAGTCAAATATTGAGTGACGCATAACACAAGCAACCAACTAAGCAGCCATTAAGCAAATGTGAAATGATAAATTTCAATAGAAATTATTCCACGATAATTACACCTCAAAGTATCTCGAAGTTCATTAAAACGTCCCCACATCTTGCCGATCAATCTTTCATTCTTTTTTGACGAAAGCGAGTCTCCTTCGTTCGTTCCATAACCTTCCGGCACGCTTATGAACGCGGAAAAAACAACAAAATATCCATTTATGGAACAAATTGCCATTTAAATAATACAACAAGAAAAAAAGAAGACGGAAAAAAAGTTTTCAAATTCCTTCACCAGCCTGTGCGCCTTATGAATATTTTCCCTCCTGTTATATTTCTTCCGCCCCCAATTTATATCCTTTCGTCGTAAAGTAAAATATGAGAAATGGCTGTTTAGCATTATTCCATACTTAATCTTTGACAACACACGAAAAAGATCTTACTTGCTATAAAGAATTCTCGACGGGAATAGCGCGATGTGAAATTAATTGACTCGTTTATTAAATTAACAGATGCTTGCTGATTGTGCTAAACATATCAAAATTTACTTTAGCCAACCACGAAAATGTGTTATTGCTTGTAACTCGTTTTACTCGTGAGTTGTGACGAAATATTTTCATTTGTTAAGTGCGAGTGAGAGAGTCAGAAGAGAAATAACTTTATAAGGCAGCTAGCAATCGAGAATTGAAAAAAAGAATCAACAACACAATCACTTACTTTGAATGGTTGGCCTTCAATGATTGAACTTGTGATCGGGCAATTTTTGACCGAACTCTCATTCAAAGTCATTGAAAAGTTATGAAGCGAATCTAATGCGATTTTAGCATTTATGGGTATCGCTTACACACTTATATTAAGGATATTGGAGCACTGCGTCACCGAGATAGCGAGAGAAAGTTTAATCTAAGGGATTTGCAAGGTTCGTTAACCTCGGGAAATGTTCATTCCTTAATTCCTTTCGATTATTGCTACCCACGTTTCTTAAAATCTTACAACAAAGTTTACTTCCACTTGCCAATGACGGGGGATTTGTTTTCCGTCCGACTACAAGTGTTGTCGACAGAGAATCATGGAATGAAATCCATTTAATGTCCATAACGTTAGGAGAGTTTGGAACAAAGTCTTCCGGAAATGGCCAAATAATTCGAGAAAAACTTTTCCTCACGCTAGTTACAAACAAAATTTTTTTAACTTTCTCTCGTGCGCAATTTAAATCGAAGGGTTGTCTATAATGACACAAACAACTTTCCAAATAAGCATCGATTTGCTTGCATGCATGAGAATGTGTGTATGTATGTATTCGAGTCACGACGAGATAGGAGAATGAGAAGCTCACAAAAAAGATCCATTAGGGTTGCTCGTGAGACGGCAAAAAAAAAGAAGTTTAAAAAAAAATCTGAAAAAAATGAAAAACTCACGTTGGTGGAAAAGAAAATCGCGAAAATCATTTTTTCCATTAATATTTGTTTCTGAGTGGTGTGCGAAATGTGAATACGAATGTATGTTAGATGAAAAACTTTTCTCTGCTGCGTTTATATCGTTTTTGTTTTTCTTTTCAAACATGATCAGGTTTTTTTTGCTTTTAAAATAGCAGAACAGTTTCTCTTTTTCTCGTTTATGTCACTTTGCATAACGTTCAATCTTTTCGATATCAAAGTATATTATTTTGCATTTTACTAGTCGCCAAGCCCGCTCATTGACAAAACTTAAAGCATGAGCTTTTAAATCATCATTTCATTATTTATCATAAAGCAATTTTAATTCGAAAAGTCAGGAAAATTTCAGAAACCATGACTTTTACATTAAACATCTGCTTCTTACTTCAAATGTCGATTCTCATTATGATATTTATGACTTGAAAAATTACTACAGAACCTTCACATTTATCCACAGTTCCATTTCATTTTTATTAAGAAAACATCATCCCGTTTCTCAGCCTCTTGTCGCTTCCTTTTTTCCGTTTACTTGCCTTTTTTTCCTCGTTGATATTAGACTTTTTTCCCTTCGGTTCACACCAGCTTTATTTCATATTAAACTTCCTTTGGCGGGGCGCGGAATTTGAAGAATAGAAAAATGTGAAATATCTTTCATCTTTGCGATACCCAACCATGCCCTACCCTTGGCTTGAAAGCATCCTCCCCCCATGCTGTGCGCCGCGATAACATTACAAACAAATAAAAAAGTTCTTTTTTCTCTTTTTGTATAATGTTTGAAGCAAAAAATTTTCATTTTCTTTCGACAAAGGAAAGAAATTTTCTTTGATAACGCTATGAGTTGGTTTCACCATTGATGAAAAGTGGGCATTAAAAGCCATCAAACAAATCGCTTTTGTGTGCTTTGAAATCGTTAATATTGAAAAGGAGAATGAAGGCTTTCATTAGTGCTCCAATGCGGTTCACGTCAAACACCCACAAGATGGAATGCTTAACCAAACCGTCACCACCAAACTGAAAAACCGATGAATAGTTACAAAAACACAAAAATGAAAATAATTTATCGCACTGTTTTTTTATCTGTCACCGACGTCGGCATTTAAAAGTGAAACAATTATTGCCATGCTTAAAGTTTCAAAACTAAATGCTATGGGGTCACAATAAACTATTTCCAACAATAAGTAGTAGACGATGTCTCCATTTTCCATTTCATTCATGCTTTTAACTTTATTTTCACTTCGAATTGTTATAAACTTTAAATTTTCTTATCCTCCTTTCACCCTCAAAATAAACAAAATAAAAAGAAATTAAAAACAAAGAAAGTCTCATTCTCCCACCAAAAGTTTGTCATTCGTTTTTCTTTCTTACTCATTTAGTTTCCTTCGAGGTGGATTGAAATAAAGATAGAAGAGGCTTAAATATTTCTTAACTGGGTTTACAAATGTTTAAGGCGTCGCCGATCACTGAATGTAAATCTTCTTTCCCCAAACTCTTTCTTGAAAGTTTCAACTTCGAAATTAACAAGATCTTACACAATTCTCATTTCTCAATGTAACAATTTTCATCTTCCCCCTTTAAAACAGGAAAATGAAAGAAAGAAAGAATGAAAAAAAAAGTCGAACAAGCAAAAATACAATAAAAAGTGATAAATGATGTGTAGGTATGTAGTATGAAATATTTATGAAAAATTATTCAACATTAAAGTAATGTAAATGCTTGTACGATGCTTACTTTTAAGCTCTCAAACATCAATGATGACTTCTCACAAACAGATGATTGTATGATTGCGGAAAGGTGTCTCGTGAGACTTCTTGAATGTGATTTCTTCTGTCGATTTTCCTTCTTTTAATAATAAATATTAACATTGAGATACGTTGAAAGAACGGTTAAAAAAGAAAGAAAAAGAAACTTCCAAAAGAAGGAAAGAAAGTTCAAATATTTATCTTTTATGTCAGATCATAACATAAAATACAAATCAATAAATTTATCATAAAAATGGTATCATAATAAAAACGAGAAGCCCCCAAAAGAACGAATGCTGATGTAATGTGTGTGCGCACTTTTTCGTTTTCTTTCTTTTTTTGTTTCGAGGATATTTTCTTTGTGGTTTAATGATATGCACATAACAGATGAAATTACGAAAATTTTATTAAGAAGTTGCATAGATGGAAATGTGTTCTAGAGACCGAAGGTCTCACAGCTTGAACGAGGAAAGTTTTCATTTAAAGAATTAGTAAGGAAAAAGTTTCTTTCAACTTCTTATCTAAACTTGTGGTCTGCTCTCGAAACTGTTGACTTCTCAAGTTTATCTTTAAATGTTAAACATTGTCAGCATTTAATCCCATGACAAATGTTTTACATTGAGAATCATTAGAGATTTTATCATTGCATTGGTGTTTCGTTTTAAATTTCATCCTTTAATAAATCATTGCATAATTCAGTTGTAGCAAACGAGCCTCTCTCAACAAACTTTATCTATGATAACTTCTGAAATTTATGCATTTGATTCTTCCTTTCATGAATCTTGTGTATGAATTATTGTAGGATATGTTGTTTCGAAGTGTACGATTTCTATCAAACTTTCATCTGAATTGGGTGTAAAATCTCTTTCGCTTCACATAAAGCTTAACAAATCGGAAAAAATTGGAGTTGAATGGGCGCAGGCAGCTCCCTTTTAGTAAGCAAGAACGAACACACATTCAATTGGGGAGAAGGCAAACTTTTATTGAAAATCAGTCGCATTGAAAGCACGAGATATTCTCGCCAAATGACTGATTTCGGATTTCGTATGTGATTCACGCATTTGTCGAATTTATTTCTGCTTCGACTTATGAACATAATCGGAAAAGCACGCAGGGAAAAAGCATTTTATTTATAAGACACTAACATAAAAAAAGAGGTCTCGTTATACCAAATGTCATTCATGATCTCGGTCTCTAAGTTCAAAGAAGACTCTTTAGTGTAATTACTGGAGATTTCATCGCTTCTGATCGCAGTTATCGCTTTTACTGTCGTCCTTTTATGTTTCTTATGCTTTTTTTCCTCGCTCATGATATCGATTTCACTTTAGTTCAGGCGATTACAACCAGAAGATATCACTTGTGTAACATTTTGTCGAACAATAATTCCACGTCAAGCGTGATGGAGGGCTTGGTTTGGTTTGGTCAAAATTTGGAGATTTACCAGAGAATTAACTGATAGAGTAGCAACAACAAAAAATAAATAAAATATGTATTTAATGTAAAATGACACGACATTACATTTTCAATAATAATTATTATTATTTCTTCATTTCTGCGGAAGCCGAAAACATTTTTTTCCATATTTATGCTTTTGTGCTCATATTGTCGACAATTTCCGTTGAATGTATCTATTTGATCAGCAATGATTCATGGGAAAGATTTTTTGTTTGTTATTTTTTGCAGTATTATGTTACTTGTACAATTTATTATTGCCGTTCAGCTGCAAAAATAATGAAAATTCCGATGAAATGGGAGCATAAAAACTAGTTAATAATTAATTACGCTTTATTTGGAGGGGGAGAGAAGGAAAAAAGGAAACGAGAATTGATTCGGAAGTTTTATTTGTTTCTCTCTTTCATATTTTTCTTGCTTGATAATAATTTTGAAGTTATTCTCCATCGCAGTAGTAAATACAGTTGTACGATTGCAAAAGTTCTTGAACTCATAAAGTTCTCAGGAAAGTTTCGTGAGTGATGTCAATTTTACGTCAAGCTTTTCCTTTTATTTCTTGCCAACTACTTTTCAATGAAGTGTATGCAATTAATGTACAATTTGCATAAGTAATATTCATCTAATTTTCCCCACAAAAAGTAATTTCCATTAATGTTTATTATTCGGAAGTGACGTTCGCTTCTCTTATCAGGCGCCATCTCATTAATATGTATTCAACTGAAATACATTCGACGTTAATCTCGCGCCAAAACAAAACAATTTTCGAGGTTTAATTGCATTCAGCGGTCTGATGAATATTCAGAAGCATATGTAGATACGAACAGAAAGAAAAAATAACATAAAGCAAATCAGATTGTACGAAAAAAAGGCGAATAATTGGCGAACGAAGTAATTTAATTAATATTCTACCAAAAATTATTTTATCCATAAACATATTTTATGCTTTGAAAACATTTTTCCCCAAACTTTTCTCAATGATATGAGTGAATCTGTCCAAGTCATGAAACAAATTGAAATAGTTTTTTCATGAAGTCAAATGTTGCATATGGTCGCAAACATTAAATAGTTTAACAACGCGACTGCATTCATATATTGAATACATTTATAGTGACGAGATTTTATTCTTGTTGTGAATTGTGGTTGGATGAAATGGAATGAGAAAAATTTATGCAATTTTCAACCTTGTTGGAGAATTTCTCCTTTCTCGAGTAATTGTAATTTACTGTCAACGATCCTTGCTATCGACAAGGTTTTCCTGTACTTTATTTTATGCAAGTTGCGCTCCAAATGTTCCATTTTCTCTTAAAACTAGATTAATACCTCTCTGACATGCCATTTGTGGTTAAATTATCGATTGAAAGTATTTTCTTTTCGAAGGGTATAAGTATGTGGTTTCCACACCACACCGGGAGGAAAAACTTTTTTTTTTTCTGCTTTCCTCTCCACAAAGTTTTCATGATCGTGAAGCATTCCAAATGATTTCACCATCTGAATTGAGTGCCAAAGTTTTATTTGCGAAAATTTCCCTTTCGCTCATTTTCTCGCCTCATAGTTTCCAATGTTTCCCTTCTTCGATCGTAACAATTTTTCTCACGAAAACGGAATTTTAATTACGATAACAAAGAGAAAGGTGAGGAAAGCAGAGAATAAAAAAGAAGTTAAATGTGATTTTCCTTCGCCTTCTGCCCCTAATTCAACTCACACTTAATTTGTGCTTCGGTAAATTGGAAGTGAGCTGTCAAGAAACAGCTTCCAAACATGCTAACAGCTTGAACGAGCTTTGCTTATAAATTTCTTCAACACTTTATTCCACTACCATAATTTGGTCATTAATTCGTTCGCTGGTAATTGAATGAAATCTTAAACGCGATCCATGTTTCAACATAAAAACGTCGCGAGAAAATAATAACAATCGACAACAGACTCTGCTTGAGTGGATATCAAAGAAGTTATGCTCGTATTTTTATGCTTTCTGAGAATAATTTATCCTCAGTGGAAATGCGACACTTTCTGAAATAATTCTAACATAAATAAACATCGAACGAAAAAATGTTTTTGACTGCTTCTCTCATGCTTGATTTATTTGTTTGCTGCCTCTTGGGGAGTCTAGAAATGTGAAGAAAAAAAATGTAAATTTCCTAGTGTTGTGTGTAAGTAAATTGAATTAGTTTCGATTTTTCATCTCCTACAAGAGTTGAAGTTGAGGAATTTCCCCAATCTATTTACATCTAATGGAAGTTGACTTGTGTTGCTTTACAAAACACACAATATTTTGGTTTATGCCCTGCAACCTCGACACTTACTCTCTTCAGATAACTTTTACTAAATGCTTAGGTTCCAATAATACTACAGCACAAAATGTTTCTTTAAAATCTTCAAGGCTATGCGGAAGTTGTTCCGTTATATGAAGTGAAAAGTTTGGAATAAGCTCTTTCCGCCTTTTTCTTGATGTCGTAATAAATTACATTCCAGCAACCTTCAATATCAGTGTTGAGAAAGGAAATTACTCTACGCCCCATCAGGAACATGGTGAAAAGAAAGGAAAGAAAGAGATCTGAAAAAATGGAAAGTTGCTTTAAAGATTGTGAAGAAAACACTTTTCACTTACTCCTTTCGTTTCATTCTGGATAAAAGAAGTTTCTAGGAGTTGGCAATTGTAGGCAGGAAGAATGAAAATAGTCCGGGTGGAAGTAAAATGTTTGCCGCTGTGTCTTTTTCTTAACACATGTTTCAAATCTCCATCTCTTCTTAAGAATTTCTCTTTATTTCCATGACAAGCGCTTTTTCCTCAGTTTGAATCGAAGAAACGAATGAATAATATAAAATAAACATCCCCAAAATGCCTAAGCTCTGTGCTGTGGGCTCCATGCCCTGTGCCCGTGTCATGAATGAGTCTCTTAGGGCTTTTCGTTCTGACCTCAATTCTTTTATGTCAAAACATGTTCCAACGTTCTCTTCCAATTTATGAAATATTTCTTTCATTATCCACTTTCTCTTGGAGCTCCTTGGGGGTGGTGTGGTGACAGGAAGAGTGTCACATTTGCCACCAATCACGCATCAGTTTTCGAAGTTTCTTCAGGCAACGACGATAATGACACAATTTTTCATTCTTCTACAAGCATAAAAAATAAGAAAAGAAGAAAGGAAAAAGAAAGCTCAACATGAGTTCGAAATAAATCCTCATTCTAGTGTCGACTCAATAAATTTACTTCATTTTAGTGTAAAGATTCCCTCTGTTCTCTTTTTCCGTACAAATATCAGAAAAGGTCAAATGTTATCAGCGCTTTTTTTATGACTCGAAACACAACGCAGAAAAAAAAGCGAAAGACAACAAAGCACAAGTGAACAACACAAACAGAAGGGAATTCAATTGATAAGTAGAAAAGCGACCCAAGCTAGATTTCCGAGAGTTCTCGGAAATTGATTGTTCATGTGACAAGATCTGATGATGCAAACATAAAAGAAAGAAAAACGATCATGAAATTGGACAATAAAAAATTATGAAAAACGCTTGTTACGCCTAACAATCAGTGAAGCTTGCAATATTCTTTTGTTATCCAATTTCAAAACATTCAAAAATCATCAAATCGGAAAACTCAAACATAATTGTGCTTTATTGCGACAAAAAATGTTACGTTTCCTGCCCACCACCCAACAAACATCAACATTATGTTTCATGGGCAAACAAACACAATAAAGACTTTGCTCTACTTCGATTTTAAATTGAAGGGCTGGAAATTCATGAACTTTATCCCATTTCACTTCAATCTTCCGTTTCTTATAATTTTCCATTCGTTCATTAAATTTCATATCAGGTTTAACGATTTTTTCATTCTCTTGTCCATCCCCCACTTTCGTTTATGCTTCGCTTTTATTCCGTTGATTGTCCTAAATTTGAAAGCATAAACATAAAAAAAATTCAAAGTCACATTGCTAAAGACATTCGGTAAGAGCCTCTCAACATAATAGAAGAAAATCAATTTTACCATTTCCTTTTCGCTTTTAGCGAATAAAAGCGACACGAGGAGAGTCGATGTCATTGGAGACTCATCCGCTTGTTCTGTGATTCAAAACATTCCACAATTACGTTACTAAAAGCCTTAAGCAACACTTAAACTTTGTTTGTCTTTCAACTTGAAAGGTTGGAAATTGCAACAAAAAAAAAAGAGTGAAGAAGTTTTAAAAAAGCTTTCAGTAAATTCAGCAAAACTTTTGTTAAGTTTATCCAATAAATTTCTGAATAAACTTTCACATTATTCTACCTGAATATTTAAAAACCTGCAAAGCTTCCTCGAAAAAGGAAAGAAAAATGACGCATATCATGGACTCTCCCTTCTAAAGTAGAAAACACAAATATCTTTCTAGTCCTTGTTGAAATCGATCTCACCTAAGCTCACTGACAAAAAAAAAATGAAAAAAAAGAAGAAGAAGCTAAAATGGAAACAGAAAAAGTTCATTTTGTGAGTCCCGATGGAGAAGAATAACAAAAAGCACTTGAAAAATATTCAGAATATAGAATAACAGTATACGGAACATTTCTACTTCATTAAAGAATGGAGAAAGGCGCAACTGATAGTTTTTTGTTTTGTTTCTATTTTATGGGATTTAAGCTAAGAGCACCCTCGCAAAAGCGGCAACAGAACAAAAATGAAAAAACATACAGAGAAAGATATGCCAAGACACTAATGAGTTTTGCAATTTGTTGTTTTAGTTGTTGCGATGGTTGAAAAAGGGGAATGAGAAGACGGATAAGGAAATGAGGTCGGAAGGTGGAACACTTCAAAAGAATATACTGGATTTGAAGTTTATATTTCTGTTATTCGTTTGCGAGACTTTGTAAAGTCATAAGAACCGTCAGCATTAGCAAACATTTCCACTTTTTATTATTATAATCATGCAACATGAAATCATGGCAGAAAATTAATAATCATAAGTATGCGTTGAGTGCAAAATCGGTTTAAATATTTAATAACTCTGCAACCGAATTCCACATAAATGTTCAATTCATAATGAATTATGTTCGTTTCTCTAAAAGCCTTTCATCGACTCTCTGATGTGAACGCAAAGAGAATTTATATCCAAATATTATTTGGCTTTATAAATCATTAAGATTCGAGATATTTGAATGAAAAAGAAAGAAACATATTTAAAACATCTTACTAAATACAAGAATAGACAAGAAAAATGGAGTTTAGGAATGTTGTTGAGAATGTCACATAAGAAATAAATTGCTTGGAATGCTAACGAAAGAGTAAAGAAAGTCACAAACTTCGTTCGAATCGAAAATAAAAACCGAAGCGATGAGAATTTAGTTTAGTATGACAAAAAACGATTCTTAAGCAAATATGAATTGCGTTAAAAAAATAAAAATAAAGATGGGAGGGAAGAGTTCAACCCAGTTAGACATGAAGAGCTGCTTGCTTGAAGTTGTCACAATCATACAAATGAAGTTTAAAAAGCAAATAAATTTTCGGTGTGATTAGCGTATTTGCACGTGACAGTGAAGACTGACAAAGATTTACAGAGTGAATCAAGGATTTTCTTTCTTATCTGGGAAGAGAGTGACGGCACGAAGCAAATACTTACTTAATATTCCGTGCAATCTTCTCTTTATAATTCGAATAATACATAAACATAAAAGAGGCGAGCTCTAGTTTTGGTTATATTGATTATTCTTGTAAGTAGTCGTTTTTATGATGATTACGATAGTTTGGAAAAAGCTGTAAAGTTTTAAGAATTCTTAAACAAGAATTTAGTAAATGAACAGGTTTTTATAAAAGAAACAAAATTCAATTTCATTAAAAAATATTCATAAAAGCAAGCATGAAATAGTTTTTTTTTTCGAAAAACATGCAGAAGAGTTTTAAATATTTTCTCGGAGTTCTTTGTGTACAAATATCGATCGAAAAGAGTCTACGGGTGCACTTAATATGTGGCTTTCTGATAAAACCATCGTCGACAAAGTTGCAATTTTGTAAATAGCTTTAATTATAATAAGCTAAAATCAGGTCTGAAAATTGTGAAAACTGCTGAAAGTTTAGTTACAAAAACATTATTTATGAAACAACTAAAGAAGTGTTGAGAACGGAAAAGACAAAATTAATTATAATGTTATGTTGTTATTATGAAAAAAATTGTCTACTGCAAATTTCATTTAATTTGTTGTTAATTCAATCCGATAATGTAATGAAAATTTCCATATTAAACAAATTTTATGATTTATCAATTAAACCAACCACATAACTAAAAGCAAATAGTCAAACGACCAGTTCATTTCCATTATAGACAGAGAGAGTATTAGAAGTTGTTCAGAAGGATTAAGAGAAATAAATCATATTTGATCTTGCACACTCTTCAATTGATTGCAATGATTTCAGTTTGTTATTCGAAAATTTCAAAAACATGTCGTTCACACATTTAAATAACAAATTTATGTATCAATCAATCAAACTGTGTAAGGAAGAATAATAAAATTTCAATTTGACAAGATGAATAAGGAAATGTGAATTCTTCTTCAATTTCATCATTCTAAATATCTTTGACATTTCTTCTCACTAGCTAATCTTTAGTTCAACGATCAATAAATTTCGACAGAAAAAAATTGTTTACATTCTCAAGCAATTTGGAACGTCAAAACATTCTCATCTCCCCTAAAAAAATTCATTCTTCTAGATATGTATTCACTTTTATTTCCATTCCAACGACGATGAATGTGAACATTTTTATGTTTCAGACATAAGAAATAAAAATTCTCTTCAAAGTGTTTTAGAAACCACTTGACAATGTCGAAAGAGTTCGTTCCATTTCGTTTTATTTTGAGCGTGTCGCGCGTTTTAGTGTAATGACGTAAAAAAATCATGTCTAATGGCTCAACATTAAAATGCATTGACATCAATTATGTAAAATAAGAGAAAGAGTCAGATCAAAGCACTACTGATGTGTGACAGAGATTTTCCCCTTTTATATTTTATGGGTTCTTAATTAAATCATTGCCTTGTCTGATGTCGTTGTTTAGAGTAGCATGGAATGCGGATATCTAATGTTGAACCATGAAACATGACTGATAGCCCGAGAAAGAGAGAATATAAAGTTTTAATGGCTTGAGTATTAGATGGATGAGGGATTGATATAAACAGACATTAATAAGCAAGAGTCGTCAGTGTGGGGGGAAAGGGTACGATCCACTTATTGATTAATCGCCTACCATAATAGAACAGCGTCAACGGATTCGACAATGCTGTCAGCTTTCTTTAGCTTCCTAATTATTTTCCATCGCCAACATACTTTAACTTTACTTCACTCAACAGTTTCAAAGCGAGAAATGAAAATAAATTTAATTAACTTTTATTGTTTACTCTCGTTTTGAAGCTTTCTTTCTTATTTTTTTCATCTTTTCGTCTCACTTAAATGTGACTGGAGATAGGACGGGAAGTGGCTGAAAGGCGTTTCATTGTTGACACAAATCAAGTTGAGTCTGTTCTTTGGGTGATTTATTTTCTGATGATTTAAGGAGATTCACAAAGATGTTGAATTATCTTCGACATAAAATCGATGTCACTTAGTTTGACAATGGCGAAGAGATTTTACTGTCAATTCCGCCTTTGAATAATGCTCTAAATTGTCAGAAACCAAAAAATTCGCTTCGTTGATTTCCATTCTCATTTTCATTTGTGCGCTTCCTTTTTCTTTCAAACTCATGTCATTGTCGAATCTCAGATGTCTTTCCCATAGCTCTCTCGTACATATCACAATCATCATTAAACTTCCCACATATAAACTGTAAATTGAAATTCAAACTCTGAACATCTCATGTTGTGTTTAAAATCTAAAAAGAAAAATCTTTTAAATTGAATTTCTTTTATGTGAGTATTTATTTCGGGAAGAAATCAGTAAAGAGAAAGTTGATCATGTAAGGGAGCATCGCGTATGTTCTAAAAATAAAATTCTCACAAACGTATCGAGATCGTTTCAGAAGAGTGTTAAGTTTTAATTAATTCCGCGTTCTTAACACTCGCTTTCGTTGTTTTTGAGAGATCATAAATTTCATTTTCTGAATGCCGGAAAATACTTTTCAATTTTTAATCAGATTGTATCAGAAACATAAATGCAAGAATGAGTTTGTACTATTTTCACCGTTGCTTTTCCTTCTTGTTCAAACCCAGGAGTGAAGGAAGGAAAGAAAAATCAGAGAAAGGAACATTATGGAAATAAAATCCCATGAATTGCATTGAAAACCGGAAAATCTTTTTAATGTGAAAAGTTATGAAATTTATGTTTTTTTCGAAAGATATTTGATAATTAATGATTGCTATAATTGAGGGAAACTCTTATTAAATATCTCTTTTTAATATTCATTTCCTACTTCAAAATTTATCTTCAATTTGCTACAAAAAAAAAGAGAAAAAAAAACTTTCGAAACATGATTCAACATTAGAGTTTTGAATGTTTAAATTTCCTTTGAAATGTATTATAATTTTAATTGCTCGACATTTTACGATATTTTCATGAGTAGGAAAATCTGCGATAAGAGAATTTGAAACTCATCTCTCTAATATTCAACCCTTAAAGCCAGCAGAATTATTTTCAACTAGCATGTTAAATATCCAAAGTCAGCAAGACATTCAAACTTAAACTTTCCATGACCCAATAATATTTTCTTAATTATATATTCGACAGACGAAAGAGAAACTCGAATGAAAATTATGCAGGAAACTCCTTCCGCTTCCGCAAAGCACTTCAGACACGCTTCAATATGAAATATTCGCCTCATTTTTTTATAATCGAATGAGATATTTTCTTCCTCCACTTTGACTTTTACGGCTGCTTTTTGAAAAGGAAAAAATGAGGATAATGAGATGTGAAAAAAGCGCATTTTTCGATTATAATTTAATGACTTTAAAACGCTGATTTTCCATGACTCGACTTGTTAAACTTTTCATAACCAAGAGATTTCTTCTTCTTTTTTATTATTCTGCTACATGGTTTGACCTTAAGTGACGTTCAAAACATAAACGTGAGTCAGCGGGTGCGAGATAATTTATGAATTTCCATAATTTATTTTGGATCCCCGCAAACGTTTATGCGAGAAAATCCTCATATGCGATTTTTTTTTTGCCAAAGCTGAAGAAATAAACATAAATTCGCTAACATCATAATGTTTCTTATGTTGCTTCGTATTCTTATGCATCGCGGAAAAATAGAAGCAAAAAAAACTTTTATTGGAATTTATGGAAGTAGTTCAGGCGAAAGAGCGAGGGCAAAAATATTATACAATAACTTTACCGGATTCGTTGCCCTTTAGTACGTTCATTTTTGCTACGTCGGGATTATTCTCGTTCTCGATTTTATTTTTTTTGTTTCCATACGATTGAAGCAGCATCCATTTTCAGTTCAGGTTTTTCAATAAATTTTCTGTTTCATTCCTAAATAGAAATGATAAAAAAAAAAATTTAAATCGAATGATTTTAACTTCTCCCTTACAACTTTTGTTGTATTTTTTTTTTTGAAACGTTACACTAGAGAATGGATGAAAAATCATTTGCTTTTCGACTAAGTATTTTGGCACATTAATTATTCGATGGAGCAATAGAGGCAGTGGGAAAAGGATCGAAAGGAAACTAAAATAGTTTTCATTGTTATGCAAACATTGAAGATGAGAAAATGAAATTTTAAAACCACTCGACGAAATTCTTTCTGTTTTTATTATTTCGGACAGTGACTGGAAAAGACAGAAAAAGAGAATTATAGACAATGTGAATATGAATGAAATTCATTTGCCCAGTTTAAGATTTATGGACGATGTCACCTACTTAAGTCGTAAAATGTATTATTTAAAACTTTGTTTTAAATTATTTTCCTTATCACTTTTTGTAATTGCACAGCAAGATTCATTTGAGAATTAAAATCACGTAATTTATCAACATTTCCTGAAATCACTGAAAGGAAAAAGAAGGAGTTGAATATGCTTTTAATCAGAAGTAAAAGTAGTAGAAGCTGAAGCTCCAGTGGATATGTAGATCTGACAGTTGGATATCCAAGATTGAAACCGCATGAGAACTGACCTTGTTGAAGACCATTGGAGCGTTTACATTTCATCCAATTTTTGTTAGTTTATGAATCATTTTTTACTACTAACCACTGAGAGACATGACCGTTGTTCTTTCTCTTAGCTCTCGAGTGGTTCGAGATATTTACCAAAGTTTCATAAAGTTTATCCTTTCTTCTTTCACTGTAGGGATTTACTCATAACAGTAATTGGAAAACTTTGCAATTCGTCTCATTCATCTCAATATAGCATGTAAACATCTTGTTTAGTATTATTCAACACGAATTCACAATCACTTCTAAGATATTTATAAGAGAACATGCATGAAAAATGTCATGTGGATGTCATGTGAACAATTCTTTTCATCATTACAACACCCACATTGTCTCCATTCGATTTGTGTGATTTTTTTCTTTCTTTCTTCCACACATTGTAACTCAGGATTTGAGTAGATAATTTGTTGTGATCACGAACATAAATACTTCGTTGTCAGTGACTTCATCTTCACTAAAAAATAAAAAAAAATAGTTGCATGATGCAGTCCTACGTCAGCAGAATACTGAATGAAGCTGAAGCAAAGATTGAGTAAACTGAACAAACAGATGCTTTCGGTTGCGTGATGAAAATCTTTCTCATGATGATGTTTCAAGATTTTCTTTCATTCAAAATCCAAGACCATTTAATTTGTCATCTTGAAGATAGAAAATTTCACAAACTAACCAAGCAAAAAATGAAGAAGGAGAAATTGGATTTTACTGAAATTATTTTTTATTAAAAAGAAAAACTTTTATTCCTAAACCAATTATCAGATCTAAATTCTTATTTCAAAGAGTTTTAAACGAGATTGCTAAGAGATAAATTGAAATTTAATTGTGATTCAGCTCAATAGATGAAAAGAATTTTTGTCTTCAAAGTTTTTGATATCATTTTATTGCCAATGGCAACAGCAAGTTCATCTTAAGTAAATTATTGAAAGCTCTTCCTTCCAACGTTAATTAAAACTATAATTTCATTTAATCTTCTTCAAATATTTATCTAAAGATTATTTCTTTGTTTCCATTTTAGATTAAATTTTAAGCAAGAAAGAAGAAGCAGAAAAGTTTGAGATTTATAAGATTAAATCATCGTGGAAACAATGAAACTACAACTGCAGGGTCTTTTAGTGTTGTGGATTATCTGCATGACAAATGGAGCTCCATACTCAAGTAAGTCGATTACATTAACAAAGAAAATCTTACAGGTTCAAGTGATGTGCAATTCACCTTTCTAGTAATCAATCAAGTGTCGGAAAATCATTCTCATTGCTTTTCTTGTTTATTCAATAGAATATGGACGATCCTGTAAGGATATTGGATGCTTGCCGCGTGAAACCTGCGTAATGGCCTACGAAAGCTGTTCATTTAGTCAACAGGAGAACGTGAGTTGTGGCCGCTATCCAACGTGCAAAAAGAACTCAGACGCCCAAAGCACGCAACAGAGCTCAGGTAATTAATCATGATCACACTAATCGGTGAGATTTTCATGTTTAGGGACGCAAACTTTCTATACATATTTATTTTATTTATCATGGGAGGTAAGGGATGGTTAGGAGGGGAACAGGAAACTCTAATCTTGCAAGAATTAATTAATCAATTAATTAATATTAAAGGCTGCTAGCTTGAAATTTCATTTCATTCTCATGGTGGATTAAATTCTGTTTACTAGAGAAACTCCTTGTTTTTCCATGCTATCATTATTGCCTTGCCGTCTTACTCATTCTCATTAGTTAAGAATTTTATAGAATCATGTTTTCGTACGAGTGCTTTTCCGTGTTAATTGCATTCACTTACATCAGGAAAATTAATTCCCAAATCTGCACTTTAAATAAAATTGCATTCACGAAGGAGACGGAGAAGATACAAATTTCAAGATGATAATTCATGACGCCATTGAAGTGTCGAGTTCACTGTCCGGGTGAAATATTCTCAATGTTTTATATTCATGAGAAAAGCGTCCATGCTTGTATTTTCAATCTCTCTTTTGATGTCATATCGTTTAATCCTCTATTGATCCCTTGGATCATCTTTATTCAGATTCACAAAATATGACTTTGTTCATTCAATTTTATAATTACAAGAGAACTTCACTGATCTCGTCTTCACTTTAATATTGTTTAAACCTTTTTGAGTATGTCAACGTGAAGAGATAATAACAACAACGTCAGGAAAAAAGTTTTCCACGAGATAAAAAGGAAAATTTTAAATATTTAATTTAGTAAATGTGTGCGCATGAATAATGAAAAATTTGACTCGTAAAACTTTCTTTTTATGTCACATTAACCGTGTTTGATGACAACAACGGAAAAATATGAAGAAAACTACAATTTCACGACTACAATAGATTAGAGAAATTTTCGTGTTACATTTTTATTCCATCCATTTCCTTTGCATTATTGCTGCTGTTGCCAGATGAAAGGAAAAAATTGTCACATTGTCACATTTTATGAAGCAATTTTCATACGATGCAAATATATCTTTTATATGAAAATGTTGTAAATTTAAATCCTTCTCTGAAAATGCATTTACTGGATAATAACTACTAGAAAATGTTTCACATCAATATTTCAATCCCAATTTGCATTTTTTTTAAATTCATGTACAAAATGTTGAAAACTTGTTGGGATTATCATGAATTTTTAAAATGATGTTGGTAATTAAAGCTTTGAGATGGAAATTTGTACAGAGATTAATAACATCATCATCATTGCTATGCCTAAAGAATCTTCCTATGCTTTAGCCTAAAGAATGAAATGAAATATGCACGACGTAATTTTTCAGAAAAAAAACGAAAGATTAGGTGGTAAGAAGATTGATTAGATTGATGAAAAAGGGATTAAATATGCATGTCGAAAGACTTCACTTCTAAAGAAATATCTAAAGGTAGACAACTTTTATGACTCATAAAACATTACACAAATTAACCATAGAATTTGACCATAGAATGATAATGACACGACTAACGCATGATCTTCACACTTTTTGGAACATTTACAGGCGCCAGTTACAATCCAAACTACAATACAGCGTCTGAAAATACTCGTCCTTCAAATGTCAACGTCAATCCACCTCGGGCAGAAGCAATCGATCCAAACCTCGTATTTGGCTTTCCAAGTAATCCAAACATTCATCCTCAAATGCCACCACAACAAATTCCTTTAGATATCCCAAGATTACCCGACAATCGTCAAGCGTTCCCGGCCACACCAAATCAAGGTGGTGGTAGTTACTACAATCCAGGATTGTATCCTGCTCCCACTCCCCCGCCTAATGTTTTCGGACCATTCCGAAATAAAAATGTGGAGAAATCGACGGAACCAAGTCTTTTGGATCAATTTTTATATAACAAAAGCCCACGAAATCTTTCAACAATCAACAACGCGAATCTTAATCTTACTTTATTCAGTTTATTGTTTTTATTAATTTATCGTATTAGAAATAATTTGGCTTGAAATGGGAGCTTTTGATTGGGTTCATTATACGAGCATAATTATTTTTGATATCATTTTATTTTGTTTTGTGAAATATAGAAAGAGTTTGGGGCTAACGATCGCTGTTCAAGAGTCGATAAAATTTCATAGTTCGTTCGTCAGCAACGAACTCGTCGAGCTTGATTCTTTTTTTCTTACAAGTATTCTATCTCATAACGATTATACGACTCTAATAGCGTTCGCTTGCCCTAATCAATAAATCATAAAAAAGAAGAAAAATAATAATTTGCTTTGTACAAAATGGTTTTTTTATTGTTTCGACAAATTTTTCTTTCTTCATTTTCAAGTCCCTTCGACTTATCGTAATATCTAATTATTTTCCCACCTCCACCCACATTGTCCACGATTATCGATTGCAGATTTCACTCCCCTCTTACTTCATTTTTTTTATTATCATGGTCTCTCGTAAAACTGTGAAAGAGTTTCTTTGTTTCTGAAATTCAAACCACCAGCAAATTTCAGTGCCTGGGCTGTGCTGTAAGGAGAAAATTGGTTTGCGATTGATTTTTCAATTAAACGACGAAAAGGGTTTCTTTTAAAAGGAAACCAAATAAGCCCTTCTTCGATGAGAGAGAAGGAATGGCAACGCTTAGCTTTCAATAATTTTGTTGAGTGAAGAAATCTTTTTCGGAAGTTGTCTCAGGAAGCCAATGAATTTCCGGTCAACGACAGAAAAAAAAAGATTTTCTCTCGTTTCATGCACATGATGGTATGACATAAGAACAAAGCGAACGGTTTCATCTGCAATCTGACAGAAGGAAAAAAACTGCGATGATTTATTGTACTTTTCATACCAAACTGCACAGCGATTCCAGTTAAATGATAAATTTTTTTTATTAACTTAATTCTTCAAAACTCAGCGTTTCTCGCGTCTATTCTTCTGTGCGTAATTTAATTAATCATAGAAGAATTTTTTTCTTGACTTATAAGGAAAATTAATCATTTTCGGTCTTTTTTCCTTCATTATTGTGAAAATAAAAATGATTGCACGTTTCCGTCTACAACCGAATTTCGGGCGATAAGTAAGCGATGAAAATCAAGGCACCACAATTTTTCATCCAACTCAGTCGTTATTTAAGTCATCAGGCAATTTTCATGTTCATTCTTGTCAGATGTGACTCTTTCTCAGAAATCAGCACAAACAAACAATGAAGAATTGAATCGAATTTCTTATAGAAAATGATTGAAGACGGTTTAGGAATTCTACGAACGTGGGTGGTGGAAGATAAAAAAAAAAGTTTAATCAGCTAATTGAGAAATTTGTAAATAAAAAAAATCTAAAATGGTGCTTAGGTTCATTGTGAGTTTTAAGATAAAAACATAACTATTTAGAATTACGGTTGAGGTTTTTTATTTTTATCCTATTTTGTTAGTCCAAGTTGATGAAGAACGAAAAGCTTAGGGTTGATATGGAAATGAAGGTACCTAAAAAAATCTCTCTTGTAAATTTAAATAAAAAAATCTTGACAGTTCACATTACTAAATCAGCTTAGCATTTTATTTATTGTACAATATAAAAATATTCATTGTAAACAACGTTTTGTAAGCTTTATACAGTTCCAAAACTTGCAACCTCATTTCCCTATCAACCTATAAGAAAAATTTCGAATTTAGAATCCAATTTTTATTTTCATCTTGAGAAGAGCCCGACAAAAGCTTCTTAAAAAAGCTTTCAATACCCTCGTCATAATTTAGATTTGCTGAAAGTTTTCGTTTTCCTGGAATTTCTTTTTAATAAACATAATAATTCTAAGAAAATGAAAAGTCTAAGCATTTTTTTCATGACGAAAATAAATAATTGAATGTAAATAACGATTAGGGACAGGCATGAAATTGCCATTTAATATGTTAGAAACGAACTGATCAATAAAAAACTAAAATTTTTCTCTTGCGGCGAGATAAGTGTAAGAAGAATATAAGGAATGCATGTAAAGAATATTTTATTTAATTCTAATTAATTAACTTTAGCACTTTTTAATGCATATTGATTTTTATGGTTTTAACTTTTAATTTACTTTAGGGTTGTTATAATTAATTACTAAAAATTAACTCACAGGATATTATTGTTTGCTTTTTTCTTGTTTTCTTTTCTTTATTTAACGTTGTGGCTTTAAATCCCTTTTCACTTCCCCTTCGATGAAAATAAAACCAAACCACACGATAAAAAAAAGGTCCAACGTATCCATCCCGAACTCCATCAGATCCAAACGCAAGCGTGTGGAATTTCCCAGCAACAACAAAATATACAACACAACGAACAACAACAACAACGACGACTACAACACGCCGGCCATGGACGACTAAGTCACCCTTCTATAATCCTGCTAATCCGTCTTATAGTGGGGGCGGAGGATACTATGGCAATCGTTATGGTGACGATACAACTTTTGGAGGATTCTCTCGACCAACGACACGTTACACAACAAAACGACCATCATCATCAGGCGGATTTAGCAGCTTTTTCTCAGACTTTTCCAACATATTATCAGGCGATGTTGGTAAACTTATCGGCGGAGCATTGAGCAGTCGAGGTGGAAGTTCAGGGGGTGGGGGATTTGGAAGCTTCTTTGGTGGTGGAGATACTCGACCTTTAATAGAAAATAGAAATTATCGTGGTGGATTATTCAGTGAAAATTCGGGATCAAGCACCAACTATAACGCATATCCAGTAACTCGTTATGGTCAAGTTTCACCATCAACACCGAAACCATCTTCAGCATCGCACGGCAACTTTGGATGGAAGATGACATAAGACGCACCTTGTTACTTTCATCATCTCTGTTTATTTTAAAATATTTCTCCTTTACATTTAATGACGTAAATAAACAAAATTCATTCTAGAATCTTAATTAGAAATTAATGGAAAAACTTCTTTAGCAAATTTATTTCTTCGTTTTGTTGAAAAGAAAAGATAAATTTAATGACGAAAGTCTGTTATTTGGAGCTTGTTTTGCTACTGAAAATATTGTTAATTATTCAAACAATTTTATGTTAATTTTCACACGTTCGCAGAATATTAAAATAAGATCAGAAGATATATCACTCTGATGTTGCTAAATGTGTTTTGATTTTTTCCTCCCCTTTCACACATAACGTTTCCCTTTTAACTTTAGCGGTTGGAGCTCATAAAGCACTCTGTAATTATTTAGATTGGAAGGTGTAAGGTGGAGTTGTGTGAACTGATTTTCAATACTGTAAGGAAGATGATAATCAAGAGCTTCACACTCATAAAACGTGTGTCGACCCAGAAAAAGTTTACATTTATCATTGAGAATGAGAGGCTTCAAGTTTTAAAAGTAACAAACAAAAAAGAAGAAAGTAAGAAAAAGGGGGAAAGGCTTTCGCACACAAATGGCAATGATTTATGCGATAAAACATGTTTAATTTGCTACTTTTCCTTTCCGTTATTGTTTACGATTTCACTCCTACGTAATAAAGAAATGGAAACTTTTTCTTTCTCTTTTTTTTATTCTGTTATTTCCTCTGCTTTGTAAAGTTTTGTAATTTTTCTCTCGAGCTTGGGGTAAAGTCAAATACCTACATTTAAATGAAAATAAAAAAAAAAGTTTTCAACCCTCACGACCCCCATAGCGACGTTTTGTGGAAGATATTTAGCCTCGAAGACTTCCACTTTTGAAATGATAATCAGATTTAAATGAAGCATTGGCACAATGCAAAAATATTTGAAAGTTTTTACATTTTCCAACTTGAGATACGATCCCGAAAAAAAAGAAAAAATAAACAAATTGGTACTAAATGCTGCCTGAATTGTAGCAGCTTTCGGGAAGAGAAGAATTCACATTTAATTAAATTAAAAATTTGTAAATTGAAAGTTTATGATGAAAAGTTCTGTTGAGGGTAATTAAAATAATCATAAAAATAACTATCGAAGTTAAACACACTTCTCATAAAATCTTCATTAGAGTCATTTACTAAACGCTTACTTCCTTTATTTGTGGCATTGATCGAAGACTAAATGAGAAGCATTAAAAAAAACCTCAAGCAATATCAAGGAATAAGAAGAAAATGTCGCAAAAACAAAATTAATGGATAAATGTCGACGTAACTGTCGATCACATACATCAAAAAATTCAAAGCTTTCAGGAAAGCAAAAACCGGAAAAAACTACAGGAATTAAACGAATGATGAATTTTTCATTTCCATTGCATGAAAAATTAATACTTTTTATCACATAAAAACCATGTTGTTTATTTCCCAACACAAAAGTAATAAAGAAAAACTATTTGAAGAACATGATGTAAAAATATTATGATTAATAAAAAATAAATTATACAATCAATCATAAGCTAAAGGCAATTTTTTTACTTTGCATGTTTTGTTTTCTTCGTTTTTTATTTCGTCATTCAAATTACAGACAATTTCCTTTATCTTGTTTTTTCTCAACGAGCCTCTTGATTTTTTTTTCAGGAAGTAAGAGAATTTTGAGCCGAACATAACAGTTAGTCAAAGATTATTTGTTCAACATTTATTTTCCTTTATCTTATTCGAATCCTAAGAAGCACGAAATAAAAAAAACAATCGTGTGTAAACAAGGATTTTTATCTCATTGAAGTCATTTCCATACTTTTTGGCAAGAGCTTTACTGGAATGTTCAGAAAAAGAAAATTGAAAAGCTCTCTTTCCGGAAGTCTTTTCTTTCCAGTGGAATTTAATGTTAAGGATACAGGGTGAAGATAAATTTTGTGACGTAAGAAAAGTCGACTGAAATTTAATATTGCTACAATTTCATTACTGAAATTTAGAAACTCATGATAAATATCTGAATACTTTTTCTCTTAAACTCACAAATCACATTTTTTCATTGAAAATGTTAAATCGCCACCACATGTTTCCAATCATTTCCAGATAAGAGCTTTAAGGGGTGAAAAACTTCATCTTCCAGTCACTAACATTTCCTTAATTTTGGGGGAAAGTTCTTCACATAAGGCAACGATAAAACCATTGCAGGCATTATAATTTTCATTTAACTTCCACGACTTAGATTATTTTTGTTGTTGTACTTCCATGTGGAACGAATTTGTTTTATTTATTCTTGAACTCCCTACACACATATCGAGATTACTTTTCGTCTTGCCACCGTCAACAACAGAGAGGAAAATATCATCATTTTCTTCCGTGCAGTAGAGTGAAGTAGACGTGAAACGTGTTCGAACAAGAATTTGTTTTGTTGTTATATTCAGAGTGTTCTGCTGCTATCATTAATTTATATTGTTAATGAAAGTAAACAGTTTCTCAAGACAATATGATTAGAATGAAAATTTCAAATTAAATTTGTAAAATGAGTTTGAAGTTCTGTTAACAAAACAAAATATTCATGGAATTTGATTAAAATAATCTGTAAATCTGTGAGAAGTTGTCCTGAAATCAAAATCTAAAATTGAATAAACAACTATAAACACCAACCGAGTTTTCTCTTCTTACACAAAATCGCGCTTTATCTGAGAAATCACGAGTTTCGAGAGTAAAATGAAAAGTTTGTCGTAAAGTTTCTGAGGGTGTGATTATTTGTTATTCTAGTCGCATCATCAGAACAGAAAATGAAATCAGAAACCATCATCTTTGGCTTGAAATGAACACGGCAGGCGTCTGTCCGAAATTGCGGACAATGTTTTTATGTTGGTGAAATAAAGCAGCAAGATAAACAGAAGGCGAAAGTGAAAGCTCAAAAAGTTGGGTAAGAAGTGATCGAGTGGAAAATTTTCGCCTTTTCTTCCAAAGCTCAACAAAAAGAAAAGAATGAAAAAGATGTTGAGGAAATGAATGAGAGAAAGTGAAAGAAAATGGAAAAATCATCGCTGAATATTAAATCTTTCCGCAACTTGTTATCGAACCAGAACAAGAATTACAAGATTTCTCCTAAAAGTAACCATTATCATCCCACCGAAGTAAAGCTGAATGGATTAAATGGTTCGATTGATGATTCTACGGGTTCTTGTAACATCGAGGAGCTTTATTCTATAAAGCGAGCAAAAAGCGAAGATAGCGAGTGCAGTAAACGAAACTCAGCAGATGTAATTTGTGGGAATTGGGTGAAATTTTTCTCCAATTACAACAGCAGCTTCTGTCTCACTGTATTGACACCTGTGGCTTGCAGGTAAAATTTCCGAGAGAAAAGATATAAAAGAAAAATATTTGACAACAGCATTAACGAGATTGATGGAAGCTTTAATTGAGCTTCCGATACCATTCGCATATCAATTATCAACTAATTAACTTGATTACCATTCTCATTTACTCTTTTTTTACCACACTTCATGACCATTGATTAACATCGAAATGAAGCGTTTCGGTTATAATTATTGTTGCGGCAATTGCTGGGCCTTTATGGATCACTACGGAAGAGAAAATTCCTTGGCTGACCGTAAATACGTCGCTTTATCGAGGCAATTACACTTTTTCCTACATCATTAAATCGTCGAATGCCAGTCTTTGGATTCTGTGCACACGACAAGGTTTGTTGTTTCATTTTCTTATACTTTAAGAATTCACTGCTAAAATATTTCACACAATAAATTCGCCTTTCAATGCCTTAGTTAGCGGAAATCATTTCGTGATGATGAAAATAAAAAAGAATTTCCCATTGGACTGCCTTCTCGTTATTAAAGAACTTTGGGTGAGAAAATAAATTACGTCACAAGATTATGTTGACATAAATTCTGAGCGGGCCATTTTTAAATTAAACATTCCGATTGGTCAATAAGAAAATTATTGAGAAAATGATTCATCAAGTCTACTTCCGACCTCATATTTCAAGCGTCCCTACTTAAAGAAAGAACTTCCTTTTGAATACAGAAAGAAAATCCAATTGACACCAATTCAATAGCTTGAGGGAATTTTTAGGAAAATTGAAATTTTTTTCTTCCTTCATATTATTTTTAAAAGGAATGTCATAAAAAATATTGGAGAAAATTGGGTCGTTTGAGTGATGGCGAATAGATGGATGATAGAAATCTTATTCCACTATTAAAAATGGCTCAATAAATCAATCAATCAGCGACAAAAACCCAACAAAAGTCGAAACTATACACGCTTTCTTTCATCCTACTCAAAAGTCTCTTGAATGATTTTGTTAAAAAAGTTAGTATAAGTACGAGTATGTATAATGTTTGGCTTGAAGGCATGAGCGACATAAGAGGGGAGTAAAAAAGCGATTTCTTTTTGCCACGAAACATCATCTTTCATCCTCGGAAATGTTGTAAAATTTCATAAACTTTTTCCTGCCACTCTTCTCTTTTCGCTTCATTTATTAATTTAATTTCTTAAAGGAAAAGAAAAGGAAGAAAAGTTGGGAATTGCTTTCCGCTTATTCTCTTTACTTACGATTGCTCCCAAATTAAATACCTTGGCCGGAACTTCCTAAATTTGATTGGTTTAGATCAAGGAAAGTTTTCTGCCTTTCCTTTCAGTTTGATCTAAGATTTCTTCTTTCACAAAAAATAAATTTTCCTTCCTTACTCAGTGACTTTTAATTCTTTTCCATTTCACTTCATGATTAAATGTTGTTTGCAGACAGAGTTCGTTGTCTGTTAGCATCTTTCCCTTCAAGTTCACAACTTGTGATGTACTTTGTGATATATTTTTGAAATCTGATAACAGAAAAGAAAGAAATGAAAAAAGTAAAATAGCTTTGAAGTTTCCTTGAAACAAAAAAACCCAAAAGTAAAAGCTTTCAAATGTATTCCTCAATCTTGAGACTGACATGATTTCATGATCATCTCAAAATTTTCTTAAATTAGATAAAAATGAAATACTTTCTATAATAAAATAAGAAAGGAAGAAAAAGGATAAGAGGAAAGGAAAAACTGAAATTGATTCTGTCTAGAGCCGATCTAAAATTATTCCCAACGCTCTTCAAATTGATGCCAGATACACTCATCATAGCTCATATATAATATTTATATCCAGCCCGTAACTTCCGTTACCCAATGTCATGCATGAACGTTCAACGGGAGATTTAACGAAGAAGAAAGTAGACGTTTAGACAAAAGAAAAATTAATAATAAATCTCATGTAAGAATTATAGTCTTTCAAGCCGAGCGAGAAAAAAGTTTCGGTAAAGCAGTCGAAGTCACTTTTTTTAACCATTCTTCATTGTGGGAAATCTCATCACATACTACGCCCCTAACTCATATCATTTGCAAATATATTTCGTCTCTTCATGGAAGCAACGATGTAAATAATGTCGACTTAACATTCATAATAACTTTTATTTCTTTCTTCCTTGATGCAAATCATATTAATTCGATTTCGAACAACTAAATCATTGTGATGGAAAAATATTCATTTCAAAGCGCTTGACGATAATCGAACGAAATTGGATTTCAATCACAAAAATTGTTCGAGAATCAACTATTTTTCAATGGAAAGCTATCAACAAGACCTTCGCGATCCAACAAATGAATCAAACAATGTTATTCCATGTAAGTATTTTTGATAGATAAAAGACAAAGCAAATTCTGTAGATATTTATCACGAACAGAAATTCTTCAAACTTTTCTTCCTACTGTCGATTCACAATCACATAACTTGACAAGAAAGAGTTTGGAGTGAAGAAGAAAAGTTTGACTTGAAGCGTCTGATTTATTTTTCATTTGGTGCGTGTGTTAAATTGTCATTTGAAACGATTGTCTGTGGCACAAAATAAAAAGCTTGAACACGAGTTTTTGGTATCGGTTCAAATTTTACCTTTGAGCGCTACCTTTCGTCTCAAGGCATGCGTGACAAAAAAAAAGCGAAAAGAAAAATGAAAAACAGTCCCAAAGTTCGTTATGATTGCACAGAAAATTAAATTTTTCTTCTTAGCATTTGTGAGTTTCTTTTTTCATTACGTCGTCGAATGATTTAAGCATTGCTTCATATGTGAAGAGTTTGTTATTTTCATATTTTGTCGCCGTCAATGAAAAAGTTTTTGAATGCTTTCAAAACAAGTTCTAAGCCATTTTTCATGTCTCCCAATTCACGAGGTAATGTAGTTTTTTTGTTCTTTTGTTTCTGTTTGTGCCAACAAATTTGTTCCGTTAGGATAGTCAAACATGGAAACGAGGCCTCAACGTATGTTAGATTTGCGGTGTTTGTGGCCGCACTTTCGCATTATTTTACTACGGCGTTCATCAAGTAGCTGCTTTGAAAATACAAAAGCAGTTTGCACACGCTTCACACATATGTGAACGTTTAGTAGAATCATAATTGATGTGGATGAAAGCATTTCTTACTCGAGTGGTTTTGTTTTAATATTATTGAACATACATTAATTACACTTATATAGTCATTGAACTTTCAACATGTTATAAAGCTGCAATGATGAAAGCTAATTTTCAACGTCGCTTTGATATCTGTTTCTGATAATAATAAAAACATTTTCATTCACTCCAAACTTATCATCAAGAAACAATAACAATTCTAATATTTTCGTCATCCTTTTACCATAAAATTTGATGTTGATTTCTCTTCTGAACTTGTTGACCCAGGTGGAGGTTTTATTCAGGGTCATGAAAGCTTTCAATCAAAAACAAATAAAAATGTTTTCAGAAGCCTTAAGCTTAAAATTTATCTCTCCATAAAATCATGACTTTGTATTTCTATGAAATTGTCTTCATCGATAATGTTTGAGTAGCTCAAAGATTTGTGACAAGCGTTTAAATTATCCCCTCCATAATATTTTTGAAAAAGTAAGGAAAACATTTTTGAGAGTGAATTATTTATGAATTTTTTTCATCTTCTTTCCTAAGAAATTTGAGCTTAGCTTTCTTCTTTCCAATTTTCCTTTAAGATGATTTATTGTTGTTATTGAAGATTTGCCGGAACATCGTCAAAAATTTCCTTTGTTTAACGAAGTCGAGAAGTCTCCTTTGACAAATGTCGTGAAGAATTTGTGATGAATTTAATTTCATCATTCTTTTCTAGAAAAAGAAAAATTACAATAAATTCACAGGAAAAAATTTCATGAGAGTTAAAGAAGCTTGAATGATATTTATGCTAATTCCAATCCCACTCAATTGTCATGCAAAAGCGTTTGTCGCTGACCGTAAGAAGATTCCTGTTTCACAGTAGAATCCCCTGAAAATAAATAAGCCTTGTCAGCTTGTAAACGAAGGACAGTGAAAAGTTTCCTTACAATTTCAAGAGACTGTTGTTGACGTACCGTTCTCAATCTCCTTCAGATAAAAATTCCCTTCCGCTTTTCCCACAGCGGATCTTGATTTTGTTTCACTCAATTGACTTTAAATGAGGGAGGTGTTGGCTTGTAACATGAAATATTCCTTTCTCTGCTTCGAAGAGCTTTTTTCACCTCAAAAAAAGGACTTTAACGGAAATGTTCAATTGAATTATTCACTCATCGTTGCGTTTTCGTGCTCAACAGCCACATGAAAGTAAGTTTTCCTCTCACCGAATTTTAGATGACTTTCCACGGTTATGAATATGGGCGCAGCGTGAAACTATTCAAGCAACAGCTATGACCATTCAACTCACGTTCGCTCCATTATTCTGCAACATTTCACTCCAATTAAGTCTCTGATCTTCCTGTTGCTTGCGCAGAAGTTTCACTAGTTAATGCTTCACGAAAAGGATGGAAAGAAAGACAAAAAAAAAACTATAAAGCATAAACTTCAACCTCCACCCTTTGTCTGTCTCTTTTCCTTGTTCGCTCCATTTTATAGATGTTTTAGCTTGTTATACAATGATTTAATTTGCAAAACTAAATATAAACTTTACTCCTACCATCATTGATTCTCATTTCAGATACAATCACCCTCTCAGCGCCTTTGTTGATCATCGCTTTCATCATTTTGTTGATTAGTTATCTCCTGTTTTTATTGGCAATTTGTTCGCACAAGTATAAAATATTTTATTTTGCTGCCGGAATTGGTTTCATCATTTCGGGTGAGTTTCCAATTTTATTTCTTTTTCGGTTATTGCTACCATTTTGAAGTGGATAGAATGAAGATTCAAGCTCAAGTTGAGGTCGAGTCGTGTTGTGATGATGAAGAAAAAGAGGAAGAAGTTGGAACTTCGAAGAACATCATACATAATAATTCTTTTATTATGATCCATTATGTTAGAGTTGGGCTTGGGCTTACATGTTTATGATATCATTATTTTCATTTACTCTTCCCTTTATAATTGAACTTCGTAAAAGAAACATGTCGGAGTGGGATGGGAAGATGAGAGAAGCGCGTAGGAATAGAAAGCACCTCATAAACTATTGTTATGAAGAAACGCTTTTACCCTAAAGGATAACTGTATGAGATGATAAATTAATTGGAACCAGAGGGAATATTGAAGAGCTGTCTGACACAGAAGAAAATATTTTCTTTTCAAAGATCAAACATTAAGCACCAGAGAAAATAATTTGAAACATGTGATTGTTCGATGTCATTGACTTTTTCTTTATCTTAACGTAGATGATCTCAAATAAAAAATGAACCGAAACCACCCACACTTAATAAAAATTTTAGCAGACAATTTATATTTACCGTAGTAGTGCTAAGTTGAGCTTCATTTAAAAGAAAGAAAGCAAAAAAAAATTATATTAATTTCTCTCTTAAGGATCGTAAAACTTTCTTACATCTAATACACGTTTCGCAGGCTACTTTACAACTGCAGGAGTTCGCTTTCTTTTTGGTTTTAAAAAAAAGCTTTAGAAATGAAAGCTTTTGTCCATTTATTAAATTCACTTCACTGCAATTAATTATAATTGAAGAACTTTACTGACTCGGCATAAATTTTCTCGTTTTCTCTGAGGTTGTCCAACCGACCATTTCTGCAAAAGAAAGAAAAAAGAAAAAGAAGTTTGTTGGTTTACCAAGAAAATCCACAAACTGTCCCCCAGAAAGAAATTGCTATTTTTTCTTTCTCAGTCGTTTGTTATGACTTCTCTATGGGACCCTCGATAGACATTTAATTAAAAATCGTCACTTAATATTTATGCACTGTGTGGTGAATCATAATTATTATTGATTTATAGCATTTTGGGTTGCGTTGGTTTTTGTAATTCATTTGGTCTGCGTGTGAACGGTCGACACTGAGAACGAGAGAAAAAAATGTTGTAAAATGTTTTATTAATAAACGGGATGGTGCAAACAGATTAAAAAAGGCAATCGAGTTGGTTGTGGTCATTTCAAAAACCGAGGAAAAATCGTTTAGGCTTTCATGAGGGCAAAATTTAAATATTTTGTAACTTTTGTCATTTGAAATTGTTTTTAAATGACTTAAAACAAGAAGAAGTGAAGAAAAGTCAACAACATTACATCACTTTAGAAAAAAGAGGAACAATCAACCCGTTGTAACAACCATTATTCCAACTCAGTGATAACCGAGAATTTGTTTTTCCCATTGTCACTCTGATAAACATTCATGAAGATGGAGAAAGATTCTTTTTTCTTCTTTTTCTTGATTTTATGTATTACTTTCCTTTCTTTCTTGACTTAACAAATCTCTTTGTCATTCTTCTTCTCGTTTAATTTCAAATATAGGTCTGCTGTCGCTTAGCGGACTCATCATGTTCATATCGATTTTTAAATCAGAAGTTTACCACAAATTGCGTCCGGAGTCCCAATCGAAGGAATTGCTTTTCCACTTTAATTATGGACAAAGCTTCTTCCTTTACGTGATTGGATTTGTTGTTGTTGAACTGTCAGGTATTTTAAACGTCTGTCTATTCAATAAACTTCAGAAGCAAACCCAGCAAAGCCAGGTAAGCGCGAAGCTTTTAACTTAAATCAATCATGTTTAACCGTCGAGACGAAGTCAAATTGAAATCTAATTTTCCGCTTCTTCCTTCCGCATTTGACAATTTTCCATCGATTCAATGACTGATGTCACTGATGTTTTCCTCCTTTTTTCTTGCTTTCTCCTTCTTTCGTATACATACAAGCAGAATCAATTTCAGCTCAATAATTATGTGAAAGTCGGTGTCGCCAAATCGGAATCATCAGCAGCACCCAAAATGTGCCAACATCGTGTAGCCTTTCCGTCAATTGTAGAGAACGGGTGAGACATCAAATTGTTTTCACATAAATTCCCATTGACAGATCATGTTCAAACAAACAAACGATTTCTAGACCCGAAAATAAAAAAAGGGAGAAAAGTTACTTAAGGCTCGTCACGTTTCCACGGGTGCGCTTTATAGCCTTCGTAGAAAAAGGACGAAAGCTTTAAAATTAAACTTAAATTCATGCTGAAGATTGACAATTGATAAGTTCGTGAACAATCTTAATCGTTGTGGGCTTTTCAAAGAACACAAGAAATGTTTGAAAAGTTTTGTTTTATTCTGTTTTCTTGTGAAGAACACCCTCGGGTGTATTCTTAAGAAAAAAGTTTATTTTTGTGATATCCTTGAAACAGAGATCAAATGACACGGAAATTTTGTTAACGTTTACTCCATTTACTGTACGTTTTTCAGTTATTTGCCGCAACAAAATCGTTGTTCACTTCATACAATGTCTAACAACCGGAAATCAGTAGGTGATGGATTAAATAATTTGTTATCAACTCAGCATTCGCAGCAGGTGCCATCACATTTTGTAGAGTTTAATCATCTTAACTTTAGCACACCTTTTAAGAGAAATGCTTCGACTTCAACGCTTGATCTCGTCGGTGAAAAAAGCGGCGACAGTTCGTCTGGAAAAAACAATCAGCGAGCATTGAACATTACTAAAGATAAATCTAGCTTCGGTAATAAATTGGATTTCAACAGCATTTGTGGAATGATGCGATCAAGTTCGAATAAGTTAAACAAAGAAACAAATATGAATGAAAACATCCGTCGTTTGAAGCCCGCGAAAAACATTTATTACATTGAAGAGCGCAAAGATGACGAACCGAACATTTTCATTATAGATCCATCGACAATAAACAAACATAAAAAAATTCATCAAATGCAAAAGTCTTTGGAAGACATCCGAATACATAAAACAAACAATCAATTTTCACCCGCACAAGGCTACAACAGTGACTGCGATGCAAAAATTGGATGGAATTTTATGGACCGGAATTATTACGGAAGTCGAACACTTCCGCGTGACTTTTCGCGTCGTAATATTCGTCCTAGCTTAGATAATCTTCTTGACAGCTTCCATCAACATGCAAACGATGATAGCGCGAGGTAAGATGGCTTCGTTTGTTATCTCATATATTTATTCCATCGTCATTGTTTATGAATAATTAATTTATTCGAAAAGGAAGTTGATTTCTTACTTGCTTTTAAATTTCTGTTAAAGAAAAGCAAAAATGTTGTCATGATTATTCTGATTCGTCATGATTTAATTTAATTTTAAACAAAATCGATTTTTATTTCATGTCTTCAGATGTGATGTGAATCTCTTCTCGTTTTAGATTTCTTTTATTCTTATTAATCAATGTTAAAAGCTTTGCTCTTTACTAAATACTTGTTAGATGATTTCTCAACTCGAGTTTTGCAATTTAATCTTTAATTCTTTTTGTTTTCTTCAACTTTTGACTGAATTCATCATAATAAAAATATAAGCTTTGTCAATTTTGCACAATTAATTTCAATTTACGTGACTTAAAAAAGCTAAACAACAATTTCTATGGAGCTTTGTAGTAAATAATTCCCAGGTTCTCTGTAGCTTTTCTGCCTAACCCGACTGATTAATGACGGAAACAGATGTTGCGTTTCGTTATCTTTTCAATAATTGCGAGCAAATCTCTAAATGACTGCGACATGTCATTTTTCAGCGACACATTTTACTAAACGAAAAATCATTCCTAAGTGTGTAGATGTGTGTGGCATGAAGGTCGATAGAAGAAGAAGAATAAAATTAATACGAAAATCGCAACATAAAAAGCGGGAGCCAGGATATATTCGCGTTAACATTTTCTTCACAATCATCTCGAGAGAAACTTTTTTAAACACGATGGATGATGTTTGATCAAGTTTTCAAGAGCTTAAAAATTTTCATCACATATTTTCCTTTTTTCTCGAATATTTATTAAATATATTTTCTTTCATGTTTTAAATTGAATTTTATTCCAGACCGACATCATCGTCGTTTCGTAGATGCTCCAATATCGATCCGAATAATATTTATCCACCACCAACCGGATTTAATCATCACCATAGTTCTTGCGATGAACTTTCAATGAACAAACCAAGTCGAAATGTTCATTTTCCAAATGATAATGTGACCTTTGTAGAACCACCAAAAGCACCACAGGAATATCAATGGCCAAAGTTTATTCCAAAATCACCATCATCATTCTCTATGAACTCTTTCCGACTGCAACGTCAACCACCACCATTCATCAAATGTCCAAATTATAATCATATCGATGAATTTGATTTGGATAAAATTGAACATGAACTTGTCACATCAGGCTCACATTCTACACTTTTCAAAGAGAACGTAAACGAGTTTGGTACAGCTGTCTGAAGGGACTCCCAAACGTTCGATTTGTTGTTTAAATGTTTGAATTAGTGACTTGTTGAGATTATCATTCATCACTACAAAGGATAAGTTTAGGATAGCCAAAGTTGTTTAGGATCTCATGTGGTTTATACCTTCAACTTTCAGTATCCGGAGATTTAAAAAATATTCGAAGAATGTTGAAAATGTGATGAACTTAAAAAAAAGAGTATTTTGTGTTCTTTTATGCACTGATGAGCATCATCATCAACAAAACATTCTTTAAAGTAGATATAAGATGATAAAGAAAGAATACAAAAAAAAAGTTTTTCACGCTGACAAAATGTTGTTGTTTATTTAACTTAAATAAATTTAAGTACGGGGAAAAACATTTTGAATGTTTGAACATATTTTCTGATTATTTATTTACTTATTTTCATGAGTTTCATCGATTTCGAAAGAATTTGAGGTGTAACTACGTAAATCGCTTTGGACGGATGAACTTTCCTTAGAATGAATTTGTAGGCAGTCGTCGAGGTTCACTTCTGTTGCGGTTGTTTTGCTTCGAGGATCTTTATAAGCTTCAGTTCTTTTTCGTTGTTCGTCAACCTCAAGGGATTTCTCAAACAATTCGCTTTCCTTTTCCACATTTTTTATCATCATACAAGTGTTCTCGAATATTTCGTTAATTTCTTTTGTGATTGTGTCTGGAAAGTTTTGTGGTTTCTTTTCGATGCTCTTGGGTGCACTTGACCGATAAAGCTTTGACAGCTTTAACTTCTCTCGTTCGACTTTTCTTCGAAAATCTTTTTCCAATTTATCTTTTTCTTCTCTCATAATTCGGGAAAAAGATTTTTGAAGTTTTCTCAAGAAACGTCGGCCATTTTCCGTGTTTTGAAGTTCGTTCATCCATTCATCATAATTTTTATGAGAAACTTCACTCACTTTCCTTATATCCTGACAAAGACGCTCGAAATTAATTACACAACAATTCAACTGTTGCATTATTGTACCGACAGATTCAATTATAGCTTTGGAATCGTCTTGACTTGGATGTCGTTTGAAATCATCAAGTTTATTTGTTATAATACTTATGTTGTTAGACATCTTGTCGAGATTCTGAGAAATGACAGCAATTTCTTTAACTTTCTTAGACTTATTTGTCTTTGAATCACTGCTTGTCAGTCCATGATGCCGCCGCCGTCGCTTTTTCTTATTTTTCGATTTAGATGAAGTAAATGAGAGATCTTCTGATTGCAAGTTATTTGTTTCTGTCTGGGTTGCAACAGTTCCGGTTTCCGTTGTATTATGTGATATTATTAATTCTTTGAGCATAATACTTAATAAAGAATCTGTGGAGCTTTTATAAACATTGAGAATTCTTCGTGTAATTTTATCACTTTTTGTAATTCCTGTCAAAAGTTTAAATAGACATTTAAAAAATATTTAACAATTTGAAAGCTTTTTAAATTAACTTACCCATCAAGTCAATCAAATTTCCTATGTAGTCTTCTTCAAATCTAAACATTGAATCCTTTTCAAAATTGGGCAAAAGTGTCGAATGTCTTGTTTCGGTAAAGAATACAGAAAGAGTGAAATGATTATTTTGATTGTAAAGATGTTCAGCCTGAAGCGTATCGATCACAAAATCTTTTGAATCAAACAATGCTTTCTGTTTATCCATTTCTAATTGTTTTGCAAGTTCTGTCTTCTGGAAGTCAGTGAATAATTGCTTTCTAAGTTTCTTTTGCAATTCTTTTGTAATTTCTTTCTCGTTCATCCAAGCATGGAGTATTTCTTTGAATTCCTCAGCTGGTATTTGTTTTATATCATCAAGATTCACTTTCGATGACATTTTAAGCTGATATCTCAAATATTTCTACTGTTTTTATATAAATTCAATAAAACATAAAAACCGTTTGTTTGTTTACAATTTGTGAGAGTTTACGTACTTACGTCAATGACGTATGAAATACGTAAAATTTAAAATTCAAATAAACGTTAAAATTTTTAAGAACAATTGTTTAAAGGATGAACTTTTCAACTAGAGTTTTTAATTATAAACACCTCCATGGTTCATTTCATGATACGAAGCACATTAACAATACGCAATGAAGCAAAATTATTAATAAAAAAGTTAAAATAAATTTAAAGAACCTTTAAAAAGATGACCATTCCTGGGAGCTTAAACCCATCGAATTTATTATCTACTTTAGGTTAGTTTGCTACACTTTCTTCTTCATATAAAAATTGGTGAAAATGATTCTTTTACCTTAGTAATCATTCTTTCTTAGGTAGATAATTTTCATTCCATTAATATCGGAAATACAACAACATAAGACAAAGAAAAGGAACATTTAAGATATTGACATCATTCAAACAAAATTTGGATGGGATTCCCATCATCATCAACATAATCCATTTGAATTGTTTAGAAATCGTGAGAGAAAAGAGAGAAGATCAATTCTTGATTTTTTTATATAAACAAAGAGGTAAGCTTTTATTCAAGCGAATTAGGATGGCACACGGGATTTACCATTATAAATTATGACAGAATTAGAGAAGAATGTTCTGGGTTTTTGCATATTTGTTCTTGGCTCTTAAGATCTTCTTAAATTCAATTTTATTCTTACTAAGCATCCGACATAATGAATGATGATTCTCAAATCGAAAACTTTATCACTAAAAATTATTCTCACTCATCCCTGATCTCATGTAATGTGTCAGAACACAGATATCCAAAAATAATAATCATATGTCTTAATCATAGCTTTTAGCTGTGAACTGAAACGCAAAGGCAAAAATTATTTTAGAATTGAAGTAACGAAACAGACGCTTTCAAGGTCGATTACAATAACAAAATTGAGCGATTCGGCTTGGAATTTGGAGACGGCAGAACAATTCATCAGAAATAATGTTGAATTCTCTTACCATTAATAATATTCGAAAGCAAAAATCATAATCTGCATAATTTTGCATAATAAATCACATGTCACTGACTCTAACTTATATTTTAATCATGAATGTAGACGACGACAAAAAGATGTTTGAGTAAGTCATAAAATTTACGAAACGAAAGAAATTTGTGTTGATGAACGCAACCAAATGTGTTAGGTATTTTGATAAAACGAAAGTGAAAGCTGATCGGCCCTTTTCGTTTCAAATTTATACGCCCGAAACACATAAAGTACAAGACATGAAAAGCGGAAGCACTCATGAAATGACCACAACAATACAAAATTGCTCAATCAGCTGGTCGGTCTTCACTTACGAAACTTTTTACACTTCGGAATTCTTTAACATTTTTGATTGTTCAATTATTCTACTACGACATTCATTTTATGATTATGACGAAAAGTATTTAAAGATGTTTAAAAAGGTCTGATAATATTTAATTGCTTTAAGTTGCACATACATTGAAGATACTGACTTCTCAGAATTATTTACATTCCACTTCAAAATATGGACTCGTTCGGATACTTTTAATTAATATTCTTGATAAAGCCTTTTTTCATTCTTTCCAGATGATAACTCAATTGTGTTAGGTGTCATTACGGTTATGTTAATTAATGCAAGCATTCTTCGAAATGTGTTAATTTTCGTCAACTCTCATTTAAAATATTCTGCAGATATCTGAACTTTGTGTCTTTTTTATCGAATGTCTCTTCATTCGCTCTTCTTTTTCTCTATTGTTGCGAAGAACAAGCAAGAAACTTGTGTGTCGGAAGACTCAACAACAAAACAAAAAAAATGAAAAACACGGAGTATAGACTGAAATATATTTTTGGAGTGTCTCAGTTGTTATTCAACAGTGATCGCGAACGGATCAAAAAACCAAATTCGGAAGTAATCTAGCAAAAGTCTAAAGCGTAAAAAGTGTCTAATAATAAATTTGTTAAAATTTATCGATAAAAAGTATTTCAATTTTTAACTACAAAACGGAAATTGAGTTAAACAACAAACGAACAATTTGCAACATTTTTTTTCGTCCACTGTTTGATGATATATTGCTGAGTGTTTTATTTTATTTATCATAACCAGGTGATTGCTTATTAATTTAAATATTGAAATATTGAATACTTACTCTGCGGGTTATCGAAAAAATTAAAATCAGTCTTTTGAAGGTGAACGCGACTTAAGACATGAATTTGCCGAATTGCGTTAAATAAGCGATGCGTTGGGTTTAGCATTAGCAAAAAATATATAAAATAACTTCAACATAAAGACTTTTATTTAGTTCAAGTTCATTGCTGGAAGAAACAAATTGAAAATAAAATTGCAAAAGGAAGTCAGACAGAAAAGTAAAAGTTCAATAGAAAATACTTGTCCGTTGTTGTGTTAATCTAAGAAAACAGTCGTTGAAGCGTGATGGTGACTTGAATCATTCTTTGTCTAATAAAAAAAGTTTGCAACATTTATGCAATCAAGTGGAAACAATTTGTAATGTGAAAAACCGTCTTTTATTTAATTCTAAAAATAATGACAAAAGCTTCTGATGCATTCAATCTCGTTTGATGTCATTTTAATGATTATTTCTCAATTCAAAATATATCTGAAAAAATTACAAAGGATTGTCACCCACGCGACAAAAAATATTAATCCAATAATTATCACGAATTAAATTAATTGCAAATTCTCTGTTTTTGATATTTTCCTTTTACTCAAATTGATTTGTGAATGATTGAAATGGCTTAACGACTGATTATTACTTCATTAGTCATTTGTTTAACAAGCGGAAATTCCATTTATACTTATTGAATTGAATTAATTTCCTTTCTTTAATGCAATGCTGTGAATATTCTTGTCACATACAAAGGAAAAGCTTTTAAAAGCTCAATAAATTGTTATTTCTGTTTTATGTTTATTTCCAAAATTGAAATTCAACTCCAATTCGTTTCTTACTGAGAATCCATCCGATTAAAAATAAATGAGATTCAAGATTTACATGAGTCACAAAACTGGTTGAATTAAGTTTTTGTATTCCCAAAACTCTCATCTGTGTATAAATTTAAAAATTAAAATATAAACAAGCAATCAAACAAAACATAATAAGAAAACGGCATGCGACTTGTCATGACGTCATTTTTACATTCGTCGATTCTTGGAAATATTTTTTCGAGTCCACTAAACATTTAAATATCCAAAAATTTAATAACTTTTGAAAGTTTTTTATTTTGAAAATATATTAAAAATCTTTTCCTGAAAGGAACCTAAAGAAATTTGAGTCATCATCGCTTGTGATGTCAAGCAATGAATTAAATTATTCCCAAATTTTCTGGTCGATTATAAATTCAAAATTTTATTTGTTTCACGTCTCTTTGGATTAAGTTTTGTGATTTTCTTCAGCTCTGACATGTAAAGTGATGATTAATTATAAATAATTAATTAATTTTCTTTCCATTGTTTTCGATGATGTCAGTGTCGAGGCGAACTTCATGCACTAATAAATCCTTTAATTGTCCTTTATGTTTGTCTTTATCAAAACAGAGAAAGAATCATATCACGATCATGAGGGTGAAGGTCAATATACATGTCCGAGAACACTTGTTGACGATTCTCACAGTCAGTGCAGTCGTGTGTGGAGTAATTGCTGGAATTATTGTAAGAGCGGCTGGTTTGCATGAAAATGAAGAGAAATTCCATCCACGAACTGTCATGTATGTCAACTTTATCGGCGATATCTTCCTTCGGATGCTTAAAGCATTGATTCTTCCTTTGATCGTATCGTCTCTGGTCGCCGCTGTTGGTTCTTTGGACATTTCTCTTTCAAAACGTATTGGAACAAGAGCGATTGCTTATTACATGCTTACAACCGTCCTAGCAGTTTTACTTGGCATCATCCTTGTGTCAATCATCCAACCTGGCCGTGGCGGAGTTGATCCAAATGACGACAGACCTAAACCATCAACAAGAGCTGTAACAACAGCTGATACAATGCTCGACTTGGTCAGGTGAGTTCAATGATCTGTCAAATAGCGTGGGAACTTCCCAAAACAAAATTTAACTTGTTTTATTGAATTTATCTTTTATAACGGTTTCCATTCCCAACATTTCTGTTTTAACATGTTTAAATAGTTAACGAGTATTGACATACATTTCATGATTTTTCAATGACTCAATGCACTTGATAATGAAAACCACAAATTGCAACTAAGAAAAAAAACAAAAAGTTTTCATGGTCATTTTTGTTACAGAAATATTTTCCCTCCGAATCTTGTACAAGCTACGATTCAACAGTATCAGACAGAACTGCAGAATAACTCAAAACCCGATATGAGTGATTGGGATATTAAAGGAAGATTCACTGATGGTGAGTTGTACATAATGATTGCATTTTCTAAGATTTATTTAATTGTAAAAGTTATAACAAACTTTAATAGGAATGAACATCATGGGATTAGTCGTCGCTTCGGTTGTTTTTGGTATTGCAATCTCATCAGCACGACAACAAACGAGAACTTTACTGATGGTCTTCAATGAACTCAGTCAGACGATGATGCGAATTACTGGTTGGGTGATTTGGTTGAGTCCAATTGGTGTTTTCTTCTTAATTCTTTCCAAAATGATGGAAATGAAGAATGTTGTGGACGTTTTCGCCAAACTTGGACTTTATTTGTTAACTGTTTCTGGTGGAATTTTATTCCATGGTTTTGTCATCTTGCCCTCGATCTTTTTCCTTGTCACACGAAAAAATCCTTTGAAATTTATTGGAAATATGGGACAAGCAATCGCAACAGCTTTTGGTACTAGCAGTTCATCAGCGACACTTCCAGTGACAATTCAATGCCTTGAACAAAATAACAAAATTGATTCACGAGTATCGAGATTTGTCTTGCCAATTGGTGCGACAATCAACATGGATGGAACTGCACTTTATGAAGCTGTAGCTGCAATTTTCATCGCTCAACTCCGAGGTGTTAATATGACTTTGACGAAAATTTTCGCTGTTAGCATAACAGCAACTGCTGCTTCAATTGGAGCTGCTGGAATTCCACAAGCTGGTCTTGTGACTCTTGTTATGGTTCTTGACACTGTTGGTTTACCTGCTGAAGATGTTTCACTTGTCATTGCTGTCGATTGGATTCTCGATAGAATCAGAACTGTCGTGAATGTTCTTGGTGACTCGTTTGGTGCAGCCATTGTCGAACATTTCAGTAAAAATGAAATCAAAGCGATTCCCGATTCAATTACCATAAATAACAACCTTCAAAATGGAACATCATTGACAGTCTTACAAGTTGAAGAACGAACTTCAAGTGGATTAAAAGGTCGTGACAACGCAGTGTTTGATGAACGAATGTAAATTTCTTGACAATGTCCAGTGACAAAAAATGTGATGAATTTTTTACTTCAATTTTTGTCTGTTTGCATGCGCAAAAGTTGAATTTCAAGTAATTTAAATCTTTTTATACACTTTAAGAATTTTCATAGGTTTTAAGGCAATCACAATTAATTAGATAGATGAGCTTAAATATTAACGAAACTAATTTCTGAATCGTTAAAAATAAAAACTACCTATTTTTAAAGTTAAATTTTGTAGTTGAATTTCGATTTGAAATGAGATGGAAAAGTTTTAATTACAAACGTCGTCAATTTACTTCATTAAAAGTTAACAAGTTAAATGAAAAGACTTCCTGAATTTCTCATTTTTTATTTTCATTAGCAAATTAACTTTTGGTTAATTTCCAATAACTTTCATTTCTTATCTTAATTAATCAATCCAAGCAAAGTTTGAATCATTTTTTTTCTTATCAATCCGACTTGAAAGCGATGGCAGGAAACTGTCACGAAGATTCACCGAGTTCAAAGCGTTTTCTCGAGCTGAAAGCTTGACAGCACGTCTTGCACCGATTCCTGATTGTATGGAGGCTCGTTCTTCTTCAAACGCATGATTGTCGAACGAAATTGTGCGTGAACCCTTGCGTTTCGGTAAGAAACTTGTCGGAAACGAAAAAGACGTTTTACGCTTTTGATTCCTTCGAATGGACGCTTTCGACGAGTTTTTGTCGTAAGAAGACCAGTCGTTGTTATTTTGGTAGTGAGCCTTAAAAAACAAACGAAATCAAATTTGTACTTTCGTTTCATGGCTCGCCTTACATCTCGAATCTCCTGAATGCAACTGTCGTGTCCAGGATTCCTTCCAATCTTCGGCACATTCATCATTTCCTTCAAATCGACTTTAATTGGCGCTAAGGCTGAAAGTGCTCGAGAAATTCCAATCTAACATGTGAAATGTTTCAATAGATAATTGTAAAATTCAAGAAAGAAATTTAAAACTTTACCGAAGTGTGATTTATTCGATGTTCCATTAAATCAGCGCCAAGCAATTCTTCGTTTGGATCCATTCGAATTGGGACAATTTTATTGATGACCCAAAGAAGAATAAATGTCGAGAGGACTCCCTAAACATGAAATTGCTACAACACATTCTACACACATATACACAGAATCGCTAAAACTCACCCAAGTTAGCAAGCACAACGCTGCCAAACATTGAATCCCGAATAATTCCCAACCACCACCTTTAAACAATCCAGTTCTACCACTAGTTGTCTTTAAAGGTTTTGGATCGTCTGCGAACAAGCCCACAGCAATTACACCCCAAATACCGCCAATGCCATGCACAGATGAAGCACCAACTGGGTCGTCTACTCCCATTCTATCAAACATTGGTGTGACGAAACTTACAACAAAAGATCCAATGAATCCGACAAGAATTGCTTCCCAAGCGTGGTATAAATAACATCCCGCAGTCACAGACACTAATGAACCAAGAATTCCATTAATCAGATCGAAAATATCCACTCGACCTTCGTTTCTAAAGAGCGAATACATCACAGCCCAAAACCCTCCACCAAAAGATGCAAGCATTGTCATTACAGCAGCACGTGCTGAATAAATCCATTTAGATCCTGAGACTCTATTTGCATTAATGAAGATTTTGAATGAATTTCTCAAATTTAGATCATTTTAGTTTAATTTATTACCCATAAGTGCTGCCTGAATTAAATGCCAACCATCCTGTTAAAGAGATAAAAATATAATTTGATTTACAAACTCAATTCATTTTAATCTTACCCCACCATAACACGAACAATCCCTAATAGATTATTAATTACAGTAATTGATAAAATCAATGAAAATGAAATATTCACCATGCAAGCATTCACTGGATTACCCAAAGGCAGAGAACCAATACCATTTGCATATCTTCCTAATCTTGGCCCCAACATGGCAGCAGATGCAAACGCTGATGCACCTGGTATGAAATATTCATGGAAAAAGGAAATAAATTTATTAATCAATATTTATTACCTCCAATAAGGTGAACTGGTCCACTTCCAGCTATGTCAACTACTCCCATATTGTATAGAAATCCATGTTCACCCCAAACCTTTATCAATAAATTCCAATAATTGTCAATGACATTATGAGTAAGTGGAACTCACCCATCCTGCTGGTATGCAATAGACAAGTGTATTAAAGAAGGAGAATAAACAATAAGCTTTGAAATTGCATCTTTCAGCCATTGCACCACTAACGATTGTCGTTGCTGTAGTCGAGAAAGAAAGTTGAAAAAGAAAAGCTGCGAAAATTTGTCCCATTAATGGATCATCAACACCCGGATCAATCAAAAAATCTCCTAAAGCTATGAAAGGATTTGAAAAAGCGCCACGTCCAAATGACATTCCATAGCCAAACATCCAATAAGTGAAACCACCCAACACAACATCGATGATGTTCTTCATCATAATATTGACTTCATTCTTAACAGACACACAACCACTTTCCAGCATCCCAAAACCTGTGAATAATCAAATATCTTCCTTTCCATCTACCTGACACAAATTATAACTAATTACCCGTTTGCATTGTGAAAATAATGAACGATGATGTTAAAACCCAATTCGTATCTTCAATTTCTAATTCATAAATTCCTGGGATCACATAACTACTGTTTCTTGAAAAGGAATTATAATTCTCAGAGCTTCCAGCTGTGCCATTGTCAGTTGATGTCATTTTGAGATTAATAAATTCTTATTAAAGGTCTAAGCAAGTCAACTGTTAAATCCAAACTAAAACATGATTTCAAAGCTTAAAAGCTCAAAAAGAAATGACTTCATATCCTTACATTAATAATTGATTATTTATTTTTTACATGCTTAGATATATGTTGCTTTAAATAAAATTAGCTTACAGACTGATAATGACATTCACATAATAAAAAAAGAGTCTCATTAAAGGAGCTTGCAATTGTTTTGACATGTAAAAGAATGTAAAAGAATCAACGCATTGTACATTTTCGATTTTTACAGAAGAAATGAAAGAGTAAAAAATTAGGAAAATGCTAGTAACATCACTTTCTAACAACACCTGAAGACGTCTAATTTAATGTCACTTAAATTGATGTCATGTGAGTAAGAAAAAGTTTGAAGGTCAAGGTATCAATTTGGGGCGCATCAATGAATGTTTAATGAAATAATTTTATTTCTTGATCATGAAGTGGACGAGTCTAGCACAGCTTCGATGACGTATTGTGAATAAAGTCACGCGATTAGAATTGAGCTGTAAAGTTTTAAGTAAAATTCTTTTCATTCACTCTTATGATTTATTTCGATTAAGTGTCTAACTTAAGTTAAAATTGAGAAACATGAAACATTAAAAGTATTTAATTCTCATCGTAATTTCGTGGTCTCGGGAACTCATTGAATCCTTCTGATTCTGTGATTAATGCATGTTCTAAGATGACTCGACCTTCTTTGTATCGTTGACTTTCTTCTGTGGCAAATTCATACATCCAGCCCAATTTTGTTTTGCAATTTTTGCACATAACATCGCGTACCATATGACGGCCAGTGAGCATCACACGATCTTGGACATTGCTGAATGTGAGGTTTACAACTTTCTTGAAAAGATAAGCTCGACCAGTGGATCCCGTGAATCTAAATTGAATTTAAAAAAGTCATAAAATGACTTTGAAAACTTTCTTTTCTAATTTTCTTTACCTTGTCGAAATTAGTTGACTTTTATTCGTTAGATTTGTGTCACATTGTGCACAGTTGTATAATTTATTGCCTCCAATATGCTCCAGAAATACTCGACCCATTGTAAAAAAAAATTTTCTCAGATATGATTTATCAAATTTCTTTTAAATAATCAAAACAAAGACTTGTACGGCAATTCCAGTGAAAATATGAATTTCAATTTTGAGTTTCAACTGAAATGAAGTTCCAATGTTGCTGACGTACCAAATTTCATTTAAACTTGACATGTGAAGACGACTTAACTTTATTTTCAAATTTTAACTGAAAAATGTGGAAAAAGAAAATGTTTAATTAAGTTTTAAATAAAAATCATTCTTCATTTCAATTTCGTTCTCTATAGTTTCAACAATTGAGAAAATTTGTTATTCAAATCATTAAATTCACTACCAGAGTCAGATTGATCTTCAATGCAGTCATTATTGTCAATTTTTGTTTCTTGTTTGACTTTAGATTTCTTGGTTTTTGTTTTAGTTTTCTTCGCGACATCTTCAACAACAATTGTTGAATCAAAGTCTAGATGCGGTAATGCAATTTTGCATATTTCAAGGATCTGATTGAATATTTTCATAAGGGCTGGTGATCGATTGAAAATATGATTCTTGATGTACTCTCTTGGCTGGGCTCGTGACTTCAAACTCAGGTACATATTATAGAGGAAAAGTCCATTAAAATAGTTCTCAATCTTAATATTGTCAAATGGATAATTCAAAAATGGATCTAATGAATAAAGATTGAAAACGGCTGATTGAAGTTCAGCAAAAGTGTGCACAACCGTTCGACGAAAGTCAGCATGTTTGCGTTGAAACTTTGGGCTAATCTCGTATTCTTTGATGAGATTCTCCATCGTCAAAAGAGCTTCTGGTTTTGTGATGTTCTTAATAAGTGTTTTCAATGGAACATCATCTACTTCTGTTTCTTCGTTTGTCTTCGTTTTAAGTTCTTTTAAGTAAGTTCCAAAGTTTTTCAAAAACTTATTCGAGTCACGATGAACTTTCTCGCATTTCCTATCAACGATACTGATTGCAATCAATCCAATCACTGATGTAAAAAGATAAATTAAGTTTGTATTAGTCGACCTTTTCATCCAATAAATCACTGCAAGGATGTAAAGTTGATGTGCTTCAGGAATCCTCTTGACTTCATCAAAAATCTCTTGAGCGTTATCAATTTTTTTTTTAAATATCTTCAACATTAATTGAAAATTCTTCTTCTCATTTGGATCAAAACTATTCTCTATTGAAAATTTTTCTGATTCAATTTTTTTCACTTCATACCGAACTTGTTTTGGTATTCTCGTGTAGTAATAAAGTGGAGGAATATTCGGTGAATGAAGAATTGAGTAGAGAAAATTTAAAATTGGATAAGAGATTGTGTTGCTGTCTGGTCCATTAAACTCTTCAACTTGAGGATAATTAATGTAACGTCGACATCTCAAAATATCCACAAGAAAGCGAGGCGATGAAGCTGAATTGTAAATCTTAAGAAACCATTCAGGAAACACAAATTTCCTTCTTCGAATGAATTCCGGTTCTTCATCTTCATCACTTAATTTCTCATCAGGCTCTTTAAAATCGTCATCGTCACTGTTTTTAATTGCAAAACCATCATCGCCTTCTTCTTGTTCACTAGAATTTTGTTCTTCTTCGTCTTCTTCTTCAACTTCCGTTTCTTCAACTTCTTCAACTTCCTCGCATTCGTTTTCACTTTCACTTTCATCATCATTTGCCATCACTTCATCAAGATCCATGTTAAGAACTAAATTCTCTTCATATTCATACGATTGCTCTTCGAATCCGAAATATTCAAAACTTTTACTGTGAACCATTCGATAGCCTTTCATTGCACTTCTTATCTGATACCACAACCTTGGACGCAGACAATGTTTTACACATTCAAGGATCTTTCTTATAGCTGAACGAAGCGTTTCATGACGAAGCCAATCAAGTAACGTGTAGATTTTCTTTTGTTGCAATGAAAGATTTTTCCTTCTCTTCACTCTTCGTTTGCTGACATTTCTGAAGAATTTTGCAAACCATTTTCGTGAAATAAAATCATTTCCCAACATTATTGCGAAAAGTGGAAGCATGTCGTTCTCAAGAACACCATCTGTTAAATTCTCTATCGTGTACATACAACAGTCAAGATAATTGTAAGTTACTTCCTCAACTTCTTCACCTTCACCTTCTATCTCGACTGTAATCTTTTTGGGCTTTCTTCTAATATTTTTCTGACCTTTTTGCTTCTTTCTCATGATTTCAACTTCAAATGAATTACTCTTCACAGTTTTCTTGTAGACTTTGGGAGTGATTGTCACGAATGGAATATATTGACCGTCAAATATATAAAAATCTGAATCGTAGCTGAGAACAGGACAATTCAACTTTCTGGCGAGTATTGCTGTAATTTAAATGATTAATTATTATAATGCATTTCATTGAAATTGTACTACTTACCAATTTCATTGTCAGCTTCAAAAAGGCATCGGTAAATTTTAACATTACAACTCTTTGTAGCACTGACAAAAACTTCTCGCATTAGAAGAGGAATCGCAAGATAACTTTCCAATGGAATTATGTGTTTGATGACGCCGATTCTTGCTCTTAATCGTTCTTTTGTAGTCTTCATTTTTCTCATTTCATATCCACCATCAAGAAGAACATAAGGAGTAATATTGCACTTCTTCAACATTTGAAAGAATTCCACAACAGCTCGAAAATATTCATCGTAATTTCCTCCAAATGCTGACAATCCACGATCAGATTGACGATATAATTGGGAACAAATATTGTCACCATCTATAACTAGATTGCAGTCATGTAATTCATGTGGATCTAGATATTGATTAGCATGCTGTGCTATGAAAGTTGTAAGTCCTCTGACACCCATATTGTGAACAAAAATTTTTATTTTGCTGTAAACACGAGGCAAAAATTGTAAATAATTAAACAATAAATTATCAAGCGAAGTTAACTATAAAATTTAAATCACCTATGATCTCAAATCTTTCTTATAAAGTTATCTACTTAATCAAGCTTTATTTTGTTAAGAAAATAAAGCTAAATTAGCTATCTGTGGTGCTCAAGTGGTGTACGACTTCCTTTAAATTGTAATAACTTTGATAAGGTTAGTGTCTCACACATCTTTACTCAAACAGATGATTACCAATCCATAAGCAGATTTTACACACGTTAATAAATAAACTTCAAAAGTGTTAGAAAGTTGTGTGTAC